TGCAACTATAGAGCTACTCAAGATCCTACCCATATCCTCCTTAGCTGTACGCTATATAAGGAGGCTAGGATAAAGATGCAGGAGGCGAGCAAGGACCCCCTATCGCTAGCCTTCCTGCTAAACACGAGCGTAGGCATACAGGCTACTATTGCCTTTATTGAAGAAACTAGGGCTGCAACACAGGCCTGGCACAAAGGAAACCTCGAGAACTAGGGCAACACCTATACTAGGTGGCCTCGCCCTACACCCACCCTACCTCTCTCTTTTACCCGCAAGACCCCCTTCTACCTCCCTCTAGACTAGGCTACGAGCCTCACCTCGATTTAGATAGCCCCCTCCCCCACCTACACCAAAGTGATAGCACTACGTAGATACTTGCGGGCCTAGCCTGCACGTCTTATATAGCCCACCGGCTGAGACAGGACGTAAAACCAAAATAATAATAATAATAATAATAATAAGCTTTTATGTATGCTACGAACATAGTATTATGTGGTGTATTTGCTTCCAGCTGATGTATTTGTTCTATAAATTCATAACCATTTGGGGGAACAATTTAATAAGGTTCACAGGCTTACGTGCTTGTTTCGCATGTGACAAACAATAAGTGGCGTCGAAGTTCTAGTCTCGTGTTGTGCAATGCAACCAACCACCGGGCGCAGTCGAGGTGCTGAAACACGATCCTCAGCTATCCACTCGTATTTACCCGCTGGCCTGCACAGATCTGGCATAGCAGGTTTACCGACATTAACACGGAGAATAACTACGTATGCATTCAAGGATTTCCCCACACATGTTTAAATAAGAGTGGGCCAGGTCAATCTATTATGAGAAGCTTAGCCTAAAATTAAGCAATATCGGCAGGACTTAGGAAGCTTAGTCTCTTGCAAACTAGGGCCGAATCGACACAAAATGCCCCTTGGTAGGCGGATAAAATCTCGCATCCTTGTAAGTGACGGAATGCAGTTTTCCCTTATGGCCAATTTGAGCTAAGTCGCCAACTTGGAATTAATGAGATCGGACACAATGCGGATTAAGCTTTAGCCAAGTAGAGGTAGTCAAGGTGGGGAGCCACATAAAGATTTGATTGACCAAGGGGATATCATGTGGATATAAAGAGTAGTGTGTGTTCTTGGTCCAACTAAGTACAGTTCATCGACTATATCAATTGCTTACGCAAAAACCTTCAGAACATATTCATTATGGTCTCCTTTACCGCCAGTCTTGTCGCCTTCGCGACCATCATGGGTGTCATCGCTGCCCCTGTAGAGGGCCCCGGGGACATCACTATCTCGAAGCGCAGCAGCCCCAACAGCTCGGGTACCAACAATGGTTTCTACTACCAGTTTTGTGAGTGACAGCGTCGTTCGATGCTAGAGTAATCTTACTAACCTAACGTATAGGGACTGATGGCCAGCGTGGCAGTGCCACATACACAAATAAGGCAGCCGGCGGGTACTCTGTGACATGGTCTGGTATCTCAGACATGACATCCGGCAAGGGCTGGAAGTCCGCGCAGCCCAGGAACATTACTTTCACTGGCAACATCAAGGCACAAGGCAACTTCTATCTTGCCGTCTACACTTGGTCGCAGCACGGCGAAAACTACGTAAGTCTTCTATTTTCAATGTTCGCCAGACTCTTGTCTCACTCTTAAAATAGATTCTTGAGAACTACGGCTCGTACAACCCGTGCAGCCAAGGCAAAACAGTTGGCACCATCACCAGTGATGGCAGCCAGTACCAAATCTGCACAGTTGACCGCGGAAACAACTACATCCAGAACTGGTCGATCCGTCAGAACAAGCGCTCCAGCGGTACGGTCACTACCGCAAACCACTACAATGCGTATGCTGCGCACGGCTTAAACCACAATCCTCTTAGCCAAGCTGCCTACCAGATTGTATCGACTGAAGGATTTGGAAGCTCTGGTTCAGCTGATATTACAGTGTCTTAGTTGTTATATTCTTACTATATTTGTTTCTACAATTCAGACTGTATATCTTATCTTAACCCAGAATTTTACTATTACACTGTTATATTATGGAGAAAAAGAGATTACATCCTCTATCACATGAATTAATAGAATTTGATAGTAGGTCAAGTTAGTACCGTGTTATCACGATACTCTGAACTGAAGGCCCAGGAAGGCCGACCATCGGAAATGCATCGGGTACCCCTCGGGTCGATAGAGCCTCTGTCACGTGCGCAGGGCATATAGCCCTATCCCCCTATTCAAACCTCAACTAACTCGTTGAGGGTTCGTCTCAACTCACTCTGACTGATGTTTTTTGTGTCTATCTGCGAAACGCTTCACATCTCTATGACTCTAAGCGAAGGAGGAACATTGAGGTGTTCGGCAACGTATCTCGGTCCTGGGAGAAGCGGGGTACATTGGCGTGCCACTAAGAGGGATAAACCTGGCAATGATAAGCATGCATGGAGCCGAAGGCTTCGAAGGAACGAAGTTCCTCGCTTTTCGGAGCGCCTTATCTAATTGTTGCTAGCATCAATTGGTGCGCCATTCTTAACCCCGTCCTGCTGACTTGCTATGATCTCTCCTACAAGCACCGTCGACAGTTCGCATCCCAAGAAATATCTCAGTACTTGTGATAACTACAGAGCCTGGAAAGTGCATTGTCTAAGTTCGTAGGATCCAGCTCTGTTTGCTCCTGCACCCCGATGCTTACTAGTTACAGAAAATAACCAGCAGGACGAGAAATGCATCTTATGTACCGTATGCAAAGACTTCTCTATAACATGTACTATTCAATGAATTTGGCGTACTTCATCACAACAGAAATGAGGGCTGCGATGCATTTTCTCGCCGACAAAAGCACGAAAACCCCACGTATCAAGGCCTATAAGGGGTAGACATGCTGGGCGTAGTCCCTCGCGACCATCGTCTATCCCCTCCCCAGAAACTGTTGACGCGCAAATGAACGACACTCACGATAGCATAATCGTTGCTGCTGAAATACCCGCCTCTACACATGCGCGGAACGCTTCTGAGGCGACGCAGGATATGCCTGGAGACTAAGCTGTCTCCGAGTCAATGCAATGTAGACAGAATACCGACTTGTATGTTGACCAAATTCTATTCGCTGTGCAACTCACAGGAACTCCTGGAGAGGTGAGATCTCGGTATCCCCCTGGCCGATATAGGGTGTCGCGGCAAACGGTGAATGAGTATGGTGAGCACCGACCGGGGGGACTCTAGGTAACCTTGTAGCTGACAACATGGATCAGTCTCCAGTTTTAGTCTCGCTTTCTTTTCCAACAATGCCGTCGACAATCTATGTCTGAAGCTTAGTCATGACAAGCTCAAAACTTTGGTAAGCACACTGGAAGCACAAACGCAGACCCGTTGGGAGGCTCCTACTCCTCAACCCCCTAGACGATATGACGACATCGATGATTCTTCTGAGCGTAGATCTCAACACATCCAATGTACGCACATCCCTCATGTTAGATGTATAACACATCTTGAGCTAATCGAGTCACAGCCTATTTTGAGCAATTTCACATGATATACCTGTTCCTCGATCAAGATTCGTTCGAATAGAGAGCTTTGTCCGCCCATATTGAAAGCTCGGGCCCAACTCATGAGACATGGTTAGTTCTGTACCACACCGTGCTTAGCCTCGGGTGTGTGTACTATGATTGGGGTTCTTTTGAGCCCGCGAAGAGCCTAGCATGGTACTACTTTAGCCTCGCATTTCATCATTTCCAAGATGTGTTGATGTGTAAGGCGTCTTTACTCAAAGCCCAGGTAAGTTTCAATCTTTCTCAATAGATTGTAAGCTGATCATAATAGGCAATGACAGCAATGGTAAGCCTACTTGAATATAAATACATAGTCACCGCCAGTATTAACTGCACCTTGACTACAGGCAGTGTTCGCCCTTAATTACTCAAGTCTGCAGATTGAGACTTTGTGTATCTCAGAAGCGGCAAGAACAGTCATGACCTTGGGTCTGCACAAAAGAAACCTTGACCGTAGCTCATACCAAGAAGGTAGAAGAACATTTTGGGTCGTATACTGTTTGGAAAAAGAATACGCTTCTAATTCAAGCACCACCTCTGTATGTCGCGTAAGCTTTGATTTCCGCGAGGAATTGATTCGCTGACTGTTACACACTAGTTGATATCTAACATCGACATCAGCCGTCCGCTTCCTACAGATTTGCCGACACATACCGAAGGTTTGGCCTGGCTTCCTTGCTGGGCACGCTACTCGAGGATTTTATCGAAAGCATATGATTTGATCTTCTTGTTATCTGCTACCTTGATTCCAGCAGAACAATGCTTTCGGCAAATGGATCGCATCAACGACCAACTGCAATCGTGGCTAAACTCGATTCCCGATAGCCTGCGTCCAGGCTCTTCATTGCACCGACATCGATCTAAACCTCTGTATATGCAAGAAATGGTATTGAGGATCCATTTTTCATGTTAAAATCTGAGAATTTGTACATCACGAATAACTCTCAACCGGTGCCCAAACAAAGGATCTCCGCGAAGATCCGAAAACGAGAAGTGCTTTTTGACAACAGCACGCACGATTATTGAGTCATCCTATATGATCACCATGAGTCCCTTCACTCCCTTATGGTAAATTTCCTCCAGGTGGCAAACTCAAGTGGAAAGGGCCGCTAACGTGAACAGGATGCTAGGAGTTATGCCAATGGTTGCAATGTTCATTGTCTTCGATTTCGTCGTTCACAACCCACTACATGCTGAAACCAGGATAAACCTGTCATACCTTAACATAAGTGCTGCCCACTATGCCAGACTCGACTTGTTAGTGCAAGGCACCATTCACGATGCCAGGGTCGTGGAGTTTACCTCCATCGCACGCCTCTACGTTGAGTCACTAACCGGAGATCCGGCAAGTAGTACCGCTAGCAATACTAGCTCAGTTGCTGAACCCAACATCCACCTAGAGCCACCTGATGACAGTTCACTCGTAGTTGAAAATCCTGATTTCATGTCACAGTCTGACTTTGAGCAGCTGTCAGCTACAGGGTCCAATAATATGGTATGTTTCCTTCTTTCTTTAATCGTTGAAGGCCCTTCCTCTCAACTCTTGCCTCAAGATTTCTCTCTCACCTCTCGCATTGCGACAAATACATTGACTTTTTCTAGATGAATGAGATGGACGAATACCAAATTTCACCTGCTGGAATAAGCTCTCTAGATTTCCCAGGCCCAAGCTCCTCGTTGTACATGACCCTGCCAACATCTGGGGACAACATAGCTGGCTTCTTCAGTGATTCGCTCGGTTGGATAGGTACCGGATGTTAGTCTCGAGCTATAGATCGCTAGCTTAGATACCTTGAGAGCTACGCGACAGGGAATACACTAGAGGAGAACACAATACAAAAATCCTCAAACATCCCAGTCGCAAACGTCTTTGGGTAAACAGCGTTTGCCGACGACGTACAAAGTTTGGTTAAAGTGATGTCGAGTAAGAGGAACCAGAGATATGATGACAAACTCGAATCTTGTCACTTGCCTGCACTAAATGTCAAAATATTCATTTACACATGAAATGTAGCCCGTTTTCCCAGATATCTCAACTATTGCCTCCAACAGGCAGCACGCCGACCATTATTTTTGATTAATAATAGATTCATACCCCTGATCCGGATCTCTAAAGTACCACGTTTTGACTTTACCCTTCGTTTCCATTACCGTAAACGTTTCCAAGGTATGCAAATCTATTCTGGTTTACCGTGCTCAATTCAAATTCCTCCCACCGTGGGTTCATGAGCATATGAACCCAGTGCAACCGGCTGCCAGGGTGAACTAGCGCTGGTTCATCTTCTTTCCCTAGTTTCTTTTGTCAACTAACACAACCACATACTATCGTACATAGACGTTAAAGCTGCCCTTACCTCCTTTCAGCCAGGATCGACACTTTGCATTCCAGATTATGCGGGTTAAGAAAGTATCTGTATGTTCGATAAAGTCGTCGAGTGCCTTTTGTGATGGTACGACAGATTTCTAGCCTTGTGTTTGCGCCTTGTGGAGAAGCTTGATGACGTATTTTGTGATGTGCTCGATGCTGAGAAGTGCGGACCCGTGGGATAGGGGACCGTTTGGTCCCATATAACCTTTGTTATATCATCAGCTTAAGCTATACAAATGACGAAAGGGAGTTTGGGAAGACTAACGAATGTAGTTGGGGGAATTTGACACAGTTAGTGAAAGGTACGCCGCTGGTCGCGAGCGCTATTGTTCGCATCCTCCATCTCTACCATCACCTCCATTAGCCAGATTGTATGGTCGTTCGCAAAGTCAGGCAGTCTTCCATCCTTTGCCTGAGTTACCCATGTAAATCCTAATATGCAGCTTCCAGTGAATGCGATCCTGCTCTATGCAGGCATTGGCATCACACTGGACACACTTCAATTTGCGCCTTCGTACGTTCTTAACGCTCTATACGGGTTGGGGGTGGTCTGTGTCCTGTTTCCTATGGAACACCCATCACCCTTCTATTGGCACGCGGACGACAAAGTTTGCCACGAAATCGCTATCTTAGCCTCTGAAAGTTCAGACCCTTGGTTAATATCATGCCGCTAGTCTAGCTTCTGTTGGCTGCCATTGTGTTCTGCATCCCTCTTAGTTATCCTGTCACCGACGATGCCATGAACTGGGCTCCTGTTGTGGGAGCAGCCACTATCACAATCTCTCTTATCAACTGGCTGGCTGTGAGAAATATGTATGAACCTCCTAAGGCTTTTTTATTCCATCGTACATATGGTATTCACAAAGAAGGCTCATGGAATAGCTTCGGAACGTTGAACAATATCTCAATGAGCTAATAGAAGCATTAATCGTTTGAATTGCTGAGGTCAAATATTATGCTGGTAAATGATAAACGGATTTAGCAATGCTGTACTTAAAGTTGATTTGAGGAATCATCGGAAAGGCTTCGTTAACTCATCTCCTAGTGATAATAGGTGGAGCACTTGCATAAGCTTCGAGATCTAATTACGCTGACGATTCCATATTATCGAAGCTTCGAACCAACATCATGATAACTAGTCCAGTAGGTAGTCCTAGTAGAAGACTATTAATTTAATGAGTATAGAATATTCCTTATTCTATATGCAAAAGAAAAGGGGTCACTTGTATATTAAAATTCGATTTCTTGTTGTATAGTCGTCATTCTTGACTTAATAGATATTTCAAACCTGGTCTAGCAGTTTGCTATACTTAAAGCGGCATAGCGTTAACAGATATAGCCAAACAACGACTAGATGACATTCCTCGCCAATGTGCGGTGCAAAATGTGGATAATTGGTGGCAAGTGTGGCGGTTAATCATTGCGATGCGTGTCACCAACAAAAGATTTGGATGGTCAAGCACCGCGGATCTGTTAGAAGTGGCCATGTGCTCCAAGCTTCCGAGATCAGAATAGTCTTTGGTTATCGTTGCCAAGTCGGTTTCGCGATCAAAGTTCGTTGTTGCCCTTGCAGTTGCTGCGTAGTTGCATTCGAAACAACACGAGTTTTAATGTATAAATAGCCTGCATCGCTCCATTCTAAAGATCCATTTGTCCCTAGGAGTCCGCCATTTTCTTTCACCTATTGTCGCAATTGCTCCTGCTTCTCTGTATGGTAGCTATAGTAACCGAGTAATGTTCTTCTCAATTTGTAGAGATGCGTTTATCCCGCATCTTGCGGCTGTAATGGACAGGGCTATACGCGTGAGGCGCATTTGTGGAGAAGACGCGGAGTAAAAGGAAAACTAAATAGAGTTTATTTGCAGAGGATGTGAAGGCAGGTAAGCTTACAGCTTAAAGTTCTCGCCAAAAGTCGTATATGCAGTAAGTAGTCTGTGCATCTGTGTGTACTACGACGCTATCATAGGCCTGTGCGCGTTTTAAAGCTCTAGTCATCGGGCCTTTACAGGTTGCAACTTCCTTTTTCAGCTCTAGGTATTATGTTTCAATTTGTGCGTAGTTAGTTAGTTATTGAAAGGAGAAAACTATCATAGAAAAATAGTTCAACTATGAATATGATGACGATGATGATGATGATGATATAAACAACAGGGACAGCATGGCTTCCATGTGCTTACGGCATTGAGTATTGGCTAAACGCAGACTGCTCGAGGTTAGATCTCCGCGTTTACATATATTCGCTTATTTTATCAATTAGCTAGGCTGCTGAGGTCGTTTGAGTCTCTGGTACTATGCTCACGGTAGAGTTGCTATAAGAGGCCCCTGTTCGCATGAGCAAGTAGACATCATCTCTTCTTCTGCACCTCTTAACAGTCAACTATCGCCTCATAATCTCATAATCCTGCACTCAAGATGCGCGCCACTCTTCTCACCGCTCTCTTTGCAACTGCTATTCCCGTAGTAGTAGCTCGTTGGAACTAAAAGCTATGCAATGGAGTCAGAGGCTGCATTCATGTCGGCTATGCTACCGAAGACCCTTTTCTCTACCCCGACGGTAGTACCCTAAGCACTTATGAGTATGTAGTTGACCAGACGGGCACCGGCATGGGCAATGGTGTTCCTGCCAGCAAAGAGGAATTCCCCCAGACGTGCATGAACGGCAATGTCCCTCCTGCAGGAGTTGAACTTGTCGTAAGTAGCCCTTTCTCATGTTATGCAAACGATACCTATACTAACTACGACTAGAAAATCCAATCAAGAAACAACTAAACCATGTACTCTTATATCATCACCGCTTGTGATAATACGAATACAGACAAGTTCAATTGCTACTCCCGCGATCCCAACCTATCAATGTAAGTTTGTACCAAGGATTATGAGAGAAAATTCGCTTTGTAACTCTTATCAAGCTACACTTTTTGCTCTATGTACGATCCAAGCGGTGAAAGGTGCCAGATCCATTTCTTGCCTAGGTAACCGATCGGACAGTAAACCTTTAGATACATAAGTAGGACACCGTGAGGGTTAGGATGCTCAGCCGTCAACTCTTAGTGCAAACTCTGGAGGCTAGGTCTCTGTAAGGGCTGCGCTCAGTAGAGTGATGGTTTGGGTATATAAGTGGTATTTGATTCGAAGCTATCTAACTTCACCGTTCACTATAATATATAATTTTTACTTATTATCACTTTTGCCCACCTTTATCTCAACGTATAATAGCTTAGTGTATCATCACTGAATTGGCTACAAAGGAAGCAGATATACAGATTGCAACATCTTCTTTGTAATATCATTAAAAGAGTTGGGGCGCGGGGTGCTGGTCTTAATCCTTGAGTGTAGTCACCAGTAGGTTGTTTGCCCGTCGACTGTAATCGATCACAACAGCCGAGTATTACTATACTAAAGGTTCATGGCTATTTACAAGGGTTACATATAGGCCGTGAAGAAGCATGTATACAGTGAAGATAGTATAGTACAATGACAGCAGAAGCGCACTCAGCGCCAAGGGCCCGCTTACACTACATCAAACGAGCGGTATATTTCCGCTTGGCTCGGTACTTGACGGACTTATGCAAGCGCCGCGAACACAGCGAGACTAGACCATTGTGCTGACTAGCGGCGGGCGCTATACAGGGTTAAGGACGGGGCAACCCGTTAAAAAGGCCGAGCCGTGCCTAGGGATTTGCTCTATAGGGTAACCAACAAGTCCAAGGAAACTTGGCCAGCTGGGGGAGCCTGTTTGTAGCAGGGTAACCTGCACGAGAAGAATGCTTAGTGCGGCTGAAACATCCGTGCTACGATGGTCATGCTTGAATAAATGAATTCCGCATCATTCCATTGCATTCCGCTATGTTGATGCCCGGGTATAAATATATGGGAGCTGCACCCCAGACGGCCCGTCAGATCAAAAATCCCCCCGCAATCCTTCGCGATCCTTCACAATCCCCCACAAAACAGAGACGGAGAGAGGACGAACCCAACGAGAAAGAGCCAGAAAAGCAGGAAAGGAGAACAACAGCATGGAGATCATCATTGTCGGCGCTGGCCTCGCCGGGCTCTCGACCGCACTAGCCCTCTCGCACTCGCTCTCGGGCACCAGCTCTAAGCACCGTATTCTTCTTCTTGAATCCGCAGCTCAGCTGGCCGAGATCGGAGCGGGCGTGCAGCTCACGCCCGCAGCCACGCGTTTCTTCCTGCGGTGCGGGCTGGGCTCAGCGCTGCTTGCTGCCTCGGCAGTGCCATCATCATGGCACCTCAGGCGTGGAAGCGACGGCGAGGTACTGAACCGGGTGCCGATGGATCAATTTACGGAGTGGTACGGGGCGCCGTATGTAGTTGTGCACCGGGCGGACCTACATCGAATCCTGTGGGAGGCGCTGGTGGCGAGGCAAGGGAAGGAGGCAGCTGTGGAGGTGGAAATGAGGCTGGGGACGCGGGTGGCCGAGTACGGAGTGGAGGAGGGATGGGTGCAGGTGCAGCGCGGGGAGAGGCTCAAGGCAGATCTAGTGATAGCGTGCGATGGGATCAATAGCTCTGCGAGAGGCCAGCTGATGCAGAGCCTGGGAGCACCGCAACAGGAGTGGGTGGTGGGCACAGGCATGGCCGCCTACCGCGTCATGGCCGATGTGAAGGAGGTGCGGGCCGACCCGCTCACTAGGGAGATTGTCGAGGAGCATGCGGGAAATTGCTGGTGCGTCAAAAAAGATAAAAGAAGATGGCTGACCCTCACAACGCTTGCTGACCATTTCTCAGGGCTGATACCCACAAGCTCGTCATGACATACATGGTCCGCGGCTCTGACAAGCTCAACCTGGTACTCTCCCACCCAGACACAGTCGACACCAGCGCCTGGACCCAGGAACAGTACAAGGCCGAACTAACCCGCTTCTACGGAGACATGGACCCGCGCGTAAAGCGCCTGATTGAACTGGCCTCAGGCCCTGTCACCAACTGGCCCGTCCACCAAGTCCTGCCTCTCCCCAGCTGGACATCACGGGCCAATAACTTCGTCCTCATTGGCGACGCCGCCCACGCCATGTCCTTCTACCTGTCCATGGGCGTCTCGCTCGCCATTGAAGACGGTTTAGCACTCGCTACCGCCTTGGCCTATCACGTCTCATGCCCAGAGACCTTCTCGCTGGCTTCGGCTGTTACGCTGTTTGAAACTGTGCGCAAGCCGCGTGCGGAGAAGATCAGTGCGGCGAGCCAGCACGCGGGAGACTTGTTGCACCTGAGTCCTGGGTCACAAAGAGATATGCGGGATAGAGCAGCCAGGAGGGACGGGGCTGAGGGCGAGGAGGAGACGAGGGGCGATCCGCTGCTTGATTGGACAAGTTATGGAATTACGGACAAGAAGATTAGGCAGTGGGTCTATGGGTACGACGTATTAGAGGAGGTAGAGAGCAAGAAGCAGGAGATGAGTAAGCTCTGATGAACTAGACATAGATTATACATAGTACACGGTGATGCGTCATGAATATCTCTTACAATATCGGACGGCGCTGGTTGCCCTTGAATATCAACTACTCAACAACTTTTTTCTCTGAGCATCGTACCACTATGATCATACTATCTTACAATAACTTCATAGCCAAGTTCTTTCTCTCTAGGCCCTACCGATTCTACTGCTGTAAGTGCAACCTCAATATCAGCTATGTTTGTGGAGTTCTTGTACATTGAAGTTAAAGTCTAATTCGAATGAATGGCCCCTGAATGTCAGGATCGTTTGGCCATTACACATAATATATACAATCTACAAGAAACTACGCCCTGGAATGCTTACAAGAGACTACTTTAGCTTTTAACCAGACACAGTTCTTCCAGCCGCTTACTAATCCCCACACTAGGTACATCCACCAACCTCCAAAAAACATCTGCCGCCCAAATCGTCACAGTCGTCTGGATGACCCACGAAAGACCAAGACCCAGTTCATACCGGTATACAGTATCATTTCCTGTAAATGACCACAAGAACAACATACTCCTGTACCCAAAGCTATTGATCATAGCCTGATGCACGCAATATAGCGCAAACGAGATTTTCCCTAGATACTTTGCAACATGTGTCGTAAACATGCTCTGTAAAAAGGGTGACCGAGACACCACATAGACTAGTATCACGGTACCTATAGTAACGAAGAGATTGGGGCAACGTATTGATGGGCCAAACAGCGTGCTTGCGACGTAGTGGAGCGGAGCAGAGAAGAGGGCCTTCTCACCATGTGCAGTAGGATAGGACGCAACAAAGAGTCCAAACCCGAACAACAAACTCGATTGTATCTTTTGCTTGCTGGACTCCATACTTCGACCCGGAGCAGAAACAGCAGCTTCTTGCCGTATAAGATACAATTCCGCCAGCGTAGTCCCCGCAAGAAAAAGCGTGGCCTCTGGATGATTTTGAAACATGAAGTACACCGCGATTACAGTGGTAATGCTCATTCGCACGGCCGGACGCACTTTTACGAGTCCGATCAGCGCGAGGAAGCTGATGAAGGAACAGCTAAGTTCGATGGGTATGGTCCAGAGTTGCACGCCGTAAGGCGGGTGCCGCGTCCGTCGCGCAAGCGGATCGGACCACGTCCACACCTGCCCCACCCAGTCGGAGAATTGCTTCGAAAGCGAGTGGTGAGCGATTGGTATCCGCAAAGGTTTGCTGAGAAACGGCCAGTTCTTTGTTAGAGCGTATGAGAAGTCGAAGGCGCCGCAACATGCAACCAAGAAAGTAATTGCCAGTGTGACTAAGCATGGTAGGTAGAGTCTGCATGGTCGCCGGAATGTCGCAGATACCATTGTGTCGAGGAAGGCGCTGTAGGATCCGCTACGGGCGAGCTTCAGTGGCTTCAAGGAGATGGAGAAGCCGGAGATGACGAAGAAGAGGAAGACGCTGACGTGCCCGCTGTAAATCAACCGGATGATTGGTAACTGGGTTAACCAGTAGTCTTCATTGCTATTGTAGCCATTGAACCCGCGGTTGGCCTGAGGATGCGTAGGCATGAAGAAATGGCAACAGTAGACAATAAAGGCCGCATATCCTCGCATGCCATCGAGGAAATCCGTCGGACGTATCTCATCTCGCGCAGCTGTGGAGTTGTAAAAAAGAAAACTCGGTAGTAAATTCCGCAGGATGCGGCGATGTATAGATCGATATCTTGTCGAGACGCCAAGGATTGAAGGAGATGGGAGACCTTTCTCTGTCTCTCCCAGCATAGTTTCCGCAACTTGTATCATCGTGCGTGTGGATGGCGAGATGGGCACTTCCGTTGGTATGTGGTATATAATCTACATTTCGAAAAGGGGGTTGGAAAGCGACTGCGTAAGTGTATTGATTTCAGGGGCCGTGGCTGATCGCGACTTCCGCGGGCACAAAACAAAGATAGTCGAGTGAGGGTGATTGTGGCGTTGGTTAGCGTATGCGGGATATGTGACTAAACGGGAGCGATCGTGGCGTCTTTTAGCGCGTTGGCAGTGGCTTGGAGGCGGGCTTGATTAGGAGTAATTCATCGGAAACTCCAAGCCATAGGGTAAGCTGAGGAAAGTATTAAGCTCCGTCGGCCAGACCGACTAGTGCCGGGAAATGTCCACATGTCGCGTGCGATATATCCCGACCATGTATCTAGGTTCGCTTGCCTCTCAGCCGATGCATGGTGCCCATGTATGTTCTCACTAGTTTAATGAATCGGTGTGACAGCTGAACAAGAACGGGCGCGATCCACTTCACTGTCATTAACCCTTACATACATGCAATAGGATAGAAAATAGTCGCAGCATAAACTCTGCTACTAGTGGCGCACGCGATAAGAGGATGGGCTGTGGCAGCTACCAGGAGCCCTTCTGAACCGAAGTTGCCCCGTGAACTGAATATCGAAGCGTGCTCTCCACCCCATCATAAAAATGGGGCAAATAGGCTGTGGAGACTGCTCGAATTATTTGCTTCCTAGTCACTCACTAGCCACCATGTTCACAATTCATTGTATCTTCATGCACATAGTCCGTCACGGAATGGGATTGAAATCAATTAATGGCCTGTTATTCACTGTGCCTAAAGCCCAATACGGACGAGAGCATTCAAGTTAATCAGATAGAGGCTGTGATTAATACCAATTTTCGCTGCGGGTTCGCTAGTGACCAAATGTATCAGTTGTAATTTTTGATTGATAGCTGGAAGATATAAGACATATTAACATCATAGGCGCGCAAACTTCAAAAAAGACATTGCGGCTAAAGAATAGGAGAAAAAGAATAGAAGTAGCTTCTCCACCAGCCCACCGGAACTGATCAGTGCCAGTGAGGTACATCCTCCACATACGTAAGGGTGTACGCTTAAACGAGGATGGCGAACTTAGCAGGTGCCTTAGCAGGGGCAGACGCCGCCGTGCGACGCTGAAGAACACCACCGCGCTTAACATAACCAGCAGATGCGTGTCCGTAACTCTCAAGAGGCTCATCGTAATCTGAAGACGGGTCGGCGGCATAAGGTGTCGTGCTGGTAGCGTCCTCTGTGCTGTAGCTGGGAGCCGTGCTGTAGACGGCAGCAGGGGTAGCAACAGGATAAGTGGAGGTCTGCTCGAAGCTGCAAGTATACGGCTGGTGAGCCTCGGTGACGGTAACGGTCTCAGCAGGGTGGTGATAGACACCAGCCTCGTACTGCGTAACAGAGGGATAAGTAACCGTGGTGTCGTGGTCATAGACAGTTGTAGTGGGCTTGACGACGGTATATGTTCCGGCTGTAGAGCATGTCACCGTCGTGCTGTGGACGACAGTCTGGGTTACGGCACCGACAGTCTCGTATTCGATGTACACAGCGGCGATGGTGGTTGGCTTGGTGACTTCGGTGATGTGGCCACCATAGGTGATGGGCTTGTTAGCCACAGCGTGGTAGGTCTGCTCAGCAGTGACAATAGTAGGGGTCGCGACAGTGATGTCGTTGGCAGGCACAGTGTAGATGCCAGGGGCATCGAAGGTGGTCACCAATGGCTTGGGTGCACCGTAGGTAAAGGTGTGCGCATAAGTAGACCATTTTCCACCAGAGTACTTCTTGATTGTCACACCCTGCTCATCCTTGTTGCCTGTGTATTTTGGGTTTCCGGGATATCCAGGGATCGCATGTGGCCCCATGTGGTCGTAGGAAATCTCGTGGATCTCCTCGTAGAGCTCATACCATGTCTTATTAGTGTGGGGTGCACCCGAACCTCCGTAATAGCCAGTTGGGCGAGCATAGCCTTCAGGCGTAGCAGTGACAGTGTGAGTGATGGTATTCTTCGTTTCGTACACAGTCACGTACTGGTTGGTTGCAGTGACAGTGATCTCCTTGCCATAGCCATCAGTGATCACGGTTGAGATAGCCTCGTATTGCGACCATTCGCCGTCGACGTAGGTCGGGACAGGCTGATACTGAGCTGTAACAGTGACTGGTTCTTTGCCGTGTCCGGGATAGACAGTGGTATAGCCGAGCTCGGATGAGGTCGTTGAAACGCCATAGCCATAGTCAGCAGCAGCAGCCGTCGCAAGGGAGAGAATGGAGATGGACTTCATTTTCGATGGGTGACTATTAAAGAATGACTAAGGTTGGGTATTAAACAATAAAATAGCAAGCTACTCAAAGGACTTGGAGTGCTGAGCAGAGTGCAAAGTGAAGTGCACGAATCTGACGATCAAAGAGTGACTGTGGGTGAGAAACGAAGATTCTATCGTGGGTAGGACCGCATAATATTGTATGTACACTGTGAATAGACCACATCCTCCGCGGAGTGCAACCCTTGCCAAGCTCGGCTATCTCACCGTAACAATGGATCTTCCCTTTTCTCGGAACTTAATATGACCGTAAGCAGCTACTGGAGTATCACACTCAGTCATTCTGCACCTGAATACACAACCGAAGCGCCAAGAATGGTGGAGATTAACTGCTAAAGCGAACAGCCACCAGCTATTGAAGATCAGCGCATTGTCTCGTGCCTCATTTCCATTTCGAGCTGCAGCTGAATAGCTGAAAGGCTATACGTGGACTGCAAGACGCACAGAGCTTAAGTTGGTCTTTTCTAGCCTATAGGGGCAGCCGGTGCTCGGATTGATTGTTCCTTGGCAACTGCAGTGGGCGAAATCACGGGATGACTGCAGTATGTCACTTACTTGTAGGCAGCCTGAAATCTCTGCGGCTAGTCTTTGGTGAGTAGTGCCATGGCTGTATCGACTGGTTCTGAGGAGGCACTGGTTCAGGGAGACCGCAGTCGACCCGCTCAGGGGAACAACGCTTCCATTGCATTTTATGTGCTCAAACACTGCTTAATGACTATTAGGTGACCATTCAATAAACTGCAGATTGTGAGTATCAAATTGCAGAAACCGAAGAAAATCTATTGTTGTACTATTTTGGTATTTTACAAAAAGAAAAAGACGTGTGCAAACTACACCTCGTAGCTAGAGACTTCTGGTAATATACCATTGAAAAATGTGTTCATCACTGTCTTCAGCTGTTCCAAATCATGTTTGTTGGAAGTGACAACATCATCGTTCAAACAGATTTGGCCAGCCTTCTTGTTTTGCTTGAGATATGGCCTCAGCAAAACATGCTCCGCTTGCTCCGCATCTGTGATCATATAGAACATGGCATCTGGATTGACAACCGTGTACTGGAATTTGATCAGTGCTTTAATCACAGTCTCCCGCTGTTTGGCCTTTTGAACAGGGTGAGGTAGAAGAGGCTCCAGCCCGGCTCGTTGCCGGTTTAGAACTAGTTTGATCAGGCAATCGCCACAGCGTGGCGACTCACGTGTGACTCGATCGAATATTGTTGCTGTAGAAAATATGGGGCTGCGTGCTTCAGCATCGCTGGATGATATGGAAAATCCCGGTGCCAAACAATCTTCCGTATCAAATGCATCGCAGTCCAAATCCTTGGTCATTATCGGTCCGTCCAGAGATGTCCAGAGGATATCATTGTTCACAACTGGGGGTTTAAGTCCAGCTTGTTCAAGATAGTCCTGGACGTGGTAGTACATGCGGCGTCGAAATGTCTCTGGGGGTTCATTACTCAAACCCTCTGCTAGATCATTCATGACATTCTGACGCTCATTCCAGTCTAAGTAGCCATCATTGTTGCTGTCGCTTCGCATCATAATGTAGCTCCAAAGCAGTGCCTCTCGGTGTCTCTCCATGGTGTAATGGAAGATGATATACCACGAGTAGAGTTGAAAGCCAGTCTCACCTCGGAACCGTTGATATGCACTTCTCAAAGCTGGCCTAGGAAAGCTAGTGATTGCCTCTCTCGCGATGCTCCGAGAGAGAGAGTGACCGAAGTGCACTTGACCCTTGCGCTTGCGGGCACCAAACCGACGGTTTAGAAGCCAGGACGTGTAGATTAAAAAGGGCTTTTCTCCAAAGCGTTCGGCGTCTTTCTCTGTAGGAGGCTGTAATGTGTTGTATGCATTGGTCTTGAAACCAAGAGTAGGGCCGAATAGTGGCGAATATATATCGGACGCTGAATGGGGCTTGCCCAGAATCATATCGTCAGAGAGCGCAAACAGCTGAACGATATTAACATGATGCTAGTGCTAAGACGGGGGGTATTCGAGACTCACTCTATCCACTTCGGACTTGGTGTTGTAGAGTTGGTTCTCGATAGTGAGAGAATCAAAACTCGGCAAACATTTGCGTTCCTCGGATCCAAAAAATTCTTCCTGACTAAGGACCTGAACTTTTTCTATACCAGACCTCAACCAGTGAGGCCATTGCTTACCATACGTAGTTGGCGATGAATCATCCGTCTTGGCATTCTTGAACGCATTTACGAGAATCTGGATTCGGTTCGTGAAATGACCAGCGTATTTCTCGACACTGCGCATGGAGTAACGGAGCTCGTCCCACTCGCGATATCTGTTGGAGCCATGCGATCCAATCCAGACTCCATCCGCGTCGTTTAGTGAGGAATTTAGTTCATAAGGCTTCATAGTCTCGACCAACTCTTGCTGTGATCCATTTACCCCTGCAGATGTGATCAGCAAATGAGAAATTGTGTTCGTTGTAGCATTGCTCACATGTATACACAAAATCAATCCTAGGCTCGTCAAGTTTCGGGCCTGAGTAACGCGCCTTCGAAATCCATTCATCCTCCCAACCTTCGAGGACCACATCCTTCACGGAGACTTCAAAAGGGACATGGTAGAGGTCTGGAAGCCCTTCGGCCTTTTCTTTGAGTTCTTCGCATTGGTCCCAGCTAGGAAACTCGTAATGCTCTGACCATGGTGTCTGGGTTTCCAATTTTTCAACGGGTGCCTGGCTCTCATTGATATCCTGAGACTGAGCTAAATCATCAGCGTCGTCCTTGGCCTTTGCGTCTATAATCGGAATTTGAGCATTTTCGTTAGATGCGATATCTCCAGACTCGAATCCAGCATTACCGTCATCGTCAGGGTGGCTTAATTTTGTAGCATGCTCTATACCGCCTTCGTTCCGATGCTCTTCGATTTTCTCAATACCGTCTAGATCGTGATTTTCGGTGTCATCATCAGTGGTCAGCATAGAGCCGCCCCCCACTGAGGATCCAACATTGTGGTTGTGAATGGTACGAGGCTGAGTATCAGAATGGGGTGAAAGAACGATGTGAGGAGCTTCAGCGTTCCAGATCCGCTCTAGGTTAGAGTGCGAATGGCGGACATTGATCCGCCCAGCGCGAGGCGACTCTGCTTCGATTATCGCCTCGACAGTTTCCGGCGATGGGTTTGAAGTGGAGGGCTCCAAGTCGGCTTCTGAATTTGCCGATTTCCTCCAAGTGACTGTGCTAGAATTCCAGAGACAAAAAACAAAGACAATAATCAAGGCCCAAATGTACCGGCGGAAAGAACGGCGTGACCTGTAAAGCGCATTGCTGCGGCCAATCATGACGCGCTAAATAACTAAAAGGAGTAACACAAGGTGACGAACATAGAGAGGGTGATAGAAAATAAAAAGTCCTCAAAAGTCCTCAAAAGTCCAGATTGGCACAAACTGTGATGCGATTCAGCGTCCGTGTAAGGAAGGAATATAATATTCTGTGCTCGTCACATTGTTCATTTGCTATGTGGCGCGGGACTCTCGCAGTAGGCCGAAATCGCCTGCACCCCTAAATCACGGCGCATTTAGAAGGAAAAGATCCACTTTTGGTTTTTTCTTCTAGGCTAAGCAGATCTCCTGTTCAGCTCTCTAGCACTAGACTACAATGGACTAGGATGCGAGACCGATGTGATGTTGTGGTAGTGTGTCAAGGTTAGCGAATACTAATTTCCACAGGGGCACGTCCTAGTCTACCGATCGCCACCACCAGATCAACCCAACGGGTGTGTCATCTCCTGTGCGTCTCCACAAGCCGTCGCCTAGGCACAGCGATCGGCATGGACACTGCCTAGGCCCGATGTTCCGCGGGCTGGGCCGTTCGAATTTTGTTTTCAAGGCGGCTTGTTTGTCAGTGCACATAATAGTTGGTTGTTTAGTATCTCGCTCAAAACGTCGCCAAACTACAACGCTATCTCTCACCGGCTGTCATTGTATTCACGGCAATCCCCGAAGACTTGTGCATTTGCATTCCGTGGAACCTATCGGGATTTTTTCCATGATACATCCAGCAAATAGCGTCTTTGTGCGCTTTGGGGGCTAACATCATCATTCTCAGTTGTCACATTCTGCCCTCTCCTTTGGCACAACTCTTTTTCTCGTCTTTGTTACTCTGGCCGTGGCCTGAACCGTGATTTATACGGCATGTCTGGGCCGGTTTCCACTACTCGGAGGCGACAACACATGCCAAACCTCACCAGATTTTCCAAATATGCGTTGGTTGTACTTATCGTACTTCTGACAGTAGCACTATGGAGGCCATCAGAACTGCCACCAACAATATCAGAATACCTATCTCATGATGGGGACGGTATCAAAGTGCAAGAAACATTGCCTCCTTCAGAACATCATAACAGTGCAAATCACAAAGAAAGTGAAGGCAATGAATCGACACAACTCTCCGCCGGTCTAGATTCAAAAGATGGACCAAGCTCATCCGAGTTGCTCCCAGCACCGAACACCAAGCCTCCATCCTCCAGCTCCCCCTCATTCCCTAGATTCGGTAAAATCACCGCAACATTTGGAGAGCCTGATCCCCCGTATGAAAACGCTATAGCATCACACAAACTCCACAACAAAATCCATGGGTACCCGCACTTCATTCTGCGCGAGAAAATGCTCCGGGGTCTATGGTCCAAGCACGCCTACATCATGACTATCATCGGAAACGAACTTGCAAAGCCAAAAGATGAGCGATTAGCTTGGGTCCTATGGCATGATCGCGACACCGTGCTGATGAACCCGCAACTTCCTTTGGATATCTTTGTTCCTCCTTCACCGGCGTTCGATCATATCCACATGCTCGTTACCAATGACAGAAACGGCCTGAACAACGGAGTATTCCTGTGCCGGGTATCGAGTGCGAGTTTCAAGTTCTTTGCGAGCGCATTGAGTATCAGAGAGTACCAGCCTGAGATACAATTGAAATATACCGAACAATCAGGAATGGAAGAAGTCATTAAACGTGTATGTTGATCATGTCTCAATCTATCATTTTTGCCTGTGCTAAAGAAATCACAGGGTAATTGGAACAGTACTGTAGCATACGTGCCTCAGCGCTGGTTCAACGGCTTCCCGCCTACCAAGAAGGATCTAACAGCGGGCAAGCCATCTGCATCCCGTCCGGGATCCCTATTAATCCACTTTGCCTCTAATCGTGATGGGAAGAGGCCAGAACGAATGGCTCATTGGAGCGCAATTGCAAAAAAGAGAACAGCAGCGTGGGACAAGCCTGTTGAGGATACAGAGTATATGAAGGAAATCACGGAGTATTGGGATAGATTGGGGAAGGGCGAGAGTCAGCAAAGTATCATTGAAGACATTGAAGGTCGTGTTTGGGATTGATGGAGAATAAAGTCCATCCATTAACTTATCAAGTAATATGATTTTTGTTATCTGTCTTGAATGCTTTTATAGCATTGCATCTTCAAGAATTCATGAGGTATAACTATCGAAAACTTCGCCTATGTTGTTGCACTAAAAGCACACTGAGCTTACTACACCCATTTCCAGAATTCACACGCGTATTTCTTCAAGATATTCATTACCTTAATGTTTTTTTATATTTGCTTGCCGTTCTACATCTCCCGCTCAGGTCACCGATCGTGATGCAAACTCTTCCGGCTCCACAGTAACCACCTCTCCCATCGGGAATTCGAATGTGCTTATATCTACCTCTGCCATCATATCCTGAGCAGGGTCGACAGCTTGGAACTTGGTCTCCTGCTGCAACAACCCTCTCATATTTAAACTCACTGGAAACACCGTATACTTACTCTCTCCTTTCTTTCGCATAAGCTTGCCTCGGCGTCCACTATAATTAGATTTGTCCTCGTCATCTTCAACTTTGCGATCAGAGTCCCTATCCAAAGCTCCAATACCACGATACAGTCCGAATATTGTGGGGTATGCCCCCAAGCAAAAAGGCTCGGGCCAGTCATCATCGTGGCGGCAAAGTTGTGGGATTGCGACATCAATAGGCTGGGCATTTGGTAGCAGCGACTGGTCATACAACAGCCTAGCTGCTCCACGGAGGGATAATGCATAGGCACCCGCACCAGTCAACTTGTTTACCTCCATGATGATTCGTGTGTGCTTCCCCTTTAACTTTTCCGCACTCAGATCCGGTTTACGACGAATTGTCCGCCGTGATTCCGATATTACCGTCGGATCATTATGGGTAACGTAGTACTTCCCGGATTTGTGTGGTTTGTTGTTCACTCCGAGATTACCGAGGGTGAGCAAATTCCACGAGTCTCCGTAAGGGGAGTGTAGAGGCAACGTACTATCCTGAATGGCCCGGACGCCGCGGGCGAAGGAGAGCATCTGTGATTTCAGCAGTACGTCCCAGTCTGCATCATCTTCGATAATGAGAGCCGATTGAACTTGATTCTGCACCATCCTATGGATTGTAAGAAACATATACGTGAATTAGAGAACTTGTATATACTTTTGATAGACGTTCAGATGTGCGCGCCAACAACCATACGCACCGAGGCCTTCTTCACCTCTCCAGAACTGCATAGTGTTAGACATCAAACAAAAATTTTTGTTGCAAGGACTTCATACAGCTGGAAATGCCTTTGGGTGCATCAATGTTGCATTCACACCATCTATAAATTCGATATCGAGATGCGATACCAAAGCCATGAGGGCAAGATAATCCCGTTTATCGGGACGATGTGCCATGGAGATTGCATAGATCTTTTGGAACTAGACTTGATGTTAGACTGAGTCACGATTACTCGTGCACATGTTTCTTACACCCAGAGTACTGTTTTGAGTATCCCATATGGGGTCATCAGCAGGCTCAACCCTGGCTACCCTCAACTGAGCAGTGTTGATGCCTGGCGGTGGAGCTCTTGATGTACCCAATCTCATTCGTCTCGAGCCTGCTGTGTGCTCGAACGCGCCCGATTCAGTATTAAAAGAAAGAAACAAAACGATCGAAGCAATGAGCATGAAAGACACGGCAGCAAAGTGAAAGATAGACCTAGGAAAGTACATCTTGAACAGTGTGAATATCGATCAAGAATCAACGCTGCAGTCCTCCTGCTTGGTCCATGTAAAGGGTACACCACATGGATGTCTAGATCTGCTTGAAGACGATAACGGGGCACGCGAGCAAGCTTGCTCGGCGAAGCCCCTTACCCATGCTTACAGTATTGGTGGCTGGCTGTGACAGGCCTGTCGCTTCCAGAATCGTGAACTTTACTAGTGGTGCATTAGCGCCAGGGGTTCCGCGGATCAAATCTTCGCTAATATTCGCCTGTGCGCCGCCATGATGGAGGCTTAATTACCCCTATCTCTACACAATATGTGAACCTTACAGATTGGGCCTGAGTCATAACGTCCCTGACGGGTGAGTTGCCTATATCGCTTAGCCAACAGAATTAGGAATTACGGGGTCTATAGTATCTGTTGATGTACTTGGCGGGACAGTTTAAACCCTTAACATTTACTAGATATGTTAAGAGCACTGTGTGGGTACGATATAAGATAACTGGTGTCAGGTGTCAGAGTAGGTTTGCGCGGATGAGAAACAGGGGTTTATTGCCTTTTACTATACGCATGCCCGTAGCGTAGTAGTGCAAACAAGGTCTCGCCTTTAGTGCCGACTTGGAGAAAAATGCTAATATCAAAGGCATCGTCAAAACATTGGTGTCGACTGTCCGCTCAAATGCCTACTCGTGCAGTTGGATGGTTTTCGGTCGTGTTGGGATTGGTGACATCCTCGTTGAAATCTTGAAATCAAAGGCTTGCTTGACGACATCATAAATGAAATTGTACTACTACACCCGACTGCATCATCTAGGGGTTTCACTGAGCAGTTTATGAATCGACTAAACCGTATGCGGATTTTAAGGCCAGCGCAGGAAAAAAGCCATGACTCTGACGAGTGAACTTCTGGAAGAACAGAATTCTCTAGCTGTTGATGAAGTTGACACGAAATTAGTAGCCATCGTATCCGATGTCAAGATCTAAGACCTGCCATACATTGGATGTTTGTAGAGAGCAATCATGATGCTATCGATGGATGACCCGATTGCTAATAAGAAGTGCGAGCTGAAGCTGGATGAAGTCTTAGCGAAACAGGCAACCATCACCAGCCCACTGTGCACCCGACAGGACGAAAACTCTCAAATGAATCGAGTAATCCATCTTCGACAAGGCGCGAGAGCAAAACGCTTCCCCAAAAGGTCCGGCTTTGTCTTCCGGCACTGCAAATTAGCATCAATGAGTTTTCTACGTTTGTAGCTTCTCGCGGTCTCGACGATGATGTGGTTGCTTCCATTACAGCAGAAGGCGGCCCCCGCCTTCAGGACATCCTCACTCAGCTTCGACAACTATTTGAGATTGCAGAAGAGTGTATGTGGCCCTTGAACATTCATGGGAACTTTCTGCTAAACGAACTGCCAGTAGCAAATGTTCTCCACGAAATGCGTAGTCCCATGCAGACAGCAGGAAGCTGCAGTACTGTCACGTCGCATCAACATTTGGACATGTCTCAAACAACGCAAGAATGCAGAAAACCATACCAAGATTCTCCTTTCGAGTCTCGCTCCATAGATCTTGAGCGCGACAAATCGCTTGAAACCCCACCTGTCCCTAGCATCATCCGGGGTCTGCCGCGCAGACAAGTAAACTTTTTCCCATATCAGAGGGATTCAAGTCTCCCTCCGCTCGGACCTATTCGACTTAGTGATCTTCCTGGACCTGATATAACTCCACTAATTGCTGCACCCACCAATCTCGCTCCCGATGAAAAACCGCCACCCCATTGCCCTCAGCCATTGAATCAATTTGCACACTGTAAAATCTTAATAGTAGAAGATCACTTTATGAACCAAATAGTCATATTGAAGATCCTTAGGAAACTAGGACTACATAATAACGTCGTAGCTCCACGTAGTCAGGCTGCGGTGGACATGGTTCGAGAGTCGATGGATATATACCAACCTTTCGACTTCATATTCATAGATGAGCAAATGCCGTTCTTCACTGGCGACGAAGCCACGCGTCTGATTCGCGAGAGGGGGTTTCGAGGTCCAATATGCGCTATGCTAGTCAATGGGACGTTAGCACAAAAGCAGAAAGCTTTCGACGCGGGCGTTACTACGATTATGCAGAAGCCATTCTAGTTTAGTGCTATTGGAGAGATCTTGGAGCAGTATTTGACTCGTCTTGTTGAGGAGCTAGAAGATACAATGTCACTAATGGTTGACGAATCACCATTACCACGACGCAAACTAGATCTCAAGTCGAAACTTTAGGCCTATTTCTGGTCTTTTGGTGCATTATACATAATCTTTTTGTTTTCCACGCTTTGAAAAATCATACAAACGAAGTATGGCTGTTATGAAACTTGAGCAAGTTGGTTGCATAGTTCGTTTCTCCTGGATCTTTCAGTCCTAGGGCGAGATGGAACGACTGGAGGTCTGCTAGGAAGGTGCCGCAATCCTGTACTTCGATTAATAGTCTCCTGGGACATCTTACGAAAAAGACATGTTTTCTCGCGCTACTATGATACCATGGCATATCTCCACATCCTGCTCGTTCTGGGCTGCGAAATCGAGACCCAGTTTCGTAGCCAGGGTATGCAAAGATGGCGGTCGATACCTCTGAGGGATATTTTTTGTGGTAATCAAAAATAGGAACTTCGGTATATTACACTTTCCATAGTGGCTACAAACTGGTCTCCATTTCATGATTGCGGCTGGCTTTGCGATGTCTTTCTTTCGCTCATTCTCAGGAGTTCGTATTGCAGCAGGGCTTAGCTGTGTAAGCATTGGAAAGATGGAAACCCTTTTGAGTAAGTTTTCATAATTCAAACTCGTAAACAAAACTCACTACATCAGCTAAGGGAACTGCTGGTGGTTAGTATGGCTTGCATGATGTCTGCACATCGTACGACAAAGTTGATTGGTGTCAAGGTTTTCTCTAGAGCTTATTGTTCCACTGTTACACTAGCCAGCATGGAAAACCTAAGTTTATATATTATGACTGGTGCTGATGGTAGTACCTATGTTGTAAGGGACTATATCGAGTGATGAACAAGGAGCGATGCATTCGCAACTAGAGGTACGTCAAGAGACAAGTAGCATCACCTTTAAACAATCTTCGGAGATGGTACAAATGATAATTTGACCATCCGATTTTCGATTCGAGTAGTCTTACTATGAAAGCTTCAAGGATAAGCCATCGCGAAAGACTAGATGTTTTTGGGCAGGGAGTAGCCAACAAGTGTCGTACCGCGGCAGATTGAACAGTGTGGCAACAGTACCACGGCCTCACTTGCGATACCACATCCTTGTCACTCTCTGCTGCCTCATCTTCTTCTGCAATTGAAAAATGCCATAAAGAAGAGCCTCGGCGGTAGGCGGGCAGCCAGGAATGTATATATCCACAGGCAGTATACGGTCGACACCGCGAACAACACTGTAGCTGTAGTGATAGTAACCCCCGCCATTGGCACAGCTGCCCATGCTTATGACCCACTTGGGGTCTGGCATCTGGTCGTAGCAAAGCCGGACAGCAGAAGCCATCTTGTTGGTAACGGTACCGGCGACGATCATAATGTCGGCCTGGCGTGGGGACGCTCGGAAGATGATGCCCAGGCGGTCCTGGTCGTAGCGTGGCATGGAGCAGTGCATCATCTCGATGCCGCAACATGCTAGGGCAAAGGTGAGTGGCCATACTGAGCCTTGTCGTGCCCAGTTGGCAATCTGGTCGAACGTCGTTCTTGGGCGTGTGTTAGCCTCCTGGACGATCTATTAGAGCGAAGCGTGAGGATCGACTTACAAAACATATTCGACTGCATTGTTCGGCCCTGCTTGTGAGGGCAGAGGGATCTTTGTCGGTAGGAGACTCTTGGACCCGGTATGTCTGGGGCCCTGGGTCTGATGACGCCTACCATTCACATGTATAGCTGGTAGAAGCGATAGCACCGGTGGTGTTCTGGGAACTAAGGATAGGCGATGGGCAGCAACTTGATGTCTGTCGTCAGCTAGAATAATTCATGTAGGGAGAGGGGCAGTACTGCTGAGCATGCGTGTAGTTTCCATTGGAGAGGATGGATATATTGCAGAAAAAAAGGTAAAGATGAAAGAGACTGCACAGAGAGGGGCAGTGAGTGACGGTTCAAGGTTAGGTGCAAGAAGGAAGAAAGTCAAAGTAAGTGGCTTGCCGCCTTGCAATCTGTGCTCAGCCCTCATTGTGAGAAGCGAAACCGGAAAGCACTCTTGCAGAGACAAGGATTTACTTGCACGTGAGACATTGGGAGAGAATAAGAGCATATATCTGGAAATAGAAGAAAATCACAAATTAAATAGCCTAAGAGCGACAGCAAGAAATGTATTAATTATTACAATGGTAAATAATATGCATAAAGGGGTGCATTCATGGTGCTGTGCGTCAGTGTCGACTCTGGTGCTGAGGAGCATGAGGCTCAAGCGACTTAGAAAAAGTAGGAGTTCAGCAGAACCGACCATGGTTTTTGGGTGGGCATCGGCGTGTACCTCAAGATTTGGCTCAGCCCTATATGGCTGGATATGGTATGTTAAGCGTGGGGACCCACTACTCCAAAAGTAACCGTGCCATGCAGGGGCATGCAGAATCCATCGGTCTTGTAAAACGAGACGCAGTGATTTGCTCGTCGCTTGCGTCGCTGCCGGCTCTCCCCGTCACAACCGTCTTCCCCCGCTATCACCCGTTATGCTTCATGCCTCTTCATTTGCATCCACACCCCACCTATCATGCTCTCCTAACCCGACTTGACTTGTTTATGTAACATATTCAACAAGATGCACCCCCCCCCCCCCCCCTAACCGATACCTGTTGTATTGGTGGACTTGAACAGACAGTATCTCTTAATCAAAACGCGGAAATGATCGCCATTCACAGATAGGTCGTTCTACCAGCGCCAACACTGCATAAGCTGATATCGCTGGTTCATCTTGATTTCTCCAAAATACTAAATCAAGACAGAAAAGGCAGCTAATGTACCATTGCTGTCTCCAAATGGCTATCTGCTCCCTATATGTATGTACTTACACTTCGAAATGACCGAGCAGCGCCCCAGCCACGACACCAAGTTTCAGGCCGCCCGCTTTTTAGCAATGAATCAATGCCATTATTTCCCACCTCACATAGCGGATAGTACACCTGGTGGGGGCCGGCCCGTCCACAGCACATAGTACAATGACATTGTATCCTCTCCACTCAGGTCCAGATAGTAGCCGGATGCATGTCCAACCATCTCTTCCTTGTTCATTTCGACATAACTCAGTGCATACAATAGCTGCTCTACTACCGGAGGGCTACCAGTCGTCCGTCTACTTACACTGCGTAGGTCAACATCAAGCAGCCGCCCGTGTCTCCGCGGAGCTTACCACCTACTAAAACTGCTGACAACAGGACAGCCTGCTCCAGACCTCCACCAGAGGTATGATGTCACACTAGAAGTAGTTGTGAAACCCTTTAATACACCCCCGCCGGAACTCACAAAGGACACTCTCCCTACGGGAAAGACAGCATTTTCTGTAACTGATCAGTGTCTATCTACATGACCTTTCACTGTCTTTCTCGAGCCGACTGATCAGGGTTGCCTGAGAAACATGCTCCATCATATATTATTAGTGATTTGTAAGATCACATCTCGCGAGAACTATCGATTTTGTCGGCGAGGAGTGCCCTTCATAATCATTCGGCGTATGTGATGAAACATTATCGACTGTAAAATTCGTTTACCCAGAAGTATTACCCTACAACGCCATTTACAAAGGACAGAGGGTATATGGACCGAGACGATTGACAAAATTCCAACAATCAATCCCTATTCAAAACATCAATGATCCACTGGACCGCATGTTTCGCTTCCTTTAGTCCATACGGCACAGTCAAGACAAAACAATGCATTTGCCTCTCCCAATGAACCCACTCTCCCTTGACGCCTGCTTTCGCGCATTTCTCACGCAGCATGATACCATCAGGGCTTAAGACGTCGTGACCAGCAGTGATACCATGGACCTTGATGTTCCTCTTTGCTAGCAGCGAGATGTCGGCATTGATTGGAGAAATCCGGCGATCGGCGGCATCCCAGTCACCGCGCCACGCTTTTGCCGTTTCTCTGATGGTCTTGGGCGTAAGAAGAGGGTCTTTGGGCGCAATTTCATCGATGTCTGGGTTCTTGCGGGTCAGGTCGATTGAGGCGCATACGGCCATGATGGCAATGGGATGTGGGAGCTGTTTCGTGTCGATTTCTTGGTGCTCGCTGTCTTCTCTTAGAGCCTCGAGAACGAGGCATAACGCGATATTTGCGCCAGAAGAGTCACCCGCAAGAATGGCCCTTTCTCCGGCCTTCTTGGCTTCCGACATGAGAGCGCGATATGTTTTTAGGCACATGGGAAATGCACTCGGCGCGGGATTGTTGGGTGCAAGCGGAGTTGAGACAATGGAGATGGTTGTATCGGTCATCTCTTTAGCCATCTTTGCGCATAACTTGTAGTGTTGTGGTGAGGGCGGCTCCTGCCAGCTACCTCCCGCAAAGTAATATATCCGCTTTTTAGAGGGCTTTTCGGATCTATTCGGGGGTATCATGTCGTATATGTAAATGTCGCAAACGGTGCGTTCGCGGAGTGTGCATCCACTCAGCTTTGACTTGGACGGGTTGAGTCGGATGGAGCCATCCTCGTGCTTTGGCGTGTTGTTCCCAAGCTGAGAACGCATCAGTCTGACTAGCGACTGAACGACGAACATGAGAAGAGTACGGTCATGGCGGAGGGAAACTTGGATAGATGAGCTTGGATTTGTCGCCCCAGTGGTAAGTTCATCGGATTCCATGGTGGTTATCTTTGGTTTTTAGAGTGATACGAGAAAAAAGTGAAAGGAAACCCTGCAGCAGGAAGCCAGCATGTAGGGTAGGAGACCGCCTGTATGCATCCATGCTGACCGTAAAGTGCAACCATCATCGATATCTGGGGATTTTGCATCTCTCACGCGACGAGCGACATATTGATGGTAAAGGAAGGGATCAATGACGTTGTGGCGCAGCTTGTGAAGATCGATTCGGGAGCCCTAGACAGACTCGGGAAGATCTGACATGTTTTGGCAATCTGCACCTAGCAAGATAGCAGTGTGAATGTAAACTGATACAGGCAGCGCTGCACATTTCAATAAGAGCTGGTTCTAGAACTCCCTGAAAGGGGAGGCTGGCCTGGAAATTCTTATCGCATAGTCGAGATACGAGTTGCGTTCCAATTCATGACGTTGCACGACACTATCTATGTCGCCATGTCCACGCCAAGCCAAGGAGCACTCACCAATTTTGCGCCGCCTTTTGGGCTATTACTATGGTCAACTCCAACATCACGACTCATCTTGCTGTGCATTACTGCTACACGATATTAAAATATAGAACATACTGTGCGTGCCAACAACTCCCATTTCAATGGCCATTGTGATACGCGTCTACAAGGGTGGATCTGAGCAGCGATGACGTAGCACGCCTAGATTCCAAAGGACAACCCGCACTACACATGTCGTTGAACCCTAGGCCAACCATCTTTTATACCAAACCTTATTCCTGCCATGTCGGCTTTTCTACATGCAGTATCTCACCGACAATATGTGGTTAGTGTACTGGCTGGCAGAGACTGATCAGTTACATCTGACGTGCGCAGACGTGGAAAACAGCCCACCCAAGCTGGGCAAATGTCTTGGTCTCGAGCGCTGAGTGGCGGTGCAGCAGGCGGAAATTGCTGCCAGGACCGAATCCCACTAGCTAACTGTGCAACTCCCACGCGCCTGAGCCGGTTCCGTCTTGGGTGTCTTGTTGTTCTGGGCTTCCTTCGTTCCATTTCGTCTAACTGGCGACATTCCACCTCGTTAGCATGTTTGGCAGCATCAATGCCTTGGCCTACGTGGGTCGACCAAGACTTGCAAAACAATGGACCTTGTCAGGGAAAATTGTTAAAGATGGACAACGCCAGACAATGCATATACCAATTGATTGACAAGTTACAACTGCGAATCCATCAACTCACCTATCACGCGACGTCATCAGTCAATGGCTTCGCAAGCCTATCTCACGGACGAGGAAATTAAGAAATTCATTGACGATCTCGACCACGACAAAGATGGTAACATCAGCTACTGGGAACTGGAACGGAAGCTGGATCAGGTCCACAAGGAGATAGCCCCGAAAGCCCAACCGCATAACCTTCACCACAAATCTCGTGGCGATGAAGCTCGACACGAGTTCCTCAGGCACGTCATTGGGACGCGCGAAGACCACATCAAACGCGATGAATTTGCAAGGACCATGAAAACATGGGAGATTCCTTCGCTTGAGGCTGATCGAAAAGAAGCAAAAGATGAAGACGACTACCTGAAGCACATCTCGCTATACCGGCGAGCGCGAGCCTACTGGGCTGTCAAGGGGCCAGAGATCATCTTTCTATCGCTTGTGCTCCTGCTAATGATCGGCTTCGGAGTTTGGCAATTCGTTAAATATCTTACGTTCGACCAGTACACACCTGCATTCGGATGGGGAGTCGTGCTTTCAAAGACATGCGCAGGCGTGCTATATCCGACATTCTTCTTCCTCATCCTCTCCATGTCCAGGTGGCTATCGACATTCCTCCGACGCTTCTACTTTATTTCGAGATTCATCAACTGGGACCTGTCCCAGTCATTCCATATCAAAATCTCCATCGTTGCGCTGGTCTTCGCGACATTGCACGCTATTGGCCATCTTAGCGGCTCCTTTGTCTTTGGTAGTATGGCGAGTCGACAAGACGCGGTTGCCAACGTCGTCGGGCCAGATACTGTACCGCGCTCATATACCAGCTACCTACGTTCTCTGCCAGGGTGGACTGGTCTTACGTCCCTTGGACTTTTCTATCTCTTGGCTATAATGAGTATGCCTCAGATCCGAAAATGGAGTTATGAGGTCTTTCAACTCGGCCATCTGCTCATGTTTCCCATTGTTGGCTTCATGATGGCGCATGGCACTGCAGCCCTTTTGCAGTGGCCAATGTTTGGATACTGGCTAGCCTTCCCTACGCTAATGGTTCTCTTTGAACGCGTTTGGCGGCTGGTTCTAAGCTTCCGCTCAATCAATGCTGACATCGAACTACTGGACGATGAAACTGTCGCTATCACGGCAAAAGTTCCCAAGACTCGCCCTTGGGATTACAAGGCTGGCCAATACGTGTTTGTGCAGGTTCCACAACTGTCCCGATTCCAGTGGCATCCGTTTACGGTATCGACATGCATCAAGAACACCATGCAGGTTCACATCAAGGCCGACGGCGACTGGACGAACCAACTCCGTGACCTGGCTAAGCAGGGAAGTAAGCAAAGCATCAAGATTGGATTAGATGGCCCATTTGGTGCACCTGCGCAGCGATTCTACGACTTCGAGTACAGCATGGTTTTCGGGTAGGCTGAACATGCCCCATATTCATGCGACCCAAAAGCTAACGCCTTACAGTGCTGGTATTGGCGTAACACCCTTTTCCGGAGTACTGACCGATCTACAACAGCATGAGCTTGAACGAGTCAAGTCTAGGGAAAAGTCGGCTGAGCTCTCCGACGACACACGTCAACAATCATCACCTTACACCAACCATCGCCGAGTCGACTTCCACTGGATGGTCCGCGATAAGAACAACCTACTCTGGTTCTCTGACCTCTTGAACGAAGTCTACCGGACGGGGCCTAAAGCCCCAGATCTTGACATCCGCATCAACACGTATGTGACACAGAAGCGCAAACAAATCTCTCAACATGTCTTCAGGTGGTTATTGGAAAAACATCGCACACCAGAGTATCCCCAGTCGCCTATCACCGGTCTTGTCAATCCTACTCATTTTGGACGGCCGGACATCCGCGGCATCATGGAGCGGCACTATGATGATATGAGCAAGGTGCTAGCGGAGGGACTGGACGACAAGAACCAAGGCGGAAATTATGAAGTCAAGGTCGGTGTCTTTTTCTGCGGTCCACCGGTGATTGGTCAGCAGATTGCGGATCAGTGCAGTATGTTGAGTGCGAGGGCGCGCAACGAGGGTAGGAAGATTGAGTATCGATTCATGATTGAGGTTTTTGGTTAGATTGTATAATTTAGAAACATTAAAAAATCGTATCACGATCCTTGTGCACATGACCGTAAAGGAAAATTCCGATTACCCATTGTGTGTGAAAGCAATATTCCACCACATGAAAGAGGTGAAAACAGTGCTGCATGCCTTTCGACTTCGAATGCAAAGCATGTGCGCTAGCGCTACTAACTCCGCAGCATTAACGCCGACGTGTCGGAACGCACCTCCACACCTGCACTCATCCTCTAGACAAACATTCTCCGCAACCACGCCCTACCCCAACCTTCTCTTACTAGATTCCTCCAAAAAGGCCACTCCTTCTCCCACCTCTCGCTCTCCACCCCCCTAGTCTCACCTCGCTTTCCCCGCCGCCCTCCGCCCTCTGCACACCAAAACCACCCACCCCACCCCACACAAGCATGGCCTCCACAGCCGCCAAACGTCTCTTCAAAGAATACCGCGCCCTCTCCTCCGATCCCCCGGAGGGAATCACCGCAGGCCCCGTAAACGAAGACGACATGTTCATCTGGGAAGCGCTGATTCAAGGCCCCGAAGGGACACCCTTTGAAGGCGGTGTTTTCCCTGCTGAACTACGGTTTCCGAAAGATTATCCGTTGGCGCCGCCGAAAATGAAGTTTATTACGGATATGTGGCATCCAAATGGTACGCAATCACACTTTTTGTTTTTGTTTTTGTTTTTGTTTTCCTTCCTTTCCGCTTGTTGTGCAAGCGTCTGGGTGGATTGGAAAGTTGACGAATGACAGTATATCCCAACGGCGAAGTCTGTATTTCGATTTTACATGCCCCGGGCGAAGACCCCATGCAATACGAACAAGCGTCTGAGCGGTGGTCGCCGATACAGAGTGTGGAGAAGATACTGATTAGTGTGATGAGTATGTTGGCGGAGCCGAATGATGAGAGTCCGGCGAACGTGGATGCGGCGCGCATGTGGAGGGAGAAGAGGGGGGAGTATGAGAATATTGTGCGGGCGAATGTGAGGAAGAGTTTGGGGTTGTGAGATGATATGGAGGGGTATGGTTATGGATTATGGGTTATGAATGCATATGTCCGCATGGAGCTGGATTGAAAATGTCATTATTTGCGTGGTTGATGATTTATGTGAAGCCTTTGTGCGATGAAACAACAAAACAATAACAACGCCATGTCCCGCTGTCCCAAACCCATTAAATATTCTCGTTTTTCCAATCGTAATCTCATAATCGTTCAAACAATCTCCAAATCAAATGCCTCGCCATAGCCGTTGTAGCACACGCCCCGGTAATTCCATGTCGGACACTTTTCCTGCACATTACCACTCCGGTCCATGGCGCGGCTGTAAATCGTAACACTCTTGCCCTTGTCAATCTTGACTCTTGCCTTCCATAGTGCCCACGCCCACTTGAGCTCCACGTTTTTGGCGTCTTCGCCCTCGTACTCGTTAATCAGCTCAGCTTCCTCCCACGACTGTCCATCATCGACGCTAACCTCGACCTTGACAATGGGACCGTCTGCTCCACTGGGTAATGCGTAGCCCCTGACTTCGATTGTGCCGTCTGCATCTCGTTGCACGGTAGTTCCAGACTTTGGGATGCCGACAACGCTGTTGACTGGCATTTCCTCGATCGAACTCACTTTGCCCCACCATTCTTTTGCCTTTTCTTTGGAATCCGCCTCAGGAGGCAGAATCTTGTAGTCTTGCTGCTGGTAGTAATTCTGGCTCTCGCACATTTGAACGGATATCTGATCGAGCCACTTGACGCACCTGGCGCCAGCAATGCCGGGAGTGACAACGCGAACAGGAGCGCCACGGTTTGGCGTAAGTGGCTTGCCGTTCATCTCAAGAGCAATCATAATCGCATTCTCTGGATTCATCGCCCGTGAAAGCGGGATGCTGGCACCGTAGTAGCTGTCATCTTGTGTAGTCGTCTGGAAGCAAGCAAAAGCGACATGGGCTTCGCTCATTTTTCCCTCTTCAACTTTTACGCCGGCCTTGTCCAGGACGTCCTTTAGGAGAGGCCCACTCCACTTGCAGTTCATAACTGCGCCATCATACCAGTCTATGCCGCATACTTCCTTCAGTTTCGTTCGCATGGTATGGCGACGGTTCCCAGCACACTGCAGCGCACTAACAACATGGTGCTGTGGAAGTGCCTGAAGGTCTGCAATAGAAAGCGAAATCTCATGGTTTACGAGTCCGGTAACCGCTACTCGGTGCGTATCAATGTCAATGTACGGAATGGGCCCATGGTTACGATCGTAGCCGTCTTGTGTGATGAAGCTAGACCCACTATTAGCCCCCGGATTCACTCTTGCTCCACTGCGCTTGCGGCTATATAGAAGTACCTCTGAACGAGCTTGTCAAGCTCTGGCTCGCGATTTAGCGGCTTTTCGACCGAGTATACAAGCTATGACATCAGAGTCAGCCCTACGCTTCGTATAAAGACCAAAAACCCAGTCTGTATCCAAACTAGGTAACATAGTCTGCCGTTTTGGGCAAATTTGATGGCGAAAACGGGGCGTGTACCTGAACCATGGTGGTCGATTGTGGTATGGCGGCGATGGCGTGATTGAGTGATGGAAGGCGTAGACGAAAAGCAGCGGGACCGCGCAGGTATAAGCGACGGCCGTGGGGGCGGGGTAACGGCGGCTTCGGCTTTTTGGCTGGAACCACGTGTTGGTGCAATGAGGCAGGTGCAGAGGCGGTGAACGGGTAGCAGCGGTCTGGGGTCCTTGGTTGCTTGGAGATGCACAGATTTGAGATGGAAAGGAGGTCGAGGATTTATTGAATCCTGCACGATATGCTTTGATCGGCGTCATGGCGCTGGAATGGCAAGTGATTTTGGTGTTATCGGGGTCTACACGGTTGTTCTAGAATTGGGTTTGCCCATCTGCTTTTGTAGGGTCACTGCGCAATCGCCGTTATTCACTTCGGGGATTAGCTAATTTCGGGGTCTACGTCACGTCGGGGACTACTCGAGGACCACGCTCAATGGTCATGTCATAATATCCATTGAACTCATACGTTTTTTCTTGTCGTATACTCACTTATCAGAACACATTCCTTCTGCAACATCCCGATGATGCGGCCCTTTCTGTATATCGCCATTGGTTGAACCTCTTCTTGCCAGCCGCACATGCATACATCCCTCTCCACCTTATGCCCCAAGAACGTCTCGAGACTAGGTGTATCCGCATCAAGCCGATCCATTCTCTCATCGTGCTTATCTTATTGGGTTCTGTGTTGTGAAGGGTCTGACCGCTATCTCGAGGCACAGCACTGATGCTTCCGCCGCCGATCAATCCTTACGTATGGATCTCGTGAGATATCGCGTCTCGCTGTCTCATCCTTGAACGGCTGATCATCCCGTTGGAAGATCTGTCGATCCTGGTACAATTATGTCTTTACACCTCCGCAATCTGGCACATATAAGCCATCGATGAAGGGAAGTGGCGGTTTCGACAGACAATCTTCATGGGCTGGGAAATGCTGATATTCCTTCGTCTCCTGTTCAGGCAGGCCATCATCATCCTCACCATCAACTCTCCTCAACCCCCCCTCTATGACCTTCCATATTCCCCCTCTCCTCTTATCCACTCTCTCCCACTCCTTTTCCCTCTCCAAACCCTTCCACAATCTATCTTCTCCGCAGCCAATCCTACAACGCACACACCCCACCGAACACACATGCACCCGCGAAACAGCAACGCACCTACCCCCCTTCCTTGCTTCTTCCCTAGTACTAACCCCGCGAGTATCCCTCGGATCACGGCAAGCATCTCCAGCTACGAGCACCAACAATGAAATTACCACAATTTGAACAGGAATAAGGAGGATAGGTATGAGGATGGTAGCTGCATTCTTGCATGAATACCCTTCCATGGTTTCGTTTTGGGAGAGATGAAGGTAAGTAGGTGCTATGCTGAGTGCTTGACTAGGATTGCAGAGTCAATTTTCGTTTCAAATGGTAAATGGTATATGTATCATCTCATTGCGAACAGAAGCGGACATATATATACAGGTGATACCGAAATACTCTGTTTTCCGTTTGACCATGTTCGCTGGTTAGATACTGGGAAGAGCAGTTACTGCGAAGTAGTCGCATTCTGCGGTTGTCGATTTGATCATGGAAGATCCTCCAGAGAAACAAGGCATCTTACGAATGATGAGCTAATTAGAATGCTTGAAATGCGTTGGATTGGCCTGTGGCAAGACAGCTACGTTCACTCAACAGGCTGCGTTTGGTCCAACACGAAGTATTTTGCTAGCAACCCACAAACGAGCAGTGATGATCTTGCATTGGCACCTGAGTATCACATTTGTAAACGTTTGCCAAACCAACAACCCTTTGCTCAGGTGGGCCGCAAGAAGTCGAAGAAGGAATACCCACGATCAAAACAGCCGTACCAAACCTTCAACGATGATTCACTTCAACCGGCCCGAACGACACCCTTTGCAATCATCACATTTCCACCCCCTAGCCATCCATCTCCTCATCCAGGTCATCAACATCAGATGAGTGCCACTGTTCGGCATCGCTCTCTTCCAGAAATATCTTCTCAAAGCTCGCATCACCCCAGTCAGCTTGCTTCGTCGACTGACGCAGAGCCATCGCCTTGAATTCATGATAGTTGTGCTGGATAGTATGCTGTGACAGTTCCCATGGAGACTGGAATCCATTCCTGGCTTGGGCTATCGGCGATGTGTGAGTACCAGGGTGGCCAACTCCAAAAAGGTAGTTTCCATAGTCAGAGCTAGAGCCAAGCGTCGAAGGTGTAGACGGCGGCGTCGGATACGGTTCATTCCTTACCCGATCTGGGTTCTTGTAGATCACTTTCTCAGACTCATTTTGCAGTTGAGAAGATGGAGAATCGGTCTTGATTGATAGAGCGGCCGTGTTCGTTGAGATACCGGAATGGCGCGTCTCGCGTGTGCAAAATTCGTCATCAGGTGTGTCGTCCTGCGCTGGTTGAAGCATAAGATATGATAGGTTTGTAGGTGATGATTCGACCTGATTGTTAGCCATATCGGTCTTCTCTAACTTTCGGCGCTTAAGCTGGATATCTGAGGCACTATACATGCGGTCTTCGTCAGAACAGGTGGCGTTGTCTTCACACGATGAATTTGTGCGCTTTCTTGGTGCTTTTTGGTCGGGTTTCAACTCTAAATCGTGTACGTTGTACATCGAGACACCTGAGGCCGCGGATTCGGCATAGCCCTTCCAATAGCAGTACTCGCTATCGGGATTGGGGCCGCGGTCCACCAGCTCGACCAGAGAATCTGGAGGAGAAGTAGGGACATGCCGAAAACCATGCGACTGAAGAGAGTTGGTGCTTTTGTGTGGTGGTATAACCCATCTCAGTGTTGTCGGTGCTCCGTGGGTTTCCGTCACCGAATCAACTTCTCGGGCGTGTGCTAGTGCAACTTTGATGGCGTACCGCGATGTACGTTCGAAACGCACGTTTTCCGGAAAGGGTGTGATGATTTTAGCTTGTATTATTGTCTTCAACACGGCTGCAGTGTTGCCCTATAGTCAGTGGTCAGCAAAGCCAATGGAGTTGCCGTATCCTGGAGAGTTTCATCACACTTCCAACCTGTCTGGGGCCTGCATGCGGAAGAGCTTGGCCTTATGGTCCCATTTAGCTACGGAGGAAGACTTTGTCACAATATATTTGACATAACCGGGAAAGCTTTTGCATCCCGATGTTCCAGGCTCTTGAAGCATCGGGCGACAGGAAGGGGCAATAATATATTGAGCTTCTGGCTCTATCTGAGCAGGAGCAAGCTTGAAATCGAAGGCAGGGGGGTGCCAGGCTATATCGGTAGTGACAATGATCAACGGAAAGGAAAGCCAATCAATTGAATACTTGACGAACAGGCATGGTCCAGCTGGGGTGTTCTGAAAGCAGTCTTGTATGGAGATATAGTTGTAGACAAAGGTATAAAGATCGCCAGAACCAAGCGACCAGTGGAGGTTTCGCAGAGCAGGTTGGCTTGTACGCTCTTCGTAGAAGGCATCAATCATGTCATGAAGAAGACAGAAAACATTGATATTAATGAAGCATGCATAATTCTCGGGAAAAGACTGGATAAGACAGGGAAGAAGGGAAACTTGGTCGACACAATCTAGATCAGACTTAGTAGAGGTTGCAAGAAGGTAGAGGACCTGCCAATGCAATGGAGCCAAGCTCATTTCCATTTTCAGTGCCAGTGTAGAATAGATGGAGCATCTCCAGGAGTACACGATCACCTTTGCGTTTGCTCAATTGAATGATGGCAGTGCGTCGTAAGCGTTCTTCGATCCGCGAGACTAAGCACTGGTGGAACAAGGACTCCCAGAGCGTAAGCTCTCGAGCTTGCATGTAAGACATGACCTTCCAGCAAGATATCGTATCGAGATGACTGACAGCTGTTCCTAATCAGCATCACGAAGCTCTGGATGCGATCTGACACAAGTAAGATGTGCGCACCTTGCTGCATGACTTGTGACTTCCGTAGCCTTGGTTGGTACATCTTGTAAGGTGGTGCGTTTGAATTGGCAGCGAAACCGTGCATCTCCACGTCAAAAGTCACTTGAGCCAAGAGGGCTACTATATGCGGGCTCGCCACGGTCGTCGTAACTGGCGATGGATGAGCATGGCTGTCAGCGCCGACACTCGGGTGCAGCGGCGACTAGGGAAGTCAGTAATGCTCGCCAGGCGGGGCAGATATGCTTACAAGAAGTTCGGTAGACATGATGTATTGCTACGAATCAGTAGATGCGCGGGAATAATGCGGTGATCTGAAGATGGGCAACTGGTTAAGGAGCGGTGCTGGTGGTCTGGGATCATGCAGACGTTGGAACTCCTTACGGGTGGGTGGCCAATCGCGCCTTCCACTTATACTAACTGACGCACATGCAACACTCGCAACAACAATCAAATGCAGATGGCACCTTCCCAAATTGTAGTGCGGTGCGTGTTCCACACTAACCCGTCTATATGGCGTCCATGGAAGCGCGCGTGGTGAGGCGCTCGTTCTTGTTGCCCAGTTTGGATATCTGGAGAAAGGCATCAACTCCATAGCCTTCGAGACTATGTACTTCTAGACTTCCAGCCCAATATTCTAAGGACAGTCAGACACATGGAAGTGAGTCTGTTGTCATTTACTTACCTGCATACAGCCGCGACATTGGAAGCCCGATGCCGAGACGGAGATCTGGTGCACGACTGGTAAGCGAAGATAAAGAGCCGATGTGGTGGCCCGAGTCGCCATATTTTGATCGCGTGTCTTGCTTTTGCTGTATCTCTGCAGCAGACTCAGCGCCAGGCACTTGCAATTCCTGCAGCGTACCGAGGAGCTTTGGTACCCTCGCCAGATTCTCCATTCGCCTCTCGCGTCGCGGCCCTTTGCTGAAGCTCCACAAATAAGGCAGGACCTCATTCGGGATGCTACCACCTTGGTCAGAAATGCGGATGATGACGTGCTGCGAAGTCTCGCATATCAAAACTTCAATGGGTGGCAGCTTGGTGCCTTTGGATTTGGGCTGTTCAATGACGGCCTGGATTGAGTTGCGCAGCAATTCACCGATGATGTACTCGAGATGGCTCAAGATGTATGGAAACGTCGCGTCCACATGACCGTAGACTTTAATTTCGGGAATTGCAACATGGGGACCATAGGTGCGTCTTATCAGCTCCCGCATAGTCTTTCCGCAGTCTTCGACAATTTCCTTGGCGTTGCATCGCAGAAAGATCTCGCCAACGGCTTCTTGATCATGTGGAGGGTGCTTGGCCTGGGGGAAGTGCCAGGGCGAGTTGAAGGTTTCAGTGAGAGCAAGGTGTTGTTCTGCGATGACTCTTCGAGATATACGCTGATTTACGTCAGTATGGTTCGAGTGCGCGTGTGAGGGTAAAATCATACGGAGCGCAGCATGGTGGTCATGAACTTGTCGGTTTCCTCTGGCTTGATGAGGCCTCGCACCTCCAAGACACCTGTTGCAAGGCGGGGTATGACGGTCGCGTGCTCGGTCAGCGTCTCCTCAAGAACCTTGCAATACTTGTCATTGTCTTGCAGCGAGCGTATTTCGGGTATGCGACGAAAGCGCTCAAAGGCGCGCAAGTATGATTCGTAGACATGGGCAAGATGGGGATTGGCGACGACAACGTAGGGCAGGGTTTGGATATCGCGAAGACGATGGGCGAGCCTGCAGAGAGTCAGCAGGATGTTCTGGCAGGCAGGGCACCACGGTACGACCTGGTGGGAAGCTCCAATCTGCAGTAGTTGGCCGAGTCGAGCAGACGAGACTCGGTGAGAGTTCTTCCGAAGAAAGTCAACTGGCGCAAGCTTATGGGCCTGGCTTCACGCTGGACCCATCTGTATTCGGGCATCAGCTCTGGTAGCCATGGAGGATGAGTTGCTGATACGCAGCTTACTCGTCGAGGGCCGAAGACGGTCTCCATGCGGGCGCAACGGCTGCAGCATGCTGAGAGCGGGCTCGGGGTTGGGCAAGGGAAACTGGGCGAGGGAGTCTTCGCAAGCCATTGTAGCAGCGCCACACAGCCGGTGCAAGACGATGTTTTCCTACAATCATAGCTGCTGAGAGTCTCAGAGGCAAGTGTTTGGGTTACGAGGTTCTGCTGGCACTGCACATGGACACGGGCACATGTGACATTGAGCTCCGCAGTCGGGCGCACCACTGCTTTGGACGGGCGCACCTCAACACCTGAGATTTTCCGACTGTGCCAAAGTGCAGGCAGTCTACAGAGGACGCGTCGTCAGCGGATACAGACAGGCGCAATTCTACAACACAAAGTGTTCTGTGTGTGTTGCAAACGTCAATGGAGGCCGGGGGCATGGCATGATGTCTTGCCAGCCTCGGACGGGACGACAAACTGACGAATGACGTCGTGGGTCGGTGCTCTCCACCGTGAATAAACGCCAAGGCTGCACCACACTTGCAGGCAAGAGAGCTCGCTGGCTGGCTGGCTGGTGGCCGGCTTGCAAGTCCTGTTCTCCCCCGGCTTCTGTCTTTGTGTGCCGCAGACTGCCCTCTCCTAAGCCCTCCCGCCTAAGTACACTACATCCTCCTACCCCTACGTACATAATTTATTTTTATTTTTTTAGGACCGTGGCAGGGCGATAATCCCATCGTCACGTCTCCACAGCCGCCACCTTTTAGCGAGACAGCCATCCTTGCTCGTGTGTCGCTCGCGCGCATCTGCTTCCGCCCGCCTGCAACTTCGTTCCTTTCAGACTGAGACAGCGACTGGCGCGCAGCTTCCCTCGGCCACCAACCCTGCGTTGAGCGCACACCATCGTGCCTTCCCGCCCGCCACCCACTCCGGAAGCTCCTTCTCTGCCGGCCTCCTGCTTCCTGCCGCTGCTGCTGCTGTTGCTGCTGTTGCTGCCTGTCTGTCCCCGCCGCCACCACCACCACCACTACCTCTACCACTACTATCTCCCGCTGCTGCCGGGCCCGAGCAGACACCATGGACCAGGTGAGCTTGCGCCCTCGGCTGCACATCGACACAATGCCCCAACATGCTGACCCCACTGTGCCTGCAGCTTGAGAGTGACATGCTCGTCGACCACGAGTACGACGAAAAGGCCGACGTTGCCATCATCACGCCCGACACGGACGATGCCATGGACGACGACGTCGACGCCGATGCCGAACCCCGCGCAGACGAGTACGATGCTTTCATGAAGAGGCATATGCCCAAGACGGCCGAGTATGAAACAGAGGCCGAGGCTTACCACACCTGGGAGATCAGAGACTGGCGGACACTTACTAGGCGTGAACACGGCCCCATATTCGAGTGCGGTGGACATCCCTGGCGTATCCTCTTCTTCCCCTACGGTAACAATGTCGACTTTGCCTCCTTCTATCTCGAGCAGGCCTACGACGAGAAGCAGATGCCCGAGGACTGGTATGCCTGTGTAGAGTTTATGCTCGTCCTATGGAACCCAAACGACCCCAGCATCTTCACCACACACACCGCACACCACCGCTTTACCGCCGACGAGGGCGATTGGGGCTTCACACGCTTCGCCGAGCTTAGGAAGCTCTTTAGCAACTCATGGGAGGATCGTGGCCGGCCAATGGTTGAGGACAATGCTGCCAATGTGACGGCATACGTCAGAGTGCTCAAGGACCCCACTGGTGTGCTATGGCACAACTTCATCAAGTGAGTCTTGGCATTGCGACGTGAAAAGCCTCGCTTCTGACTTGTCTAGCTACGACTCGAAGAAGGAAACCGGCATGGTTGGTCTCAAGAACCAGGGCGCAACATGTTACCTGAATTCGCTTCTCCAGTCCCTGTTCTTCACGACGGCATTTCGCCAAGTAGGTACCAAGCCTGAGCCAACAATACTTCTGCTGACCTTGGTAGGCCGTATATCAAATCCCCACTGCGGAAGAGGCCGACCGTTCGAATAGCGCATACGCCCTGCAGAGGCTTTTCTACCTCTTACAAACATCAACCACCGCCGTAGGAACTACGGAATTGACTCACTCTTTCGGTTGGGACTCTAAGCAGATTTTTGAGCAACAAGATGTGCAGGAGCTATCTCGCGTGCTCATGGACAAGCTCGATGAGAGAATGAAAGGCACAGAGGCTGAGGGTGCCTTGACAAAAATGTTTGTTGGCAAGATGAAAACCTACATATCATGTATTAACGTCGACTACGAATCTTCTCGCGTTGAGGAATTCTGGGATATTCAATTGAATGTGAGCGGCAACAAGAACCTCGACGACAGCTTCAGAGACTACGTTCAAGTCGAAACTATGGACGGTGAAAACAAATATTTTGCAGAGGGTTTTGGGCTACAGGACGCCAGAAAGGGTGTTATTTTCGAGAGCTTTCCGCCCGTGCTACATCTCCAACTAAAGCGTTTCGAGTACGACTTCCAGCGCGACGCCATGATGAAGGTCAACGATCGTTACGAATTTCCAGAGGTTTGGGACGCCGCACCATACCTCTCCGAGGGCGCCGACCGATCAGAGTCGTGGGTATATCACCTTCACGGCGTTTTGGTTCACAGCGGTGATCTCAATGCTGGCCATTACTACGCTTTTCTCAAGCCTACCAAGGATGGACACTACTACAAGTTTGACGACGACCGCGTCACACGCGCCACGCTCCGGGAGGCGCTCGAGGAAAACTTTGGTGGCGACTATGTGCAAGCCAACGGAAACACCGGCCAGCGGAATCCTTACACACGAGCCTGGTCTGCAAAGCGCTCCATGAGCGCTTACATGTTGGTCTATATCAGAGAGACAAGACTCGATCAGGTTCTTATGGACAGTAAGGCTGTAGAGCCTCCCAAGCATCTGGCCGAGCGACTTGCTGAAGAACGGGCCGCCTTGGAGCGCAGGAAGAAGGAGCGCGAGGAGGCGCATCTCTACATGGACGTTGCCGTCGCATCCAACGATCAATTCAGCGTCTACCAAGGATTCGACATAGTGCCGTGGAAGAACGAGGTAGAGACGCCCGCTAGCCCAAAGATCTACCGAGTTCTCCGAGCGACTACAATGGCCGACTTTGCGGCGACCGTTGCTCAGGACTTGGGAACGCAGGCCGATATGCTACGTCCGTGGTCCATGGTTAACCGACAAAACGGTACTGTTCGCCCTGATACGGCTCTGGAGTTCCCTGAAATGACGGTCGAAGAGGCCGCTAGTAAGCATGGCACAAAGCAGGCACAGTTCAGAATGTGGATCGAAAAGGCCGAGGACCGCGATGAGACTGGCGCACCGATATTTGGTGAACGGTTGGTGGATCTCAAGGGCCAGGCTAACAACCGCCCACTGATGATCTTCCTGAAGCACTTTGACGCCAATCAACAAAGCCTATTTGGCATGGGCACCTTCTATGCCGCGTACCAAGACAAAGTGTCCGACCTTACACCTACAATTCTGAAGATGATGGGATGGCCTGCTGGAACGCAGATCAAGCTCTCAGAAGAGATCAAACAAAACATGATCGAAGCAATGAAGCCCAAGGTAACATTGGCGGCCTCTGAGATCCAAGACGGCGACATCATAACAGTCCAACGCGTACTCAATGAAAAAGAAGCTGCACAAATCACCGCGGCAGGAGGCTATACCGAAGCCAAGGAATTCTACGATTATTTACTTAACAAGATTAACATTGAATTCGTGCCAAGGGTACCGGAAGCAGATCTGCCGACCTTTTCCTTGACTCTCAGCAAAAAGATGGCGTATGATCAGTTCGCTAGCAAAGTAGCGGAGCACCTCAAGACTGACCCCAACCACCTCCGCTTCACCACCGTTAGCACTACTGGTAAACCCAAGCAAGCCATCAAATACAGCGCCACTTCAACACTAAACAACATCCTTTTCCCTGGTCCATACAACTACTCGGCGAGTGCTATGCAGCGAAACGATGCGCTGTTTTACGAAGTGCTGGATATGAGCTTGAAAGAGCTGGAGCAGAGGAAACCCGTCAAGGTGACATGGCTGCCTGACGGACTCAGCAAAGAGGTGAATACTCATGTACATCGTATTCAGTTATGCTTTTCATTACTAACACGAAACAGGAGGAACACACGTTGATGGTACCGAAGAACGCCCAGGTTTCTGATCTTCTCGAGGCTTTGCAAAAGAAAGCCGGTATCAGCGACGAGATAATGCAAAACACACGGGCATACGAGGCTCACATGCACAAGTTCCACAAGGTCCTTCCACCAGATCATTCCATCATGGGCCTCTACGATTACACCCAAATCTTTGTCGCTCCTTACTCGGATGACGAGTCGGCAAAGAAGATTACAGTCTTTCACTACGACAAGGAACCCTCAAAACCACATGGAGTTCCATTCCAACTCTCGATCAAAGAGGTAGGTTATGCCCCCAATATGATGTAGCACTGCACGACCGATGCTGACGTGTGTGGGTGTAGGGCGAGCCGTTTAGCGAGACCAAACAGCGACTTTCAGACTTCACCAAGATCAAGGGCAAGCAACTGGATAAGATCAAGTTTGCTCTTGTAAGCAGGTCGCAATACTCGAAGCCAGAGCCTTTAGATGATGGTAAGGCATTGTCCTATTGTATTCCTCAGTTAGCACACACTGACAGATTGCAGACGATGTATTATGGGACGTAATAGCAGGGCGCGACGATGTTTCGCTAGGACTTGACCATCCAGCCAAAACACGGACGCTCTGGGGCAAGACAGACTCCATCTTCATTCGTTGAAGCCTAGAAATAGCAGTGTAGGATATCACGAGACCGCCAGAGCCATTGCACGTTGCGGCGACATCACATTTTTAGCAAGAGCAGAAGATACATGTCTGGATTGCTAAGCGGGGTAGGGTGCATTGCGCGCATTCAAGAAGCATTGGCGCAGGAAGCTTTGAGGTATTGCATAGGCGGAGTCGCATGCGTGAACAAGTGAGCGCAGGCGTCAAGATGTTTGTAGCGTGTTATTTGGATCACGTGTAGCGTGTGCATCGTGCAGACCAGGATAGCAGAAGTAACATTATGGCTTGATTGTTAGTCTGACCGCATACTTTACACATGTATGTACTACATACATATGTACAACTACGTACTGATGATCTACGGGAAGCCATGTTCCTTCGCTCTCATTCGCCACTCTTGCTAGTAGTAGTCCCCCGCGCCCGCGCTTTCCCCTGTCGCACATCCCTGCATCGGCAAAATGTGGTGCCGACGTTGTCGACAGCTGGAACTTAGCAACACCAGAACACCCAAGAACCAAAGCAGTCGTCTTACGCCAACACACACGATGCGCGGGTTTCTTACGCTACTCAGCGTTATGCTGACCTACACCACTGCGGTGTATGCTACCGCTCTCACCTACAAAATGGATGCACACGAAGTAGCCTGCTTCTTCGCAACCACTGTGAACAAGGGGACTAAGCTGGCCTTTTACTTCGCTGTACGTCTAGTCCTGAACTTACAATTGCACTCTCTCCATGGACTTCAATGTTCATACTCGGGAATCGTACAATACACAGCATGATCAGTAGTTCATGAAAGCAAGACTGACGAGTATGCGAATAGGTACAATCCGGTGGTTCGTTCGATATCGACTACAAAGTCACCGGTCCTGGAGACAAAGTCATTATCGATGGTACAAAGGAACGTCAGGGTGACTTTGTCTTCACCGCGAATGACGTTGGAGAGTACAAATTCTGTTTCAGCAATGAGATGAGCACATTTGCGGAGAAGGTGGTAGATTTCGAGATTGCCGTACGTCTTTCCCTGATTCATACCCTCTCGCCTGACCTACTCCTACTGACCCTCTTTGCGCACACAGGTCGAGAACGAAGCCGCCCGCGCCAAGATTCCTTCCAAGCAGGGCTCCTCCCCTGAGCAAACCTCCGTAATCGAAGAGTCCATTCTCAAGCTTTCAGCCCAACTCTCAACCATTTCGCGCAACCAAAAGTACTTCCGCACGCGCGAGAACCGCAACTTTAGCACTGTCAAGAGCACCGAGAAGAGGATATTCAACTTCAGTCTGATGGAGTCAGGCCTGATTGTGACCATGGCAGCTCTCCAGGTCTTCATTGTCCGATTCTTCTTCCAGGGTGCTAGGAAAGGTATTATATGATATCTGCACAAGTTTGGTTGCAATTCAAGTTGTTGCAGGCTGACGTGTATTGGTAGGTTACGTCTGAGCGTTCCTGCATTGTTCTGGTCAGAGTTGAAAGATTATATGCACACATAAAGCGCGGGCACTTGGCATTGTTATATATGTGGGCGAGTAGAGTGAGTGTTTTGTTTTGGACTGTCTCTTTAAGGCGCTACTGGGACTTGAATCACGTGTACCAACATCCTCGTTCCTATAGGGCTTATCGGGCCATCGACTAGGGATGAGAAGAATGCTATTGAGATATTCAAGGGTTCACTATCAGTTCACAATGTTGTAGTATGCCAATGGCATCACTAGCCACATGTTCATCATTGTTAGTCGGGAGATTTGATAGCGACCGGTAGCGAATCGCACGAACGCACACTCCGCAATACTGCTCACGCGCTACAATAGTGTTGTTGCCTTTTCGATAAAATCTGATAACAGAGTTATTCATACTACTCCTGGCGCATTGCATATGTGGGAATGCGCTAGATGTTCGCCCTCGTGGTACAGACCGCCCCGTGCATATTCACCTCACTCACTACATTGATGCCTTAGACAAAAATGGAGAGCCCGACGACATGGTCATCTGTTCTTACCTTCACTTAGTACAAAACATGTCTATACATCTTTATAAGATAGATAAGCTTTAGCAGATTCTCGGTCATTGTCGACTTGCGCTATTCAAATTGTCGCTTGGTCCTGCAGTCCCATTACCTGTTTGGCGCGACCTTCCAAGTCAACTTCACCTTGTTTATTCACTTAACTCCTTCCAAATCTCTTATCTCCACCCGACTCTCACGTCTCTCCCCACCACCCATCTTTATTTCATCATCCCACGCGGCGATCAGTACTTCTTCCTTATTCCGATTTACTTAATTGACAGTCGTATCGGTATTGATATAGAAGACTTCACTCTTGGCGCTTTGGCTCTGTGGCAGTCTTTGGATGTCTTCACTTCCAGAGGTGCAACACCGCGTTCCCCATACCCATCTTCAGACCTGTTATCGCATCAACTATCTGTCATGGATGACCGCTACACCTTCCAGGCAAGTCAAGCGTCCAACAACAGTCACATGAACGACAGTAGTAGCTACCGAGTTCCGCCACCAACTGTGTACCCCGTACAACCATTTCGGCCGCCTATGATATCAATGTCTCCGACAAACATCCCCCCACAGCAGGTAGTGTTCAGGGACAACTACACTGCACTGACCTACACCAGGGACCAAATGGTCCAGTACATCTGGAGGCGGGATCTACAGAATGGGAAGCTTGTGATACGACAGGCTAAGGGACTGTTAAATCCCGGCAGTTACACGGATCTGACCACTGGTACAAAATATACACACCAGCAGATGATCGATTTGACGGGGAAGATACTAGCGGAACATCTTTCCAGGTCGAAGCCTCAAGTCAATCAAGTCCAGCCATTCCAGGCCGTGCAAGGACAACAGATGCAGTCCTCGATGCAACCAAGTCCCGTTGGATACCCTCCACGTGGGTACACAGATGGACAAGCGATTCAGTCGCAACAAAGACAAGAGATACTGGACCAACAGTTCGTAGAGCAACAGGCGCGGATGACACAGCAATCGCTACCACAGCAACAATTGTATCCACCTACGCAGCCATCGTCGCATGTGTCAAATGCAGGACAGTCCACTTTTATCGATAAGTTTGGTCGCCAGTGGAGCAGAGCACAGTATGAGGAACTTGTTCGGCGCCAATATGTACAGAAGGCACAAGCATCGGCAGCAATGAGTTCTGGACTGGCGCCACAGTTCCAGCAATCCCCACAGACATCGTCGCCCATGATGATGAACTCAAATAACTCTTGGTATGCGAATGATATGTACAATAAAGTGGTGCCCCAAAAGCACTCGAATCTACTTCAGCGCCAGACAGGCAACATAGGACCACCTCCAGTACCTGCAAACTCAGGAGCTCAACAGCAACGCTCGTATATGCCGCCGCCGGTGACTAAGAGTTCACAAAAGCCTCCAACCACGGACCAGTCTGGTCGACAATGGACACAAGAGCAGTGGGAAAAGGTCGAGAAAGGTCGAGAGTCTAAGAAGATCCTCATTCCATCTAGTCAGGCAACAAAAGCTTCTGTCCCAGGAAACCCTACTACGCAGCAAGCAGTATACAAGCAGAGCTTGAGCAAGATCCAAAAGCAGCCTTCCCGCCAGCCAGCATCCAGCGTAGCGCAGCCTAAGAGGCCGTCATTCATGCAGTCTGCCAAGCAAGCAGTGCCTCGCGAAGTGAAAGTGACTGGCAAAGACGTAACAAACGAATCCCTCAACTTCACCTCCAACTCAACCAGCCTCGCCCCAGTCCCTCAAAGCAATCAACCAGACCAAGTCTCAATGTCCAAACAGCCCAACATTGCTTCCAACACCGCACCTGCACCAAACTCACCCCCCGTCTCCACCCAACCCACCACCATCAGCCAATGGGACGTAGAAAACGGCCGCCACATCTACGACTCGATGACTTTGTTCGTCTCTTCGCGCCAAGAAGCTTACCATGAAGGCCTCGCGAAACTCAAGGCTGCCACCGCCACTGTCAACACCGCTAGCAGTACAGCTGCCAGCAATGCTGTTAACAACACTACTACCAACGCTGTCAACCGCACCGTCGACAACCCCACTGCCAACATTGCCCATTCTACCAACAAATATGCACCCCTTTCCTTCCCTCACTTCGACCCCTCCATCTTCGCCACAGTCAAACACCCCCAGTACACTGGCTTCAACGACTTCTCCGAGCTCAACGACGACGTATTGGCCGAGGTGAACAATCAAGTGTTGCTAAAGAAAATTTGTACGGTAGATCCGGATGGTGCGCTCCGAGCGCCAGAGCCGAGGTGGGTGAGTGAGGAGAGGGCGAAGTTGGAGTGGGAGATTCGTATGGTTTCGGGGAAGTATGCTTGAGGTATAAGCGGGGGAGGTTGGATGATTTAAGGTTTTCCTTTGTTTATGACTTTTTTTTTGTTTTGTTCTAGGGTATATGGCTGGGAAGTTTCTTCTCTTTCTTTCTTTCTGTCTTTTTTCTTATTTTATTCTGGGATCTGGGCTATGTTCCGCTAACGGTTCTGGCGCCCGGGACTCTCTGGAATCTAGAGGATTTCCTCTGGGTCGATCTTTTCTTTCTTTCTTTTGTTCTTAGTATTAGGGCTTTATGGGAGATTTCTAATGGATGGGCTTGGGTTTGAACTGGGCGTTTGGGCGTTCCTTTTCCTTTTACTACAGATATTGCTGGCCTCGTCGGCTTCGGATTTGCGCGGACGAGATGAAGTACATATAGTTATTTTAATAAATTGGGTCTGATGGGTAGATCAGGCGGTAGTTACTTCCTTACTACATCATGATGAAATCGAAAAACAGGGTTCGTGTACAAGGGTTTCCGCGATGAAAATCTGATGGGTTAGGAGAACAAAGGATGCAGCTTTGTGCAATACGAACATAGTCATGGATCACAAAGAGGAAGGACAACGACCGTAGATGCAGTAGACATATCAAGATGATGAGCAAGAAAAAAAGCATTCAAACGCCCGTGATTTGGTATCTCATGTGGCCAAAAAGAAAGTATAGACAGTTCCCACTCACTCCATACGCTATGCCAAGTCCCGAAATGCACCCCAGCCTCAGTGTTTGACGCCACTATGCAATGAAAAACGTATCCAAAGTCCAAGGTTCTTTTATCATCCAACCCGCATGCAAACAATCAATGTCTTATCCTTCATCCGAGTCAACTACCATGCTCTCGCCAAAAGCGCTGATATCTTCGGCTGCTCCACCTTGTGCATGACGCCTCCTGCGGCTTCGTCTGCCCGCGACGCGATTTTGTTCAATCTCCCGTAGCTTACCACTCATTCGGCGCTCCAGCTCTTCAATCTCTTCGTTCTCTTCTGTTTCGCCTGGAAAGGTTGATGCAGCAGCCGGGTTGGACTGCGCATGTCCGCTATCGGATTCGTTGACTTCCAAAGCGCGGTTGAGGAGATCAGTGGCCATAGGGTCTTGAGGCGCGACGGCAAGGGCTTCATGCAGGGTGACAATGGCGTCCCAGCTACGGTCCATGTTAAGGAGTACTAGTGCTTTTGCCGCAAATACGCTGGGATCCTTTGTGCCATGACGAAGGACGTCGTCGAAAGTGGCGAGTGATTCGCTATATTTCTCATGCTTGCGAAGGGCGTGAGCAAGGTTTATCCGCGTGGGTATCCAAGTATCGGGATCTGCTTCATTTTGCTCTGAAAAGGCAAGTGCCCGGCGGAAGAAGTGTATGGCGTCTACAAGTTGCCCCTCATGGAAATAGACAACGCCCATTTCATTAAGTAGGCAGGGATCGTTTTCACACAAATCATATGATGTCTTGAGATACTCTTTTGCCAAGGTCAGGTTGTTCAGTTGGAGGTTCTGCATGCCGAGGAACATCTGGGGTAGGTGGGAGCCTTGGAATAATCGTGCAGCAGTCGAGTAGGCAGAAATGGCCTGGTCGTGCTCGCCTTCAGCAGCAAAGGTATGTGCGAAGCCAATCCATGCGGGACCAAAGTGCGGATCCATCATAGACGACTTTGAGAAGTATCGACGCGCTTCGGCTATGCGTCCGATTGCGAGATAGTATGTGCCGACGGCGAACCACACGCACGGCTCCGAGGGATGTGTGTCCGCAAGCTCATGGGCGAGGAGAAAGAGTGTGTTTTTCTCGCCCAGTTCGTGTAGAGATGCTATATGTATGGGCATGATATTGAAATTATATTTGTCGTTGGAAAGAACGGATGAGGTAAGAGCAAGGGTATCGCGGAATCTACACAGGGTAAACATGAGGTCGGCCTTGGAGAGAACAATATCTGGGTTCTCGCCGAGGTTGTAGTGAGTGGTAAGGGTCTCGGTGGCATTTGCAAACTCCTCAGGTCTGGTGTACTTTGACAGACGGGTAGTATAGAGTGTTTTTGTAAAGGAGGCGGCTTCTTGCGACAGCGAGGGATTGCTGGAGACGTTGATGGTGTCAAAGTTGAGCGACTCGAGAAATTTCCACTCCTCATCCGGGGCCATGAGCGAGTTAGACATGAGAGCGTCGAAGGCCTCAAAACACTGGACGTCAATCTGGACGGCCGTCTTGTAGCACTCTTTTGCGCGGTCGAACGAGTTCAGCTTGGCATAGCAAACGCCACGCAGGTAGCACATGGCAGCCTCGGACTTGATGTTATCGGCATTCTCGCGGTCGCGCTCCTCGCTCGTGGGCAGGCGCTCGTTGCGCGAACCAGAGCGGTGATGGCGGGGGCCATGGCGTGTATTTACATGGACATGGCGCAACTTGGTACGGGCGCTGTCTGGGGCAGCAATGAGATGGGTGGGGTTCTTGTCGCCGAGGATATGCAGAGCGTCATCCGTCTTGCCCAATTTGATGGCGCAGTGGGCGGCGAGGTATCGGCATTGGGGAGTGCGGTCAATCAAATTGCCGCGCGCAAGCAGGGCCTGGGTACGGTTGTAATTGCCAGTGGTGAAGTGGACCTGAGCCAGCCAAAAGGCATCTTGGTCATCGTCTGTGGGGTGTCGTGAGCGGCCAGGGTAGTAGTGGTGGGTGAGGGTAGGGTAGCATACCAGTGAGGGCCAGCAGCTTGTCGGCAACAAAGATGGCCGTGTCGTACTGGCAGCGGTTGAGGGCCTCCTGGCGCCATTCGCGAAGATAATTTTCCATGGTGCCGAGCTGCTGTGGCCATGTGCTAGGGGAGTAATCGACGCGTGGGAGGGTGGGTCTTTTGGTGGATTAAGACAAATGAGTGATTGTGTATATTACATGTGTAAGTCCATGCACACAAAGGCGACGCGCGGGCGCCAGCATGACACGAAAGCACATGTTTGCGGGGTTACCGCGAACTTGATGATTGGTCAGTTGTGTTAGTCAGCAAAATTAGCTTCGCTGGGAATAATAGGTTGCCGCTCCCTCTCAACCTCGTACAACACCACACAACACCACACAACACTTCGACAGAGAACTCGCCCAAGGCACCCATCGCCCACCATGTCCGAACGAAAAGTTCTCACCAAATACTACCCTCCAGATTTCGACCCTTCCAAAATCACCCGCCAGCGCGGTCCTAAGAATGCAGGACCCAAGCTCATGACCGTCCGCCTTATGGCGCCCTTCTCCATGAAATGTACGCACTGTGGCGAGTTCATCTACAAAGGCCGCAAATTCAACGCTCGCAAGGAGACCACCGACCAAAAGTACTACAACATTGCCATCTTTCGCTTCTATATCCGCTGCACCCGTTGTTCTGGCGAAATCACCTTCAAAACCGACCCCAAGAACATGGACTACGAATGCGAGCGCGGCGCAAAGCGCAACTTTGAACCCTGGAGAGAAGCCAAGCTCAATGAGGAAACAGAGGAGGAGCGCTTGGATCGCCTTGAGAAAGAAGAGGCAGAGCGCGACGCCATGAAGGAGCTCGAGACAAAAGTAGTCGATGCCAAGACCGAAATGGCCATTGCTGATGCTCTCGATGAAATTCGCTCGAGGAATGCGCGCCTAGAGAAAGCAGAGAGCCTAGGTACTCGACCCGACGTCCAACCTGATGCTGCCGGTGAGCGCAGGAAGAAACAAGATGAAGAGGACGCCGAGGCAGCACGACAGGCTTTTGCTAGTCGGAGCATGCCAGATATTGGTGAGGAAGCTATCGACGAGGATATGATGGATGTCCCAATAGACTTGCCTGTTGTCGCATCCTTCAGCAAGAAGCCAAAAGAAAAGAAGGACTTCAGCGCCGCGCTTGGCATCAAGAAGAAGGCCCAGGCACCAACTCCGACCCCGGCCCCTCAACCTCAAGTTAAATCAGCCCAGCCACCATCGAAGCTGTCTACCATGCTTGTCCCCGGCTATGACAGCGATAGTGACTGAGATGAATCTAGCGCCACGATGATGCCAATACAGCTTCACATCCAAACCAACTCTGTTCCGAGCCTCAGACATGCATGAGAATTGCTATCAAGCCGAGCAGGTATAGAACAACTGAATCGTTGTTAGGATGAAAGACAGTAATCACTGCTAGATTCGTACTTCTAATATGACAGCGAAAGAAAACATATTCTGACCAATCCGGAATCTGGGATTACCCTTGTAGCTCCCAACATTAGTGCCACTGCAGAAATGCAATTGGCTTTCCATAGTGGGCATTCACCATGCCTCCACTGACTCGATTAGGGCAGCCAGTAGCTTGGGTGAATGGTTGATGGGCCGCTCCGTGTACCCAATGTTCAAACTCGCTTTCTCCTCTACTCAGTACACAGGTGGGTGACCCTAGATATTTGTGCGCTATGTTTGCTCCGTGAATGTCATCACGTCCACTTTTTATTCGATAATGTCTTGATGTAATCAATACAAGTAGCCAATAAAATAAACACATCCACTCTATCATGTGCAAACAGCCACCTGTCTTTTTAATGTTCGGAACCCTTTTGAGTGACATCCCGAAAGAATGCTTGGTGAGAAAAACAACATGTATTCTCTTTTGCACCTACCATGTAGATCAAAATCTCTTTCCGCAGGCTCTAAGTCCGATACTATCTTCATTCAGTGATTTAGTACTCCCGAAACGACATCATCTTGGCAAAGTCTGCATCGATACGATCTCACCTTGATATCAACATGCTCGTCCAAGAAGAGCTACATTGTAAAGATTCACTGGTCATCCAGGACTTGCAGGACATGCACAATATGCACCGTTTACTCCTACAAGAACGTGTCGTTTGTACCCCGATGCGATCCAGTCTTGCCAATATCCTAATCTTCTTTCTAGTTACGTCATAATGGGAGATCCACGCGCACTTGTCACTGCGGGAGAAAGATGTTTATACTATCTCACCCTTTTTCTCTCATACACCAAGATCCATCTTGCTACACCTATAATGAATCACACCCGTTTGAATATCCTGTACGCAAAATAGACATGAGACTTTCTTTTCCTCTCTCTTGAGCCTTTGTATATCACTTGCGTTAAGTTTTCTTGCGAGGACTCATTTTCACTTTCATCCCCAAGTGCTTACCGCTTATATATACACTCATTCACTCACTCTCGTTACTGTAGCTATGCCATATATAGACAAGTCAATTCACCTGGCTTGCGCGCCCCCTCATCTGCCAGATACAAATACGATTTCAACTTCGTTTCGCTCTTGTGACTTCTACTTACACCGCACCCCCTCTCGTACATTACAAGTCAAATCTCAAGATGAAGCTCAAATCCCTGGCCATTGCCGTCTCCGCACACTTAATTTTTCTGACTGCAGGTGAGATACTTCAGTCGGGGCTCACTGACACACCTCGCACAAAACACTCCAATCCAGCAATCGGTTCCGATACGAAAACAATCCATGCCAGGGCTATCTATAGCGAGCTATGGTACCAGGCAACGTGCAAAGGAACTAAATTACTCTTTGGCACTACACTCAACCCCGACCAAGCTGTCCTACACTGCAGACCACTAACCACCCCGTGGCATGGTACTCTGGTAAACGAACTGACTACGTGGGGTTACAGTGATATGAGTGGTGACAACAAATATAAGGGATCTTGCCACTTTAGAACAAAACATAGTGCTTTGACGCGAGCTTTTAGTGAGTTGGGTATCAGTATGGACGACACTGACCATGGTGGACCTAACCGCTGTTTCACAATCATTCATTACGATTCTCCTATTGCTGAGAGGAACCCTGATGGATCTCTCCCACAAAGGTCACAACAACATTACACTGTCAATGGACGGAGATACAGGGTAAGCTAGAGCCAATTCTTCCCCGCGATTCAATCACTCGGTTTCTTAACAAATCTCACTTTCCATAGGCAACTGGTGGGCACTTCATCATCGGTGTGAACAACCTAGATGGTTATATATTCCTTATCGATCGTTCGTCTCCCGAGACCAAGGCCCGCATGTTGTGGGATATCCCCCCACATATTCCAATCCCGCGCGATGAAATGCCTGCCTTGAGATCTAGCTCCGACATTACCTGGGGTCTCTGGAATAGGATGAGTGGTCATAATCTATGAGGTATTAACGCTTTTATCTCCTTCGAGGTCGTCAACGAAGAGACTGGGCGCCTTATTGAGCATGCAATGGAAAAAAATGGTCACGACGAAGTGCCACCCTGGCCAGGAGTTCGATTCAATCCGGAAACTGAAGAGTATAGGGCTCTTCTGGGTAAGTCTGACTCTCCTCTCATCATATTCCTACGTTCCAACTTCAAAGTGATCATAGTACAACATTGCGAGTTGACTGACATGTGTCCCAGGATCACCAAACGGTATCGGTGTAGGCTACTTTCTCGCCCAGCATAAGAGGGAGATGGGAGGCAACAAGTACGTTAGTCACATCATTGTCTTCATGGAAGATGATCCCACAGGGTGACCCAACTTGCTTTTCAAGGTTGATTGGGCGCCGCCGCCTCCACCACCACCGCCGCCGTCCGCAGCACAACCCTTGCACGCGAAAAGCATCATTGAGCCCACTCAAGAGTTACAGAATGGGGAGCAAACTCATATGGAAGGGGTAAAGATTTTGGATGGTAGCAGGGATGGTAAACACATTGTCAGGGAGCATGTGATCCGAGCAACGTAATTGTCGCACAGCAGATTATCGACCTGAGGTGTAAACACTGGAAAGAGTTGTGTCAGACTGACCGATACCGATTCTTGGATCACAGGCAGTAACCAACACATCACTACACTAGTCCGTAGTTAATGCTTATCCAATCCCAACCCCATATTTCCCTTTCTTTCTCTAGGCCAGCAAGTGTCCTCTACTCCACTTCTTGACCCCCTTCCCATCCTTCACCGCCGCAATTCGAAACTACACACCAAACTTCACCTCCTGCTTCATGTCTTGAACACTCATACGCCGTTCGCTTGGACCTCGCCAAACGCCACACGCGCAACATTGCGATGACCGCTCGGGAGCACGGCTGTAGTGAGGTTTAGGGGAGAAATTTTAGGGATAGGAGAAGGTAGGGAAGGTAATGTCGACATGATTGTTCTTTATTGTAATCAACACATCCACATTTCCATGTCCCTGTAGTCATTTGCCAAAGAAAAAGGTATCAGGCCCGCGAATATTCGCTCACTTGGTAACTATCTTCACAAATCAAGTTGTCGCCGCCAGGCTTGTTGTGTAAATCGAGGTTGCAATTGTTATTGTACCGGCTGCAGACAGCAAATTGACAGTCAACATTCTCTAGTCTAACGTTTTAGCCTCGATACACGATGAACTGTACCTACACACCACGGGAACACAGTGGCAAGGTAATTACAGACCGGGACACCACGCCACCAATTACGGCATCAGCCTTGTTGACCTTTCGGGGAAAGTAGGCCGAAGCGAGACCACGGGTACGATGACTAGACGCATCGACCAATCCGATATCTTGTCGCCCTAAATCGCGGGCCGCCAAGTTTCATCTTGGAAACGTGGTCTAGATGTTTCGTTTCGCTTACTCGTGCTAACGCAGGGCAAAATCCGATCACGTGATAGGTGCCTTGACGAGAACGAGGCTGGGCCGCGATGTGCTAGGGTTTCACATGTCAGCCTTGATGTTGGCTTCCGAACAAAGTACCTAAGTAGACATGGGTGATATGGAGGAATGTATGTCATCGGGCTAAGCCATCTATGTATGTATATGAGAATGCACGATTGTTTCGCATCGTTATGGCGCCGGATAGGCTGAGTTACCCCTGACTGCAATCACAGCAGACGTTTTGCTTCGAACTCGCCGGGGAACGCGTACTTGACTATCAAAGCCTGACCACGATCGATCAGTCGAAGATTTCAGTGCGGCAACGAAGTGTGTTATGCTTCTATTGGAATCTTTGGATGCGCAGTATTGGAAAGCACTGTCCAAGGTTATTTTCAGTCCCTCTTTTGCAATTTTCATTGTTTCTCATCCAAAGAGTAACCTCCCAGATTCAAACGGCACACTGGAAGTGTGTTTCGTCCGCGAGTGATTTAACACGCTCCCTATGGCATTGCCGTAGTTCCTCTTTGAGGTCGGGTTTTAAAACCCCATTCAAAGTCACTATTGGCCCATAATGTGTATATTTTTCCTGGAACGGAACGTGATTGATGACTGGTTAATGCCTTACTCATTGTGACATCATAGTGTCCAATACCTGCACGTGTAGATCATGCTAACTTGTCATTGGTATGTTTAAGTCGTTTTATGTTTTTGGTGAGGCTATATCAATATTGATATTTTCTGTTTTGAGCAAAGGATCAAATCAACCCAGATATAGAGAATTACATAGTGGCGCTACTCGACTGCTATTTAACAAGTATCCACGAGCGCTTATTGAATTCGTAATCTAAAAAGAGTAGCACCATCCCCCAAATGCCTATACACTAGACTAAAGCAGAAACAATGACCACGGTAGCGCAGTTGTGGTTCGTACAGTATACACGCTTTCCCAAAGAAGAAATGCCGGCGGTACTGGAACAGGCGCGACGTGGAAGGTATACCGAACCCCGCACCCCAGATACAGACGCGTCTAACATAACCTTCGTGGCAGGATACACCAAAACTTTGGGTATAAAATGCTTCGTTTCACGATACATGTTTTTCATAGAGATTCAAAGCATTCAACTGCTTCAATATTACGATGAACGGCCATGCAGTCGCCAAGACGAGCGAGCCTCAGGCTGTACCTGAGAAAATGAAGGCGCTGCAGTAAGGCATGCTCGCACTTTGCGGAAGCATAGATATTTTGCTAAGAACTACCAGATACTCTGGACCAGAGAAATTCGCGGTGGAAACAATCGATGTTCCGAAGATCGGAGATGATGACGTTCTTGTAAGGCTCATTGGCTTACGTTTTGCTGCTTATTGGGGAGTAACTTGAGATAGGTCAAGATATCGGCTTGTGGTGTATGCGGAACTGTACGTGATATTCCGCGAAGAAAACCGTGTCTCTCTCTACTGACCGACTTCAAGGACTTGCATTACCACAAAGGCGAGTTTTTGGCAAGGGTAAGATTGGCTGTCCGTCTGTCATGTCAACCTTGCTGACAAACTATATAAAGTGGCCCTTAATACCTGGTATACCCAACCTCATATATATATATCACCCCTTGCTCACAACTACAGGTCATGAAGCAGCAGGTACAGTTGCTGCTGTCGGCAAGAATGTGACCAACGTAGCAGTTGGTGACCGCGTCGCAGCGGATGCCCTGGAACCATGTCTCAAATGCTTTCACTGCACACGAAGGAAGCCACAGCTTTGCGAAAACGTCATCGGATATGGCGGTAATGTACCTGGTGGAATGGCTGAATATTGCCGATACCCTGCGCGGATGGTATTTCCGATTGGCGACCTTCCGGACCTCGAGGCAGTTCTGCTTGAGCCAGCAGCCTGTGCTGCACATGGTATCGAGAGGATGCAACTAGAAGTTGGTAGTCGAGTATTGTTGTTCGGATGTGGACCGACAGGCATATTACTCGCACAACTGATCAAGATGAACGGTGCCGCGCATGCATGTAACCCCCTACAATACCCAATAGCGATTGCTAACGAGCCTAAGTTGACGATCGCCTCAAAAGCAGGACCTAAACTTGACCTTGCTCGCTCTTTGGCCATTGCAGATTCCTTCATTACTATTTCCGACGACCGCCCTGAGACCGATATGCAGGACCTCCGCGCTGCTAACCCCTATGGATTCGACATTGTGGTAGAAGCTACCGGCGCTCCCACAGTACTAGAAAAATCCCTCGACTTTGTACGAAAAGGCGGAAAGTTGATTGTATATGGCGTTTATGACAATAGCGTCAAGATCTCATGGTCTCCATTTCAAATTTGGGAGAATGAAGTTACCATCTTGGCCAGTTTTTGTAGTATGAGCCATTTACCACATGTGCTGGAATATGTCAATGCTGGAAGACTCAAGTTGAAGGGTATTGCGAACAAGACGTACAAAATTGAGGAGTGGGCGGAGTGTCTGGAAGCAGTAAGGAAGCAGGAAGTTGTCAAGGCTGCTATAGTGTTTGATTGGTGAACACAATCCAAAAGTGGCAAGGCCACGGGATGAGTTGTTAGTGACACCAAAGAACGATCGATCTTTCTACACTGTGTAGTACAAAATTACTCAAAATCCAGTGCACAGCAATTACATTTCAGTGGCCTATCGTCATTCGTGTATGTGATGGGTAAACTACTTGTACAACTACTTGTACATCTTGTCCCAAAAGTCAGTCTTGGCCAAATCCACGGCCCTTTTCGTAGCTTTGACCAGATCCTCCTTGGGCAAATTCAACTCATCATTATTTAGACCTTGGTTTTTCTCGTACAGGCCAGCATCGTCGATGAAGTATCGTGTGTACAAAACCGTTGCAAACGAACTACGATCTCCAGACATCATTCTATGCCTTGCTTTCATCAGCCGCTCTTTGGCTGGCTCGGAAGATATCTTCCAATCCTTCTCTGTGGTTCCGGTAGCCTTTTGCGCTGCCTCAAACATCTCGCGTTGATTGAGAGTGAATGATGAGAAGAACAACATCCGGTTGCGATATTGCTCTAATGTTGGGCATTTCCCATCAGATGATGATAAAGGCAAAGATAGTAGATTCGCTACAGCAAGACCGGTCTGAGGCCACGTTGTAGTGTTCAGACGCTGATTTCCGTCATCAAAGTACACCACTTCTCGCTTATTAAGATCGATACCGTATTGCCCGCCGCTGAGCGAATACTCGTACCAAAACCCGCTGGTCATTCCGATCCAGGATGAGACACCAAGTTTCTCGATTAGAGCGCGATCTCTCTGCTTCCCAGATCCTATTGTTTCATTCTGAATGTCTTCTGTATTGAACATGCCAAATTCGTTTGGCAGAATCCATGGTACCCCAGCTTGAGCTGCCGCACGGATGAGCTGTTCCTGCGCATTGTGTGCGAAGACGCTCATGGTGATTATGAGAGCATCTTGTCCTTTCAAGGCGTTGACCAGAGTCCCTGGTTCAGCATAGTTGACACGTGCAACATTGACGTCACTTGGAAATGTAGCTTTGGATTGTACGCGGCTAATGGCGGTGATCTGAAATCGATCCTTGGCTTGCAGAGCTGACAGGATGTGTGAGCCAATATTGCCATTAGCACCAACAAGTGCGACCTTGTTCAAAAAGATATTTGAGGCCATGCTACCGATTAGGAGATGCGACGGAGGAAAGGAAAAGCTTGCAGTCAATTAAAGTGAGTGCCACAAGGATGGAGGAAGCTTGTAAGAGCTTAGAGCATTGATCGTCAAGATTTAGATTACGCACATTATATAACGACACTGAAGACGAGTTTTATATTGAAAGTCTAGCCGGTCGGAATTCCGCAGTGATCCGGACATTAACGGACGTCCGAACTGTGGTGCAAAGGCCGGAGCTGAACATGAGAAGGTAGAGCTGGACGTAAGAACACGTAGCTGGACATGACAAGTTGGAACCGGACATGGGAACAGTCGGTACGGACGAGTTGAAGAGGATCATGACGTCATCTCGAAGACCAATTTCACGTGACTCACAGGTTAGTGTTCGCGGCTCCACTTCCCTCCCTCCCTTCCTCCCTTCCTCCCTCTGGCTTCAGATAGAGATCAACATACCAGAGGACGCTTTTTATTTAGAATAAGTTCTGTTCTATTTCCACGGAGATTGCAGTCTCAAGCAGAAGCGCCGACTACCCATCATCAGCCCACTTCAGGACAAAGAATCTGCTCAACCTCCCACAGTTTAGGCAGTAACAGACTAAAAAAGAATCAACCTCCTGCCTACATTACCCGAAAATAAATTGAAAGAGGAGGATCTGCTATATTGATGATCCGTTATAGGAACACGATCTATGCGCATCCACGTACACGGCTGTTACATCAAGGGCACCAATCATCGTTCAGATCAAGTCCAGGCAATGCTCAGGCGCTGCCGGGGACCACCATGTGATACTAACATACCAATATCTGGTTGAAGAATATGTACACTAAGTGCTAGTGCTGACTGCAATCGCGACAACATAGATGTCGGTCTTTAGATCTGGTTTGTGCAGCACCACACAAGCAGCAGTTATTCCTTGGGCTCCAATCTAGTCACACCACCAGACAAATTCAACGGGCAAATATCGCAGCGCAGTGCAATAAGCGGTGTTGGCGTGAGCATCGTGGCTCACTCTGGAAGTTGATTCGGCATAACAATCTTCCACAGTAGAGAACGCACACCGTTTCTCCTTATTGGTGTGTCAATTAACGTCCACGTCCATTAAGCCTGGATATTCAGCTAGCCAAGTGGAGTCTTGGAAAGCTTGTGGAGGACAATAACCGCAGGTACCTTGGCTGCATATGCAGCTTCCCCAGACAGATGCACTCCACAATTCCTTCTGTTCCGGAGAAACCATCCTCGCAAATCCAAACGGCTTTACTACCCCTACCAAATGGTCTTGTGCCAAGTCGATCGGCGAATACGGACCATCGCTATGGAATATTCTCCACGAATCGTCCATCCCCGCATGCCACCACGTAGGCAACCAACGAAAAACAAATGGACCTGTAGAACCAGCGTTGATACTGGAAATACTGCGTATTGCGGTGCATTACTATCAAAGCTTCGCGGATTCAGTTATTGTTGTGCTGCAGTAATTACTCGCGCGCAGAGTAAAGCAGTCTACAGAGCAATGATTTTGCGTGTGCTTACTTACGTGCTGAGCACAGCCCCTGTGGATACATTAATATCGGAAATTTATTCAGCACAATGATATCGCGTTTCGAGAATTAGGTGGAACAAGCATGGGCCGGCTGTTGTTGTTTCGCCATGAATTTCCTACTCGCATTTAGCCGCTTTTTCCCCGTGCAGAAAACGCCAAGTACCTCAAGCAGCACAAGAACCGACCACCGAAGCTTGGAATAAATTAACCCGAAACGCCTTGTTTCCACTTTTTTACTCTATGCAGTAAGACTACGAATCATTCAGGGCATGGCCGACATGAACGACGCATTGCAGGCGCAATTGCAAGTGATGTTTGATTGCGTTAACGCCCTATTTTCGGGGTTTCTCCACAACGTGGTGGGTATGCGGCTTCTAGACGACGCCTGCCGTTGTTTGAGGCGAATTACATTGTTTGGACGAAATGCGTGAGCCGAATAGTCTAGGGCACTCTGGGGACGATGAATTGGTATAAGTAGAGCTGAGCCCATGAGCATATCTTAGTACCCATCACATTCATTCATTTCAGCTTCTCCATTCTACCAACAATAAACCCAATCATTTAGCAACTATGAAGTTTTCTCTCATCACCATCCTTTCTGCCAGCGCTTTGGTCGCTGCCTCTCCCTTTGCTGAGCCAGAGGCTTTCCTTGAGGAGCGCCAGGCTGCGCAGAGCCTCGATGCCGCCATGAAGGCCAAGGGCAGGAAGTACTTCGGTACCGCCACTGACCCAGGCCGATTCAACCAGGGCAAGAACGCTGCCATCATCAAGGCCAACTTTGGTCAAATCACCCCCGAGAACTCCATGAAGTGGGATGCTACCGAGTCTACCCGCGGCAAATTCACCTTCGGCACCGCCGACCAGACTGCTAAGTTCGCCAAGGACAATGGCAAGCTCATCCGTGGACACACCACCATCTGGCACTCCCAGCTTCCCGGTTGGGTCTCTTCCATCAGGGACAAGGCCACCTTGACCACTGTCATGCAGAACCACATCTCCTCCGTCATGGGTCACTTCAAGGGTCAGATCTACGCCTGGGACGTCATCAACGAGATGTTCGAGGAGAACGGCAGCTTCCGTGCCAGCGTCTTCTACAACGTCCTCGGTGAGGACTTTGTCCGCATCGCTTTCGAGGCTGCCAAGAAGGCTGACCCATCTGCCAAGCGTTACATCAACGACTACAAGTAAGCATCAACCTACGATTACCAAGCTTTTCTATATACTGACTGCAATATAGCCTTGACACTGCCAACTACGCAAAGACCCAAGCCCTTGCCAAGAACGTCAAGAAGTGGATCGCCGCCGGTGTCCCCATCGACGGTGTCGGTTCGCAGACTCACCTTACCTCCGGCCAGGGTGCCGCTACCATCGACGCCATGAAGCTCCTCTGCAGCGTTGCTTCCGAGTGCGCCATGACCGAGGTCGACATCCAGAACGCCCAGCAGGCTGACTGGACCAACGTCACCAAGGCCTGCCTTAACCAGAAGAACTGCGTTGGTATCACCGTCTGGGGTGTCAAGGACTCCGACTCCTGGAGGCCCCAGGGCAACCCCCTCCTCTTCGACAACAGCTTCAACCCCAAGCAGGCTTACACCACCGTCCTCAACGCTCTCAAGTAAACTACTTGCAATGCTGGGCATCTTGGGAACCGAGAAGACTACGTCTTCCCTTGCTCTCATACTTTTTGTTCTTCTTGACATCTTATTGTAAATACTTTGATTGGTTGTGGAGATGCTGTAAATATTTGATTGAAGGAATGAAGTTGATCTTTCCTCTATTGTGTGCTTCTTGATCTCTAGTCTACTTTGGTGCTCCTACCTGTGATTTCGCTTTCGTGCTTTGCAATCTTCTTCGCTTTGATAATACTAATACCTGCTTCAGCACTGGCTCCCGCTTCGGCCTGCTTGGTCCAAAAGATATCTGCCGCGTTGATTCTCACACTCTTCCTTCTTTCGCGCTCGGCTACATCCAGATGGGACACCTTGGTGGCCTTTGCTTCCAGCTCATCGAGATGTCGCTTTCTCTCGGCATACTGCTCGGCTCTTTCTCTGCGTATCTGCTCGGATCCGATTCGTGCGAGTGCGAATCGGACCGCCGCTCTGAAAGCCATGAAGATGTGCTCTGATATGAGAATTGTTAGTGGAAGGCTGGCCCACTTGCTCAAGCCAAGATACGGGCCAAGAAATTGCTCGGTGCCGAAGAGATGAACAATGGCGGCACTACTGACACTTCCCAGCCATGTTAGAGATTCCAGACTGGCGACCCAAGGCCCGATGCCATCGCTACGAAACGGAGCAGGTCTTTGGTGCTCGACGCAAATTTTGAGAAAATCGGACCGAAGCTCGAACCAGTTGTTGATAAAGAATCCAATGGGTACTAGTGGCCATACGGGGCTGAACAATGTGAGATAACCAAATTGGATCACCATCTCCGCAATGTCTTCCTGGACGTTGTACGAGGGACGAAGAGCTTGCCTTCTTGTGCGTCGAAGAAAGCCAGATTCAATGGGGTCTTCCGGTATCGGGAGTGCGCCCACGCTTCCTTGATTCTGAGCTCGAGAAGCTTGTCGATCGCGCCACCACTGCTTGGCCTGCTCCTTTAGCCAAGGCAATGCTAGCTCTTCAATCGCACCGGAGACCTGACCAGTTACGGTCAATGCAATGACCTCGTTGCGTAATCTGTCGGGATCGGCATGAAATTTGGTCTTCACTTTGTTCTGGGAGCCCAACACCGCATCCAACACGCTCTGTAACACCGGCAAGACCTTGTTACCAAAGGGCACATATACGAATGCGGTGAGGAGTATGGGCAAGTAATTGGTAATAGAGTTGAGCACAAAGACCTTCTGAGTGAGAGACATCTCGTGATGATCCTCGGTGCGATGGTTCTCGTAGTCTGTCAGAACGGTAGCGACGCCTTCCAGAAAGCTGGTGACGTATGGCAGAAAAACTGCGAGAAGAATAGTCGGAAGGTATTCCTGGTTTTTTGTTAGACTATCCATTTATGTCACAGCCAAAGGCTAGACTTGCCAGGTACAACTTATGTGGTCCGTCGTATGCCTCGCCAATGAATGTTTCGAGAAAGAAGACACAAGTGATGAGAGCTCCAAGAACTAGGGTGCTGATAATAACAAAAGGAATGACGAGCAGTTGTCGGAGGATTCGCTTCCATCGGGGAAAAATGCGCTGCACTCTTCCAGCTGAATCAAGGATCTCTTTCTCGTAACGAAACTGTGGACGATCCACCTTCAAGCTACCCACACCCCGCACGTTCCAGCGGATAGCAAGATCTGCTTGCTTAATTTTCCAGTACTCCAAGAATACTGTGCACCAAACGCCAATCGATAAGGCGAAGCATAGCGAGTATTTTGGAAGGAATGCCCATGCGAAGAGACCAGCTGCGCATGGGAAGGCAAGAGAACGGAAGTATGTTTGGATGAAAGCAAAGTAGAAAGCAACTTTGGAACCCCAGAGATTACGGATCTGGTCGAGGTCGGACAGATCCAAGAAGACTCGTGTGCTGAGATGAGCCAGAAGCGCCCGATTTGCACGAGGGTTGTGTAACGGGAAGATTGATGTGACGTTTTCCCATGGCGGAAAGCCCGGTGTGATGCCTGCACCCCCAGACTCTTTACGCCAGTTGACTAGGTGACATACGGAGAGGACATCTTCAGCTTCAAAGGCTGCTGAAACGATCGACTTGGCCGTGCCACCAGGATGGTTTTTGGTGATGCCATATAGCCAATCCTTGACTCTTGGGGGATACGTTAGGCAACAAAGACTTGAGAAGAGCTACGAGCATAGACAGCATACCTTGACTTGTAGACAGTGTTGCCAAGCAAATCCCTTGGTACTTGGACAAAGACCAACAAAGATTCATCGTAGCCAGGACGCACTTCAGTGTTCAGTCCAGCAGACTCGAGATCGTGCAGCAGCTGTTGGCACTTTTTGATGGCAACATCACCGTCTGGTGCTTGTGAGTAAGATGCATGAATGGAATGGTCTGTGGACATACCAACGTCGCTGAAGTCATACGCGATGACGTATTTGTCGTTGTATGTTATGTTGGCCTGGTCGGCATCATCACCAAAACCTGTATCGGATCGACTCAGAGGCTTAATCTGCATGGCCAGAGAAGCTAGAGACGGCGGAAAGATCAGGTCACGCGCGGGGGCTGTCATTGACAGGGTCTGTATGTGTGGCTGAAGATTTTATAAGTATGCCACGACGTTACCATTCAGCTGACCGTGGCTGGAGCCTAGCTGGGCTATAAGCTGTAACTGTGGCCGGACTGGTGCGCGCAGGTGGGCCCCGTCGCCCCTTGATGCCAAAGTTAGATCTGGGTCTGCCGCGTCATCCGTAGCTGGGGGAGGGCAGGCCCAACTAATATAGCCACCATATCTGGTGATACAAGTCGACGGAAACCCTTCCCTCGGAACGGTAACCATTGCACAGAGTCGAAATACAACATTGAGGCGCGGATCAAAAAGCAGTCGAAGTATTCTAAGACAGGTTAGCGCAGAATCACGTGTGGACGCTTTGGGTCTAGCGTCTCGGGCGTCAACTCGTACGCGGCTCATTCAACGCGACTGCGCATCAACAACCCCCTTTGTACATACGCTCGTGCCTCGCGTGTCATTGTGCATATCAACAAAAAAGGGGGATAACGTAATTTGATTCATTGTCTAGCAATTTGAATATCAAAATCGCCCAGCTTGTAACCCTTATTTACCGAGCTAATCACAGGAATTCATTTCATATACCAAAGCTCATGAATACATTCCAGACGAGCGGACAGTTCACCAGTTAATATGCCTTCTGAGATCTCAGTATCCGCGAGTACACCAATGCCAAAAGCGTACGGTTTCCTCTCAAAAGGAAACCGGTACAAAACCCTGCATTGCCGCAAGCTCACCCATGAAGCAGCTCGTCTTCTATACATTGTATTCGAAAAGAAGAAACAGATTGGACTACGTGCACCCTTGGCAATCTTAGACACAGTACACAAGCAGGCGAAACAAACACTTTCGACGCGTCGTGCTGCAACTAACAGGCGCGATGCTACTGACACTGCCAAAGCAAGTGCTGAAGTGGAAAAGCAGTTCCCACAGATGCCCCAAGATGAACGAGAAACAGTGCTTAGACATGGGTTCAAGAAGTATTCTGGCAGAGTGGGCAGGACAAATTCGATACCATTGTCGCGGAAGGTGTTACTCGCCGTCATTGCGCACGTTCGTCATAGACATACAGAATACGACACCTTGCTTGATCGAGGAATTGGTCGAGAGGATGCAAGGAAATCGACGAGAAAAGATATCGAGCGTCTCTTACAGAAGTGGGGATACTCACAAGGTACGCTCTGGAAGGTTCCTCGTCAATAATCATCTTACTGATTATGGAGAAAGATCTTGCTTGGTATTTCCGCACAAAGAGCAGGCGGCTAACTTGATAACGCTGCGTTCACGAATCGGTCGTAAGTCAAGAATTTCTTGAACTTTTCTCGACTACTATCATCTCCTGTACTTTTCCCTTACCAAACTCGGTACTGCAACCTTATATCATAATCATACACACAACCCGATGTTTTCAGTTCAATCAAATCAACAACAGACTAAGTTAGTCTTCCACAGGCGTCTCACAATCAGTGCTTCGTACCCAATCCTTCTACTGCTGCGGTTTGCTCTATTACAAATATCCCAGTATTTGAAACGACACTTGAAATCCGATCCCTATCCAGGCATAGAAATATTGTATTCCGATTCTCCACCCACACTGTTTCGAAGAGCCCCATTGCCTCTGCGACCCAGCGCCTATGTACACGAAGCACGAGGCGGCCTTCTACGCCGCTTTACTGACACAACACGCATACCTATCAAACCCAGCAACAACTCCCCGCCAATAGATCCACAATCACCACATCTACGACACTATCATCCCAGCACAACTCAGGCAAAACCCACCCACCACGTGCAAACGCCGTTTCACACCCCCAATCTTCCTAGCCTGAGAAACAAGATCATTACAAAAACATGCGGCGAAAGGTTCCTTACGCGCGCCGTTATTCCACATACCTTGCCCTCCGACACACTCCCCGTTTAGACTAGTCCTCCACGCGCCGCGTTTCAGCCGGTTTCCGCCCAGTGGCGGAGCGGAAACGCCAAGACTCTCTTTTCACTACCCTTGCCAGACCGATCTAATGGTGGATGTGAACAACATGTCTACTATTTACAACGCAGAAATAGGTATGCGTTGCGCTCGTGAGGGCAGTGCTCAAGTATTCCTGCGCCTGGTTGTGTAGGGTCACGACAAGGGGGGTTATGTTTTGGTGTGTGGCAGTGCTTGCTTTCGTCATGCAGGCAGGTACTAGTACAATGCGAGAGGGCAAGGACGCGGTTTGTACATGGGATGTATGGTGGGGAGAGCGTATGCGTGGTAAATGTGGCTATGCAGAGTGGAATGGTGGGAATTGGACAGTGTGGGCACGGGGATTGTGACGGGCGAGTGTCTGCAGGCGGAGTGTTGGAGCGATAGAGTCCGCGTTGCGAGGAATGCCTCAAAAACTGTCACGTCTGGATGGAGGTTGTGACACTGTGTAGGGGTATGTATGCGGCTCTCGAGCACATGTGACGGGCGCTGTATACGTATCGATCATTATTCGAAAATGTTTTTGAGATTGGAGTTTGCCAAGTCGTGATGCAACGCTGACATGCATTCGTGAAACAAGTCAGGGAAAACACCAAGACGAAAATGATATTCATCTTCTGGATTTGAAAGGAGATAAGAAGTTTGCATTAAATTGAGAGGGGTATGTGCGGATTGCTATTTGTAAAAAAAAATGAACCAGAATATGTCAGATAGATAGAAGCGAATGGCAGTTAGAAGCGAACTGCGATTGCAAACCGACTGGAAAGAAGTTTGAAATCTCAGACAACCTGTTGCGTAGTTTAACATAGACTTGCTGACAGGAAGACAGTTAGCTAGACCAAAACCAGCCACTTTTCTTCTTGCCACGGCTATCCCCTGTTTCCAACGAGTCTGACTGAGCGCTTCGTAGTGCCTTCCAAGGATCTCGTGAGGGGTCATTAGTTTCTTGGCCGCGCTCAGTATGTACAGTTTCTGTACTTTCCTCACGGCCGTCCGCAAAGCGTTTCTTGAGCAAGACTTTGGTTGTTATAGTGCCGTTGGGCGCAACAGCGCGCTCGGTAGTTGTGAGTGTCGATAAGATAGAAGACTTGGCCTCGCTTTGCTCATTTTGCCCAGCCAGAGGCGGGACGATGGTATGTGCGGACGCAGCATCAAGACGCTCGTAGGCGTCCATTTCCGTGGCGGGGTCTTGCATTTCCTTGGCATATTCTTCATATCTTGCGGGATCTCTCTCTGAGTGATTTATAGGGTCTTGTTGGGACGCGGTGTGCAGGAGAAACCGAGTGCGCTTAGGGATAGGCGGGTCATCGTGCCGGTCTTCATGATTGTGGTTGTATTCGTAGCCCGGTTCAGCTTGCGCAGCAAGCCGTGGACAAGTGGGCTCCTCGCTCCGCTCCATCATCTCTTCCAATTGTCGGTGAGTGATAGGGATCTTGGGCCGAGACGACCAAGCGTCGGTATACATGCTGCTTGGATGTGTAGTCTCGTTGTCTTGTTCCATGGTCTGCGCTGACTGTCGCTGCGACATAGAGATCTTTTCGGCCCGCAGAAGATCTTCATAAGCAGCACGCCACGGTATACCTGCTCTGTTCAAGACAGGATTTTGCTCTAGCGCACAAGGCGAGTATGCGTCCATGTCAGACGGTAATGCATTTGGCGTTGGAGGCCATTGCCATGATTTTGACCATGACCATAGACGGGGTTGTTTACCGTCAGACTGAGTCTGGGTGTAATTGTCGAACCTTACTAGATGGACGGCCGAGTCTTCCCAAGCCTTGTCTTCGAAGTCTTGAGCCAGTCGCGTCGCTTCCGCTTGCATCCGCAGCAGCCTGTCCAGAGCCACAGAGCTGTTGGCGTCTTGATCCTCTGATGTGTCCCGGCTGTTTTGACCCTCATGATCGAATGGCCGAGGAAACCCCCAGTCCCACGACCATCCCCACTCCTGGCCCTTTTTGTTGGCGACTCTCTCGACGAGCTCGGTCTCATTGCGACGCGGAGGCTGTGTTTGATTCTCTCGATCAGAGGCACGCAAGATGTCGCGGCGTATGTCATCAGCTCTGCGGTCCAATCTCATGAGCTCCTCACTGTTGCGAAGGACAGCTTGCACATCGCCTACTCTGAACAGCTCTCTCCCCTCGTTCCGCAGTTCGGTAATCTCCACTTCGATGTTGTGAAGCCTGTCGCATTGACGCTGACTGGCCTTGCCAAAGAGACACAACTCACGTGCCTGGTACGCGTTGTTGTAGCTGGCGAGGGTGGCGGGGAGGGTGAAGACAGTGTTCAGGAGGGAGGAGACCTGGGAGTCTGCGAACCGGCGGAAGGCGACGAACGGGTTATCCACGGGGCGCAGGTGGTGGAGCCCCTCATTTTGATTGTTGTGGTCGTTATTGTTGTTGTTTTTGTTACTGCTCGTATCGTCTCTCATGGTGGGGGGAATCAAGGCAATGGTCACTGGTGATGGCGGGGAAACACGGGGTACCGCTCATGGCTGCTGGACTGGACTGGGCTAGGCAGGCGTGGAGATAGCTACCTCGGAGTTAAGGCACGCGTCTAGTTTCCCTCCCTTCCAACCCACTCCCGCCCTCCACCCTCTTCTCCACCCTCTCGCCTTGAAACGCGCCGTGTTCGATATGGAGCCTTGCGTCTTCCGTACCCAGTGCATGCCACTGACATAGTCCTCTGCAGCTGTTTCTTGTTCCATTACTCTGTGGCTGCTTTTTCCTTGGCACATATCCGGTTTATTATTGTCATCCGCAAGCCGCCGACGCATCATCTAGCCGGCAATTAGGAGTCTAGCTAAGGTGCATCGCCTTCGTCTCATATCGTCTGGACGTAGACAGTCGGCCTTGTTTGCGACATCAAAGCCCTGGACAAGACACTCGAGTACGTCAGGTTGACCGGCCGCAGTGCCCAGGATCGTACGCTTTAGGCCGTCTAGTGCTGGGCGTGCGACATCGTTTTCTTCACGCTCGTGACGCCCACCTATCTATGTATCCTAAAGTGTATGCATATTGGCTACCATATACAACCCTATCCTGATCCTCCCACCCCTTGTGATCTGCACAAAAGTCTCGGCAATCTCAGCTTAGCTTCAACTCCACCAACACGACTAAGAGGACGAATCGACACCATTACAATCTCGGTTAAACTAACACGTAAGGTATTGTCCGCAGCAAAGTTTCTGGGCAAAAGCTCAGGCTGGTGATCGACCACGATCTACACTCTTCTCCGCTTACCGCCTACCAGCTTAGACTCAGGGCCAAGGAGCCAAGTCCCTGCCGCCCAAACGCAACTGACGGGGGAACTCATCAATCCGTCCACTTTGGGTTGCATTGTGTGCATTGCTCCATGATTTGCATGGGCAGCATATTGATCTTCATATCTAAACACTGCGTAGTGGCACTGGCTGTGTCGTTTCGGGCTGGCCTGGGAATACCATCCCGGCCTTGTAGGGTCTTGGACCACATTCCGGTGCATGGCTGTGCGACGGCCATTCGGTCCCTGTAGCCTCTAACCAGCGGTCCAGCGGTCACGTTTCGGGTCCCGTTGATACGTCACATCTAGGACTGATGTAAAGATATAAAGGTTTACCAGGCCGCCCTGATTTGCACCATCACAACACAAGCACAATAAACTCTCTTCTCAGCTCTGGATACAAATACCCAACCCTAAACACCATTACCCAACTACCCAACTACCCAGCTACCAATCCTACTCCTCAAACCATCAATATGCGTTTCTCAATCGTAGTCGCCACCTTCTTTGCCAGTGTCGCTCTCGCCATGCCAGACCCTCTCCCACAAGGTTACAACGGTCCCTGCGCACGAGATAATTGTGGTGTCAACGGATTGAACTGTGGACGTCGCCTTTGCGTGGGATGGCCCAACACCGACCCTGCTCTGAGGAAGGGCTGCACATGCACCACTGCCTAAGCGCTACATGATCTGCATTTGTATGTTCATAACCCTTGTTATCTTCCACTGAGCCATTCAATGCTGACACCTCCTAATAGTCAAGTTTTGTTAGCGGTTTTTTAAAACGACGATCTCCAACATATACCCACGTAAAGGGGGGAAAGGATAGTGGGGGTGATGTAAATAGGGCTGTCATGGATTAGCAACATGTGAAATGAAAAGATAATAATGAAGCGAACAATACTCTAACCCTGGTTCGCGATGACACAAGTTTCAAACATTTTGTGTGATGTACTTGCTTCTTTTTCTGCAAACAATTTGATATCATCAGACTACTATTAGTGGAGAAACAAAAAATACACACCATCAATCATGCCTCAGCTTTTTGTTTGTTTGCTGGAAAGTACATGTGGCTGCATTTGTTGTCAAATAGTAGCATTTCGGTAACCCACTCTCCAAAACAATACGACGCTAGCTTTACCGTGTGCAGCAACTTCATCCACTCGGATGATATGGAACCCGTGGTACTAACACCCGGTAATTTAATCTAATCCTCTCCGCCCACTCCACGAAGATCTTTTTACTGTGCTACAAAGGCGCTAACAGCCCGCCTTGTGTTGCTTCTATCTTCACCGGCCGGTGTGTTCTCTCCCTAGTAAGACTTACACTTGTCTCTAGCGCGTTTAGGCCCATGAGTTTATCTGCACCCGTGTAAGACGGTCGCGGGTAGCCGTGAGGAAAGAATGATGAGGCTTAAATCGGTACGCATTTCAACAGAGGTTTTCAGGCTTGAATAGAAAAGTGCATACTTAGTTGGGTAATGTAGTCCGGGCTGACTCGGGCCGGCGCGGATCCGAGGGAGTCATGTTGGTGCCAACCCCTCACAGTAAGTATATGGATAGTACTTTGTGCTTGTCCAGGCTTGCTTGAAGGGGCCACTCTTTTTTTTTCATCTGGTATCCTGGCCACTGCTACTTACTGCGGTTGACGAGCTTTCTTGACAAATCTTTGGTTAGCTTGTTTGCATGGTGTGCAAACGCTAGGGTCGCGACGTAGTTGATAGAGTCATACTACTTCACCTCGGATCACGTTACTACATGTTATCGTTAGCGGATAGACACATATGCAAGTTCTTTGTGGCATAGTATCTAGGCGTGATAATATGCTACTTTGCTATAAAGGTTCGTGCCATTTGCATTACTAGGAATGCCGCCGAAACGCGTGACTAAATTTGGATCTTGGCTTTTGTTCTCAATGTGAGCAGGAGATGCAAAATCATTATGCTGTTTTAATAAAGTGCGTTCTATACCACCGTTTTAAGAGAATAGTTGAAGACTAGATTATTTAATTCTTTTTTTATAGTTAAGCAAATTACGCTATTAACGTGAATAAACTACTTTGAACCTTTTGAATCGACAAAGACCCCAGCACGCTCAACCTTAACAATATCACCAAACTTATTACTACCCCGATAACCTTAACCTATCCTATACCCCAGTCCCTGGCAATAACTCACAATCCTAGCAACCGCGACCAAGACACGTGCTACTTGTCACGCAAATAGGAAGGTTTGTGATCATAAACCTTCTCCCACTTTGCAACCTTCTTCTCCAACAACCGTCGTACACTCTCCAATTCACCCACGAATTCCTCGAACCACTCGCTCGGCTTCCTCCCGGCTTTGCAAAACCGGCTCGGTACTCTATCAACACTTGGGTGATCAGAAGCCAAGACCCAACCGTACTCTCGGTCTAGATCGTCATAGTCGATCAACAGCCCTTTTGCTATTGCTAGCGGATGCATGTCTCTGGGGTCATCATCGATGCCGACCTTGAGTGGGATGATTTGTAGAAAGTCGAGACTGTAGGTGTGAAGGTCGAGTGCTACGGTAAGCAAGTCTTTGAAGTCGGAAGCTGGGATAGTCTTGAGAAGAGAGGGGTGTGGCGGTTTGTGGTAGCACATAGTCTGGGTTATTGAATGATGTCGGTGAGCTTTGTAAGTCGACGAAGTCTTTGCGGTTAGGAAATTCACACGAACTGAGATGTAGAGTCTGGAGATTTATCCTTCGTGGATGGTAGATTGTCAAAATTTGATTTAGGATTTGTTTGTTTGACAAACACTGCATGGCGTTTTTACCGCAATCAGAGACGGATTTCGATTGCCGTATCTAACTTTACGCCTTCAATAGTACGGCGTAGAAAGATCCGGTTCCATCAGCAAAACCTGCAAACAAATCAAAACAGTGCGAACAGTCTGCACCGAGGACCACTCTTCCCCCAGTTCCGGCATAAGCACAACTCCCTCTTCAGAAACATTAGGATGCGAAATTGGAGTTGTAAAACTAAGCCGGAAAAGTTTTATGGGGTAATTCTCTGGAAAAGCGATTGCGAACGCGAACTTTGCTCGTTCGAATGGAGTGTCTGGTAGACCCGTAATGTATCCTACCCATTCTAGTGGGTTGCCCGTCTCAGCTGGACCCGCGGAGAATGTGTCTATGGGGTCGCGCTGGAGGATGGTGAGTTCTTGGGCGATGCGTTTGAGAGCCATGGCTAGTTGGGCGGCGCCTTTACGTGGCGAAAGTGGAGGTTGTGTTAGGATCTGGTGAGTTGAAGAGTTACTCACACGTCATTTTGCGTCACGAAGTTTAGCCTGGCTTGTCATCTGTTATTTCAATGTAACAAGTCAGCCAATCGTTTGCTGAGGTACTACAGGAGGTATTTTATTCACAATACATTCCATTCTTCTTATTCTTTTTTGTTCGAGGACTTTGACAAACGAAGCTATTACATATACATGAGGACTTGTAGCATATATTCCTCTGCGTAGTCCAAGAATCCATTATCTGTACGTGTCCGAGCACACGTGTTCTATATATCTTGAATATCCAATCCATTTTTTCCGGATAACACCCAAAAGCTTCCCCCACCTATTAAAACTCGCACGTCCACTCGACTGGCGGCGGCAAAATCGCAGTATTCGGAATGTTACTACTTTCTCTAAACTCAACAATCTTCCTCTCCCCCTCCACTTCCTTGACCACTGCAAACGCCGCATTGGTAAAGTAGACATCGCGCTGTATGCGCGTCTGGAATCCACCGGCCCACCCAATCATGTACACGAAGCCGCCCTTGTCGCCATTGGCGTTGGGAATGCCGAGTGTGTTGATGAAACCGTGCTTGAAGGGCGCGAAAGCGACGCCTAGGGTTGCGTTGAATGTATTGTAAAGCCTTCGTGAACCTTCAAAGTCGTAGTGCGTGTCGTTGAATGTAAATCTGATGTCTTTTGAAAAAGAGGTTGCGTGACCCTCGGGCCAGTTTTTGTTTGCTGGGAATGGGTAAAAACCTAATATGAGAGTCTTAGAAATGATGGTTCTGTGTTTCAACCAGAGAGTTTCTGTACCATTTACGGCGCATTCTAGCCAGCTGCCCAATTGCACGCTGGCATTCGCTTTTGGAGAGTCCACCAAGGTACAGGGATCGATGCTAGTTTCATGAAGTATTTGTGGGGAGTTTTTATCCAACACTTCTTGGGGAGATAATCCAAAGGCTATACTAGATGCAAGTAGACTTGCTACTGTGGCTTGTGGGATGTTAATGAGAGTCGGCAATGGAGTTGACATCATCCTTACCACCAATTGAGAGATAACGCATGGTTCGGGCAAGAATTAATGTAGCGACACGTGAGAATATGGGTGAATGCTACCTGATAAATTCAGGCTCAATAGAATACTTATAAGCAAATAGACGCCTTATTGCCTGCAATCAAGGCAGACGAGGCTGACGGGGGCTGACGAGCTGAACATCGGTTGGGGCCAGCATTAGTACCAGAAAGGCATGCAACCGTGGTGGGGATAGGTACAAGGTGTACAAGTCCCCGATTAAATGGCCAATCAGCATGCGATATCAGCCACGGAGGGATCAGCGCATGTACGGTGATGTTATTAATTGGGTGCATGGTTGCCCGTCACGAACGTTCAGCGGCAGTCATATGTGGGGCCGTTGGGGCGCAGCCGCATCGTAGCCACGCCAACTCTTTCAACGTGCCTGGCTTTCATTCGAAGTTACGTGTGCAGATAGAGCCCTCTTCCCTATGACCTTTTCCTTCCTCATGAAAATTTACTCCCAAATATACAGTGTATCTGCTTAGTATAGGAAAATTGTTTGTATCGATGGCTTTTGCAGTGTACAAGTTTTCGAACACGCAAGGTTGAGGCCCATTGTCAATGTGCGTAGGCGGCCAAAAGACATCTCGACTGCCTGTTGCTCTTGGCATCTCGTTTATTTAGGTCCCTTGGGCGGTGATGCAGGCAGCCTGCGAAGTTTTGACGGATTTTCTGTGACTGAGCTTCTGATCATTGGACGATAGCCCAAATCGTATGATGCTTGGAGGGTGCAGTTGGCATTTGGCGAAGACGCGCACCCTTGAAGACACAACAGCAAAATATGGACTTGCAAAGCAGGATGAAGATCCATACGTGTTACATGCAGTTAATTTTAATGACCAAAGACGATGTCACTAGAAGATAGAGATGTTGTATTGTCCAAGACGAGACTTCGTCTCTACCATCGATACAGTACATGTGGTATCTCTTCCCCCCCCCCCCCCAACACACACACGTACAGATGCATCGACAAAAAAGATATTAAATCCAGGTAGAAATATAGTTAAAAGATAAGGGTAAAGAAGGTGAAGAAGAGAAAAGAACGATTCCAACCACGCACTTCCATATCCGCATCACTCCCAAAGACGAAGGATGAACCAACTTGAGAATGCCGAGAAACTTCAACATGATACCCCCCTTTTCTAATACCTTGCCAAATTCGAAAAAGGAAGCTGGGATATCATATCTTCATATTCAAAGCCACCACGAAAGCCCCTAATGATTGACTATGCCTGTCCCTTCTTGTATCTGTCGACGAACATGCGCTCACATCTTAACGTCCAGGAGCCACGGGAACGGGAAGCGCGGGAATAGGGACTGGCGCAGGGTTGATAGCAGGCACAATGATGCTCTCGACGGGAACAGCGACGCTCTGGATAGGCAGGGCAATGCTCTCGACTGGGATGGTGATGACTGGGTGAGGAGGCTGAGGAATTTTGGGCACTCTCTTCCCCTTATCGCTACCGGCGAGAGTGGTGCTGGTGAGGGCAGCGAGAGCCAGGATGATGGTTGTGGGCTGCATTTTTGTCTTGGGGTGTATGTGGTGGATTGGTTTTCTGATGGGCGAGAATGTTAGAGTGTTGTGAAGGTGATTGTAAGGCGATTGTTGCTAGTTGAAGAAGATCTGATGATTTTTTAAGGGGATCTTTTGGTAGTTGAAGTGAGGTAAAAAGTTCTCTGGGGTATTGAGAGTTGAAAACGTACTTGTGGGTTCCTTTTGAGCTGCTGGACTGTAGAATAGACGATTGAAAGTGGTTGCTGATGAGAATGAAACCTGGAAGGTAGAAGAAGTAGTATTTATCCTCCCTCTTTAGCACTGTGGTGCCGGCTCAAATTCGAAAGTGCCGTGCTGTGATGGGCAGAGTTGGTTCGGAGAATGCATGGTGGAGAACCCGGTTGCGGTCATGCGAATGAGGTTGGGTAGATGTATAGGTACGACCCTGCATTCAAGACAAATGGTTCATGATACGGCACGCGACGGCAAGGTAGAAGCCGTGCGTTGTGAACGGGTGAGCTGTGATAAATTTTGGTAGATCATGAGCCATCTTGAAGTCATGTTGAGTGAAGATTACCGTCTCTTGCCAGATTATTTTGCATTTCGGTATTGCATTGCCCCTCCAAGCATACACAGAAGGGTATCCTTCGATGTTGTATCGCTTCCGGTAATCCCAACGCACATAACAATCACCTCATGTTTAATCACTTGTCAACCATACCATGGGTTACGGCTTCAATTTGCTCATGATTTTCTGTCCAGATTAAGAACAACCTTATTGGCCAAGACTAAATATTGGAAGACCCATGTTCCTTACAGTTCAATCCTAGGCTGCATTAAATCCAGGGTTCAAGCCAAATACACTCCCTTCGATCCAATGGTGTCAGCCTGGTTTAGAACTCACTTCCGTATATGTCTCCTTGTACATAATCGTTAAACCGAACCAGTGGATGTGCACGCACGGATATGGGCTTGACGAAAAGTCCGTTATACGAATTCGCAAGACGCTGGTGCCGGCATAGTGACGACTTCAAAGTCACGGTTTCGTTGCAGGCAGGATCTAAGAATTTCATCGGAGCTATGCTATAGCATTGGGCTTTAGTGCCCCTTTGAACGAATCCAATACACCGACACCAGAGTCTTGTAATGCTGGAGGTGGTGATGGTGGCAGAGGCCACGCGAACCGTGAAAGCCATGCAGAGGCTAGCACCAGCGTGGGTGTCATAAACTGAAAACTGGCGAATAGCGCCTCTGGGTGCACCCGCAGTGGTGCGGCTGCAAGAGGTTTCCAGCATCAGATCGCTCTCCATCGACAGCTCATCCTCCCGGAGGACGCAATGACCCCGCTCATTGCCGGTAACCCACTCCGGAAATCGGGTACAAGGAGCATGAAGTGGCTGGCAAGTTCGAGTGGACAACATCCTGCCCACTTGTCTGTAAGCTGGGAATGTAACACTGGGTATTGGAGTCCACAAAGCAGTATAGTGAAGCAACAGCAATTGGTGGTTATCCTCAGCGCATCGTGCCAAGAAACAATGCTTATCATTCGATGCATCAATGAAGACGGTGTAGATATAGACTGAGAATTCGCAATAAATTGCCCAGTGAATGTCGTTAAGAAACATCCACTTGCCAGTCAATTTGTAGTATTGTAGCACGTCATTGGGTATATATTCAATTTAATTCTGGGCACAACAGTGGTATTAGCGGTGAAAGAGAGAATCCAGTAGCGGAGATGAGCTTACTCTTTGGCTGTATAGCCCCTTTCCTCCACACTGTCCTTTGAAGCGAGTGGCTTGACCCCTCTTCGCTACACGGCATTGCCATACCTATTTTGGGTGTAAGGCATGTTTGGTACTTGATCGCATGTGTTTATGCAGAAACTAGAAAATCATCTACGAGAGAAGGTCGGCAACATTCATGGGCATCTCATCAATTTGAGTTGAGTAGTACACTATCATAATTAGCTGGCAGTCCTTGGAATGAATTTGCTTTTGGAAAACCTACACTCAATGTCACGGAGGATGCGGACATCATCCTGAGTAACGAAGTTGATGGCCACACCCTTACGTCCGAATCGGCCGCTTCGACCAATCCTGTGAATGTAGTTTTCACGGTTTGACGGAAGGTCGTAGTTGATCACGAGCGACACCTGTTGCACATCGATACCACGAGCCCAGACATCAGTGGAAATGAGCACGCGGGAGTTGGCCTGACGGAAGTCTTGCATAATGCTGTCTCGTTCCCTTTGTGGCATATCTCCGTGCATCGAGGAAACAGTAAAATTGGCCTCGCGCATCTTGTCGGTGAGCCAGTCGACCTTGCGGCGTGTGTTGCAGAAGATGACCGCTTGTGTGATGGTGAGTGTGTCGTAAAGATCGCAGAGAGTATCGAACTTCCACTCTTCCTTTTCGATGGCGATGAAATATTGTTTAAGGCCTTCTAGCGTCAATTCGTCACGCTTGACTAGAATGCGCACGGGGTCGGTCATGAACTTGGTCGTCATCTCAAGCACATCGTATGGAAGGGTGGCGGAAACAACCACAACCTGAGTCGCAGGTGGGAGGTAGCGGTAGACGTCGTAGATTTGCTCACGGAAACCGCGGTTGAGAAGCTCGTCGGCTTCATCGAGAACAAGCATCTTGATGTTGCGCGTGCGGAGATTGCGGCGGCGAATCATATCGGCGACGCGTCCAGGTGTTCCAGAGACTACGTGCTGACCGTAGTCGAGCTTGCGAATATCCTCGCCAACGTTGGTGCCTCCGATACAGGCGTGGCATTGCACGTTCATGTAGTCACCAAGACCCATGATGACCTGTTGAATCTGGGTCGCCAACTCGCGCGTGGGTGACAGTACGAGTGCTGCGATTTGTAAGTATGCGCTTCTTCAGCGAAGGCGTATGCGATCCTACCTTGCGTCTCTCGGACAGCCGTGTCGATAACCTGGAGGATGGAAATGGAAAAGGTTGCTGTCTTTCCCGTTCCCGACTGAGCTTGGGCGATGGTGTCGCGCCCCTTGCAGACCTGCACAATAGCACGCGACTGCACAGCTGAAGGCGACTCGTATCCGTAGGCGTAGATGCCGCGCAGCAGGTTCTCTTTCAGGTGCATGGCCTCGAAGGTCGGCGCAACCGTGACCTCCTTGGAGGTGGAGAACTCCATCTTGTCGTCGGCATTTCGGTCGATTCCGTCCGCCATGTTGGCTTTAATATGGTGGGATTTATGTGGTGGGGTTGATGTTATTGGAGACTTTTGTTCGCAATCGCAACAAAGTTTGGGAGCAACTGCGTCTAGGCGTTGCGGAGGCCCGGAGCCTCGGCGATCCCATTCCGGATACTAGCGCGTTTTTCACTTTATGTAGCCGCGACAGGCTCCACCCAATAGCTTGACAACATTCACGCCCGCAAAGGTGTGCACATTCACTGCCAAATCGCTGCTATATCCCGAGACTCATAGTTAATCTAGGCGACCGTGATCATGCTTTTGGAAGAACAGCGCCAGCTTCACGAGGACCTGGAGCGCCTCGAGGATGCTGCCGCAGAGCGCCTTCTCGAAGACCCTCCACATGTACGTCTTCCAATGCGTCTATCGTGAACCACATGCTAATGTCCTACTAGATTCGCGACCGTCTTGCACGTGACCACGACATTGCGCGATTCCTTGAGCAGATTGAAAGCCAGTCGAGTCGCCTCCTAAAGATCTACGAAGATGTAGATGGCAAGAAGGAGGACGAGGTGCGCGGCCTCACCCACGGCGACCCGATGGAGTCCTTCTTGAAAGAAGTCGAATCCATCAAGGACTTTCACAGACGCTACCCGAATGAGCCTGTCGAGAACCTAGAGAAGGCTTACAAGAAGCGGTCGCCCGAAGACCACGCACAGTCCATTGCAGCCATCGACTCCATGTTCACTGGCGAGGAGGGTTTTGGTCGCTTCCTTGACCTAACCACGCTGCATGAGCAGTACTTGAACCTTCCTGTTCATCAGCACGCGCGCCGCCTGACGTATCTGCAGTACCTCGATCTGTTCGATGTCTTCACGCCTCCGCAATGCAACATTCGCCGCGATCAGAAGAAGTCCGAGTCTTACTTTCATTACTTGAAGGCACTGCAAGACTATCTCGAGAGCTTCATGAGACGGACAAAGCCTCTAGAGAACCTGGATCGACTCTTCGCTAACTTTGACAAGGAGTTTGAGGAGTTGTGGGAGAAGGACCAAGTCCCAGGCTGGGAAAAAGTTGCTCCTGCAGCATCGGCTGACAGTGAAGCCAAGGGCGAGGGAATCTGGTGTTCCGCATGCAAGAAGGGATTTTCAAAAGAGACAGTCTACGAAGCACATTTGACTGGAAAGAAGCACAAGAAGGCCTTACAAGAGAGCCAAAACGACGCACAAGATAGCGGAAAGCCCGCAAACGGTGCTTCGGCAGATATGCAACGCTTCAAGGAACGCGCCGTCGCCGAGCGAGAGTTCAGGATACGAAAGCTCGCTGCGGCCATGCAGACGGAGCGCGGCGATACCAAGATGAACGTGGAGCGAAAGCAAGGCATGACAGAACGCGAGCGACAACAAGAGCTGGAGCAATTGTACGCTGAGACACCCGAAAACGGCGCAAACGAGGAAGCCAACGACTCGGACGGCGAAGACAAGATCTACAACCCGCTCAAACTACCCCTCGCCTGGGACGGCAAGCCCATTCCCTTTTGGCTCTACAAGCTGCACGGCTTGGGCGTCGAGTTTCCCTGCGAAATCTGTGGAAACTTTGTCTATATGGGCCGCCGCGCCTTTGACAAGCACTTCAACGAGCCCCGCCACATTCACGGCCTCAAGTGTCTCGGCATCACTAACACGACCCTCTTCCGTGAGATTACGAGTATCAAGGAAGCTGAGGACTTGTGGAAGAAGATTCAGAAAGATAAGAAGAAGGAAAAGATGATGGCGGATAATGTGGTTGAGATGGAGGATTCCGAGGGTAACGTTATGCCTGAGAAGGTGTATCGCGATTTGGCTGCTGCGGGCATGCTTTGAGTGCAGTTAGAGATGTCCACGATTATATCTCGCTCTCGTATGATGAAGCTCGACGTCTCTCAAAAATTCTTTCTAGGTAAGACTCTCCAGCGTTTCCTTGCGCTTTCAAACGGTGTTCCATCACACCAACGCATTCTGTTTTCTTGTTCTCCCTCTTCCCCCCTTCCCGTCAGTCTCTCCACCATAAAGATTCAGACCCGAAGTCGATGGTGTTAAAAGGTAAAGGGGGGGGGGGGGGGGGGGAAACTGTAGCATGGCTGGCGTTTTAGGAGTTTATCACAAGCAGATATCAAGATGAAAAAAGTCATCTTGGCATAACTCAAGTACATGTGGCATGTATAAGATTAAAGATATCCCTGAGCAGAAGAAGACAACGAAGAAAATATCAGCTTGACTAGTTGAGCTTCATAGCAGAAGAAAAGGCGTCCATACGAGACAACTTGATACTTGTTGATTTCCCCTTTTTTGCCCCGTCTCTTTGACATCATTCATAAACATACTTAGTCATAACTAACAGCAACTCGATATCTACTCCAGCAAAAACTCCCAAAGCCCCTCGCCGTTAACAAAATCACCCCAAATAACATTGACAAGCCAGTAATCGCGCCTCAACTCACCCAGCAACGTACTCGTCGCACTTCTTGGGGGATAGATCCTCTGCCACTCGCGCCAAATACTAAACGCCTCATCGAGCCAGCTCCTAAAACTTACAGCCTCAATGATCGTCGGGGTAACGATTTCCTTGCCTGCAAACGTGCCCCAGGTAACGGGGTTTACGCCGTCTTCCTGGCTGGCTTCAAAGTCGCCCGCGGCGTTGCCGGCGAAATACGTGATTTGGTCGTGGGCGTCGAGTTTGGGTTGCAAGGCGGCGAATTCTGAGGCGGGGATGAAGAATTCGACAAAGGGTTTTTGGAAGACGTAGCCGTTCTTGGGGCCCCAGCCGAAGACAGGATCGGTGGACTTGATGCCGTTGACGGCGGGCTGTGAGGCGACGGTCCACCAGCCCTTGGCGTTCAGAGCGAGCAGTTGCTTGCTGATGGTTAAGGTTTCTGGTGATAGACCCTGTTCGCTCCACGGTATAGCTTCAAGATCTCCCTCGATATGGCGGCGAAACAGTGTCGAGATATCGTTCTTCTCAGTGGGGTGTCCCCAGAGCTTGAGTGCTTGTGGAGTCGAGACATGCAGTGTTGGACCGTAGCCATCAATCTCACCAAACGCAGGCGAGCGTGCGTCGCCCCATCGACCGTTGGGGAAGTCGTCCCATGTTGCTTCACGGCCTAGGGAGCCCTCACCTTCCGAAATCGCCAGGGTATTCGCGCGAGTGTTGATTGGCCCTCGCGGGATTCCAGCCTCTTCTTCAGTTGCTTCGTACGAAGGGTTACTCGACCGGGCAGCAGAAACATGTGACACTATCACTCTGTTACGTGGACCGGAGTTGACAGCTGATGATCGACGTCGGTGGGGCATGATGCCGTTGGGTGGCGGCTCCAAGTTAATGGCGGGAGTTGTCTCGACAATGACCTCATTGTCGTCAATCAATGTGCTGGGAATGAGTTTTGTGTCTTCCAGTATATGCGACACAGCCTTCTCCAAATTGAGCGTGTAGAAGTGGAAACCCCTCCTGCATGTGTCCGGCCGTGCCTTGATACGCTCTACTATCTCGTCCATGATCTGAACACCGACTTGCTTGACCAACTCATCGTCGCTCTTCACCGCATCCAACCGTGCAAGTATGTCTGTGGGTAGCTTCGCATGCGAAAGTTTGGTTGTTCGAAGCAGGATTTTATACGATTGGATTGGCATCAGTCCTGGGATTATGGGTATCGTCTTGAACACTCCACTCTCGTGCTCCCTTAGCATCTTCTCATACTTATCGTAGGCCTCAACATCATAGAATAGCTGCGTCATGATGAAGTCGGCGCCTGCCTTAGTCTTTTCAACGAGGTACGGTAGATCCGCCATTGGATCTTGGTGCTCAGGGTGGCTCTGGTCTGAATGGCCTTCGGGATACGCAGCAACTCCAATGCAAAAGTAATCGCCATATTGCTTCCGAATGTACGTGACAAGATCGACGGCCCATGTGAAGTCCTTGTTCGAGTCCTGCTCAGGCGGTGTATCTTCATCTCTGTACTCTTCACTGCGCGGTGCGTCACCCCTCAGGGCCAGGATGTTCCTTATACCTAGCACTTGTGCCTGTTCAAGCGCCTCGTCAATAAGCTGACGGTTCATGTTTGTGCACGTCAAATGGAGACATGTTGTGAGGCCCAATTGGCGCTGGCAGATCTCGGCCAGTTCGAGCGATTTCGTGGCTGTGGACCCGCCAGCGCCCCAAGTGACAGTAACAAAGAGAGGACGAAGGGCCTGCGACATGCGCTCTAGACGAGTCTGAAGGTTGGCAAAACCCTATATGGCACCATTAGTGCCTGCTTTTGCTATTCCGGTATCCGTCTGTTGGCCGTGGTCGCGTGCGGCGGGGTCAACTCACCATTGCCGTCTTGGGCGGGAAGAACTCGAGGGAGAAGTAGTTGGCGCCATCAGGCAGCGCGTTGATCTTATCCGTAATCTTCTCCATGGCGAAGAGGAAACCAAGGGTGGGATCCAAAGTGGTGTGGCGGAAGATGGGGTGTCATGGCTGCAAGTGAGGAAAGAACAAAAAGTGAGGGAAAGCGCATCTGGAAGCCGCTGGTGGGGCATCGGATCGACGGCCAGGATCTTTGGTCGCCATCGGCATATTCATGCCTTCTTGAGTCGCGTTCCCCTGCACGATGAATTGTCCGCAGATTCGCATAGCATAGCCTAGTACGGACCCATTATAGTATTGCCTGTAGTCTGCAGCTGACGAGCCGAGTACGAGCCGTTGCCATAAGGAGCAGTGCATGTATGCCTTGTACCACAACCGGAGCGGGGTCCCGAATTCCAGGAAGGATGCCACTTGACGGTGAAGTGTCCAAGCAATGAGCGTCACATATTGCTTATGCAATTATTGACAAGCGTAAATAATCATGACTCGAATCATACATAATGATCCATACAAGAACGCGCTGTTGAAGCATCAGCACCATGCTCTCCATACGCCTTGTCCAAACATTCTTATTGGCCTGCACCATCACGACTGCAGTCCCGCAGTATACCACCAACATGTCCCACCCACTACCCAGACGAATCGATGTACACTCTCATTTTCTTCCCCCCTTTTATCGCACTGCACTAGCTGAGAATGGGCACTCGAACCCCGATGGCATGCCCGCCATCCCAGAATGGTCTCTTGAGCGACATCTTGAGATGATGGCCACGGCCAACGTATCAAGGTCTGTCCTTTCCATATCCTCACCTGGAACGCACATTGTACCCGGCAAAAATGCATTGGGTCGGGATCTAACGCGCCAATGTAACCACTATGCTGCGCAACTTAAGAAGCAGCATCCTGACAAGTTTGGCGTGTGGGCCGCGCTACCGTTACCAGACGTCGAAGGTGCATTGGTAGAGATTGAAACGTGCATCAGTGAAGGGGCAGAGGGTTTCGGGCTAATGACCAACTACCATGGGAATTATGTCGGTGAAAAGGCGCTGGATCGCGTCTTCGACAAACTCAACCAAATCGGCGCAACCGTTTTTATTCACCCTACAAAACCGTGCATAAAGCATGGCAATGCGACATCGCCTGCGCAGACCACTGACGCGCTGCCCTTCGGCGACCAGTACCCTGTTCCCATTTTTGAATTCTTCTTCGATACCGCGCGCGCTGTCATCAACCTCTTCAGCACAGGGACTGTGGACCGCTGCCCGAATGTCAAGTTTGTCATTCCGCATTCTGGAGGTGCCTTGCCACCACTGATGACGCGCTTCATCCAATTTTCCAGTGTGGTGCCTGGCGGGAGGGTGTTGAAGCATTCAACAGTACGACGCCAACTAGAAACCCAGTTCTATTTTGATCTAGCTGGCTTCGCCTTTGACGGAGAAAGTGGTGGGAACGGACAGCTGAAAGCGTTCGTTGAGGGATTCAACATTTCGCACGAGCAATTGCTGTATGGAAGCGACTTCCCCTTTACACAAACGCAGTTCGTCAAGTCATTCGCAGATCGAATGAAGGATGGTCTGGAGAATCTCTTCAATGAAGAGCAAAGAAATGCGATATATGAAGATAATGCGGTGAAGCTACTAGAAGAGGGTAACCATGCAAGAATGAGGTTTGAACGGCTATGAGAGCCGAAGACAATAAATTGTTTTCGTAGCGACTTTTATATATACTTGTACGGGTTCATGATACCGTTCTGATTCAACGTTAGTCTGACGGCAAAGTTGATCCATGTGGGTAACACTTACAGGATCATAGAGATCTTTGATCTGCTTCATCAACTTGATCATGGTCTCACTCTTACTGTATCCAATGTACGGCTTCTTGGTAACACCCAAACCATGCTCGGCACTAATGCTGCCATTTCGCTTTTGTACCCACTCGTACACAAAAGGCTCAAGCTTCTTCTCCACAATCTTGTCAAACCTCCTTACTGGGATGTTCAGATGCAGGTTGGCATCGCCCATATGGCCGTATCCTACAACGTCAACAACTGGGTGTGTAGGATCACTACCGAGAAGGCCAGCCTCGGTCAAGCGGTCGCGCGTCTCATTGACCAGGTCGTAGAGCTCTGCAATCGGTATCGACAAGTCATACTTGTAGACACCACCGTCATGGCCAAGACACTCGGTAATGCCTTCGCGCCATGACCATAGTTCCTGAATTTGGGTTTGGTCCTGAGCGAGAACACCGTCCGAGACGACCTCAGTCTCCATGACGTGCTCTAGGAAAGATTGCAATTTCTTCAAGGAGTCAGCGGTGACTGTATATTTGAAGGAAAGTCGAATGCCTCACCTCACTGTCGTGGTCTGAGTTGGAACCGCTGGTCTCAATCAGGCAGTAGAAAGGATGTTCGCCTTCGAGTGGCATCTTCTTACCAGTTACCCTGTTTACCAGCTTTTGTGTCCGTCCGTCCATAAGCTCAAAAGCTGACAAAATCTCAGAAAGGTGACCCTTGGCCTCAATGTATGCTTTCTGAACCTTCTCGTAGCTTTCGAGGCCAAAGTATGCGACATTGACTGCCGGCGACCTTCGAGGACAGATGATTGAAACTTTTGTGATGATGCCAATTGTACCCTCTCCGCCAATGAAAAGCTGCTTCAGATCATATCCGGTGTTGTTCTTACGAAGCGTGGAAAGGTCATCCACAATAGTGCCGTCTGGAAGTACCGCCTCAAGACCTAATACGTTTCCGTGGAAGCTGCCATAGCGCAACAAACGGAGACCGCCAGCATTGGTTGCGACATTACCGCCGATGTAGCATGAGCCTTTGGCACCGAGATCCAATGGAAAGATATGGTTCTTCTCGGCGAGGAAGTTGTCGGCATTCTCCAAGATAACACCAGCATCAGCGACTAGGATACCAGACACTTCATCAAAGGACCTGATTTGGTTCATCTTCTGCATGTTGATGACAATCTCATCGAAAACCGGCACGGAGCCACCGACAAGGCCAGTGTTACCACCCTGTGGAACTACGGCGAGCATATTGTCATTGCAGTATTTGAGAATCTTGCTAACTTCTTCAGTAGAGCTGGGTTTTAGAACTAGTTTGGTGTGGCCGCGGAACTTGCGCATCCAATCACTGTTGAAGGGCTCGATATCCTGCGATGCATCTTTTGAAACACCATCAATGATAGCCGACTCTGAGCCCAGCAGAGTTTTGAAATAATTCACGTGCTCTTCGTTCAACTTGGTGAATTTTGAGTCGCGTTGGAGATGGGGGTACCTGACCGGCTTAGCAAAGTTTGAAAGCTTGCGCAAAGGTGAAGGCTTACGACTCCGAGGTGTATTTGATTGCTTTTGAGGGCGCGGTTGGGCCTTTGACGCCACCGTGCTCGTCAGGTTGGTGAGGCTCCGAAGTCGCTGACGAGGTACCGGTCCAACGAATTTGACTTGACAGTCGCAAACATTGGTAGCGCGATGATACACGCGAAGAGATTGCAGTTCGCCGCAGCGTCGACGATACCATGCGCGCCGAAGAAGCCATGGCAATTAGTGATGAAGAAAAAGTGAATTATTCCTATATCGCCTTCGGTGATAACTAACTAGTTAGCAAACAAGGATGACATAAGAGGAAACAGAGCGCACGTGCCATAATCCTTGGCATCGTTTAGGCGGGAGCATCGACGCGGCCAGCTCTGGAGCTCCCGCAAGCAGCTTGTCGCCTGTAACAACTTTCTGCCCCGCCTTCCCGCTGCTGAGTCTCACTGTCGAATTCTAGAGATAAAATAAGAAGAAGTTCAAACCACAGCACACAAATTACTCCACAATGGCGTCCGGTTACGATCGAGCTCTCTCCGGTACGGGCATATGCTGCTTGAAGTTGACGATATAGCTAACGGTGCCAGTCTTCAGTCCTGACGGTCACGTCTTCCAGGTTGAATATGCGTTAGAGGCTGTCAAGCGAGGTGAGCAGTGGCAGTAAAAGGAGTTGCAAAGGCAAAGACTGACTTGCCCTAGGAACATGCGCTGTTGGTGTCAAAGGCTCAGACATAGTGGTACTTGGATGTGAGAAGCGATCAGCAATGAAGCTGCAAGATACTCGGATTACTCCCTCGAAGATCTGCCTTGTCGATACCCACGTCGCTCTCGCTTTCGCTGGACTCAACGCCGATGCCCGCATCTTGGTCGACAAGGCCCGCCTGGAAGCACAATCACATCGCCTCACCGTCGAGGACCCTGTATCAATAGAGTACATTACAAAGTATGTTGCTGGTGTGCAGCAGAGGTACACACAGAGTGGTGGTGTCCGTCCGTTCGGTATCAGCACGCTCATAGTCGGTTTCGACCCCAACGACAAGACCCCGCGCTTGTACCAGACGGAGCCCTCTGGCATCTACTCAGCATGGTACGTCCATTGATCTGGCCCGGATATTTGATTGCGCTAATGCAGAGACAGGAAAGCGAATGCGATTGGCCGATCAAGTAAGACCGTCCGCGAGTTTCTCGAACGCAACCACAAGGAAGGCATGGACAGGGAGGAGACAATCAAGCTCACAGTCAAGTCACTGTTGGAGGTTGTGCAGACGGGTGCAAAGAACATTGAGATTGCCATCATGGCACCGGGCAAGCCGATCGAGATGTTGCCGGTCGAGGACATCGAGAAGTACGTTGATAACATCAACACGGAGAAGCAAGAGGAGGCGGCAAACAGGAGGCCTGGAAGGCAACCCGGCACGGGACAGGCAGCCATTCTGACCCGCCAGACTCCTGGCGAAGGCTCTGGAGCTGGCGGAGCGTAGAGAGACACGGATAATGAGTGATGGCGAAAAAGGCACGAATGACATTGATGTGGTAGAAGGTTAGACCTGATGATGAACCTGTCTAGTACAGATGATGAAGAGCTATCGCCCATGAAGAACATATATGTAGCATGTGACGATGCATTTCTGTTTGCCCAGTCCCCCGCTCGGTGCGTGATGCTGTTTTGTGGCGTAGTGATTGTGGCGTAGTGATTGTGGCGTAGTGATTGTGGCGTAGTGATTGTGGCGCTGATTGCAGCTTGTGTTTGCTGTGGTGGTGATTGGGGCGGAGAGGATAATACTCAGCCCAATTTGTAGGAAGCCTCTTTGACGTCGAAGATGCTCTGCAGCTGCTCGCTCCGGACACGGTCGTCCTTCAACATCCTGGATAGCGGGTTAGATAAGGGGGCCATGGGTCAGCGGGAGGGGTGGGGACATGCCTCGAGTCCTTGCGCACGTCTTCGCCTTCTACCTGCAGTGAGGCCTTGGGGGTCTTGGCCTCGAGGACAAAGTGGTTGTCGCAGTGCGGGCAGTATTCGTCGCTGTGCCTCGTCAACCCATATGCCCAGCGAGAAAGGAAGCTTTAGTGTACTCACGCATCCTCAAACTCGCGCGCATCCTTGCGAAAGGCCTTTTTGCACTTTTTGCAGATGAAGGTCATGTCAAAGGTCTGCATGAGCGGGTGGTTGGACTGCTCCTCGTGGCACTGTGCGCAGTCGAACCATTTTTTGCCTGGTCACTCCTGGTCAGCAAAGACACGTCGTCGTCGCTGATTGTCGCGGTGGCGTATTTAACATACAACAGGGGGAACGGATGGAGACCTGGGCGTTGAGGACGTGTTTGCTACATGGACCATGGGCGTCAGCGGGCTGGCGGCGGAGGTGGCGGCGGAGGAGGAGGAGGAGAGAGGAGCTCGTTACCACATGGCGGGCGAGGGCGAGGACCAGCAAATGTCAATGTACCGTAGTAGTGTGAAGTATGGACGTGTGTAGAGGTTGGATGCAAGCTGTGCTAGTCTGGCGTGTGCGAGGGTCGTCGGCCATTCGCCCGGTGCCTGATGATCGCCTGGCCGGGGCGGTGGTGTGCATGTGCGGTGCAGGGTTCCGGGGCAGGGCGCTGGCGGTTCCTGGGTAGTGCCATTGCCATGGTGGAGCATGGCCGGCCATGCCATGACGAGGCCACAGACATGCACACGCACGACGACATCCACACCGACACCGCCCTGAGTCGACAGCCCTGCCCTGCCCCCAACAACATGGCCAACGCCCGCCAGCTCGCCAGATGACTGCGCCGTTTGTTGCTGAAACAATCTCACACACCCCGGCCGGCGCCCGTGTTGTTCCTTGTCGCCGAAGGACAGTGTACGCGTCTCCACTAGGGAGCCCTACGGACAGCCTGCCTGGCCTTTGGGCCTCGACATAAACACGCCAGACAACTAACTTCCTGTCGCTGCATGCTGCCCACCACCGCCAAATGGGAAGCCGTCCTCGGTCGTCAATGAACATCTATAGGATTCCCTCTGGTGCCGGCTGACGACAAAGTCTCTCCCCCCACCACCACCAACACGCCCAACAAAGCACACGCCATCCTGCCATGGACAACCCACCAGAAGAGAATATGGATGGCTCGTCCATTGTAAGCCTGCTCGCGCATATACATAGCATGTTACAGGAGAAAGAACCTATGCACTGACCCTGACTACAGAAGCCTGTTTCCTCTTTGCGCGCCCAATTCGAGAATCTACTCAGTAGCAACAAGTCGACATCTTCGCTACCCGCCGCCCGTCAGCGCTCTCCCGGTGCTACTGATCGCCTTCCTGCGCCCGAAGACAACCGAAGGTCAGATGGGCGCATATCCCTCGATATACCCAGGGAGCATGTTTCCCACAGCTCCCTCAGCGTGGCCGACTACAGCGGCTCCGGCTCCGTGACGCCGCGGTCTAACACACTTGGGCGCATGCCCTGGAGCAACAGTGGGAAGCCGCGACCTACGTCCATGATGGCCTTCTCCCCCTCACCCCCCAGATCACCCACCAATTCGCCGCCCAAAGTTCTGGTCCAGTCTCCAAAACCTTCCCCCAAACTCGGACCTGGATCGCACGTTTATGCGCCGCAGCCCTCGCGACCGACCCCTCATGCCGCTCTCGAGTCCTCCAACGGCTCAAGCCGCACCAACGATCCGCAAAAGAGCGACCGCCCGACAGCGTCTGCGCCCCCAGTGCCTCCGCCTGTAAATCGGGCTGGGAAACCCAAGATAGCCCCAAAGTCGCATTCGGTGGATACGGCTGCGCGCGCAAATCTGGCACCAGAGGCCACGTCAGATGCTGTTGACCTGTCCCCCTTCAGTACGCCACCCAGTAGCAGCGGGGAGAGCGCCAAGGGCGAGTCACCGTACGTCAACTCGGGCTTCCTCAAGCCCAAGACGAATTCAACAAACAATGGATACTTTCCACCTCCTCCGGTGCATCCTGCCGTGGCCGAAAAGCTATCTTCTCTTGAGTCTCGCCCGTCAGGAAAGCAACCCATGAAGAAGGCTGCACCGCCACCATTGCCAAGTGAAATGCCAGACGAGCGCCCTACACTACCCATACGGAGAGAAAAGGACAACTTTGATTTGCGCAAGAGTGTGCAAATTCAAAGAGCGGTTCCGCCAGAGTTGCCTGTGCGCCGCTCTCTTGACCAATCCCGTCCTACTCAGACAGGACAAGAGACGGATAGCAAATTCAGGTTGCCTCCAAGGCGAACAAACACAACCGGTCACTTGTCCAGGAACCCTGCAAAGCCTTTGGAGCCTCCGAGACCGCCGCCCCCACGAAACTCTGGGGAAATGAGACGGCCTTCTCAGGCAGCGCCAATGCCAGCCTCGCAGCTATCGCAGCCGCGCTACTACGACTCCGACGAGGATGACACAGACGGAGACAAACAGCCAACCACTGCTCTAACAGAATATCCAGACTCTTCTCAAGCAAACCGTAGACCACCAGTGTTTCCTGACGGCACAACCGGAATCCCCACCGGTTACGAAACCAAACTCTTTGCCATCTGTGGAGATTACATATGCACCACAGGATACGTGACGAATGTATGGAATATTCTGAACGGACGATTGCTCATGAGCTTGTCGCATGGCGATACAGTCAAAGCTACAGCGGTTGCATTCAGACCAGCAAAAGATGTCGAGGATGAGGGAAAGAGACTATGGCTGGGAACAAATACTGGCGAGATGCTTGAGATTGATATCGCCACACAAAGTGTCGTGTATACCAAGGCCAATGCGCATGCGAGGAGCGTTATTATAAAAATCTTCCGGTATGCCTCAGAGATGTGGTCCATGGATGAAGATGGTGCAATCCACATTTGGCCAGCTGACGAGCTCGGGTGCCCGTCTTTGCAACAAACTCCACATACATTCCGCATTCCTCGAGGCAACACCTTCTCAATTGTATCTGGATCGGAGCTTTGGGTAGCCTCGGCCAAAGACATCCGGGTCTACTCACGCACCATGGACAATAACCATTTTGTTCAACTGACAGAAGGACCACTCTCGCAACTCAATGTCGGCGATGTGACTTCTGGCGCCATCATCAGCAGTCAGCCCGATCGCATTTACTTTGGCCATGCCGATGGCAAGGTCACAATATATGCCAAAAAGACCCTCGAATGCCTTGGAATCGTCAATGTCAGCGTGTACAAGATCAGTTCATTAGTCGGTGTCGGCGATTTTCTGTGGGCTGGCTACAGCACTGGCATGATCTATGTGTATGACACGAAATCTAACCCCTGGAAGGTCTTGAAGGACTGGAAGGCCCACGATAAGCCAATAGCCGGAATTTTGGCAGACCGTACTAGCATTTGGAAACTCGACAGATTCCAAGTAGCATCGCTAGGAACCGATTCCATGCTGCGCATCTGGGATGGTATGATGAAAGAAGACTGGCTTGGTAAGCTTACCCATGGTCAATTGATCTTTATGCAAAAGACTAACACAGCGTAGAAACTCTAATGCAACAGCGTGATTCCGAGTACTGTGAATTCCGAGAACTCTCAGCACGAGTCATGACCTGGAATGCCGGTGCAACCAAGCCCACAACAATCCGTGGCTCAGAAGAAGATCGAAACTTCTTCCGGGAATTACTCGAGCCTGCGAACCCGCCGGACATTCTGGTGTTTGGTTTCCAAGAGCTGGTGGACCTGGAAGACAAGAAGATAACCGCTAAGAGCATATTCAAGAGAAAGAAACACAAGGAGACGTCCGAGCATGAGCACATGTCTCATCAATACCGAGCATGGCGAGATCACCTTGTGCGTGTCTTGGATGAGCAAGTCCCTCAACAAAACTATGTGTTGTTGCATACTGCAAATCTTGTCGGCCTTTTCACTTGTGTATTTATCAAAGAGTCGGAGCGGGCCAACATTCGCGACGTGTGTGCAGCAGAGATCAAACTTGGATTCAGCGGCCGCGTGGGAAACAAAGGCGCTCTTGTTGTGCGCTTCTTCATTGACGATTCTTCGTTGTGTTTTATCAACTGCCATCTAGCGGCCGGCCAGACACAGACAGTACATCGCAACAACGACGCGGCTGCCATCATGGAGAGTGCTCCTCTGCCAAAGAATCGCTCGCCGACCTCCTGCGCAAACTTCTTCGTCGGAGGAGGTGACGGTTCCATGATTTTAGATCATGAGATTTGTATCCTCAATGGCGATCTCAACTACCGCATTGACGCCATGCCTCGTAGCTCGGTTGTTGCCGCAGTCCAGCAAGGAAATCTGGCCAAGCTTCTTGAACGCGATCAGTTGCTTCTGTCACGGAAACGCAACCCTGGTTTCCGTCTCCGTGCGTTCACCGAGTCGCCTATCAACTTTGCTCCGACCTACAAGTATGATCCAGGCACGGACAACTACGATACTTCTGAGAAGCAGCGGTCGCCAGCATGGTGTGACCGTCTCCTGTATCGTGGTCTTGGTAGAATCAAGCAGTTGGAATACCGGCGGCACGACACCATCAAAGTCTCAGACCACCGGCCTGTCAGCGGAAAATTCAAACTCCGTGTGAAGACGATCAATTCGAAGAAACAAGACGCTACAAGAGACAAGGCCGAGGTGGAGTTCGAAGCGGTTCGACGGCGGATAGCAGGAGATATCAAGTAAGTGATAGAAGTCCGGATTGGTTTTGAAGGAATGCTGACATAATTCTAGGCTGGATTATCTGATTAACGTTTTCGGTTTATCCAGTAGAGAAGCGCAAAAGCTACTTAAAGGAACATGAGCGCACGCGACACATGACAAACAATCGCGCTGTAAGCTTTGAGCTCCCGTTCCCGTACACCCGGACCGTAGCGTGGCTTTCAACCAGCCTCACGGAACAGTGACTTGTGTACCTATAAACGGGTGATGCAGTCATGACTTAGCAGGCATATGGTTACCCGAGACGCCAGGGAGCGAGCTACGGCTCACAACAGACAAGGATGCAAGATCAATCGTGATGAGATGGGGGGATAGCGGGATACTAATGACGTTTTAACGAATGGGGTAGCGTAAAAAGCATTGCATTGAGAGGCGAAATCTGGGCTTCGCATCTGAGCGACAAAAAGGCGCTTTCTTTTGGACGATCGGTATCCGTAATGAGACACAAAGCGAATCTAGAGCGCGTGTTGTCGCGTAGTAGTAGTTCACGGTGGGCGGTCATGGTGACGTCAGATGCGCGTATTGCAACAAATAAAGCATCAATAATGACGGTGAACAACCATCAAAAGCACACACAAACTCTCTTCACTTCACCACACTTCACTTATGTCCGCAGTCTCAATTGCATTTCGTCGGTCACCACTGCTCACGACCTCAAACGCTCTACCTCGTGCACGTCAATTAGCATCGCACCTCACACGACAGCACCCCTCAATATCCCAGACTTCTTTCAGAATGGCCCAGGATCAGAGCCGTGGTGAGGAGACGACAGGACTGTCAGAGTGGAAGCAACGTCCCCCATACCGTATCCACGAGAAGAACGAGGATTTCGATGTCAAGTACGAAGCCAACTGCCACTGCGGAAAGGTCAAGTACCAGCTCAACCGGAGAGAGCCTTTAGACAGCAAGCTATGCCATTGCACGACATGTCAGACTCAGCACGGTAAGCATTAGTATACGAACCCGCCATCAACATGAGTACTAACACCTCCCAGCTGCACCTTTCCAGTGGGCCGCTATCTTCCACAAGACAGACATCAACTTCACCCACGGCCACCACAACCTCGAATGGTACGACCCCACTGAGAAGTCTATCGAGCACAAGCTCCCATGCAAAGTACGCTGCTCCTACTGCCACTCACCCATCATGGACGAGGGCCGCAACATGATCCTGCTATTCCCTTCCCTGGTGCACCTTAAGACAGACGAAGACAAGGCCTACTTCAAGCCCCGCTGCCACATGTTCTACGGTCAGCGCGTCATGGATGTTCCCGATGGCCTGCCCAAGTGGAGTGGACTGAGCGGCGAATCGGATCTGATTGAGGATAGTCCACCTGATCTGGTTAGGGAGACTGAACGTAAGCGTGAGGAGGAGAGGAATAAGAAGATGTCTGAAGGAAAGCCGGATGAGGTTACTAAGGAGGGGACTCAGGGTAGGAAGGAGGGTACTGGCTCCAACACCGCTTAGAGGATCGAAGTTTGGGCTTGGGTGATGCGACGCCGACTTGCAGTTTTAGTAGCTACCGCTCATTGTGTCTCTGGTGGAAGCGAGGAAGCAAAAGCATAGACGGAATGTAGTGTATGAATAGATACCCGAATGGCAATCACAGCGAGTAACTTATTCTGTATATTTTCTTGCCAAAAATCACTCTTTGTGCACCTCTGTTACCTTTGGAAGGTATTTTCACTCAAGCCACATTGTTACTGATCCACATGTTTTCTCTTCCATCTCACTCAATCGAAATTTTTAGTGGCATACATGAATTCTCTTGGAAATTGTTCAAACATCTACCTATATGCCAACGCATTTCTTCCACTACCATCTTACTTACTCTTACCCGTTGGAATCTGGAACGCCACAACCGCCTCCCCATGCTTAAACGCACGGTCAATCCTAAAGAAGCCCTTACGATCAAACTGCACAATATCATCCACCTTGAGCTCCGCAACATTACAGTCCGCCAGCGCCTTTGTGCGCGTCTCAGTATTTGGATTGAGGAAATCCTCAAGCGTGTCTTCAGGCTCGAGCTTATCTTTAGTAATCAGGTAGTCGAAATCGACGAGTTCAATGGGGACGAGATCCTGGTCTTTGCTCAGCCAGGTTACCTTTTTGGACGTCTTCTTCACGTCACCCTGGAGGTGAAGCTCGAGTTCGAGACCGGTGACAGTGCGGGCTTCGCTTGTGAGGCCCGCTTTGGCGATGTCGACGGGGTTGAGCGAGTGAGTGATTTTGCGGACAATGGCGTTGCCCCAGTTCATGAGGGTGATTTCTTCATCTTGGGCAAAGGATTGTGCGTCAGCTTGCTCGAGGAGGACCGACGAGCTGAAGACAATTTTCTTGGTGCCCAGATCGTACTTTGCGTGTTTTGGTTTGTCTTCTGATATAATGCCCTCGCGTGCACCGATAATGGTTACAGGGACACGGCCCTCGTCGTCAATCGCTGTGTAACGGGCCGCAGTGGGCTCAATGTGCTTCTTGTTAGTGGCCCAAAATGCAAACCAGTCCTGGTTGACAATGTTCTTGGATGGTCCTTGCTTGAGGATGAACTCGCGGAGAGCAGGGATAACGGCGCCGCGGCGACGGACTCCACGGACAGTGGGCATGCGCGGGTCGTCCCAGCCCCCAACAATGCCGGTGTCGACAATCTTGGTAAGCTTACGCTTAGACAGCACAGTCTTGACAAAGTTGAGGCGGGCAAAGCCCCAGTTGTGCACCTTTCGGAGTTTGAGGTTCTTGATAAACCATTGGTACTGCGCGTCACGATCGTTGTACTCGGTGGTGCGTAGAGCGTGGGTAACGCCTTCGAGTGCATCAACAATTGGGCAGCAAAAGTCGTAGGTAGGGTAGATCTTCCACTTCTCTCCGGTGCGGTGATGAGCCTGGGGGTTGCAGCGGTAGATGACAGGGTCACGCATGGCCTTGTTGGGATCGTCGACAGACATCTTTGCGCGAATGCACCATTTCAGGCCTTCTTCATTGCCTTTCTTCATCTCCTCAAAGCGCGCCAGGTTGTCCTCGACGCTCGAGTCACGACGAGCACTGGCAATGCCATTCATACGTTCATCACGCATCTTCTCCTGAACGGTGTCGTCTGCGTATGCAAGTCCGTCCTTGATTGCTTGCACGCACATCTCGTACAGCTGGTCGAACCAATCGCTGGTGTATGAGACAGAGTCTGGCTTGATGCCAAGAAGCGCACAATCCTCAACAATGGCATCCTGGAACTCTTGCTTTTCCTTGGTTGGGTTGGTGTCGTCAAATCGCAGCAACAGCTTGCCCTTGTACTTCTCGTGTGCAAAATAATCGTTCAGCAACGCAGCCTTTGCGTGGCCGATGTGGAGATAACCTCTGCAACATAATAATTAGCTTCAAGTGTCTCTACCCCCAACAACGCAGAAAAACTCACGAGGGCTCAGGGGGGAATCTCGTGACAATGCCGGTACCATCTCCAACGTCTTGCAGTCCGATGTCGTAGTTGGCGTCGTCGTTCTTGCCGCCCTCTTTCTTTCCCTTTGCTCCCTCCTTGCCCTGTCCTCCACTAACAACAACCACGCTCTGGGGGTAGGCCTCCTCAATGTAGCGAAACCAGCGGCACAGGCTCTTCATCAAGTCTTGCTTGACAAAGGCATGAGCCACACGGTTCTCACGAATTGTTTTCCATACTGTCGTGTCCGCATCACTGAGCGTGTAACCGACAATGTGGGAGCGCAGAGTGAGGTGCGCATCCAGCTCAAGCAGGTGGGGCTCGATTTGCTTGAGGTTCAACGGCTTGAGCGCCTCAGCGCGGGTTTGCCATTCAGCAATAGCGGCGTCCATGATGGTCCGTTGTGATGCTTTTCAGTGTTGATTAGACCTGGAAAAAGTTGTGGCGGGGACCAAACAGAGAGTGAGGGGCAGGCGCTTATCTTATCTGTGACTAGAGTCACTACGTACTAATAAGACCACTGTTCAACATATATACGTCACTTGCATCACTCAAAAGTCAGATAATCGCGATTATTCAAAGCTGCGCAAAAAGTACCAAATACTCCATAATCATATTGTCACACCCTCCCATATCCTACAAAACGCCATAATCATGCGAAACTTCTATCGCAGCCGTCGCTAGTATGCTGAACACCAAACGCTACATCATTACAAATCATCAAGTAGTGGCTCACAAATAAGGCAAGAAGAAGAGGAAGAAGCAACTAAACTGCGAGCTTTTTTTGCGCCAAAGGAGAAATTTCTTTAAGCGCACTCCCATTGAGCAAAGACACACCACCTCGCACTACGATCTGCAAGGACCAAGCCTCGCCACGTTCCTTTCTCGCCAATCTTGATAACCGTCTCCCATGCTGTGCCATCAGCTTCACTCGTGGCGCTCATATGTTCAATTTTTCGTGTCAGACGGATAATCTTTCCAGAGGGTGTCTGTATCGCTAACTTGGCCGGCTTGTTACTGTTGCTACTTGCTGAGCCTGAGGAAGCCTGAGACGGATTGGTATAATTTGAGCCAGTCGCAGATATGCTCTGCATGCTCATAGCAGATGTGGGGCGAGCAAAGGGATTAGGTGAAGATCGACCGTGCATTGCGGGGCTAGGCTCGGGTGACTTTGTAAGAGACGATGGGTGTTGACGGACGCAAAAAACAAAGGTATTGTTCAGAGCTAAACTGGCGCACTGTGGCTGAGCGACATAAAGATCGTGTCTCTGGGCGTGCGGCGTCGGATGGAGAGTTAGGAATGAGTACGGAGGATTCATGCCAGAATGCGTTATAGGCAGACCAATAGCTAAGTTGTGAGGATTGAGCTTGTTCGAATGCTGCAGGGAGTTAGTTAACTGATTTCGCTACTGAGTTGGAAGAGTTCTTACCATCAGTCCCCGAGGTCCAGCATAGATCTTCAACACACCTTGGCCTCCATCGGTTGGGAGGAGTGCCTTGACTGTGTATCGCTTCTGTCCTCCATACCATTCAGCCTGTGCCAGGGCTGGCTTCTTGACTACGTCTCCACTCTCGAACAAGTCACCATCCATATCCTGGGAGTAGCATCTTGCCTCAATCTCAGCCACGCATTCCACGTCTTCAGGTACGTCGATGTAAATATGCGTCATTTCAAGGTTGTCCAGATTTAGCACGCTGGTGTCAAAGTTGACCACGTTGAGGCCGTGTCGGAAGTATGTAGGTGTTGCGCAGGGCAAGGCCATGAGCACTTCGTGAGGTTGGGGTGGACAGATGTGTTGCTGTTCCGGGAGGAGTGGCACATGCGAGTAGCAAATCTCCATTGGACGGGCCAGGAAGTACCAAGTCTCGGCGACAGACGACCCAGCCGTAGAATAATGCATGCGTTTTGGATGAGTAGGCCCGGCAAGTGCGCAGTCCATCACGCGCCATTCGCCTTCCACGATCACAGCATTCCAGAAATGGTTCGGTCGGGCGACAGATTCGAGATCCAAAGGCTCGCCGGGCGTCTTCAAATAGCCGCGTATTACCTCTGCGTGCATACCAACGGAAGCGCACATCTCCGCAACTACCATGGCAATTTCTTCAGAGCAACCACGCTTACTTTGCAGCACATGACGCGGGTCCATCTCCCCTTCAAAGTCTTCTTCCCACGAGATGCGTTCGCTGACCCAAGTGAAGATGGCGCGAAGCCGCTGAATGTCGCTCCGGTACGGGCGGCATATGTAGCCCTGTGCCAACGTGGCAGGATTTGTTCCCAGAGGAATGCTGTTAACGAAGCGTGCGCTTTTGTCTACATGAGAGAGACTGCAAGCTGAGAAGTCTGTTGGCTCTGTAATAGGAAGTCCATCAAGGCCTTCGTCGCCTTGGACAGACTCATTCAGGATGTCAATCGGGTTCAAAACGGGATAATCCATCATCTGGCACCTCTCAGCACGTTCCGCGCGTTCGTTTTTGCTCAGTGAATTAGATCGGTTGATGTCCCTTCGCACCTGCACCCAATCCACTGTGCCAATACCCATATCCCTCGAAGTGTTTGCTGAGTGCGTGGCCGGGCCGCCTTCAATGCCGGTTTGCTCTGGACCATCCATGCGACTTGCAGCGCGGCTGGTAGAACGGCCGGCAGCGCGACTAGCTGCTCGAGACGCAGGCCGACTGATTGTATCGATAGTGCTGCGAGCGTTGGCTGCTTGTGTCTTTGCAGTGTCGATCATCTTCCTAAAGAATCCGCTACGCTTCGCCTTTGGTTGCCTCAAACCACCAAGTGGGTGAGGATCGTCGCTTGCTTGCGTGCTGACAACGGCTTGCTGTTGATCGCTCGAACCGGGTCGCGATTGGGAGGCGTGGCTTGAGTGATAGGTCACACCAGTAAAAGGCGTCTCGGGTCGGCCGTCATCGAATCCATAACCCTTCCCTGGCATGTCTTTTATGTTCATTAGGCTCTTCGGGCGATCCTTGCCAAACTTCTTGCGGTAATAGCTGCCAGCACTTGTAGCACTCATGTTCGTAGCAGAGTGTCCAGACATCAAGCTGCGGTTAGTGCTGTTACTAGTGAGAGTTGTTGCCGTTGTTGTCGTCGAATTCGTTTTACTCGTAAAGGTACGGCCAAGTGCGTTACGGCCAATGTCATAAGCGGACTTGCGATTCCGGAGTAGCCTGGATCCTTTCCGCTCCACCTCTTGCTCGATGCCACCCATAGACGATCCTGGTCTCTGACTTGCTGTCTTCAACGGTACCGTAGGTCCTTGATCATCATCCATAAGCATGTCACTGCCATCGTTTTTCTCCTGTTGCTGCATTCGGCGTAAACGACTCTCCATGCGCTGCATGTAATTGTTGACATCTGGCGGGGCTTCATCATCGTCATCGTCATCCAGATCAATTGCTGACTGTGCTCTAACTTTCTGCGCGGATGCCTGGTATACTTGATCAAAGGCTTCTGGTGACCATGGGTTTGACGGTGATGGGACTTGCTCAGGTGATTCATTACTTTGTGTCGTGGTCATATCTTGCAAAGAGGACATAACATCGTTCATTGCTGTCGTAAGTGGCGAAGGCGTGAAGTGACCGCCACGTGACCTCGGGTCAGGCGAAGGCGGTTCGGGTGTGTGATAGCCAAGATGCGATGGAGGAGCCGGAGAAGGCGATCGACTAGGGTTGTAGGTGACGCGGTGCGGCGGAGGGGGCGGTGGTGGAGAGTCAATAGGTTCTTCGAGGTCATCATGATACGGCGCCGGTGAGGGGCCACGGCTGTGGTCTAGTTGGTGTTGATACGGCGATGGTGAGGGACCTCGGTCGTATGCGCGGTACTGAAAAGATGGGGCTGGCGATGGTGTGTGCGAAGGTCGTCGGAATGAGGGAGCCGGAGATGGACCTCTGTCATAAGCCCGGTATTGGTATGATGGTGCTGGGGACACGGCTCGAGAATGCTGCTGGTACTGCGCTGGCGGAATAGGTGACACTGCTCGCTGATGTTGATACTGGGTAGGTGGTATAGGCGATACTGCGCGTGGATGCTGCTGATATTGGGTCGGCGGAACGGGTGACACTCCTCGCGGATGCTGCTGATATTGGGTCGGTGGAACGGGTGACACTCCTCGCGGATATCGTTGATACTGAGTTGGCGGAATGGGCGATGCGGCACGGTATGGGTCATAAGCTGGTTGTGGTGGCGGTGCAGGAGAAACTGCTCTGCTGTAGCGCTGGTGTTGAACGGGAGGTGCGGGCGAGACGCCACGAGGCTGTTGATGTTGGTACGGTGATGGTGGAGCGGGAGAATGGGCGCGTATGCGTGAGCCGTGACGTGAAGGTGGAGCTGGGGAGACTGCTCGGGCTGCGGGTGTTCTCTTGGAAGGTGGTCGTGGGGATACGGCGCGCAGATTCGAGGGCGCTCTTGTCGCGGGGGCGGATGGCGGCGGACTTTCGCTACTCTCCTGAGACAGGCGCTTCATGGATGAGTATGGCGACTTCGTCTTGACAGTGCCGTTTGCGGAGTTTATGCCACCCGCACGGAGCCTTTCGCGGGCGGCAGCGGCAGGGTTCGGGGCGCCTGCAGCAGCATAGGCAGTGAAGGGTTTCCTGAACATGCTCTTTTGCTTCTGTGGCACAGGTTTGGGCTGTTCCTGCACACTGCTTTGCCTCGAGAAGCTCCCACCACTGCCATTGCGCGCCCATGGCTGGTAGTCTTCACTGAGCAGCTCGACAAAGTTGGATGGGAACAAGCCGACCATGCGCCTGTCGCGCTTGAGACGGCCCATCCACCAAGAGCCATCGCCCGCGTTGAGGACCTCGATCAGGTCTCCTTCTATGAATCCTAGGTCTCGCTTGGTCTAGAGAAAGCGGTCAGGTCAGGTGCCACAGCATGAGGCAGCTTTGGAAGCAGACTTACCTCTCCGCCCCAGGAATAGACTGCTTTGCACCAACAAGGAAAGCGCGTGGGCAGCGCCTGACCGACGGCCATGGCGGGGATTAGGTTTGTTGTTGTGGTTGTGTGTGGTTGACCTGCAACGGCTGGGATGTGTAACAAGGTGGATTACATGCGTCGCTGGTTGCGAGCGAGATGATGCGTCGGCCAGGCAAAGGACGCGACAGACAGCAATCGGCGGTAGCAATAACAGAAGACGGAGAGCAGTACGGAGAAGGTCGCCAGACCCCGAATGATAGCGGGCAGCGGTATAGCAGAGCAGAGCAAAGCAGAGCAGAGCTAACTAAGCAGGGCCCATGCGACTGACGTCTCGCCTTGGCTTGGTGTTTACCGACTCAAGTCGCCGCTTCCCCAGCAACAGCATCGCCTGTCCACTAGCGCCCCTGCCACAAGCGCCCTGCCCCACCCATCGCCAACACGTCAGCCAGCCCTCACCTCCATCCCCCTAGCCAGCTGCACCTCCAACCACTTATGTATATTTCCAAGTACATACCGCGCTATGCATGGAGCAATGCAGGGCAGCATTGCAGCACACTGGGATTCGCCCTCTCCCGTCTTCGTTCCCACGATGCGCTGCGCACACGCCGTGTTGTGAAAAAAAAACACGACGGGAACCAGATCATCTTCTGGACCTCTTGGGGCGGATTGTCGATGCGGCTGAGCGTTGATGCGCTAAACAAGCCGCTCCGCCATCAACCCATGACGCTTAGCCGTGATTGTGCAAGATTTACTGTCATGCGCTCTTTTTGGTCGCTACCACGCTGTTCAGGGCGGTACGCAGCAAAATCCCTTTGGGGCACCTGGGCCACCTCTGTCATCGGACATGATGGGCCCCACGGGAAGATCATAAGCAATACCCCGGTGCCAGCATTATCTGGAGAGTAGCAGTAGGTAGAGGAGCGCGGCGTTGCGATTCGAGAAACTTGGCTTGGATAACAAATACAGGAACAAGGTGAAGCTCTCTCTGTGCAGTAACCTAGTCAGGCGTGGCTGGTGGCTTGCATTCGATAGGGCTGTGATGAGCTACCTACTGGAACCGAACCCGTCCGTGAACCCTTAGTGGCTTGACCGTGGCTATATCCATACATGCATGCATGCTTTTTCTCGACTATCAGAATCTTAATCATGGTTCTGTTGGGTGGAGGGGGATCGGTCACGTGATAAACGATGGGCAGACAAGTATGACTGGCCCGCTAGTACTGAAATGGACCTGAGAAGCATCACAATGTTCAAAAATAATGAGGTCGGAAAGCAACGCATAGTCACATTGATCATAGCTATGGAATGTAGACTAAGAGAGAAATGAAGCGCCACTGGGGCGGATATGAACAAAAACACCCTTTCCTCCTCGACTGTGTGCTGGCTGGGCAGCTGGCATAAATGCTTGCTTGTTTGCTTGACGGCTGGCTGGCAATGCGAATCGCTTACTGGCCGGCGTAGAGCTTGGGGCCGGGCATGGGGTAAGACTTGGGGTTGCTCCACTTGTTGAACTTGATACCGGCATCGTTGGCGCTGTAGAGACCGGGAATCTTAACAGTGGGGCCGAGGGTTCCAGTGCCAGAGGACTGGATGTTCAGCTGGAAGCACTCCATGTAGAATTGGGCCTTGCCACTAAAGAAGGGTTAGTTCATGTCTTGAATGCTGTTGGAATGATTACTTACACGTGACCCTCGTGAAGACCGATGTGCTCGACACGGACAAGGTATTCACCAGCAGGAATGCTCTTCTGGATGGTCCACTCGAGCCTATCCTTGTCCCAGTTGGCCCAGCTCTTGTCAACACCAGGGGCGCTGGGGTTGGCAAGACCGCTCTCCATGACCTTGGTCCAGGCGCCGCTGCCATCGTAGTCCTTGACCTTTCCGGGAGCCTTGGAGATGTAGACAAATCCAGGACCGGGATGCTCGATCCTCTCGTTGTTGAAGATCTTGAAGCCAAGCTTGTCACCGGCCTTGACGGTGTAGGTACCGGTGTTACCAGCGACAGCGCCCCTGTTGCAGCGGAGGTCGTTGGAGTTGACAATGTCGTTGGTGATGACGGGGTTGTACGCGTTGCTGTTCTTGCGAGCGTAGGCATACTCGCCACCGATGGTCTGGCCGTTGACGACGAGGATGTTGAAGATGTAGTGGGCATTGGCCGCCATAGGCGCCACAAGCAGAGCGAGGAGAGCACCAGCCTTCATGTTGGAGGAGTAAAGAGCAAGTTGAATATATGTTCAAAAGAAGAGAAGGTTGAAAGAAGCGAATGAATGAATGAGTGAGTGAGAATCGAAAGTCGTGGACTGCGATGGTTTCTACAGCAAGGCGAACTGGGCCATACTTATACTCGGTGTCTTGTCCATGACGACGCTGGGAGTGGTGACCCAAGACATGAACTTCATCTATTCCCATCACGTCCCCCCCACACAGCGCTGTCATGGGATCCACTCGGGCGGAATGTTTGCAACGTTCTAGTCTCTATGTTTAATGAAGGCAGGAACGCCAACCATTGCCCAAGCCGTTTTAAGCGATGGCCAAGCCTCGCAAAAACAAAACAAGACCCAAGGCCGCCAAAGCACCGCTATGGATCTTGTTTCACCGTCCGACTCTCAGTCGCCTTGGCACTTTGCCTCAATCTATAATCTCCCGTCCTCCATTTTGCCTCTGGCGCCTTGCCAAGCCCGCCCCCTCGTCCATCCCCGCGGGCACAAGTTCTTTGACCACGTTTATTTGCGGTATTTGACCCCGTGGTTTCGTAGCTTGCTCTAGCGCTCACGCCAATGTGGTGATTTACCTTTAGCGCTGTTTTATATATCTCTTTCACGTTAGTACTATCCTTTCCACTCTAGGGTATAGCAACTCAAAGAGATCTTACTTACATTCTACATAAAAAAACAATCTAATTGTTTGAGATGTATCCTGTTTCAGAAAACCACCCGATCAAATAACACTTGCTATCCCAGCGCCGTCACGAGCATTGCTTAGCCAGCCTGCATACCTGCGAGAAGCACCTGCAGCGCCTTCTGGTACTCGATGAAGATCAGCCGCCGCATCTCCAGCCTTGCCAGCATGTCCCCCAACTCAACTCCATAACACCCATCAATGTCCTCCTTCCGTGCCCCCAGCAGGAAGGCATTCACTTCCCTGTCCAGTGCCTCATCGCTGCGTGCATACGCCACCCACTCCCGGGCGATTGGCCGCACTTCGCTTGGCAGCAATTCAAATTGCTCGACCAACAGCAGCGACTCAATGTCTTCATAGAGCAACGGCAACTGCGCTCGACACATAGGGCATGTCGGATTCCCTGGTTTCCCATCGCCGTCCCATAACTTCACCCAAGTCTGCAGACAGTTCTTTCCTATGATGTGGCCACAGGGTGTCTTGATTGGGACCTCCCCCCTTCTGCTGCTGTCTTGGCCAGTCCCTCCTGGCAGACTAGACAGTCCTTGCAATCTGGGCCTATCATTTCGTAGGCTATAGATGTCTGGAAGAACCCCACCCTATCGTCTGTACCAATCACGCCGGCTTCAACACAACTTCCGCGGATCGTTTGTGCAAGGTTACGCTCCTGGCGTGTGAGCCAGCCCACCAGCTCCACGAATGCCTGCCATTCAAGCGATAGGGGCTCCAGTCTATGCTCATAGAGAAGAAATTGGTACCGCTCCGGCAACAACACCTCACCGTTGCTCGTTAGATTAGTCCAAAAGTCACGGCCTCCGTACCGTAGACCACCGTCGCTCGGAAACGTGCCTCGTTCTTCACCGCTCTGCTGCAACAAGAATAGAACTCGCGCTGCTACCATGGTATGGTTTAACCCGGTCAACACCGCTTCCTGCAATTCAATGGACTCGGTTGCACAGATATCTCCGCGGGGAAGGGGGAAGATCTCCTTTTCGTGAGCCAAGTATCGAAGCCTTCGCTCATATTTCCTCATCAGGTGGATGGTCTTTAGCTGACGCTGCACTATATCGTCCGTCCACCATGCCGGCTTGCTGTTTTGCAATTCGGCCAAGAGAAATCCTTTCGTGAGAGACCTGGACATCTTCGATACAGATTGCCAGAGATGTGATATGAAACCGTGCCCCATATTTTCAATCTTACATGTTTTCATAACATTCTCGCTTTCTTTGCGAGCTTGTTCGCAAGTGAGGAAAATTTCCTCTTGTGAAGCGTCCATTGTGTTTACTTTGGATTGTGTCTCGATCTGTAGCAGTTGTAGTTCAAACCGTACTGTTTTTCAGCGTGATCGGGAACATTCTGTGACAAAACTGAATTTAAATAGGCGGTTTTCTTATCATTGTGCCTACACAATACATGGTCAAGTCGATGGTCTTTCGCAATGAGCGTAGAGGCTGACCCTTCATCGTTACTTGCACTATGTCACTGACCTGTCCTGGATGCTCATGTCAACCGATCATTTCACCATTGTAGTCTCAACATTGCACTGACTGAACACACAGAGCTTACTTGCATCAGAATATCAGACTCTGATCTCTCTGATCCCCTCGTTACCATTCTTTCAAACCTTAACAACCACAACCAACAACTCACAGATAACATCACACTCACGCAACAAGAACCACTTACAGTACAAGTCAAGCAACACTAGACCGCCAATATGGACAACGCTGAATTAGCTCTCAGCCAGCCTCCTCATGGCAATATCCCATGCTCGGATCAATGCCAGCCTTCAGCGGTAGACAAGCCGCTCAACAACGAGTCAAGCAACGCGGACCCTGAGCAATCCTCCCAAGGCAAAGCGGGCCTTGCTCCCCCCGGCTCCAACTCTAGCTCTTCCAATGAGTACAAGCATCAACGTCGCGCACTGCGCTGCTGTCTCGGCCTGCAAGAGCTAATCACCGCCTTCCTTGCCGAGCACACTCGGCCCTCCACCATCACCATCCAGGCCACCAACCATCGACGCATCATGCAACAGGCAGGCACACTACTCGTATCCATGGAACATGCGTTGCGCAACCTGCAGCTCGCGATTCCAGCCAAGTACCGCACTCTATGGCTTAGGCATCAGATCGACGAGTACACCACAACGCTGGAGGCCATGCGCGAATTCATGCGCGCGCCTGGCTCGTCAGGCCGTGTCTTTGACATCGGTAGGTAGGTTGGGCTCCTGCTTTCTTCGAGCACTGACGAGTGGCGAATGGGGAGATTGAGAGTTGTGAGGCGATACATGACGGACGAATGACGATGGGAAATATGGGTACGACGTTTCACGCAGACAAAAATCTATAACTAGTGATCATAAGAGTAGAAATCTGAATTTACATTTCACACCGTTTTGCTTTTGCACCGTTTTTTGTGCGACTAGGATGTTTTCGTGCTTTTTTTTTGCTTCTTCTTTTCTTTGCCTTCTTTTGCTTTGCTGCCTTGTCGGTTTCTTTTGCCGCCCTTCGAACATGACTAGGGGGAGGGGGCGGGTTCTCGAAGTCTACCGGGGTATCGTGTTTCAGATGTCTTCTAGTTACACATAGAACAAATAAGCGGGGGGGCCGGACACGGAGGCTTGCTGATATACAAGAGAAAGGGGGATGGGAAAATTGTCAACAATCAGATCGACGTGCGAAATGCTGGTCGTGTGGTGTTTTGGGCGGAGTGATGTCGTGGTTTTTAGGTTGAGCAAGTTGTTATGGTTATCGAAAGTTTATTGGTAGAGCTGCAGGGGTGGGGGTGTGAGAGGCTTGCCCCGCTTGGTAAGTATACCTGCAGGGTCTTTGATGTACGCGGCCTAACTTGGTTTAGCTGCCGTTCAGCATTAAACCAGCGCGTGCGCTCGTTGAAGAACGGCTTATTGTGTTGGTTCAACACTTCAGTGTATTCTTTGGTAGTGCGGTTATGTGGCCCTCGTTGGTGTGATCTAGGAGTTATGTAGATTGATTTTACATAATGTGACGAAACTAGTGAATTAAGATTTGAACCTACAACCACGATTCTACTTTATGAATGAATGTTAATACAATGACTGATTAGACATCGTGTGAATCAGACAGGATGACGGATCTGTATGTGGAACTTGACGAGCTTAGCAGTCGACTGAAAAAAAAACGTTCTTATTTTTTTTAGATATACTTCAATTATGTGGTCTATCGGAACTGACACTTAGTGGGAATGATGATTAATGGTAAGTTGTGTTATAACCAAATCTGTTGTCAACTGGGAACTCTGAGTGTAGAAATGTATACAGAATTTTTGCACCGAGGTTCTTATCGCCTAGTATGAGCATATTTGTGTACGGTGCGAACTATGCTCAAATTCTCTTTTACGCTTTGCAAAAATCATCGTCAATTAAGGAGATAGCCGAATAGACGAAACGCAGATTTTTAGGCGTGTCGCTTTCAACACAAAAATAATAGGGTGAGAACTTCTAAAACCTACAGATTTGAGAAGTACTAATAAAGAGTGTTCGAGAGGCGTTTATTTCATCGATTGATAAGCATCATTTTGTCTGAAATTGCGTGGAAGAATTTTGATTATGGTATTATCTTGCATGGCACACAGGACCTGAACCGATAGGTGATATATCCCCAATCATCTTTTGTAGTCCATGACAATACTAAATGCATCTTTCTAATGTTTCTCTGAGTAAGAACAACGTATCCAATTTCTGTTGCATTCGATGTAACATTATCTATGTACTCCTCTTTCGTCTAATTTCCATTTTCTTCCAAGCAGTTACTTGGTGTATGTTTTTTTTTCCACGCAAAGAAATAATTTCCAACACCTCACGCAGGACTTGTATTGAAAACTATTCTATAAAGGATAGGCTCGGGATTCGGGATAGTTCCAAGAACAACCCGAACAAACGCCACAATCTAAACCCATGATCATATGCAAGTATTAACTAGTGCAGTTTACCAAGAGAAGCGCTGTGATGCAAGAAATCTATTTATGCAGGCATTGTCATAGAACAGATGCGCACAACCCGAGATATGTCAGAGATACCCGTGCTCCCACATGTGTCGGTGCCATTTTCGTGTCAAAGCAGGGTATTCCTCGTATCTCGGGAAGCCCAGAGCAGGCTGACACAACTAGTCCGTGCGTCTCATCTATCTCAACACCTTGGCAGCGCATCGCGCATCACCCACCTCTTCGAAGCCAAGCATTCGCCAATCTGCACTAACTTGGCCAAGCAAGTCGGAAATTAATGACAAGAGCGGGGGAGCGCAGGGCTCTATGGCGTGACTGGGCGGTGATTGATGCGAAATAAATGGCCCTTCTAAACTACCGTCATATTGTCGATAGAAGATGAAGCGCATTCTATCCTGATCGATAATGAAAGTCGATCAGCAGACGAGTAACAGTGTCTTACCCCATGAATTATACCAAGTCTCATAGCTGTGCAACACGTCTATATTTGGTGTTACTTCAAATATGCAATTTCTAGCCCAATACACATGCCTCCTGCACGGAGGCGACGCACGCATGCTCGTTCTATTCTCACAGATATGGATGTGTATGTCTGTACGTAGCTTGAGATGAAGGGTGCGTCGGGCTGCTTCTCCGCTTTCCGGTCGGAACGCCAATATGTAGAGCCAATAGCACCGCTACTATTACATACGTAGTAGCACAACTGCCGACATAGTCAATACCAACAAACGCCCTTGCATACTCAGCCACGAAAGCATAAGCGCAGTCTTCGGACATTGTCACATCAGGCCTAACAATGAATAACTACTCTACGCCAAATGGCGTCAATCACGGCCTCCAAGAATCAGGAATCCAGCCTCGGCTGTACTCTATCAACAACCTGCCGTCATTGGAAGACTTCAAGAAGCTAACAACAGAGTCTTCATCAATTGACCATCCACTTGCAAGCACTATCGAGTCGCACGTGCCGATATATCATCTGCCCAATTATTCATCGTTGAGTCCAGAACAACTTGCTACTCTACAGGACGAATGGTACCACATCCTGCTTTCAGGCCCCGGTGTCTTCGTCGCCAAGAGCCTCTACAAAGACACGTCTCAAATTGATGACGTCAACAAAGTATACTCATCAATAATCGCAGAAGAGAAACAAGCGTCCAGCCAACGCGGCGGCCACTTTGCAGGCGCCGGCGCAAACGACCGTATCTGGAATTCACTATCCAAACACTGTCTCTTGGATGCAGCTTCATTTATAAAATACTACTCTAATCCTTGACTTCCATTAATATCTGAGGCATGGATCGGTCCGTATCACCGCTTGACTGCACAAGTCAATATCGTGAAGCCCAGCGCCAAAGCCCAGATTTCGCACCGAGACTACCACATTGGGTTCCAAGATAGCGAGTCATGCGCGAAGTTTCTAAAAGCAGTGCAGATTACATCGCAGTTTCTCACGCTGTAAGGTGCAGTTGCGCATTCGGATATGCCCGTAGAAAGTGGTCCGACGCGTTTGTTGCCATTTAGTCAGAAGTTTGCGCAAGGGTATATGGCTTATCGGATACCTGAGTTCTAGGACTTCTTTTTGGAGAACTATGTCTCGCTGCCGTTGGACAAAGGCGATGGGTTGTTCTTCAATCCTGCGCTGTTCCATGCTGCAGGTCAGAATGACTCTGTGGATATCATGCGCTCAGCGAACCTGCTGCAGATTTCATCGGCGTTTGGTAAGCCCATGGAATCGATTGATACTTATCCTCTTATTGAGCACACCTGGGATGCGTTGTCAGAGATGTATGTGAAGGATGGGCTCACTGATGAGGTTAAGGCGTTTGTCAGTGTTGTTGCAGAGGGGTATCCGTTTCCCACGAATCTTGATAGGAGAGTACCAGAGGCCACAGGTATGGCACCGACGAGCGAGCAAGACTTACTCTTGAAGTGCTTGAAAGATCATATGTCAAAGGAAGATGTGTTGACACAGCTACTGAAGATGAAGGAGGATTCGAGGGCGTGAACTGTCATGCAACCATATGTTGGATAAGTATGAATTTCCATCTATAATCATCATGATGTAGTCGTATGCCTAAGCACAGGTAGTAGAATACCACAAATTCTGTTATTCGATATCTCATTCAATATTGTAGTTACATAGATGCTCACTGGAAATTCGAGTACGATACAACACATCTCACAATACAATCAAACCCAACCGAAAGACACTCATGAACATTATCAAACACAACAACTAACCCCCACCGTTCGCTATACACCTAACATGTCAAACCAATCCAAAATTTCCAAAAAAAAACACTATCAACTCTTACATACCCCAACTCTATCGACCTTCCCTCATGTTCACCACACATTCTCCTTATTCCCAAACCCATCACACCACCTACCCACCTAGCATACCAAGCCCGAAAGAAGCAAGAATAAACAAAAATGTCCAACACAACCCCAGACACCCTCCTAAAACTCGCCTCCGAACTGTCCACGCTCGGTACCTCTCTCTCAGCTGCAGGCACCAAACTGGCAGCCGCAGCTACGTGTCTGGAGCAAGAAGCAGCAAATATTGCTCTACTTAATGCACAGAAGTGGGGGATAGATGTTCAGGTTCGTTTTTATCTTTCTCATCAATTCACTAGTTACATAGCATAGCCTTTTAGAGGAACTTGTATTGGGAAGGATTGTATCATGGAAGGCTTGTTTTATAAAATATGTTAGAGTAGAGGATGAGCGGAATAACTAACGAGTAGTGATTCTAGGTTGCGGTGAGGACTGGACCAGGAGTGTACAATGCACCGGGCCAAGGAAAAGGGGGGGGACATGAGGTTGTCATCAATGGGGTTAAGAAATGACTCGTTATTTTGGAGAGGATGTGAAAAAAAAGAAATAGTTGTTTCGAGATAGGGGGAACACAATGGGCAAGTGTACCACTTGGACAAGGTGGGAATATTCGATACTGGATCATGTACGAGCTCTTCTTCACGAGAAGAGTAACTATTGGAATATTTATTGGTATTTACTTCCACTCGAGTCATCTGCATCATATGATCACAGCTCTTACCTCCTACCACAATGCTCTGACCGTGTAAACATTGATCCGCGCTCAGGCACCGGAAACCTCTTCGAGTCTAGTAGAAAGTTTTTATCTGATCATCTGATAAGATCCGAGGTCGGACAAGCTTTTACCCAATCACACTGAGTCTCATACCCGAACAATCTCCGCTGATTGTTCCAGGCACATAACTTCATGTAAGCGTACACTACAAGCGTCCGTTGGCTATGCTACAAAGAGCAATTATGGCGTGACTGTAACTTTTAACGGGCATCTTTTCGGTGCGCCAGGGATGCACTCCAATGGGAAAAATGCCTCGGTGTACGATTTTTCTCATGCACAAGTCACTCAAGAGCACGTGAAACCAGTGGGAAGTCGAAGGTAAACTTTACACGTAACACGTGAAGAGATGTATTCTCCTATTAGTCTATCATATGATCATTGTAGTCTGATCAGCGTTGTAGTAAAACCAAGTAGTGGAATCAAAAAATCAGTAAAATGACCGCCCTGCCGTGATTCGTAATCTTTTTTTTGCGACTGCTAATCCCGTCACATGGGATGTACAGTCAATCGTGATGATGAGTCTGCAACGACCGATGCAGATAAAGTATGGCAAAATGATGATCGTTGGAATCAAAGATGGAAAAAATGTAAAGCTAGTTCTTGTCACAATCTAGCATAGGATGGTCATCGGACTTCTTCATGGGAGTGGAAGACTTTCGGCGCCTCTCTTCTGCTTCTTGAACCAAGCGTGAATATGTACCATCGGATGGGCGAGGCTTGATGGGACCCGGAGCATGCTGCAGAGTAGTGAGGATGCTGCTAGCATCCAGCTCCATGGCGCTGTACATACCGGGCTCCATAGTGAATGTGTTCTTTCGAGCATCTTCCTGCGCAAAGGTCGGAGGAACAGGCTTCAGTTGACGCCAATCCATCTGCGTGTCGACTCGCCCGACAAGCAGCTTGAAAGCATCGCTGCAGCCAACTGTGTCTCCGCGACCCACAGGGCTGCTCATGTCGATACTGGTAGAGGCTTTGGGCTCCATGGTTCCTAGCACAACGCTCTTTGTTGAGTTGCGTCGAGAGTTGGGCGGTGTCGCTTCGCTGCGAAGCTGTGCAACCCTTTGGCACCAGGCGCGCTGCTCGGGGTTCGCTTGACAATCAGCACAGGAACCGGGACCGGTCACAGCCACATTTGACTTGACAGGCTCAGCAGAAGGGGCAGTTGAAATGGGTGCCAGCGATGAGGTTGCATCTGTAGCTTCAGAACGCAAACTTCTGCATATGCAGGACTCTGGCTGGTCTGCGCAAAAACCACAATCGGGAAACTTTGCGTCTTCGGTCGAGGAGAGGAGTGCAGCTGGGTCGGCATCATGGGTTCTTTTTTTACTAAACGCAGCTGTAAAATCTGTCTCGAATTCGCTGTGGTCGCGTGGCTTATCGTCATCGAGCTCTCCATGGTCGGCGCGAAGGACGCCTGTCATGGGATCGACAGGGCCTTGGAAAGCCGCGTCATTGGTCATTTCGGCTAGACAGGCGCAATGGTCTTTTGTGCACCGGTCGCATCCCAAGTCTGTTGGTTGAGGGCTGGGAACGAGAGCCTGGGCATTGAAATCGGTATCGAAGGCCCTGCGGAGGGGAGTGTCATGACGGGGGTAGGTGAGAGGCATGGAATGAGGTTGGCCAGAGACGGCTGACAGTCTCTCCTGCATATGGTTGTAGGCCGCTCTCCATTCTTCGACTTCGCTGATGAGTCTTTGATTATGTTCTTTGAGTTTATCGATTTGATTTCTGAGTAGGAGACACTCTCTCGCGTGGTCAGCATTGGCACTCAAAAGTTGCCTAGAGGCCTGATTCAATGACTCCTGCAGATCCAGGACAGTCCTCTGCTTGCGCTGGCGAAAGTTGCGCTGCGACTGTCGGTTTTGGGCCTTGCGCTTAGACTCTGGCTCCTCGGTGGCAGGCTTGCGGCCGGGCTTGGGGCGTGGTGGGACGACATGGGTCTTGCTGAGCGGGCCCCCGCCAGTCTGGGGAGGGCCAGCGGTGTTGGATACAGGAGACAACGTGGCGGCGGAGTCGTGCGCAGGGACTGCGGGGCAGGGGACGAGGGCTGCCAGTCTGTCAGTACCAGTATATACCGTCAACTGTGGTGTTGTGCAGCCAACAGCCGCGGCAAACCGCGGGTGGGACAAGGGAAAAGCAATGGACGGGTGTACACTCACTTCGACTGGGTCGGCGGGAATCAGTGTTTTCCACGAGCGCGGTGGGCGACTGAGGCGATGCACCGGGCGAGTGGTAGGCGGTGGGCGAGGCAGTATGGCCAGCAGGTGTACTGGTGTAGTTGTCGAGCATCTCGTTCCTGATAGCCACTTCTTGTTGGGTAAAGGTCAGGTGCGAATGGAGATGCGCGCTGTTATCAGATGGATATCCTAGTTTATCAGATCGAACCACCAAACCCCGAGTCCCGCCGAGCTCGGAGCGGAGCGGGAAAACTTACCGGCTGTCTGAAGCAGTGAGCCGAGCTGCACTGCAACACCAACACCCTGTGCCAGATGAGTGCCGCTGCTGCCAATACACTCATCAAATCTCGGTCTATCAAACCCCATCGACTGCCCAAGCAGCTGTGCATCCAACTCCCAGTCAAGGTCCATGGCGATGCTGATGATTGCGAGTTGCGTCGCTCGATAGCAATGGACTGCCTGAGAGAAGACGCGCATTTGTCAGATTCTGTTCACTACTTATATACTTCTGTGCTCGCTCTCTTTTCAGACACCTCTATACTAGGCAGTGACGGATCAAACCACAATGGTTCGGCAACGACCATGGATCCCACAGCTGGCCCATTTTTTTGTGCAGCCCTCGGCCTCAACACGCTGACATTCTCTTCAAAACTTATTTGCTAGGTCCCATGAGAAAATTGAAGAAAAAAACGTACCCGTTCCTTATCTACACGATGGCGTTCGTATATATCAGGACCAACTTTCCTCGTTATAGTCACGAGAGTCACTTCCAATAATGGTCCCCCACCACAAAGTGCTCATTCTACTTGCGTAAGTCTCCGTACTTCTTGGACATACTAACCTCCATCAATCGAATAAGCCACGGAGAGTATCCCACAGTCCTACCCAGCAGTTCCGAACAACTATCTTGCATACGCCATGCACAATTTGCAAGATTCTTGGCGTGGAAATGAGGCGCTCTGGTTCATTCTACTAGCTCCAGTTGAGCGTACCCCGGCAAAGCAGTCTGCTGAACCAGAGGCCCACTGAACACCATAGCCATTACCCAAAACCTATATTGTGGTCCCTTGTCTTTCAAGACGCACACCCTCGCCTGGCACCCCCAGCCTCAGAATCGCAAATTGCCCATGGTTCTTGGCCCCTCGGACTCTTTACAACATTTGCATGGCCCACCTTACAGCACTGCTATCCATCAACGTGAGCCACTACAGTGACTTCATTGATCAGGCTGTAGGAATGCTATAGTGCACTACATGATACCATGCTGGTGATGATCAAAGGCATTCTGCAACTTGATGTGTCATATAACCTTTGGTGGTTCGAATGAACAGAGCAAGAAAGCAGTGCGTGAGAACCTGGCCGCGGAGTCCAAGGCTGGAGGAGTTCAATACGGATATACCTGTTATTCGTTCACCAGGGAAGTCGCATCCAATGCCGTGATGTCATCTTCTCCATCACAATCAAGGCTAACACCTTGCACACTTCGGGACGCTGAACATATGGCTCCACACCGACAGAATTTGGGATAGCAGTCGACTGATGCAAGTCGCGCTACCCCATATCGTAGGCAAAGCGATGCCAGACGTGCGAAAACATCTTCCCATCTTATCACTTTTGCGTTGGGGGACACCACGTGCACAGTCAGCCCATTGTTGCAAGTGGGTGATGTACATGCCTCTCCGCACTTGATCAGCAAGGGCGAAGCTATATGGCCCCGTTCCGGGCTGGCCATCAATGCCTTTAGATCCGACATATCGTTTGTAGCATACTCAGTAATGGCGAGGCTTCACTTGTAATCACGCTGCCGCGGAGCATGTCTACCTGGTGCCCCTGTAACCTTGTGTAACAGCTTCCATTTGGTCCAACATGACGATTCAGTTTCGTTGCTTCGGGTCCTCCGCATCCATGATCTAGCCTTGTAGACCGCCAGTCCGTGACTTAATCATATGGGTTAACAACTAGCACCTCCGGTGGCCCCAGTCTCCAGCCCCTTTGAAGCACAGGCTGGAAGCTCCTCTTTCTCACTAACAAGTCATTGTAGCCAGAGTGTCTTATCCACGCAGCACTGATTTTGACAAGCGATATCTCACATTTGGATGTCGGCTGCGTGCTAAACTGGAACCTTGTAGGCCACTGAGTATACTGGCATACCTGTCGTCACTCCAGCCTCATATCCCCAGATTCAAAATCGATGGATGACCATGACTATCAAATGGAGAAACTTAATCATCACTTCCATCTCAATGACCAAAACAGCCAATCGTATCATCTTGAGTGCCCAACGTGCTATACACACCGTGAACACAGTGTCTCCAACAAACCCACAATCTATCAAGTCTTCATCGTATCCCCACACATACTGCCCCCTATTACCACCCAATCATACGCGAGCCATCCCCAGGTTCAGACAAAGTAGAAGTGGAGACGATCAAACACACGATGACTTCTTATCCACCTTATCTCCATTAGTGAGCCACAAACTGCGAGAGAAGCGGCCCACAATTCCCACAATTAAACAACGAGTCAAGTCTGGTCTGGGAAAGCAAAGCCTAAGATCTCACCTCTGGACTCACGATCTGCATTCATTTAAAATGCGCTAACCAGTTTCGAACAGGGCAGCCTCGTTTCCTTCTGGCAATATTGCGGCGCTGGCAATAATGTCATGGTAGTGTTGAGTAGTGAGAAAATTGGTTGCAAAAACCAGAGTCAGCGCCAGAGTATTGCGCCGCACCAAATTTACATGGCAATAATGCGTCTATCCAATCCCATACTGAGCCTTGCTTTATCACCTATTCTTCATCCCAGCGCCTCACTACCAGACAAACACCTCCAAAAAAACGGCCCCAAATCTTAGGCACTCGCACGGAATACAACGCTGTTTCCGTGTCTCCACCTTATCGTCTCTCGTGCGTTCATTACGTGCAGCGCCCGCGCAAGAGCCTGTTCAGAGTATCCCTTGCCATCCACCATTTCGCGCTTGAGCGTCGACAGGTTGACTTGCCACCCGATGGGCATACGACGCCGGAGTTCCTCTTCCACCTTGTTGACCTCATCCATAAGTTCCTTTGAGCTCTGTCCTTCGCCCTGATTCACCGCGTCCATGGTAGACGCAAGGAACAGGCGGATTGCTTCATCGACGTGAGACTCATCTGCTATGGGCGAGAGTGATATTTTGGCTAGCGACTCTGTGATACGGATGATGGCCTCCAGTTGACGCACCGTAATCGGAATGCTAGACCGTTGATTGGCGTTGACTTCGGAAGCGTGCACTTGTCGCCTGATGCTAACAAAGTGGCTCGAGAGTTTCTCCGCTGCTTCGGGCGAAAGACGAGGAGCGCACCGTTGCCGGCAGTAGGTGATGTAGCGCTTCATCTTTTCAATCGGTATCTCAGCTTGTACACTTTCTTCCACACCGCGCCCGCCCATGGCGATGCCCATGACATGCTTTGCTATCCGCTCGTCACGTCCACGGTCATGCTCGTCGCGCACAATGAAAATCATATCGAAACGCGACAGAATGGTGGTTTGGAAATCGATGTTCTCACCAGGTGTCTTCATATCGTCGTAACGTCCGAAAATCGGGTTAGCAGCCGCCAAAACCGATGTTCGCGAGTTGAGAATCGTTGTGATACCTGCTTTGGCAATGGAAATGGTTTGCTGCTCCATGGCTTCGTGAATAGCTACTCGGTCTTCGTCGCGCATCTTGTCGAACTCGTCGATACACACTACACCACCATCCGCGAGAACCATGGCACCTCCTTCGAGATAGAACTCGCGCGTGTTGTGATCACGTTGCACCGAAGCGGTCAAACCAGCGGCTGAGGATCCTTTTCCTGATGTGTAAATGGCGATTGGCGACACTTTCTCGACGAACTTGAGCAACTGCGATTTAGCAGTACCTGGGTCACCAAGAAGAAGCACGTTGATGTCTCCACGAAGCTTCATTCCATCTGGCAGAATCTTCTTTGAACCGCCCATTAGCAAGCAACAAATGGCCTTTTTGATATCCTGGTTTCCGTAGATGGAGGGCGCAATGCACCTCGAAAAGACGTCGTAGATGTCTGGTCTGCGGCTCATCTCCAGGAATTCTTGCTCTTCCTCCTCAGTAAAGACGGCATTTCCCTTAGTGCTGTGGTCGACTTCTGCGTGAATACCAACAGCGCGTATATAAGGATTGCGAATGGCTACAGCAGCGTTTCCTGCACGCTTGGAACCCTTTTGCTGGTAAATTGAAAAGACGCCCATGACGGAGCACCGTGTACCGGGGACAACGCGGTTAGCGAGATACCTGTCGGCAGAAATCATGATATGACGCGGCAGTTCACCAACTGGGACCTTGTCAGGCGCCTCCTGTAGCTTGAGCACCTGCTGGTCGATGAACTGGCAGCGCTCGTGCATGACATAGTATGGATCTAGCGGACACTGTTCGCCGACCTCGCCTTCTCCTCTTTTCCTACTGCATGTTCTCGGAAGAGAGACCCCTGAAAAGCCTCCCGCTATGGGCAGAATCTCTTCATGCTGGCAATTGCGGCATCGAATAGCAAGGGCTGTAGCCTTTGAGGAAAGCGTGGATGCACCAATGATGATACCGGGTATGCGTACGAGTTGTGAGACGTTTGTGGCTGTGAGGTCGCGGATCGAGAGCTCCGAGGCGTTGGAGTGAAGGAGCAATTGGTGCTGAGGTAACGAGATGTTCTTCTGTGAGGGGTAGACGATGCGCTGCGTGCATGTCTTGAGGGCGGCTTCAAACTGGCAAATGTCAATGCGTGCATGTAGAAACAGAGAATGTAGCATACAAGAGGTATGATTTCAGCAGGGTTCTGTCTAAGGTCATGGGCCAGCTCGGGGCTGTAGCTGATGAGATGGGCAACATCAATGTCACAGTAGTATTGCTTCAAGAGCACGTTCTCCCGTATTTGATCTCTGGAGACCGTATCAGCCCCGCACTTGTTACTTCATAACTGTTTTCGTTGTGTACCTGTAAATGAAGATATTGTCCAGGGTAAACTCCATGATGAAGTCCACCAATGCTCGTTGCACGTGCGAAGGCGCAGTGTCATCCTGAGGGCCATCGCCTGCCTGGCTGCCGAAAAGGCTAATGGAAAACGGTGTCTGTCTGTCGGCCATTCTCGTCGTGGGTCGTAACTCGTTATGGTGTTTGTGTGTGGAGGTAGAGAGGGGCAGACGAAGCCGTCGTTAGGGGCGACGCGAATTGTGAAGTCGCGCTCGCGTTCTTGGTCTGAGCGCCCTCCATTTTGCAGCCGTCTTGGGCCTAGCGCTCCCCGCTCCAGCACCTTTTCCACGATGGATATCAGACTGAGCTTCTGGTAGTAGTCCTATTGCTTCCCTTTCTAGGTATGCCTTCAATGATTGTAAATTCCTACCTATCTAAATTGTCATGGTGAAAATCTGTCTCAATTGGAACATCGACTCGACGTGCAAGAAGCACGTTCAGAGTTGACAGTAGGATGTGGACTATTGAGAGATACTCAAGATAGAGACCAAACTAATATGTGTCATGATTTGGATTATCGGTGGGTAACGAAGAAGAGAACAAAAAATATAGCCTAGAATAGGTCAAAATCCCTAGTGCTTGGTTAATAACCGAGAGTTCAGCTCGCTTCAGCATGAAAAAGGTAGCTTGTATTTGAATAGCGGTAGCGATTCATACATTATCTGAATGTATATATCTAGATACTGAAGAATTCTAGATCGTGCGTATTCGTAAAATGGAAGCTGTGTCTCGGTAGCTGAGCAATCTACGCCTTACGGAAATCAAATTCCTTAACATCTCCAGCTTTAGTCTCCAACCTCATACGACCATTAGAAAATCCTTCTGCCTGTCTAGCAGCAATTGTAGAATTTCTGCCGCCACCGTACTTCAACACAACCGGTCCCCCAACCCTGCTTTCCATCCTCATATGCACGAGTTTCCCATCCGCCCACTCAAGATCAAACACGAACCCCCCTCTCGCTGCGATTCCATTAACAGACCCATCATTCCATGCTTCTGGAAGAACAGGCAGCAGCCATACTTCTCGTACGCCCTTGTCGTCGACAACGTGTGATTGTAACAGACCTTCGGCAACACCGCTTACGAATCCCAGGTTACCGTCGATCTGGAAGATACCCTCATTAACATCCATGAGATTGTTGAAAACGCTAGTGTTGAAGAACTGAAACGTATTCTCCGCAAGCGCAGTCCTATTTTGTAAACGAGCGTACCAATTAATCGTCCACGCGCGCGACCAGCCCGTTCCCGCACCGTTATGCGATAAGCGGTCCTCGAGCGTAGCAGCCGCGGCGTTGAAGAGCTTAGCGTCGTAGCCTGGGGCGCCAGGAGGAGGGATTTGGGTTCCTGGGTAGAGAGCGTAAAGATGGGAAACGTGACGGTGACCTGGCTCGGCTTGTTCGTAGTCTTGCATCCATTCCTGCAATGTGCCTGGGTAGCGAGTCGAATATCGGTACGGTGGGAGCTTGGCTTGGGTGTCGCGGATGCGTGTTAGGAATGCTGAGTCCACAGTTGAGTTTGACAGGGTGGCGACGGCGTTGAGGTAGTTTGTGAAGAGCTCGTTGAGGATTTGAACGTCGCATGTGGGTGCGGTGTCGAAGTTGTAGGACTTTCCATCTGGACCTACGTATGTGTTTTCTGGGGAAACAGATGGGTTGGTAACAAGGTACTCTGTTCCATTGGCCTTGTAGGGCTGAAGTGTGTCCAGGTAGAATTCAATGGCCTCGGATACAATAGGCAAGTTTGAAGCTAGGAAGCCTTTGTCGCCCGTGTACCAGTAATGCTCCAGAATGTGAGTGACGAGCCACCCAGAAGATAGTGTCCAATATGTAGCGGGTAGATACGTGTCGACAGGCGCCGTGTCGCCCCAAAGATCTGTGTTATGATGGCTCATCCACCCAGATGCATTGTACATGGCTTTAGCTGTGTGCATGCCATCCTTGCGCATCAGTTCCAGAAGATCAAAGAATGGAGCATGTAGACTAGAGAGACTTGTAACCTCCGCGGGCCAGTAATTCATCTGAAGATTGATGTTGACAGTATATTTGGAGCCCCACAATGGGTCGAATTCTTTGTTCCAGATGCCTTGAAGGTTCGATGGCAAATTACCAGCTCGCGAAGAAGCGATGAGCAGATAGCGACCGTAATTGTAGGCCAACGCGACCAATCCAGGATCATTCGCGCCTTTGCGAGTTGCGTTTATTCGTGCATTAGTCGGTAAGTCGCTCGTCTTGAGATCCGGCCCATTCAGATTAAGCACGCTGGCATTGTAAAACGGCGCATAGTCCTCAATGTGGCGACGGCGGAGCTCTTCATAGGTATGTTGGCGGGCTTTTTGTATAGTGCTCTCCACAGCAGCTCTAGTATCGTTGTGGCGGTACGAAGTCGCAGCTGCAAGGAAGGCCGTCGCTTCAGTAGCATTCTCCACGACGATAAATTCGCCAAGTGTCCTGACATGACCGTCCGACTCAATCGCCAGAGCAGTAGTAAATACTACCGGATCGATGCCGCCAGTTCCACCTGTCATGTATGTCCAACCGTTTTCGTTCCAGTTCTGATCAGAAGCTTCGTTCAAACCATCCTTAGGTCGATGTACACGTATTTGGAAAGACAGTTTCTCGTTTCCCGTTGCTTTCAGGCGGTGCACAAAAACATCGTCTGGTACTGATACGAACATCTCCCGCTCGTACAGGGTATCGTTGACCCGAAACCGTACTCCAGCCAGAGCTGTGTCGAGGTCCAGCCACCGTTCATACGTAGTCTTGTCGTATTTACTTGTACCATCAAAAGAGATCTCCATATCACCCAATGTTTGGTAGTTTCTGCATGTCTGCGGAGTACCCATCATGCCCAAATTGGCCAACTTTTGCGCACCGGCAGCATCGCCTCGAGCAAGTAAGTCTCGAACTTCCGAAACTGTTTGGGCGCCATTCTGATTTACTCGATCTCGCCGGCCTCCTGACCATATGGTTTCTTCGTTAAGTTGTATGCGTTCCTGTACCGGTATGCCATAAATCATTGCTCCGAGGCGGCCATTACCAATGGGGAGAGCATCGGTCCAGGTACTTGATGCGACGGGAGTAGTGTACCAGAGACGAGTGCTGTTTTCCCCTGCTGCCAATGGCACGAAGCCAAAAGCAGCAGCAAGAATTGCCGTGATCAACATTGCAAGTTCCGAAATGTTATGGCCAAATATGGTCAGAACGTATGGTTTTATACTTCATGTGACTCCACTATGGAGTCAAGATATGGTGTGCCAATACCCGACAAGATGGCGATCTGTAACCGTCCCCCGCCTCATTGATGGACCGTATTTTGCCCGTGTACGTACGAGGTACTGCTGATGAACTATGTAGGTCGTCCTTAGCGCAACGTCCCCCGCATTCCATTTTCAGACCTCCGGCGCAGATCGTAGGCGTAGTAAAGGTTGTTTTTCGTTGCATCGGGTTACATTCCGGAGTAGTCCCGAGGAACATAGTGTTGTATTTAGCCTCGGGGTAAAAGGCTCCATCGTAGTCTTGGATCAATGAACTAGCATACACCCAGCAGCCGGGTTTGCACAAGAGCCATCCATGCTTGACCTTGTTTATTTATCCATGAGGTATGTACTCATGCTACGTTTTTCGCCGTTTGTGATTGCTTTTTGGGTGAGGTTGATTGTGGCTTTCTGGTAAATCAGCCCCCACCTATCATGAGATCAAACAATCGCTCGCTGTCGCCATGTATTGCATATTCTGTTTTCATTTCCAACAAGATAGCAATTGTTCAAGTGGACCTTGAGTCGATGATCTACTTGAAGAAGTTGGGGTAATTGGAGAGATTGACGTCACAACAACATGTCCCGCCAGCGCTAGATCTGCACCCCACAAGAGCCGATCTTGTCCCTATTCTTGATAGTCAATTGTTTGACAGCGGCTTGATACATACAAAATCCAGAACCTCTTTCACTACTGAAACGAGGAAGTTTCTCAAAATATCGTCTGCAATCTCGAATAGTCATAACGACTTGCCTTGACTAAACGGATCGCTATGGTGTCGTGAGCATCAACGGTCGTCTTGTATTTCCCTTCAAACTTCCCTAGCTTTTTCCCGGTCCAGGAGTCGATAATTGTGTATGCAACATCAGGATCAAGTTCTGGAACCTCCGAAAAGTCGACGGTTTTAGTTTGCACAGTGTTCAACGTGTTCATGACGAACACATGCACGCCCTTGGATGAGAGCCCGCTCCAATACTCAGCAGGATGGGTCCGATTCCACGTAAAGTCCGGGTTCACGCCCCATTTGTATGGCTTAGCGGCGGGACCCACGAGTGGATCCTGGTTGAAATCAATGAGCTCTCTGTTGCTTAGAATCTCCAATATCTCTGGCCTGATATTGTGAAGGGGTGTTCCAATGATAAGAGGCGACTTCAGAGCAGCCCACATCGCGAAGTGTGTACGGCTCTCCTGGAAGGTCAGCTCGCCATTGCCCACTTGGAGCATGTCCCAGTCGCCATGGCCCCAAAAGTCGGTGCCATTGATAAAGAACGATGCATGGTTGAGAATAGGCATTACACCCCAGTCTCCATTCTGGACCTCTTCCCATCTAGGTCCGATGTCCCCCCACATTCGCCAACTGTGGCCAGTCTCGTTGCCCCATTGATCAATGTGAGCATTTCCCCATACACATTGAGAGAACTGTATTGGACGATTGGTAACGAGTAGTGCGTCTCTCATGTTCTTGTAGCGAGTATAGGTTTTGGAGGACCTCCAGTCGTACCCATCGGGTGCTGGAATTACTTCAGTTTCGGCATCATCACCAGCCTTTTGATCGCCAGTAGGAGGATCAGCCATCCATTCATCTGGTCTCCATCGGTATCTGTCCTGCCATTCTTGAGGGACAAAACAGTTGTCGTACTTCAAGTCTGCTTGTTGTTAGTTATGTTTCTGACTATCCGCGTCGCACCTACAATCAACGCCCCATTCTGCGAACGTCTCTGCATCTAGTCTTTCGTTTCCAAGAGAGCCGGCGTATCCGGCACATGTTAATGTTCCCGAATCACTATAAATCCCGAATCTCAACCCAAGTTTGTGGATCTCATCCGCGGTATGTTTGATGCCCTTGGGAAACTTGTTGTAGTCTGGTCTAATCTTCCCAGTAATATCATCGCGCTGATAATCTTTATCACTCCAACAGTCATCGATGTTGACATAGCTGTAACCGAGATCCTTCAGGCCAAGGGAGACCATAAGATTTCCTACTTCCACAAAGAGTGTCTCGTTAATGTCGCATCGATACACATTCCAGGAGCTCCATCCCATGGCAGGAAGACGCCCAATTTTTTCGCCTGGAGAAGATAGGAAGCGCGTCCCAAACAACGCGAGGTTGATGCGCAGTAACTTCGACACCGTATCGAACATTTGGAAGAGCTGCCAAACTCTCTTGGTCTTAGAAAAGACTTATAGGATTGAGGTCATGAACTTGTATCCGGGACGATCCACAGAGATCACATTACCCCGCTGAGTAAGACGCGTAACCTTTCAGCGCGGGACACAGACCCCATGTTGCCTGAGAATTGGTGCTGCGGGCATTTCGTGTCAGCTGCACGATCGTCACCTTAATACGAGGGACGGCATGCCTCAACTTTCTTGAACGAAAGCAGAGCAGCTACAACCACTAGCAAATCGCCTCATTACCTAGGCTATTAACTATTGGCTACTTTATCGCCTTTTTTGTTGTTGTTGCAGAATCAAAATCGAGAAGTTGGTCATGGAGATTTTGTAGAGTCTACGAGGATGAATGAAGGCATGGCAAGAAGTACCGAGCACCGAGACTAATGTGAATTACGTCACAGGTGGCATTCCCACCATGAACCCCTCTCTGCGTAACAAACTATAACCACTACCTGTACATATCAAAGCATTGAGAGTTTAGTGTTTTTGACCATGTTGGTGACGGCCATGATCATGAGAATGTTCATGGTCATGTTCCTCCTCGTCCTGTACCCGCGGCCATTCCGCCCAGTAGCCGTCGTCCCACATTTCCTGTAGAGTCTCTTCCTTTTCATCTTCATCTAGCTTCTTGTCAAGCAAGACCTTTTCCCACTTCTTCATCTCACTGCGACTCAGCAAGCACGAATCGAGCGCTTTGGTCATACCATCCACATCGAGCTTCTCCCCGATGAAGACTATCTCTTGGCGACGATCTCCCCACTTGCCTTCAAAGTCGTTCTTGATAGCCTTCAAGGTAGCTTCATCAGCACCCCAGTCTTCCTCAGACACGCAGCAGAACCAAGGCATCTCAGATCCGAGTGTCAGCATTGCGCCGGCGGTGCTCCATGAACCCATCTGGTTAGGACGAGTTGCGAGCCAAAATATGCCTTTGCTACGGTGAAGACCACCGAAGTAAGGGCTGGTTCTTTTGTTCTCCAGAATCTGCTTATCATCAATTGGAGGAGTATCTCCATCATTGCTTTCCTTGTCGGAGTCATCACCAGAGGTGCTGGCTTTGCCGGATTCAGATGATCCATCATTGTCATCTTCTTCGTCTTCTTCGTCTTCATCATCCACATCTTCTGCTTCATCTTGTAGAAGAATAAACTTGCCCTCGATCAGTCGGTAGAGCTTCAAAGGATCAAAGGGTCTACGAGCACGATACACGAAAGACCCGATTCCATACCTTTGGAAAAAAGTAAGCAGTAATCCCAATTTTCCTGTGGATCAACTCACTCTAGTGTTTCTGGTTTCGGCGCAACACGCTTCTTGCCATGGACATCCATCACAGTCATCTCGTGCAAGCTCTTCAGCCATCCAGCACTTGCGACTGCCTCACCAAAGTTGAAGACACCCGTGTTCAGCATCTCACGGACATCCACCTTTGAGTACCTGGCTTCAATAAGCTTGGCGTTCGGGTTGAGAGACTTGATGTAGGCCTTGACGCGGCCCAGAGTTGCAGCATCTGCTCTGTCAATCTTGTTAACAATGATGACATTAGCGAACTCGATTTGATCGGCGAAGAGATCAGAGATGGTGCGCTGATCCTCGTCAGGTACCTCCTCTCTTCCAAAACGGTCCTGCAGGAACTCTGCAGTGTCGAACTCAGAGAAGAAGCGAAAAGCATCCACAACGGTGACCATTGTATCGACAGTCGCAATTGTCTTCAATCCACCGATCTTTGCACTTCAATCCAAGTCAGCAAGTTAAGTCGCGGTGGCCGCCTCAGCTACTCACACTTTGGTAAACACTTCCTTCTCATCTGGTTCCAAACCCTCCGCATCAAGCATAGCCTCAGTCAACTCGGTAGTAAACGTCTCAGCAACCTGCTGAGGCTCACTGATACCCGAACTCTCAATCACAACATGATCGAAACCCTGCTCGCTCCATGCAAGACGAGCCAGCTCGACGAGCAAATCGCTTCGAAGCGTGCAGCAGATGCAGCCATTCTCCATCTGTATCATCTTCTCCTTGATGCGTACCTCGCCATTGCCATTCGGCTTGTTACTGGATCGGCTTATGATGTTGGCATCGACGTTGACAGAGGCCATATCATTCACGATGACGGCGATGCGCAATCCATGGTCTGGTGACTTGAGGATATGTCGTAGTAGGGTCGTCTTTCCGCTGCCCTGTCGTCTGTAAGCATGATTTGAACTCCCTCCTGAAGATACTTACAAGAAAACCAGAGAGAATGGTAACTGGGAGTGGCTTTCGCTCACTGGCCTTGTTCTTTGGCTTCATCGTCGCACCACTCGTCTTTCTGCGCTTTGCTGGCGGCATAGAGTTTTTTCCTCTTGGATTCACAAGAGAGATTGAAAGATTTTGAGTGTCTAAATTTTTGTCTGGATGATTTTTGTATCCGCTTCTTCGTCGTTGTGCGTTGGACCAATTGAGCACCTCGATGGTCAGGTCACATCAGCACCAAAGGCACGCATCTTATTCGTCTAGAGACTAGAAACGTGCCAAAAGGGCAATTGCTATGCTGTTTGGAGTATCCCGTGCTCATATTGGGGTTGAAAGCGGACGTAGGACTCCAAGCGAGTGATGGTCATTGGCTCTGACTTGGTAGAAAGACGAGGTCGGTCCTTATTGGACTTGTCGTCTCTAAGACTGGATACTCCGAAGGCCTGGAAGAATATGCCCCGAAAACCCTCTACTTTACTGCACCAGGTTCTCTGTTATGTTCACCAGGAGACGTATCCAACGTTCGTCTCGCGTAAGGGTTCTGGGAGCAAGTAACGCCGATGACAGCAACGATCGGCTCCCTGATCTCTCTAGATCAGAATATCCATGTTGCCATAACTAGTATCACTTACTACTCCAATATATATCTTTGTGCTAGGAGAAACATGTATTCTGAATTCAAGATTTGATTGGAAGCCGTATGCATGCAACTTAATCTAACTCGCATGGTACCAGGAAATCTAGTAACCAAATACTCGGGAGAAGAACATACGAGTCAGGAGCGCAGATTAGATATTAAGTTATCAGATTTCTATCATATCAAAAGCAATTCATCTGTGGAGGCAAATTGCGAAGCAAAAACATTATTTTATTTCATAATTATCTTCATCAAAGGAAAACCCTCAATAAATTCATACAAATCTACGACAACCGCCTACGATACTTAGCAGTACCATTACCACCACTAACATCAGTATCCAACACTGCAACACTAAGCTCGGGCATGACAAAGCGGAACACGCCATCGCCTCCGGCCGTCAGAACAACATTGGTAGTGTTGACAATGTTGACACCAGTAAACGGGTCATTGTACATGTAGGGATCGCCAACGGAGTTGGTAAGAAGCGTAAGGTTCGCCTTGGCACCCGCGGCAACACCGTCAAAGTGGACGGAAACAGGTACGTCAACGCTGTTAGTAGTGTTGAACACGGCGCCCTTCCAGACGCGTGCGCCGCCACGGTTCTCGTCCATGCCGGCGCCCCAGTAGAGCGGGCCGTAGGACGCGTTGGAGGATGTAGGCAGGGTGTGGGAAATGGGGTGGTGAGCGAACAAGCTCCAGCAGTACCAAGTGACGGCTTTGGTAGTACGCTTGGGATCGGCGTCGTACTGGAGGAGGGTAATGGGCCACTGGAAGCGGTTGTTGTTTTTCATGACGGGGGCGTAGAAAGTGCCAGGGATGCGGTCCGAGTTGCGCTCGTAGCCGATGAGGGAGACGGCTTCGCCGACGGCACCGATCCACCAGGGGAAGGGGTACAGGTCGCCTTCCCAACGGATACCGCCGTTGACGTGCGTGGCGGCGACTTCACCGACGATGTGGCCGGCATCGTTGTCGAAACGGTTGAATTCGTAGACGAGCTCGTCGGGCTCGCGGTAGGGGTGGTAGTCACCGAGAGCATCTGAGGGAAGGATCTGGCCGTTCTTCTTGTTAGGGCCGTAGAGCGGAGGTGTGCCGCCTGGGTCGCTGGAGGCAGCGGAAGAAATGACAGTCATGTGGGGGTAGGCCTTGCGGATGGCGTTGTAAAACATGGGGAAACGGTAGGCGCGGTAAGATTCCCAGCCGCCAGGGAAACCAGCAAGCCAGTCCTCGTTGCCAACCTCGACGTAGTTGAGCTCAAAAGGCTCAGGATGACCGAGCTCGGCGCGGCGGGCACCCCAAGTGGAGTTCGCGGGTCCAGTAACGAATTCAATCTCGTTGAGTGCGTCTTCAATATAGGCATCGAGATCTTGCTGGGGAGTAACGCCACCGTCAAGAGCAAGACCGGCCCAGACACCCAAAACAATCTGGAGACCCATGTCCTCTGCCCACTCAAGATACTCCATAAGACCGAGACCGTGGGTCTGTTGGTATCCCCATACACCCTGGAAACCAGGACGATAGCGGAGGGGACCAATAGAATCTTTCCAGTCCCACCACGAGTCGTTTCGGAGACCCTCGAGCATGTTGCCACCGGGGAAACGAAGGAAGTGGGGGTTCATGTCGGCAAGAGCCTCTGCAAGATCGACACGAAGTCCATTCTTGCGGCCCTTGTAGGTAGGTGGGAAGAGAGAGATGAGGTTGAAGTCGAGTGCGCGTGCTGCGGCACCGTCGAAAGTGATGGCGAGGGTGTTGTTGGAGTTGGGAGCAGCCTTTTCTGGGACGAGCTCAAAAGTGTGCTCAGTCCAGTCATCTGCAACAGACTGGGAGGGGATTTTGACAGAGCCGAATACTTCGTCTGTAAGGTTGGATTGAAGGGATGCGGTAAAGACACCGTCGTATGCTCCCTTGACCCAGAACGATCCAGTGTATGTTTGTGGACGGACGTCCATACCCCAGTAACCATCGTTCTTGAAACCGATTACACCAGCGCCGGAAGTACCATTGCCAACTGATACTCGCATCGAGGCTGGGAGCTGCTTGGAGAGCGGCTGGTCCAAGAACTGAATGCTGAGGCCAGCATTGTTGATGGGGAAGTAGTGGGCGGTGGATACGCTGTAGTTCTGGCTGAATTGAAAGGCACGGTTTTGAATCAATTCAGCGTAGATACCACCATCACCAGAGTTGTTGATGTCCTGGAGCATCAGTCAGTATGGGCTGTGCTAATTGAGATGCAAGCAAGAATACCTCGTGGAGGAAGCCATATCCATACGGATGTCCATGCTTGCCAGTCTGGTTACCACCAGAGGAATGCACGACAATGTCTGCCGCGAGCGCAGTAGTAGCGCAAGCAGCCGCTACGAAGCCCTTGAGAAGCACCATCTTCGCGATCAGAAGACTGGCAGGTTGCTGGCCGTGACAGTAGAAAATTTGACTGCCGCAGTGTGTTCATCTTATAGTCGCTCGCCAAAGACCCGGTAAACTGACCATTTCCCGGAGGACGGGCGTGGTAAGGTACGCTAGCCCTTGGCGACAGGATGAATGTAGGCAGATCTTCATGGCGGCCTTAGTGTACATTCCAGTCGTCATGACATTTTCCGGCTACATGGCGTGTATGCACGAGCGGCTGGAAAATTGGCCGGCGGTTATTGGAGGATCTGGGGGCTCGCGAACGGAAGAAATGGATGAAGTCGAGTGCTAGTTCCTGGCGATCCATGTCGGCGGATGCAACGCCCCCTCTTGAGTGACGTGACCCTGCGCCGCCCTTCTTGGCTGGCAGTATACACCGATTTCCTTCAGGACGAGAGATTTGCGCATTCCTAGGTCGATAAGAACGAGCGATTGGACATGGGTTTGATGGATGTACACAGGAGGCTGAGAGAAGACGATGATGTGCTGTGAGTATGTAAGAAGAGCATGGGCAATGGGTAAGGGCGTCTCCACATGCCGAGGCTACGGGGGGAGAGAAACTGGGGAATAAGAGCTGGGGGTTCTCCTCCTCCGCCCTGTTGGCCTGACCGTCGCCGGTTAAAATGCTTCTTTAGTGCTAGCCATAAGACCGTTGCCGAGTGCTCAAGAAAGTTTGGCGCCGAGAAACCTCCTCTTGCTTTGAGCTTAGGAATACTGCTATGTCCAAAAGTTGCAACTTGTTCGGAGCAACATGGTCCGTAACCAAGAAAAAGGCCTCTCGTACTAAAGTCGTGGTAACGAGGGCGTCATCGCGTAAGCATTTGACGCCCTTTTGTATGGTAAAGAGGCTACACCACACCAGACCAGCAACGTCGCGCATATGAAGAGGACATGAACTCATGAGACACACTGTCAAAGTGCGTGCAATGTTGGATTTACCCCAGGTATCCACTAAATCCAAACGCCAATGCGTAACCCCAATACCCATATTCACAAAATAATTCTTAAAAACACCATATCCTCCCGATATTACCATTCCCATCCTTCTATGATATGGGTATATCGTCATCGAAATGGGTTCGCGTCTTGTGCACTGTCTCGCTTTGTCGGACTCTCCTTCTCAACATACGCTGCTGTGCCGCTCACACTGACGACGATACATCCAAGTACCTCGCTTTCCCTGATTTCTAGTCCAACTACGGCATTGGCACCCTTGTTCATTGCTTCGTTGATGAGCCTCTCGATTGCCTGGTCGCGGGCTTGGTATATGATACTCGTTATCGTCTTCGGCTCTCCCCAGCTACTGCTGAAGTTGGAGGCAATGTTCTTGATAAAAGATTTTGTGTCTTTGCGCGTCACCGATGTAGTGCCGTGTACTGCACCGATGGCGCTGATGATGCGGTAGCCGGCCAATGTTGGCGATGTCGATACAAGGAGAGCCTGAGTGCGACTTTGAGGGGCTTCGGCTTCCGATGTGAGAGGTGCTGGAGACGCGACTTGTGGTGCCGCGACTTTTGAATGAGGGTGCCAACTTGGCAACCGGTTTGGTGGGACCATCATGGTCGATCGACGGTTTGTCAACATGTTGGCTGGTTTGATATTTGTATTGGAATTGTCCAATTGAAACGAATGCTAATAGACAACAGTAGATGACGATGTAGATGTAGAGTGAATGAACGAACTAGGCTGCGGGCCATAGGACGCGACCATCAACGAATATATCTGCACGCGTCTACCCGTCTACATCGCGATGCTGGTCGGCTTGCGAAACGTTCTAAACTCGTGCCTTGGCTCGCGGGCTCCTGTGGGCTCACCTTCCGCACATCTAAGCCACGATGATAGAAACCAACTCGGCCCAGGATGCCTTGCAACAGACATTTTGCCTACAGCGGAAATTGGCACCGCCTCTAGCGAGAAGAATTAGACAGGAAACACGCGGAGTGGTGTTCCGCTCTCTACGTCACATAGTGGTTTTGGTAAGTGGAGTCGAGATGCTGAAACGCGGAGTGTCGCGGTGCTGGGCCTGAGGTTTTAGGGCCATCGCTGATACATGGATGACACTTCTAACACGCCCTGTCATATGCTGCAACTCAACCACATGGCGATAGAGATTCGCTGAGCTGCCGCCGAGATACCAGCGACGCCCACGTGGAGCGTATCAGAGGGGCTGCAGCAATCGCTGGTGAAAATCCAGTTCACGAAACGGTATCAAGAACTGCATGTCATCTGCACATAACTGCCGTTGGAACAAGAAGGAAGACTGGCCAAGAGAGACAAGACTCATTGCAAGCAATTCTTATCATCTTGGGAATTATGCGAGCATCATCTCTCGGGAACGACAACGAGCTGCCGGTCGTGGGATTGCGATGATGCATGTTGTACTTTCTCATTTCATCACTGCTAATCATGCAATTATGCTGCATACACACGCTTTCCCCCAAACCAGGTCTCGGTTACTCTGGCCTTGAGCAGCTCCTCTCCTTTCCATTGCATATCTACCACACAAAAATCAGCCGTTTTGCCGACCTCCAGGCTGCCCACACGGTCCTCAGAGAAACATGAGTATGCTGCGCCTTGGGTGGCTGCAGTTACCGCTTGTGCTAATTCGAGCTTGAAATGCTCATTGACGGGTGCGTCGCCTTCATCTCCTTGGCGAGCCGACTTGCGAGTTGTTGCGATGTATAGGTTGGGGAGTGGCGCATATGGTGCAGTAGGCGTGTCAGAGCCTATTGCCAGAGTCGCCCCATGATGCGCAAACTCGGAATACGCGAAAGCCCGCTTCACGCGTTCAGGTCCTAACAGTTTTGGCCAAGCACGGAGGATGGCCGGATCAGAGTGGACAGGTTGGATGCTTGCCGTGATGCCGAGTTCACCAAGCCGCTTCGCATCTTCGGGCGCAGTGAGCTCGAGATGCTCGATGCGATGTCGCTGGCCGGGCTTGCCATACTTTCCCAGGACTTCGACAGCATTGTGGACAGCCTGATCTCCGATTGCATGCAGCGCACACTGCAGTCCGTGTTCGGTGGCTCTCTTGACAACGGGTTCTAACATTTCAGGGGTCCAGATTGGGCCTTCGAAATGTCCATTTGAAGTGTACGGTTCTGACAGTGCAGCAGTACACGCATCAATGACGCCGTCGCAGATGATCTTGATGCCAACAATTTTCAGATCCGGGCTGGTTTGACTGTTATATTCCTGGCTTAGTTTGATAGCTCGATCGACTTGTCGTAGTCGATGCTCCTCGTCTTCGCCAGGCAGAATGCACCAATGCGCTGCAAATCGAAGCGGCAGTCCCTCAGCAGACTTCAATGCAAGAATTGTCTCCCAGGCGGGCTCTTCCATAGCCATGTCGATACATCCCGTAACCCCAGCCGCATGGTACGCGTTGATTGCAGCCCGCAGAGCGTTCATCTTATCCTCTAGTGGCGTGGCTTTTGCGAGATATGGCCACACGATCAATATCACACACGCTTCGCTCAAGAGACCCGACGCATTCCCCTGCTCATCTCGTTCAATTGTGCCACCTGCCGGGTTCTCCATATCCTGAACGCCAATCTCTTTCAACGCTGCACTGTTGCACCAGCACGAATGCAGGTCCTTGGCGTCGATATATATCGGTCTCGGGTCCAGATCGTCCAACATGCTAGCTTTGGCCTGACTGTCGGTCGTCGAGTGCATCCATCCTTTGCACAGGATGCGCGGTTTATCCGGGTTGGCTTTTGCGTACTCTGAGATACGCCGCCGGATATCTTCCAGATCTTTGGCATCATCCAAATCAACCTTGTCCAGCGATTGACCTAGCATGAGGAAATGCATGTGTGCATCAATGAACCCAGACAGGACACTTTTGCCGCCAAGATCATGGACCGTTGCGCCAGCATCACGGTGTGATTGGACTTCCTTTGCATCTGGGCTACCAATGAAGCTGATCTTATCATCTTGGATGATTATAGTCGAGTTGGAGAGAACTTGCTGTTCAGACGCGCCAGCATTGAAGCAGCGTCCATTTGTAAGAATGGTAGTATTCGAAGAGGTAGCCATGACTAGGATGCGGGGTGTTGATAGATTTCTCATTGCATTTAAGGGGAACTAGTATATGTACTATGGATGTTCACGTGTACGAATGAGTCTTAAATCCGATCAATCGCCGATACCGGTACCCCACATTTCGACTCCAAGTCTGGCTCCCCGATATCAGCTGTATTACTCCACACTGTGATACTGTAAGCTTTGGAGACTGTGGCAGTGTACGATCATCAGGGCTTACCATCGGTCGCTGTGCAATATATAGGTTTACGAATCACCCAAGTGGCACCATTCAGACCCTCTCTATGAATAACACCCTATTTACAGCCTGTTTACTTGAACCCTTACACCCAGGCTTGGACCTTCCCTTTTAGGCTTACTGAAGGACACGCTCTAAATTTGACGCTAAGTCTAACTGTTTCATCTACCATCCATCATGTGCCCAGAAATCTCAGAAACGGACCGAATAACTTACGAAGAAGCACGCAACGGAGCGGCTGCATATCTGCAATCACGACTCTCAGCAAAAAACGAAGAAGCAGACAAAGATTTTGAAATACCAGTCATCGACCTCGAACCATCATTCTCGGAATCTCTCTCCGACCGCCAGAAAGTTGCAGACCAAATACGCAAAGTATGCACAGCATCAGGCTTCTTCTACATTACCAACCACCGAATCCCAAAGTCGGCTTGCGACGGCATCCTACACCAAGCCAAGCGCTTCATGAAAGAGTTACCACTTGAAAAGAAAGAAAAATTGCATTTGAAGCACAATAAATTCGGATTAGGCTGGGAGCCCAGCGAATACACATCCATCGCAGGCGACAAGGAAGAAAAAGAAGTCTTCAATTTCGCATACGAAGCCGACCTCGACCCCACCGGCGGCGATGGCCAGTACAAGAACCTCGATGGATCAACCGGTAACGCGAACATGTGGCCCAAAGACGAAGATCTACCCGGATTCTACAGCGAAGTAAAAGAGTATTACGGTAGTGTAAGTATCCCAATCCACCCGCTTGAATCAGCTCGAAAAAAGAAGCCGCATATTTATCGTAACATACAGGTCCTAAACCTAGCGCGCCACCTCTTCCGCCTCTTCGCCCTCTCCCTCTCCCTCCCAGAATCCCACTTCGACCCCCTAACCACCCACCCAGGCGGCATCGCCCGCCTCCTTTACTACCCACCCCCTTCTTCCTCTCCTCCCCTCTCCACAGACGAAACCCAGCAAATCGGTCTAGGCGCCCACTCTGACTACGAATGCTTCACGCTCCTCCTCCCCTCCTCCACCCCGGGCCTCGAAATTCTCAAGCCCTCCGGCACTTGGTACATCGCCCCTTTTCTCCCCAACACTTTGATAGTCAACGTCGCGGATTTCCTGATGCGCTGGACGAATGGCATGTATAAGAGTACGGTGCATAGGGTTGTGAATCGCACGAGGGAGGAGAGGTATAGTGTGCCGTTTTTCTTTTCAGTCAATTATGATGCTGTTGTTGAGATGTTGCCGGGGTGTTTGAAGGAGGGCGAGGAGGCGGGGTGGAGGCCAATAAGAGCTGGGGAGTATATTTTGGAAAGGTTGAATGCTACGACTGCTTATGGAAAGGGGTTTCAGGTTTAAGGGGGGGGGGCATGGGCGAATTGAAAGGTGAAATACTGGGAAATCGGATTTCACTCGTTTCTACTATTCAGGATTTTTGAATTTTTGTTCAGCGTAGCAATTGTCTTTTCTTCTCTGACTTTCATGAATTTCACCTTCTCAAGAAGACTTGCGGTAAAACAGAATCATTATTCGATCATGAATCTAGTTTTTCGTTTATAAAGCCCACACCATTCCCAGATATGAACTCCACACATTGCAGTTGCAAAACATGCCTCAAATCTATCCATCGTACTCATATCCAGCACTCCATATCCTTCCGCCAGATCTACAAAGATACAAAGATATCGAAAAGAGGGGCATACCGAAGGAAATATCACATCCAATATGACACACACCATATGTCCTCAATAAGAATACCCCGCACCCTGACCACGAGCAGTATGTTTCGCTCTCCCCGCCCCCCGCCCTTGTCCTACATCCGTCCTCTGGTCACCATGATACGTCGGACCCGACGAAGTATTGCCATAAAACTGGCCCTGTCCCCGGCCTCGAGTAGCATTGTTATACGGCGGCGGCGGAGGATACTGACCCCTTCCATGAAAAGGAGGGGGAAAGTTACCTCTACCACCAGGTCCACCCTGCCCACGACCGTGCGAACCGTGAAAAGACCCCCTACCACGGTCGCCGCCGCGTCCACGATGCCCGCCAAACGACTGAGCTCGCAGTGGCCAGAAAATTTCTCGTGTATCCCTATCCACAGCGTGACTTCTCTCCTCCATCGTACGCAGCACTAGCGGTCCACCTTTTGCTTCTCGCACGAGAACAACAGCGCGATTCGGTCTGCGTTCGCGCACTAGCACAGTGCGGATGCGAACGAGTAGCGCAACGAGTTTCCGGAGGGCTTCTTGCTGCGCTTGTTCCCATCTCGCTACGCGCTCAGCTGCATTCTCCTTCTTCACGCGCTGGACACGTCCCGTGTCCCTGTCGTAGGGGGCAGTGAATAAGAGGGATGTGCGACCGAACCAGAGTTGGTCTTGGCATTGTACTAGAGCGCTGCTTTCGGGGTGGTAGGCTTGTGTTTTCAGTTCGACCATTTGCGCGGTGGGGACGATGTGGCCTTTTTGGAGCACGCGGATAGGAGCGGAGTAGTTGAAGGTGGGTTTCGTAGTTGGGCCTGCACCGTTGCCGGTTGTGGCTGCAGCCTCGGATTCTGTGAGGTTGTCGTTTGTCATGCCGTCGTCGTAGGCGTCGGCTTCGAAGCGGCAGACGACGTTCAGGGGACCCATTTTATAGCGGATGGCGCGATAATGGCTTGTTGCGTCAAGCATGTCGTCTGTTGTCGTTGTAAAGTCTCGCTCAAAATTGATGCCGTAACTTTGGCCGTCGGAAAGCTTCCACCAACGTGACTCGCGGCGTACAATGACTAGAGTGTTGAAGACCAGGTGCACGTTTAGTCGAAATGGCCCATTGGCTTTGCCCTGGGCAAATTCGAGCAACACGCGGAGATTGTTGCGATCGGCCAGAATGTCAACGTTGTGGAATGTAAAGTTCGGGTTCATGACGCTGAGTGCTTGGAACATAGGAGAATAAGGATTCCTTGGCTGCCGTGCATAGTTGTAATCTTGGTATTGGAAACCGCTGTCTCGCTCTAAATGATGTGGCAGAGCTGGTTGCTGCCATTTTGCTGGCTCACCCGGGACTGACAGGGAAATGTGAGTACTTCAATTAACAATGTTAAGATTTACGTACCGAAGATAGTGTTGGTGCCATCCGTAGACGCTTGCCAATTGTAGCAACAGAGAAGCTCTGGATCCTGGTCCCATGACACTTGTTGTGCGATGGGTGTGAGCGAGGCAACGTCAATTGTCTCAACCGCCTCTCCCGCATCTCTGGCAATGGTCTTTTCAAACCGCTCAAGTTTTTTCTTGCGTTTCTTAAGTAGGGCTTCATCGACTTCTGGCTCTTGAGCTGCGCCCGCATCGGCAGTCCCGTCCACTATGGGAATTCCGTTTCCGTCATCTCCGTCTTCATCATCATTGTCTTCATACTCTTCATACTCTTCATCCGCATGGGCTGTTTGTCCGGCTGCAAGAATGGGATCCGCAGTGTTACTGTTCTGTAGACTCTGCCAACTAGATCCTCCCAATGCCATGGCAATCTTTGCCTCAAAGGACATGTTTGAAGCGTCCATGGCTGGTGACGTTGAAGATGGTATATTAATGGGAGTAAGTTACCGGCTCTTGCTTCAAAGATACTGCAACGTATTTGCCTTGCGATACAGCTCTCCTACACCTCCTTTTCTAGCTATGCTATTAATTCAATATGTCCGCAAGGAAGTGAAAACAACTTAAACAGTCGCATTCGAGTAAGCCTAGCTCTATTTTGTTTCATAAAAGACCAACGACGATTGTGACTTACTCTATATATAGAGCGCTTCCTGCCCTCTACATGCAGACAGCTCGCTCAAACCGGATTCAAACAGGCGAAAGCGAGTGAAGTAGTCAGACCAACTAAAGCAATGAATCATGTGATGATGGTAAGTTGTGTAGTTCATGCAAAACGGGGGTGCGTTGTTTACGCTACTGAGCCCCTGTAGCCGCTAGCGCGCCTCTCCCGCGTCTAGCCAGACTGGGCCTCTATCACCTGCTTTCACGGTGACCTCCATTTACAAATATGCCTGCAGAACACGCTCTATGGAAACAAGTAACATCCTTCCTTTTTGCAATTAGTATCTCTGAAAATCCTATGAGAATTACAAGACGGTCAAAGTTGGTTTGCATTTGTCAGAGTCAAAGCTGGAGTACTTCTTTAATGTGACCATATCTTCATCACAATCAGCAGTGGTCATGGTAACGAAAGGTGCGTGAAGTGAACAAAGTCTGATTCACTGCAGAAGATTGTGTGACAAAAGGATGAAACGTGTTCTTGCAAATGTATGCACTGACATGCGAAGAGGCCAGCAATAATGGACTTGATGCGTATATGATTATTACATAAGAAAAGACGCCAGGTCGTAAGGGTCGTGGTTCACGGCAACAACACCCATCATAGTCTAATTTTCCAACAAAGGCGTAAACTCGACACCATCAGACACGGCTCGTTGCGGGGTACATGTTGGTCGAGTGATGCTATGAGCGGAGCATAGCGGGGTGCGGGGAAGGTGATCGTCCGCGTAGCATGGGAGTGCTAGGCTTGAGCATGGGACTAGCCGTAGCGCTTAGTGCATCGAGACTGAGCTTGCTTATGGCATCGAGATTATCCTGGACGTCCTCTTTGCTGAGGTCGAGCATGAGGCGCAGTTCATTGGCCTTGAGAGACTGGCCTAGACCAACTGCCAACTGCTGCTTATTGGCGGAGCCTGGGACGTCGTAGTAGGACCACCGGTATTCAATATCCTCCAGGCGATGTGGCTCTGCGGGGGTGGTGAGTCTGGCGACAATGCGCCTCACATCCATGCCGAAAACGCCTGATATCAAGGGCTCAGTGCCAATTGCTCCCAAGCTGGCACCAGATCTGCCTCGCAGAGAAAGGGGAACTTTGGCATCTTTCTCAAGAGGCAGCTCGTTGAGGCGGTTGGAGGCGCCGGCATCACGGAGCTTGGCTCGCTTGAAGGAGGCATTCTTGAGTTCGGTCAGACCAAGAACAATATACAGCGGCTTCCCTGCTTGAATCTGTTCGGCCATCCAGGTGCGGGCATCGGCATCGCTGCACACGGCCTCAAAGGCCTTGGTAGGGCTCTGGGTGGTGCATTGGACCATCTGCTCAGCCTTGACAGTGAGCAGGTTGGGCTGTCTGTATATCCGTCCGAGATCGAACTTGGCGCCATAGTTTGTCATAAAACGGCCCTCGGTATCGACTGAGTAGAGGTCTTTGTAGCGGAGCTGGATGTGGAAGTCGTTCAAGTCATCGACTGCCGAGTGGGCCTTGTCAGGGTAGAAAGAGTCGCGCTCTGGATGGACGGGGTCCGTGAGCAGCTGGCCGACGGTGACGGCATCGGCGGGGATGGGCTTGGGCAAGAGGGCGTTTTGGACCATTGCTGCGGGGCGCGGGTCTGGTGTGGGTTTATATGCTGCGGCGTGTTGGAAGAGAGTCGTGGAACAAGCAGCCTGTGGTCAACTGGGCGGGAGGGGCAGGGTGGCAGGGTGACAGGGTGACGCAGGAGAGCAAAAGGATGGCGAGAGCTCTCCCATGGCTGCGAATCAGAGGGGCGCATCAGGCCCTGTGGCAGCTGCTTGGCTAATCGGGTCCGTCTTTGCTCCAGATGCTCGCAACCAGAGTCGCAACAGCAGGATCGAGTTGCAGTATGACTCGCCGTGTCAAATACACCAAGACGAGCTATCACGACGATGATGCATTGTCGCGGCTGGCACAAAAGATGTCGTCACGTGCTGTGCCTGAGCGGTGCCGGATAAACAAGGAGCCGCTGACTTTGTGCAGGCGAAGCACTACTAGTAGTGTAGCAGTACCATGACTTTGACCCCGCCGGCCACTATCTAGAAGTATGCTTGGAGAGCATCGCTGATGCTCTGCGTCGACACCTGGCAGTTGCACGCATGCCCGGATCCGCATCGTATACCTAGCCTGAAGGCTTTGCACACGCGCAAAGATTTTCGGCCCTCTTCCTTGTTCATGTGCTGCTACACATGCAGGGTCCATCAGAGTTCTCCGATGAGCATCGAGCATCGAGCATCGCGCAGGCACACCGGCATGGACCATTACATACACGCATTACATAGACTAACAGAGAAAGAGCTGAGTAACCCTGACTGCAGACACGCCGTGTACCCAGAATACTAGACACAGCCCGATTTGTCAAATGTTAGTCGGAGACATAGCGTTCTTTGTCAACATGGTAATCGCTGACAGTGCATGCCATGCCACTGATAGCGGGATTCTCGGAGACACATGCTTGGGACATAGTAGACTACAACGCCTGACTCTCGAGTGGCGCCATGTCGCAGTGACATGCAAACCAAGGTGAACTGCAGCCATGTCCAATGCAGATGGCCTTGCATGCACCGTCTGCATCGGCCAAAAACGCCAGATAGGCCCAGGAACACAGGGCGAGCTAGCATTAGCAGACAGCCACGCTAACGTCACGTCTGTCCGAACCAACCCACCACCCCCACCATCACCAGCTAGCATCCCAGCCGAACGCCGTAAACCCAGAATATCCACAATACGGATCCATTGGCGAATCATCCCTGGAAGCATGACGTCGCGCCACTATTGAATCGAGCTACACGTCACTCTGGACCCAGCGCCCCTCACTAACCACTAACCCGAGCCTCGCAATCATGTCGTCTGGCCAAACACTACTTGAACCCCTCGGTACCCCTCAATTGCCCTCTTCATCCTCATACTCTCAGCTTCAATTGCACCTTGCCAACATTTGAGTCTTCTTCTTCTTCTTCTTCAATCAATACCCCACCGTCACAATGATTCCCGTTCCCCAAGCAACCGAGCTCAAGGACCTCTTCAGCCTCAAGGGCAAGGTCGTCATCGTCACTGGTGCCTCTGGCCCTACCGGTATTGGCACAGAGGCTGCCCGCGGATGCGCCGAGTTTGGCGCTGACCTCGCCATCACCTACAACTCTCGTGCTGAGGGTGCCGAGAAGAATGCCAAAGAGATGAGCGAGAAGTATGGCGTCAAGGTCAAGGCCTACAAGTGCCAAGTCAACGAGTACGCCCAGTGCGAGAAGCTCGTCCAGGACGTTATCAAGGACTTTGGCAAGGTCGATGTCTTCATCGCCAACGCCGGCAAGACTGCCGACAACGGTATCCTCGACGCCACTGTTGAGCAGTGGAACGAGGTTGTCGAGACTGACCTGACTGGTACCTTCAACTGCGCGCGTGCCGTCGGTCTCCACTTCCGCGAGCGCAAGACTGGCTCCCTCATCATCACCTCATCCATGTCTGGCCACATTGCCAACTTCCCTCAGGAGCAGACCTCATACAACGTCGCAAAGGCTGGCTGCATACATTTGGCCAAGTCGCTTGCCAATGAGTGGAGGGACTTTGCCCGTGTCAACTCCATCTCCCCTGGATACATTGACACTGGTCTGTCCGACTTTGTTCCCCAGGACATTCAGAAGCTGTGGCACTCCATGATCCCCATGGGCCGTGACGCCAAGGCTACTGAGCTTAAGGGCGCCTACGTCTACTTTGCCTCTGATGCTTCGTCGTACTGCACTGTAAGTTTTGTTTTATCATTGTTGGTATTCAATGGCTAATGTGTATATAGGGCTCCGATCTCCTCATTGACGGTGGTTACTGCGTCAGGTAAACGTGTCGCTCCTGGACAAGGATACGAAGGAATGAATACAATAATATCCCAGCGCATGCCGGAAGCTATGATTACATGTATCTAATTTGGAAATGTCAATAAGCTTCGCAGGTTCCATAAATCTTGTTTACCCATGTTGTCTGCTGTTGTGTGGTATGTGAGCTAACTCATTTGAAACAAGTCATCCGAATATATTGATTCAGGAAAACGTCCATATGCAGGAACCAGGAAGACAGGCACATGTTTCCCAGCTGCCATGTGTCTGTCTATATGTAGGGCTGACGAGGCGGATAAACAGCTTACCAAGTCGGCTACTTGAAATACTTCCCCGCAATCCCCAATTAGCGACTCCGCATCATCAACCGCGGCAAACCTCAGCGCGTCGATCCTGCAACATCAGCAATCAGCATCAGCAACATTCTCACCCCACCATGTGATAAAAAAAAAGGCCCAAATATCTCTTTTCCCTCCAGATCTTTACCCCAACCTTGTATCCCCCCCTTCTACAAAACAAAAAATGCCATCCCCCAAGCAAGAAACGTACGGCGACCTAGGCCCCTGGGCCGAACCCTCATGGTACACCTCGCTCTCCTCGCCCTACTACACCGCATCCCATAAAAAACTGCGCAACGAGATGCGCACCTATATCGACGAGCACGTAAAACCCTACATGCTCTCGTGGGAAGAAGCCGGCGAAGCTCCCGCCGCTGAACGCTTAAAATGGGCACAAACAGGCTTTGCATTCGCAGACATCCCCGAGCCGTATCGCGCAGCCAATGTACCGGGGCCGGCGGGGATACCGGTGAAAGAGCTGGATGCTTTCCATTTGCTGATTATGAATGATGAGGCTAGTCGGGTTGAGGGCGGGGTGGCGACAGCGCTGGCGGGCGCGAGTGTGATTGGGGTGCCGCCGGTGGTGCATTTTGGGACGGAGGAGCAGAAGAGGAGGTGGTTGCCCGGGTTGTTTACGTGGGAGACGAGTTTTTGTCTTGGGGTGACGGAGCCGGGTGGTGGTGTATGTGTATACCCTCTTCTTCACCTTCACTCTATTTCTGATTTGCGAGCGATATATTGAGGATTGGCATTGGTGGTGTTATAAGTGATACAGCTGACGCTACAATACAGTCCGACGTCGCCAACCTCCAGACCACCGCCACAAAATCCCCCGACGGCACCTCCTACACCATCAACGGCTACAAAAAATGGATTACCGGTTTCCCCTGGGCAACGCACATGACAACCGCCGTCCGCACCGGCGGCCCCGGCGCAGCAGGCCTCTCCCTCATCGTCATCCCAACAAACTCCCCCGGTATAACCCACCGCCGCATCTCCAACAGCGGCCAAAAAGCTGGCGGCGCCTCCTTCGTCGAACTCGACAACGTCGTCGTCCCCGCCGACCACCTCATCGGCGCTGAAAACGCAGGGTTCCCCATCATAATGCGGAATTTCAACCGCGAACGCTACATACTCGCCGTATCCTGCAACCGTAAAGCGCGAACGTGTCTGTCCGAATCCATGGCGTATGCGCGGCAGAGAGAAACGTTCGGGAAGCCGCTGGTGGAGAACCAGATTATACGGAGTAAGCTGGCGACGCTGGCAAGGTACGTAGAGTCGCATTGGGCGTGGTTGGAGCAGTTGGCGTTCCATGTGCAGAATGCGCCTAAGGGATGGATGGATCCGGGGATTGCGGGGCAGATTGCGCTGTGCAAGGTACATGGGGGTAGGATACTCGAGTTGGCGGCGAGAGAGGCACAGCAGGTGTTTGGGGGCGCGGGGTATCAGAAGGGTGGGGGACCCGGGGCGGTGGTGGAGCAGATTAGTCGGGATTTGAGGATGATGGTGGTGGGAGGGGGGAGTGAGGAGATTATTGCGGATTTGGCGGTCAGGCAGGAGGTTGGGCTTGCGAAGGCGAGGGGGTGGAAGTTGTGATATGGATAATGTGATGTTGTGTTTCTTAGCAATAGACATGGACCAAGCATACTGAAGTGGACAGTTGAAAGTGAAGAAGATGTTTTGATTATTCAAAGCCAACAGGCAACTAACTAGAAAGGTATCGTTTTTTAAAACAAAAAAGCAAATTGCATTCCATCAGTCGTGTACTCATGATTGCGAGACGTAGACTATAAATATATGGCTGCACCAATAAACGCCGAGTGAGGTATCCTAACGCGCTAAGCAACAACAAAAGAAGAGAAGAGAAACGAAGAAGAGACAACAACAACAACATTCTATCAAGCCGCGACGACGGGCTGTCGTGTTGGCGATGCACCGTTGACGGTTGATGACTCCTCTTCCTCGATATCGGAACACAATGCAACCTCCTTGGACAGACGTGAAGGCTTCTCGATACCGGCATCGACAGTGACGTAAGAGGTTGAATCACATCCCTCGCCGTAAAAGTTGCTTGGTGCCAAATCACCCAATGGCTTGCGGTCCTCATCCATAGAGTCCTTGACAAACTTGCGTACGATGCGGCGTTTAATAGGCTCATCACCGAGAATCTCCGTCTCATAGCCGTCATCCTCAACCAGAGTGGCTGCCTGAGAGCGGGGCTGCGAGGCACGGAAGCCTGGGGGTGGGATATTCTCCTTTCCGCGGTCCTCGTTGCGTGTCTTGGTCTCGACGTCGTCATCGGATGAGATGTCAAGGGTAGAGGCAGAGTGTTCCATGAGGTTGGAGGCCTCCTGCTCGGGGGTATCCTCGTGAATCTCGAAGAACCAGGCCTTGGGCATAGTTTCGTCAAGTGCGCTAGCTTGCTGGGCGGGGGCGGAGGCGGGCGTGGCTGTTACTTTGGGTGCTTTGGGGGTGTAGGTAGAGATGGAACCACTTAGTGCTGCGTCAATGGAGAAGGGAAGTCCTGGGCTGCTCTTGGTAAAGGCCGGGGGGTCGACGCGTCGGAAAGGCGAGGTGGAGGCGCGACGCTTGGAAATGGCATGGAGACGCTTGTTCTTTGGCGATCCGCGGCTGTTGGTGATGGGCGTCGACTTGGTGGAGCTGGGCGATGAGCGGGCCTTGCGGGAAGACGAGACGGAAGGCGTGGAGGTGAGGCTAGTGCTGGTCTTGATGGGCGAGGTGAAGGCTGGGAAGCTGGCTGGCTTGACGAATCCGGCATCACTAGTGATGGCGGTGGTGGTTTTGGTCTTCTTAGTCGGGCTGCTAAAGACGAGAGGGTCCACGTTCTCGGAATCGGCATCCTCGAAGATCTCGGGCGCGCGCTGGCGCTTACCCGTTGACGGACCGGGGGCAAGCTTCAAGCTCTGCGAGGGGGAAAGCTTGGAGATGGCTATGTGAAGGCACGGTTAGCCAATGCTGAGCTGCATGTCAGACGAGGTTCTTTACAATTCTGGCGATTCTTTGCGCTGTGCAGTCCTTGCAGCCGGGACGAGCCGAGCTCGGCAAAGGGTTGGCGCGTCGAGGTAGCCATGGTACAGAGAGTGAAGAATACGGCGGTACAGGTTTGCAGAAATTAGAGATGCAGCAGCAATGGGCTGGAGTTGCGGTGGTTGTGGTGTTGGAGGTGGTGGGTAAACAGGCGCTGGGGCGTGAGGGTAGCTAAGTAGTGGGGGTGTGAGTGTCGACGTGACTCTGGGATTAGCCGGGCACACAACAACAAGCGTAGTGCAACAAGCAGCGTATGGAATGAGTGAAAGAGACACAGCGACTTGGATTCCCACAGCGACTCTTGAGCCCAGCAAAAGAGGATGAGCAGGAGGAGTAGAAGAGAGAATGAAGCAGAAAAGGCCGTGGTGGGCAGGCTTCAGCTAATAGACGGAGCACTCAACGCGTCGGTGGCTAGCGTGTCGTTCACGTATTCTAGGGGCGAGCGCGCGCTGAGGGCGTCATCTCCACTCCACCCCAGACACTTGCCGGGATGCCTCTCCGAATCAGACGCTTGGAAACCGGCTTCATCCTAATCAGCGCAATTCATGCAATGCCGTCTACTGGCCATTACCCTCTGGGTCCACCCGCGCTATTTGCAGATATGCCTTACAGCCAGCCTATGCCGCCCCATAGACACGCTCGCGATGCGTCCATCCGGCCTTCCAAAAGACGTGAACTGCCCGTTCCCCATGTGCCCACTTGGCGCGTCTGGCTGCTTCTGCTGGAACGAGTAGTGTGTGTCTTGAGACGGGCACCGGACGACTTTTGCGTAACAGCAATGTCCCTCGAGGGGGGGTTGGTGGACCGGAGCTGTGCTGCGCTTTGGCTCCATCCCACTCGCGCCATGTTCCAAGTCCCGGGCGGTGTTTCGACGCGTAGAGCTGGATGCATGTCAGCGACGTGATTCCCGGTAATGCTATGCGCGACGAGGCGCCCTCTGCACGCGAAGTCTGCTTCGTCACGCTCAATATATCAAAGGTTGGGACACTCGTTGGTTCCCCGTGCTGTATCCATTACACCCTCACTCCCAGCATTCAGCCTTTGCGCTCCACCATGACCACTCCATACGAAACATCCATATTACTCCTATAGCCTTGGGGGAGAAAAAAATCCATTTTCCATCAATTCATCCTAGTCCCCACTAAAAATCCCCAGGTCTCGTTTCTTCAACACGGTCCGTCATCAGTCGCGCTTTCGTGGTTCTAGTACTAGTCCAAGCACCCACGCCAATCGCCGAACCCCACATAAAAAAGTCCGATATACTTTTTTTCAGCCTCGGAAGACCGACAAGACTAGTACTTAGTCACGCGTACCGGTGTCCCGCCCCAATTCGCATTTAGATACGTCGCGTTGTCCTCATCGAAGCCATTCCCGTATCTGACAGTGCCTCTTCTGCTACTTCCGTGCGCCTCCCAGCCATGCTGATTATCAGCGCGTCTTTGCTCGCGAGACGTGCTTCGCCGACCTGTGTCATGATGATTGCTTTGCATGCTCTTATTACTAGGGCACCCGTGTGTGCTGCTGGAGCCTGCAATGCTGACGTCACTTAGTGTCTTGTCGCGCTCGAACCCGTCCCATGTTACTTCGCTTGACGAGTGTGTCGTAGGTGTATTGTTCAGGACGTGTTGCTGTGAGGGATAAGCTTGGGTACCCGTCCATGCAGGATTGTCTGCTGCCTTTCGTCTGCGACTCCAGTTGCCTACGCTGTTGGATGGACTGGTTGCCCAAGTATATGGGTGAGGCAAATTCCTGGCATCACCTCCCAACGAGGTACTGGATGCATCTTCCACGGCCGGCGCCTTGTATGTCGAGCAACTCTTGGTCGACTTTTTGCTCTTGCTCGAGGTCGACCCATTATTCTGGTACCAATGATCCGGACCATCCACTTCCCACGCGTCTCCAGCGCGCCTACTCTCCCTAGAAACTGGCTTGACGTGCCTGTACCCCTTTCTCACCATCTCGGCTACCGATTTTGAGCTCCTGTAGTCCCAGCTCTCGCTTGCTGAGTCAACTGTAGACACAGCTGAAGGCTGAGTGTGTGGTGACCATGCATTTGTACCACTCATCATGAATTCTGCCGGTGACCTGGTGGTCTCGCTTCCAGAAGACAGGCATCCACTCTCGCACTCAAATTCTGGGATAGGCGCGAGTACTTTTGTTGGCAGGCCCTGGTTACTGCACCGTCCAAATTTCTTATGCCTCCTCCTCGCCGTTTTAGCACTCCCCTCGGACCGGCCTGAACCCATATGCTGCTCCAGTCTCAGCTGCTCCCCATCCCCTCTCACAGACTCAGCCTCAGATGCCTTAATCCAAGCCCACCTTGGCTGCTGCTGCTGCGCCCCAGAATCGAACTCCCCCTCCTCATCCACAACCACAACTCGCCCATCCTTCTCCCTGATAACAAACGTCCCCCACTCCCGCGGCAACGGTACGCACACCTTCTCTTTCTTCTTCTCGCTTTCCCCCACGCCACCACCCCCAATCTTCTGCACCCGCACACACCCACGCAGCCCCCGTATCTTGTCTATATGCCGCTGCACATCTCCGCTCACCGCTTTCCGCACATACTCGTTCCACACTTGCTCTTTGCTGTGCTTCTTCTTCTCTTTTTTTCTGTCGCGCGCGTGGTGGGATGATACACCGATGTCGCGTAACACGCTGTCCGCATTGTCGTCGATGAAGCTGCCCGTGTACGCCGACGTGTCGGATCCGTGCCGTAAGAGCCATTGCGCTACTTGATGTGGACCCAGGCCCCGGGGTAGGCGGTTGGTTAGCGAGATGGCGTCGTCGATGAAGGAGGGTGGGGTTGTGGAGCTCATGGTGGTGTGGTGAGATGTTTTTGTGAGGTGAGAGTGGGAGTGACAGTGCGAGGTGCTAGGCTCGCAAATGTAGGTGTTGTAGGCTGGTGGGCAACTATGCTTTGGCTTAAGTTTTGGGGTTGGTTTTTTCCAATGGGTAACGAGGTGGATGTAGAAGAGAGGTTTGCGAGGACGTTTCGAGGGCATTGTTTGGGGTGGCGGGGAGAAGTGAAAGAGGTATGTCCTGTCCGTTTGCAGAGTGATACGTGAGAGAATGATGATCAGCAATTCTAAAACTAGAGCGCTGCAAAGGAATTGGATACAGAAATATACACAAGGTTGACGACATTAAAAACCAGTTACTGTAACACAATGTTGTTTGGCCAACTACTAGGATATATATGCGCACATTAAACAAACATCAAGACAAATACCGGCGCTGAGCCCAGCCCAAGGGGACACAGCAGTGCAGCTCAAACTACTCCTTACAGCTTTGCTTTTTCCTTCTTCTTTTCTTGCTCCCATTGCAGCTGCACATTGCGCATCTTGTACCAGCTCCACAGTCCCGCCATGGCACCAAACGGCGGGAAGACCCAGAGAAGAAAACTCCACCACCGCGGACTTCTTTTCCGAACATCTTGCATCACTCTCTGCACCTCCTTCTCCAAATGTTCTCTATCATGATCATTCCAGACCACAACGCCATTACCCGGCCCCCTCCGCAAACAACGCTCTGCCTTCTCGCGCACATCGCCTTGGCTCATAACGCGGTTCCGCGCATCCTCCTCAGTAAGATGTGAATCCCGAGCGCGCAGACGCTGGATCTGGATTGCGGGGTCCGAGACGCCAACAACGAGAATGGTGCCGCAGTATCGCTCCCATCCACTCTCAAAGAGAAGAGGGACATCTAGCACAACAGCCCAGTTGCCGCGCAGATAGGCCCATACCATCTGCTTGTACATCTCCCTGCGTATCGCGGGGTGGACAATGCTGTTGAGCATCTTCCTGTCGCGCTCCTTCTCCTCGCCAGCACCAAACACTCTTCGTCCCAGCGCTGGTCGGTTCAGCGGCGCGCCTTTCGGTGTCGCATCCTGCAGGAGCAAGTCCGGTGTCGAAGGGGAGAAATATTTAACAATCGCATTGTATCCTGCTGTGCCGGGCTCGACAACCTGTCGCGCGATGAGGTCGGCGTCTATGATTGGAAGCGAATATGGTGGCTTGGATAGTAGAGATGAGACGGTCGATTTGCCCGTCGCAATCGATCCGGTGAGGCCGAGAAGGAGCATGTTTAATTGTTTTTTTGTTGTGTACGTTGGTGTCGTTTGCCGTACATGGTGAAGATGAGAGATGTAATGACGAGTGCGGGGAGCTGTTCCTGAGCTCGTCCCGGTACGTACCTCGGAGCTTGCGCTCAGACCAACGACATCCACTAAACACAGCCTATCCGCACTCTTCTCTACTTGGCTCACTTTGCTTTATGAACCATTTAGTTCTGCCCATAATGCTCTTTCAGTCAGATCTACATGAAGAATGGTCAACAAATATATCACAGCGGTTCACCCGCTGATTCCGGTGCAACTACCAGGATTATTACCAAACTCACACCACTTTCCTAGCAAGCTGTACAACCTGACCCATGCTGATTTCCGCGAATTGGGTCACAGTTTCCCTGACATATGCAAATCAGCCGTAATACTATGAGGTTACAGTGCACAGGACCGCTGTTCCCAAGGTAGGATACATCTGATCATCCACAGCAGCCTTCCCCGCCTTCGTGTGTGCAACTATATATACTCTTCGTGATGCCCGCCATGTGATAGACATAGACAGCATAGCCATGCGCCTCCTAACTACCCTTTCATGGGTTGCACAAGGCACCCTTGCCTCTACAATTACCTTGCAACAATGGAATGTCATATCCTCTGCCAACGTCGTTGATGACCCCACCAGACTCTCTCAATCCGGCATCGACACTTCATCATGGTATTCCATCGGACCCGCTGCCACACTCATGAACACACTTCTCAGCAATGCGGTGTACAACGACACCGACTTGTTTTATTCGACCAATATGCAAAAGATAGACACTGCGCTATTTCGAATCCCATGGTACTACCGAACTGACAAAGTCGTGATCGCCGAGAAGACTCCCGCGGACTACTACACATTAATCACCAATGGCATCACCTCAAGAGCGGACATTTGGGTCAACGGGCAACTTATTGCAAACAAGGAAACGCAGGCTGGGTCGTATGCTGGGATAGAGTACGATATATCTAACCTCATCCAGCCCAATGGTGCGCAAAACGTAGTCCTGGTGAAAGTGTATCCTACAGATTACAACCGAGACTTTGCTATTTCCTTCTTAGACTGGAACCCTGCTCCCCAAGACAATGGAACCGGCATATGGCGACCATTTCAACTGAAAAGGTCAGGCCAGGTAAGACTAACTACACCGAGGGTCACCGCACACGCCGCGCTCGATGGAGGTCTTGATATCTTTGTGGACGTCAAGAACATGGCAAAGGACGGCGATGTTGAGGGCAATGTTGCGTGTACAGTCTTCGACCCTAATAAACTCGCAATCTTGAGCGCAACGTCGAACTTCAAGCTCACTAGCAGTCAGCAATCTACCATCTCTTTCAGGGGGAAAGTAGACAAACCTCAGGTTTGGTGGCCTTACCAATGGGGCAGCCAGCCGTTATACAGCATTCAATGCACCGCTTCGACCTCGACCAATCCTATTTCCGACTCTACACCACCAACCAACTTCGGTATCCGCACGGTAACTTCTTCTTTGAACCCACGCTTCAATGATACCACGTTCTTTGTCAACGGCCATCGATTCCAAGCTCAGGGTGCGGGCTACACGTCTGATATTTACCTAAGATTTGACCTAGAACAGACCAAAAGACAATTCCAATTGGTCAAAGATATGGGTCTAAACACTATCCGCTCGGAAGGAAAGCAGGAACACCCGGAATTCTACGATCTAGCCGACCAAATGGGCATCATGATTCTTGCTGGCTGGGAATGCTGCAACAAATGGGAGGGATGGACTTACAACGACATTGGCAGTGGAGAAAAATGGACTGATCTTGACTACCCAATTGCGGCGCGATCGATAAAGCACGAAGCTGAGATGATGCGGCATCATCCAAGCATGTTGGGCTTCCTGATTGGAAGTGACTTTTGGCCGAACGACAGAGCAACACATATCTACCTCGATGCTCTCAGTGCTGTAAACTGGGACATCCCAATTCTAGCATCCGCAATTCAGTGGGGAGCACCAGCACAACTCAATAACAGTGGATTGAAGATGCAAGGTCCATATGACTGGGAGCCTCCCAACTATTGGTACGATCCTCAACGTCGCTACGGCAGTGCAGCAGGATTCGGCTCTGAGCTGAGTGCAGGAGCAGGCACACCTGAGCTTAATTCCCTAGTGAGATTCCTCTCGCCATCTGACCTGGAAGATCTCTGGAAAGAACCAAAGAAAGGCCTTTACCACATGGCGACAGAAGGCTCAGTTTTCCACACGCGCGAAATCTACAACACCGGTCTTTGGGCACGCTACGGCGCCCCATCAAGCCTATCCGACTACGTCCTCAAAGCGCAAATGATGGACTACGAAGCAACACGCGCCCAATTCGAGTCTCTGATCAGTACTTGGAACGAAGCCCTCGAGAGACCCGCAACAGGCATGATATACTGGATGCTCAACAACGCCTGGCCCTCTCTCCATTGGAACCTCTTCGACTACTATCTCCGCCCAGCAGGCGCCTACTTCGGCACCAAAGACGCCCTTAGTACACCCGAAACCCTCACTCTCAACTACGAAACCCAAGCTGTATCCCTCGTCAACCGCCTCCTAATCCCCAACACCCCCGGATATATCTCCGACCAACGCATCATAAGCATGCAAATCGTATCCCTAAACGGCACAACTATAGCCAACCAAACCACCGCTGCAATTACGAGACCTAACTCCGCACACGAAATAGCCAAACTTCCCGCTTGGCAAGATAAAACCTCTGATTCTGTCGTCCTAGTTCGCTTGCGGCTTAACAATAGAAATAGTACTCTAGTAAAGAAAACATACTGGCTCTCGCACACACCCGACACCCTAGACTGGGGCAAGTCAGATTGGTACTACACCCCTGTAGCCAAATACGAGGATTATTCCGCTTTATCGCGTATCCCCGCCGCCGACATCACTGTTTCCATCGCCCCTTCTTACCCCGGGAAAAACTTATTAGCGCGTCTGGTGTTGAGGAATACTGGGACAGTGCCCGCGGTGTTTGTACGGTTGAACATCGTTGATGCGGCGGGAAGGGATGTCGGATCGCTGCTGTGGAGTAAGAATTACTTTACGCTTTTGCCTGGGGAAGAGGAGATTGTGGAGGTTGCAGGGGGAGAAGGGGAGGGTGCGAGGGTGCTGGTTGTTGACGGGAGGAATGTTGGGGAGAGGAGGGTTGTGCTGGGGTATTGAAGGGGTGGGGATGGAAAAGGTCGTTTGATTGTATTTATTTAGTTTGGGGGGGGGGGGGTTGTTAAATGAGGATATCGTGGAGTGTTCTGCGCCTAATTCCTTCATATTTCCTGTTCGCTCTTTCGTTTTAAATAGACTGAGTTGGTGAGAAGCAAGAACATACTGCCTCCGAGATTTCGAAATTGGGGGTGGAGCTCTTGTACAGCACATCATCACTTCATTCTTGCCTTGCCCCCCTTCCTTGATGATATGCCATGCTACATCCTCCCGTTAAAGAAGAGTTCCACAAACAAACACATCTCAATCCGACACCTCCCCATGAGTCACACTCTTCTTAAGCGGCTCTACAAGCTTCCGCGAGGGCCGGAAAATCTGCAACTGGTTATCCTCCGCCGCACCCATCATAAGCCATGGATCATTCTTATTCCAATCAAAGTCGCAGATCCTGTTTGTGAAACCGCCGTGCATGAACAATCTATCCCATAATTAGTACACATCTTCAACAAAAAAGAACCATGTCTTGAAAACTTACAACTCGGGCGGTCCATCTTCCGCCTCTTCCTCCGTCTGCTCGGACCCAATCTTGCTGAGATCCCAGAGGCAAATACGGCGATCGTAGCTGGAACTCGCGAGGATAGCAGCGTCCTGCGGGTGCCACTGTAGCCCGATGACGTCGGCGCGGTGACTCTGGAGGCTATGCAGCTTCTTATCGAAATTGCGCAAGTCCCAAATACCGACTGTTTTGTCCGCCGAGCCCGTAGCGAATGTGCTTTCGAATTCTGGGTGGAATGAAATGCAGTTTACAGCGTCTTCGTGGGCTTCTTTTCTGTAGAGGGCTTTCTTGTGGGTTTCCATGCGGGTGTCGATGATTTGCCAGGTGAGGTCGTCCGAGGCGGTGCCGATGAGGAAGTTGTGGATGGGGTGGTATTGGACGTCGTTTACGGTTGCGCTGTGGACGGTGTAGGTGGCGGTGGGGCTGAGGGTTTTGTTGCTCTTTGAGAAGCCGGATTTGAGGTCCCAGGTCTTAACTGTGGTGTCTTCGTTTCCGGTTACCAAGTGGCCTTCTTTGAGGGGACTCCAGCTTAGACCGAAACCCTCCTTGCTGTGGCCGACCAGCTCGGCTTCGAACTTGATAGAATCGTCTTTGGGTTGAAGGGGGTGCTTGGTTCGGTCGAATACCAGTACTTTGCCGTCTACGCATAGAGATGCTATTATGTCTGGGTTTTGGGGCTGGTATCGCGCCTTGTTGACCTCGCCTGGGTGGTTGATCTTTTGTACAATCTTGAAGTCAAAGGGCCGCTTGGCATTTCCGTGTCCGCCAATCTCCCCTCGCTCTTCGTTGAGCTCTGACAGGTCGGGCTCGCGAAAATCGGGTATCTCGCAGTGGGCGATCTGGAGGTAGTTTTGCGCTTGGTTCGAGGTGTGGGTGCCGAGGATGACGCGGTGCTGGCTCATGTTTGTGCCTTCGACTGGCTTCTTGTCGGGAAGCCATTGTGTGGTGAGCGTCGGCCACTCGAGCGCGCGGCCGTACAGCATATCATAGAGAAATACAGAGTTCTTCTTCCATATCTTGTACTCTTCGTTGATAATCTTCTGCTCGACCTGCTCCTGGTCGTCCATCTCATGGGAATCGTGGGCGTCTGTGATGACGGTGTTAGTGTCAATTTGAAGATTACTGCCTTATAATTCATGTCTTGTCCATATCCTCTAGAATGTGCCTGTCGGAGAGCAAACAGTGCGCTAGTCATGTCAAGATGATAGCATGTAATGCGCAGCTCGCGGCCTGTCGCAAATGCAATCATATTTGGTTGACACCCTGACAAAGCTCTGGGCGATACTCAGCCCAAAGAGCATTATCCATGCCTCGTTCGTGTGAGCGAAGAGCGCTTGTGGAGGCATACAAAGCTACGACTAGCAATTGTCCAGCACCCGGCGTCATTGGCGGACTATTGCTGCAGACAATATATATGAAGGCGCTTGTAACTTACCACTCATTGTCTCGTCCATTTTGATTGTGGTTGGGTCCTCACCAAGCTCAACTGTGGCAAATACACGTCCTATCGCGGTACGTGGAGGTTGTCGGGCGTGAAAGTCCGGCGCAACGACGCGATGCCAAAGTTCGCGTTCAGACAACCCGGGTGTCGATCACGTCGTTAGCGCCCCACATGCTTGGCATTCGCCGTCAGTATATCCATTGACGCTGTCATCTAGACTTGCCCTCTTTGAAGACCCCAGCGTCGAGAACCGCCACCCCATACCCTCTGCTCTCTCTCCCCCTCAGCGCCTTTGCGCGCCTCTCTTCGCTATTGCTTTTCTTCTTTTGTCTGCTTTGCGATCCAATTCGCCCCGCCCGACTACGAAAATAACGGCCGCATAGCCGCCTTGCCATCTATTCTCAGCAATTACTAGACAGTAGTACCAGCAGCAGCCATGGGTGTTCCCAAGTTCTTTCGATGGATGTCTGAAAGGTATCCGGGCATCTCGCAGCTCATTGCCGAGAACCGCATTCCTGAGTTCGACTGTCTCTATGTAAGTGATTTGATGCTGTCGTTGATGCCCAAGGCTGACAGTCACAGCTTGATATGAACGGTATTATCCATAACTGTACCCACAGCGATTCCGACAGCGTCACCGCCCGCAAAACGGAAGAGCAGATGTTCATCAGCATCTTCAACTACATCGAGCACTTGTTTGGCAAAATCAAGCCCAAGCAGCTCTTCTTCATGGCCATCGATGGTGTCGCCCCGCGCGCCAAGATGAACCAGCAGCGTGCGCGACGCTTTCGAACGGCTCTCGATGCTGAAAAGGCTCGGGAGAAGGCTATCCGCGAAGGCGTTGAGATGCCCACCGAGGAAGCATTCGACAGCAACTGCATCACGCCAGGCACAGCGTTTATGGCGAAGCTCACACAGCAGCTCAAGTACTTCATCAACAAGAAGGTCTCTGAGGACATTGACTGGCAGGGCGTGGAAGTCGTCTTGTCAGGCCACGAGGTCCCCGGAGAGGGCGAGCACAAGATCATGGAGTACATCCGTCAGGCAAAGGCGCAGCCGGGGTACGACCCGAACCGGCGCCACTGCTTGTATGGTCTTGATGCAGACTTGATCATGTTGGGTCTGCTTAGCCATGACCCCCACTTCAGTTTGCTGCGAGAAGAGGTGACTTTCGGTCGCCAGAGCCAGACTAAGTCCAAGGAGTTGGAGCACCAAAATTTCTACCTCATGCATCTTTGCATAGTTCGCGAGTATTTGGAACTCGAGTTTCAGGAGCTGGAAGAGCCCGGCGCTCTTAGCTTTCCCTTCGACATGGAGCGTGTTATTGACGATTTTATCCTAATGGCTTTCTTTGTTGGTAACGATTTCCTTCCAAATCTTCCGCATTTGCATATTAACGAGGGCGCTTTGGCTCTCATGTTCAACGTTTACAAGACGGTTTTGCCCAAGGGTAAAGGGTATATCAATGAGGGAGGTGTCATCAACATGGAGCGCTTGGCTGTATTGTTGGACGAACTCTCAAACATAGAATATCGTCATTTCGAATCTGAAAACTCTGACGCAGCCTGGTTCAAGGGTAAGAGCCTTGAGAAGGAGGATGTAATGAAGAAGACCGCGAAACGAGGCACGATTGTCATGACTACTCAACAACAGGAGTTGTTCTCACAGGTCAAGGCCTGGTTGGACAACTACTTGGGAAAGAAGGAGCAGGCTCCTCTCGACCTTCCCGTTTCCTTGCCAGCGGATGACCGAAAATTCGTCCAGGAGCTTGCGGATAAACTCCATCTTCCTTGGAAGACTGTTCAGAACGATGATGGCGATCGTCATCTTCAAATCACTGCTCCGCCGAAGCTGGTCGAGGGCGATTCGGACGAGGATGAGGAAATGGAAGACGAATCTGCCAAAGCTATTGCACGCGTTGTGCAGAAATATGAGCAGGCCAAAGTTGTTGATATCTCACCCGAGGCTGCTCAATCCGAGATGCAGAAGAAGTACGACGAAAAGTTCGAAGCTTGGAAGAACAGCTACTACAAGAGCAAGTTTGATTGGGACCGTAGCAACGAGGAAGAGCTCCGCAAGCTGACGGAGAACTACGTTCAAGGATTGCAGTGGGTTCTCTATTACTACTACCGTGGTGTAGCATCGTGGCCATGGTACTATGGTTACCACTACTCGCCCATGATCTCTGATGTTAAGAAGGGTCTGAAGGCAGATATCAACTTCAAGCTCGGTCAACCATTTAAGCCTTACCAGCAGTTGATGGGTGTTTTGCCCGATCGTAGTAAGAGCATTGTACCGAAAGCCTACCATCCCCTCATGACGAACGAGGATTCCCCCATCATCGATTTCTATCCTCGGGACTTCACTCTGGACATGAATGGAAAAAAGCAGGATTGGGAGGCTGTTGTCAAAATCCCATTTATTCAGGAAGACCGCTTGCTCAAGGCCATGGCTACCAAGGATGGTCAACTGGCTCCAGATGAGAAAGCCCGCAACACATTCGGTGTATCACTCAAGTTCAGCTACGCAAAAGATTTGGACTTTATCTACCCATCATCTCTACCGGGCATCTTCCCAGATCTCCCGCACTGCAAATGTATTGAGAATATTTTCGATCTGCCTACTATGGAAGGGTTGGAATACTACATTGGTCTCATGGATGGTGTCAAAACTGGAGCAGAGGCCTTGGCAGGTTTCCCTAGCTTGAAGGTTCTCCCGTTCCACGGCAAGCTCGAGTTTGCTGGCGTCAACGTTTTCCAACAAGACAGCAGAAACGAGAGCATGGTCATTACATTGTTAGATACTGCGCCTCGACAGTCAGTGTCGCATGCACAAGAAAAGCTCGGAAAAGCCGTTCACGTCGGCTACCCGTTCCTACACGAGGCAAAGGTAGTGAAGGTGTCGGATGAGCTCTTCGACTATGTACTTCCTGAGAGTGGCCCATCTGCTCCTGTTGCCATTCCACATGGACCTCAAGAAATCTCCAACTGGAAGAAGACTGCGAACCGCATCGAAACTCAATACAGCAAGCGTCTCGGTATCAACATTGGAGAGGTTGAGTCTCTCGTGCACGTGGAAATGCTCAAGGGACTACGCAAGACTGACGAGGGTGCGACCATCAAGGAGTATGGTGAGGTCGCTGGACTGCAGGTCGAGTATGCGACCCAGACCATTGTTGATGAGGTCGCCAGTCCAGACGCTCGATTCTTGGAGAAGGATGCTTTGCCTATTGAGGAAGAGTTCCCTGTAGGCGCTAGGGCTTTCTATCTTGGAGACTACGCCTATGGTCGCCCCTTGCAAGTCATTAGTCATGCCGACAACAAGGCTACGATCATGGTGGCCAAACTCAAGAAACCAGAGCCACACTTCGGACGTGAGGTTGTGAGCATGGCTGAAAAGGCTACTCCCTACCTGCCCTCGTACATTGTGGCTAAGCAGCTCAATATGCCACCGCTTGCTCTATCCAAGCTGACGTCCTCTTTCAATGTCAACTCAAGTGGTCTCAAGTTGAATCTTGGTCTGAACTTGAAATTTGAAGCGAAAAAACTCAAGGTTCTGGGTTACTCAAGAAAGTCGGCCAACGGATGGGAATACAGCCAGAAAGCTATGGCTTTGCTCGCTAGCTATATGATCAAGTTTCCCGAATTTGTTGCCGCCATCATCAATAACCCGACAGGCGACGGCTGGGAAGACACCGATTTCTACCCACCCGAAATTGCAAAGCAAAAAGTCAAAGAGATTGGAGCTTGGTTGAAGGAAGTTCAAACTAAGAGTTTTGAGAAGGTTCCTTTGGATGCTGAGCAGCTCGACTCCGACACCGTCAAGCTGATCGAGCAGGCAGCGGATGCCAACTTCCCACTCACCCAAGATGTCGAGCCTAAGAAGGTTACAAAGGTACCTCGTGTTGCTCTGCTGAAGCCATCGGATGCAGAGCAGCGGCTGGGGCATCAGACTTTCAGCATTGGTGATCGCATTGTTTACGTCCAGGATTCTGGAAGAGTGCCCATTGGGTCATCGGGCACTGTTGTCGGTAAGACACGCACAGCTCGCGTGCTCTTGCTAGACGTTGTTTTCGACGCAACATTCATGAGTGGAACATCACTTGGCGACCGCTGTTCTCCATTTAGAGGATCTACCGTTCCAGCAACTGCGGTCGTCAATATGACCGATCAGCAGGTTGTTCACTACTCAAGTGCCGCTGCTGCCCGACGCCCGCAACAAGCGCCACAATCATACACCATGCCACGTATTGGTGCTCCTGGAGGCCCTCAACTGGTACCAGCAAACACACCGCCCCCTCTCCGTGGCTCATACCGAGGAGCTTTCGGTAACGTCAATGGGCGCGGTGGTGGTATGGCTCCACGACAAAGCCCAACTCCTCAGCAAGCCCAGGGTCAGCAGCAGACTCTGCCAATCCATGGCGGACCACCTCGTGGCGGCCGTGGTGGTTACGCGCCTCGTGGCGGACAGACGAACGGTCACCATGCTCAAGACCAGAACCATGCTCCAAACAGAGGCAATGCTCGCGGTAATCTCCGAGGTGGTTCTGCAGATTTCGTGCCTCGTGGACGAGGAGGTTCCAAGGCCAACCGTGGTGGCTTTACCGTTATCGACAACACCGACCCTGCCGAGGGTGTTGTCCCCAACAACCCCAACTTCCAACCACGAAACTACTCCAACGTTCCTCCACCAGCCAATCTGGACGGTGGACGGGGTGGACGGGGTCGGGGTCGCGGGCGTGGAGGATTCCGTGGACGAGGTGGTCCTAGGGGCGGTGCACAGGCTGCTGCCCAGTAGAGCACTGCCATCTTGACAAGGGAGACGTTGCCTTGGGCGATTTGTTATCTGGCAATGGATGTAGTGACTCAATGCTTGTCAGCGCGGCGTCCCAGAGTTCAGCTTAGAGTACACATGGATGGTAAAGGTGGTTTGGACAAGCGGTCGTACCATGTATCATTGTAGAAGAAAAAGAGAAGCAGACTTCGCCATGCGCAGTTCATCAATTGTAGCCTCTGCATCATTCATGAACAATTCCGACTCATTCTTCATGCCTTTTCTTTCCATGAATGCTAACAAATGCGTCTAGCTAGACCCAAACCATCCCCAACTGACACTCCACTCAATATCAAAGAGGTCTCTCGATACCCGATGCGGTCTGTGCAAATAGTATTCTTACTCGCTTGACACCGCCATCCTCTCTCGCCTATAGTGTTGGTGTCAAAAAATTCTCATACACACAGCCTGACACGTGCCAAAAGGATTGCTACACAAAGCTATCATATCTGGTCCTACAACAGCACCACCGAAAGCAGCATGAGCTACAGCAACACCACTTGCATTACCCCATATGGAGCCAGCTGCGACACAGCCCGCCAACAGGACTGGGGTACAAACTACTTGGCATATACACAAGCCGATGGTGTCGGCAGACGCTTGGCTAGCAATAAGGCTCAGGACGACGATGGTTGCTTTAGAGAGGGAGAGGGGTTTCATCGCAGCTGGATCTAGGATGAATTCGTAGTTTGAATGGGAGAGTTGTTTTGGAGCAGAAATGCTTGTTGTGGTAGTGCAGTTGCGGCTTGTTTGGTGCTTACGAAAATACAGCATTGATGGCTAGATGTAGAGATTGGGAATGGTTTGCTTGCTGGTCGATATGACGCCAGAATGGTCTACGGCGTTCGTGGAAGAACAGGGTGTTTCTGTATTTGTTTTCTGTCACGAGCTAATGTCATATGTAAGGGTCAATCAAGGAGTTGTTTGCTACCCCGATAAGGGGAATGATGAAGAAGATTTGAGAGAGCGGGAATCTGTGGACTCTAGAGGTGGCTTGATTGGGACATCTGACGAGTGGTAAAGAAAAAAGCACTGAGGGTCATCATTAGAAAACTGTCAATGTATGGAGTCTTGATATCCTAGATAGACGAAAACAACGAAGTTGAAACAAGCCTGGATCGGATCGACTCCCAAGCAATAGAGATCGTACGCTACGCCAATCAGCAAGCACCACAAAGCATGCCCCCAACCCCAAGTGCATGCATTGGGGTGCCGCCACTAAACCTGAGCCTCACCAATCGAATCCCTACCCCGCAAGACGCGCCAGATAAGGCAATCCAAAATGTATGGTACACTACCGTACCCCATCCCTGAAACCTCGCGGCTCCCGCTTCAGCCGCCTAGCACTAAACCCTAAAACAGCAACAAGCTAAATGCATCTTTATCAGGAAACTGAGCGCTTCTCAGTGAGCCCGGCGGCCCTCCGATCGATCGCACACGTCATTACTATTGCTGTGCTGTCCCTCTCCTCCCCTGGAGCCAACGCTAACCCCAGAGTTTCTTTCGAATCCAGAGATATGGACCGCTGTAACACATCATATTCTTTCGGAATACCTGGAGTCGTCGACGACACATTCCAATGTGCGGCATCACTTGTGCGGTTGCGCTGCGCGGTCACGGACCGTTGCTGGCTGGTGATACAACAGCGGTGAGCACCACGCTGGACAAGAGTTTGGATACGATTAAGCATCGCGGGCCAGACGCGAATGGGCATTGGATTAGTGAGGATTGTCGCGTGGGTATGTCATCTTTTGGATTGTTGGGGATTGAGCGGTGTTTGGATATGGGTGTTTTGTTAAATGGACCACGTGACTAACGTCTCTCTTTTTCTTCGGGATATGCAGCACTTGGACATAATCGGCTTGCGATTGTCGATCTGACTCCGGAGGGGGAACAACCATTCCATGATGTGGAGGGGACGGTGCATGCGGTTGTGAATGGGGAGCTTTATGGGTATGAAGAGATTAGGGAGGAGCTGAGTCGTGAGGGGTATAGGTTTAAGAGTCGGTCGGATTCAGAGATTGCGCTGGCGTTATATAAGAAGCATGGGATGTCGTTCTTAGAGTATTTGAGGGGAGAATTTTCGTTATGTCTGTATGATTCGCTTGCAAAGGTGGTCATCGCTGCTTGTGATCGGTATGCGATCAAGCCGATGTATTATACGATTTTGGATGGGAAACTTCTGGTAGGAATATCCTTCATTTGATGGAAGACATTTGATACTTACTTTGGCATTCCAGGTTGCTTCTGAGATGAAGGCCTTCCTTCCGTTTGGATGGAAGCCGGAATGGGATGTACAAAGTATCAAAGACGTTGGTTGGCTCTGCGATGGACGAACAATATTCCAGGGCGTATCGAAGATACTACCTGGTCACTATTTGGTTTGCAGGTCTTTCAACACAATATCGCAGTACAAGTACTGGGATGTCCAATTCAAAGACAAGGTAAATCTGTATCACTTAGAGAGGAAGTGCGACTGACAATCTTCAGCGACAAGTGGAAACACGAAGTGAACAGGAAATGATCGAGGGCGTTCGTGAACGACTTCTAGACGCTGTTCGCGATCGTCTCCGCGCTGATGTACCTATCGGCGTCTTTCTGAGTGGCGGCATCGACTCCAGCGCAATAGCAGGAATGATCAAGCATCTGATGGACACTGAAGGCGCGCGACTGGGCACTGCACCCGCATCCGAGCGAATGAATTGCTTCAGCGTCAAGTTCATAGGCGAGGAACATGACGAAGAACCTATCGCGCGCCGAACTGCAGAGTGGCTAGGAGTGAAAATGCATCACTGCGAGATGACCGAGGAGAACTTCGCTGCCAACATCGAAACTGCAGTCTGGCACAACGAGGCTGCTGTGACAGATCTAGGTACAGTAGGAAAGTTTTTGTTGTCCAAGACTACCAGCGATGCTGGCATCAAAGTCGTTTTGACTGGCGAAGGTTCAGACGAGCATTTTGCTGGCTACCGCGAGCTACTTACCGACTTTGTTCGCGAACCCGATGCCTCATGGCCAAATACTACTCTCGCAGAAGCCGATCGCATAGCCACTTTTAATGAACTCGAAGGCTCAGAAACCTCTGGCCCCAAAGATCTCTCCACCTCCGCCGCCGTGCGCGCCCAGGTAAACAACACTTCATTCCTAGGCTTCACCCAAACCGCCTCCCTTCGCGACACTCTCTTCGCACCCTGGGTACCCCATGAGTTCGGCACAAGCGACAAGCGTCTCACAGCCGTAAACTCCCTCGACGGCTGCACCCGCGCGCTCATGGCGAAAAAATGGCATCCACTTCACACATCCCTCTACATCTGGACGAAATCCAGTCTCGCAAATGGTCTCCTCACCGTCCTCGGCGACCGCTGCGAAATGGCGCACAGCGTGGAAGGACGCCAGCCGTTTCTCGACCACCGCCTTACAGAGTACGCTATGGCGCTGCCGCCGTCGGTGAAATTGCATTATGACCCTGCTACTCGCTCTTTTAGCGAAAAGTGGATTCTTAAGGAAGCCATGAAGCCGTTTGTTACGCCTGAGCTGTATAAACGAAAGAAGCATCCTTTCTCGGCGCCGGTAAGGTATAAGCCGGATGGGCCGGTGCACAAGTTGTTCCAGAGGCTGATTACGAAAGAGAATCTGGAGAATCTGGGGTTCTTGGAGTGGGATAAGTGTAAGGACTTGTTGCATGACGCTATCTATGATGGGAACAGGCCGAAATGGAGTCAGATGATTCTCGTGGGGCAGCTTGTTATTTTGAGCAAGCAGTTTGGGGTGAAGAAGGCGATGCCAGAACATACTAGTCTCAGTGACTACTGATTATACATGTCGTTAGTATATATGGCTAGTAGCTACAAGCGTTTTGAATCTGATGCACATACTCGCCTACAAATTGGCACCAATTCATCGTGCTTGGGTGATTGATATGATTTGGCTCATCAAGAACAGCCTCTTGATGAACAGCACACAGCTGGGATATAGTACCGATATCTAAGACTACCAACTTCAATCCCTATTCCTGCTTGGGCTCCATCGCTTGAACACGAATTCTCGAACCTTGTACTTCTTCAGCACACTGCCAATATCAACCTTGAATCCTCCCAGCTCCGTAGCGCTTGTATCCCATGGTTCCGGGACTTCAACGTAGACTAGCATGAGCGTCTTCATAACTTGCGTCTGTACTCGATTGACCCTGTGAAACCACCACCAGTCTTTGCGCTGCTGATCCGCAATCTTCGACTCACCACCCGAGTTTTCATTCCAGTACGGAGCCGAGTATGATGGGATGATCATTATTGCGAATTCCGCATGGGTGAATGCGGGACCGCGCATATAAAGCAGATAATCAACAGCGAACTTGATACCAGGACGAACAACCCAACCAAGGGAGCGGAAGTGGTGAAAGACGACGTACTTCAGCAGGAAAGGATTATCTGGAGCGATAGACGGGACGCATGACAGGGCCGAGTCGACTTGCGTAGCGGCCTTACTCATGCTGTATGCAGTATGAAGATGTGTCAGAGTTCTCTCACTATCCGCAGTGTCGTCGGGAGTTGATGCATGTGCACAATACAGTCGGAGCAAGTACCAAGCTGGGTAAGATTCCGACTGCCCATCGGACTCGGTAGCGCCAACGTTGACCACATCCAGAGCACCGAGTACGTAGGAGAGAAAGAAAGCCTCCTCAGGTGTGAGCTGAAGGTGCTCCAAGTCCGGGATATCGATTCCCTCAAGTTTAGTGTTGGCTTCTTCTTCTTCTGCCAGTATAGTATTTGTGGCCTCATCTATAGCAGGAACCTTGACATTGTCAGAGGTCGGGACGTCCTTGGAATCACCATCTACAAGCTCATCGACAGTAGCCTCCGGTACTAGTTTGCCTTCTTGCCGGAGTTGTTGCTCAATAGCTTCACGTTGAGCCTTGGCTCTTTCTAACTTGAATTGTCTCCGCTCCTCTCGCCTAGATTGAGTAACTTCTGTGCTAGTCTTCGATGCCTGTGCTCCCCGCCGGCGCTTTTCCGCGACCAGCCACTGCGGTTCACTTCTGCTAAGCGAGCCCTTGCCCCAAAATCCCTGTTCCCATAGGGCTCGAATTGAGACTGGATCGGTGACGTGAATTGACTGCGTCTCTACAGAGTAGTAGACCTTGTGGATGACGTTATGCGACTTGGGTGGCCAAAGAGACTGCGAAAGGAGACTGATGGCCAGTCGCACGAGAGAGATTGGATTGTGAGGGACAAAGGCAGGTAGCGCATATACATCTATTGGAAGAGGTTTGGCATGTATCTCATTGTAGTTGGGTCTGCGTGGACGAGGTTTCCTCGAAGCACCGTTGCTTGGCTTCTCTTGATTTTGTTCAGTCGCGCCAGCTGAATGGGCATTGCCTGCAGCATCAGCTTTCACAGGCTGAACAGCTTCGGCCATGTCTGGCAACAGAAGCTTGATGTTTGAGGAAACTACACGGTGATTAGCGAATATGCATAGACCGATTTTGTTCGACGCGCAGCAAATATATGTATATCAGATACCGTTGTAGTCTATTGTAACGGAAACAGCATCGATCGCCTAACGCAGTCAAGTGAATGCCAGCGCCGGCAATCGTATAAGTAAAAAGATGTCATCATGAAATGGGTGCCCCCGGGTGCAAAAGCGCACATTGTGGGTGCAAGCGCACAGAACCAATGCTGTATAAGCATGTCCCACACTGTTTGGCATCCCGAGCACCAGAAAGAGAAGAATAAATGACTTACCCAGTCTTTGCGACGTCACGTAATGGCGCCGTGGATGAGCGTTGTCAGCGTCATGGCGAGTGTGTTGAGAGAAAGAGCAAAGCTCAAAAAGTTTAGAGATGAGTCTTCGCCAAGCCCCGCTCTTATTGGCTGGGGCCCGCTCACAACAATTTGATTGCTAGACAACCCCCACGATATACTTTTGAGATCTACACGGCCTCACGCAGCGATTGAACACTTGCTTCTAGATCTCATCTAGATCGTTTTTCTGAAATCGCTTATTAGACTGCGTTGGCGAACGACTTCGTCGTTATGACATAATAAGAAGAGAACGACTTCTCAGAAATAGCATACGCACCTTTGCGACGCCACCCAAGTGCAATCGAGCATCGTCACCTGTTCATTGAATCTGCCCAATTTAACCAACACCTACTTGTAAAAGCTTGCGTGTTCGGACACGCAACGCTGAGTTCTCAAGATGCTACCGGCAGCGAGGTGGTCCACCCGGCCATCACGACAACTCCTTCGATCGCTCAGTAGAACAAGCACACCGTCTATCATCAAATCTCATATTCTCCGACCGAACTGGGTGTATCAGCAAACAGCTTTAGCATACTCAACTAAGACACCAGAAAATGAGCCTCCAAAGGATTCCTCGAAAGTCGATGCGGTCTCAAATGCCCTCGCCACCACACCTGATTCGGAGAACAATCTCATCACGCCAGTGTACATGCCGGAAGATCCCCATGCAGTCCTCAAACAGAGCCACCCTGCCATGCGCCTACTTGACAACTCCTCGCTTATCGTGCAACGCCAGCTCGAGATGATGAACGTACTCATGGGTTTCGAGCAGGCGAACCGCTACGTTATCATGGATCCACACGGCAACCACATCGGATACCTGGCCGAGCAAGAGCACGGCATAGGTAACGCAGTCGCAAGACAAATGTTCAAAACCCATCGGAGCTTCACCACGCATGTATTCGATCGTGATGAAAAGGAAATACTCCGATTTCACCGACCGTTTAGCTGGATCAGTTCGAGAATACGGGTCTATGATGCCGCAGGACGGGACAGCGCGACGTATACTAGCTCGAATAGTTTGCAAGGTACAAGCGCAGCAAACATCGTGAATCAAACGAGCGCAAATGTTTCAAGCTTGCCATTGCAAGATATGAAGATCATAGGAGCTGCGGAGCAAGAATGGGCGCCACTCAGGAGGAAATACAACCTGTTTGTGGCGCGAAATCTAGATAACGACCTGGCTGCCCCAGGAACACCGCAGCTAACATCCGGCGACCTGCCTATCTCGAATTCAAAAGAAGTTGCAGTGGTGGAGAATGACACACGAGAGGTCGGCATGCTTCAGTTTGCTAGGGTTGATGAACCTTTTCTGTCTTGGGACTTTAGTTTGATGACCGAGGATGGCCGATTGGCAGGCTCTGTCAATCGCAACTTTGGCGGCTTCGCTCGGGAAATTTTCACAGATACTGGAGTCTACGCATTGAGAATGGATGCTGCTGGGCTGGCAAACGAACCTGCGCACTTGATCTCGAAAACTGGGGAACAAAGCAGGCCATTATTAAATCAACATCCAGGTATGACGCTCGATCAACGAGCGGTCATGCTTGCTACAGCTGTCAGCATTGATTTCGATTACTTCAGCAGGCATAGCGGCTCAGGAGGAATGTGGCCAATGTGGATGCCCTGGGTTGGTGGTGGTGGTGAAGCTGCTGGCGGTGCTGCTGCCGGGGGCGCAGCGGCAGGAGAAGCAGGCGCTGCTGGAGCTGGAGCCGTTGGGGCGGCTAGCGAAACTGGTATTGCCGGTGAGGTCGGTGCCGCAGCCCGAGGTCTAGGTGTGGGAGAAGGCGCTGCGACTGGTGCTGCAACAATGGCAGGCTATGAGGCTATGCAAAGAGGCAGAGAAGCTGCACAGCAACGAGGAGATGATGCTTCACCACAGGCTACCGATCCATATCAGCCAGACCCAAATCAACAGTCTGGTACAAGCCAAGTTGGCGAAGATGTCTGGGGGGAAACTCAAGATCCTGGGTTTGGATCCAGAGGCCAGGACCAAGACTTCTGGGGTAGCCAGGGCGGTCAAAGTGGTGGCGATGCTGGTGGCGGAGACAGAGGGGGATTTAGCTGGACCGACATTTTCGGAGATGGAGAATAATAACTAGTCGGATGTATCATTTCTGACAACATTTACATGTAACATATATTTCACGGTTGACTAAAAGACTGAGTATGGACGACGTTCGTTTGCGCATGGGACTGGTAAGGCAAGCCTTCCTAAAACATACGTCTTGTGACAGCAAGCGTGATGCAGTATTCTTAACAGGAAACGCTATGCATAAACTTGCCATTTATCATCAATGATATTTGTGCCTTGTGGCGTTATCAATCTAGATGAGCTCAACTCGAAAAACTATATTAGGATCATGCCCATGTGCCCCAGACTACATTGTAAGGACATCTAGCTGCGAACAAACATCCGTGAACCACCAGACGAGCTTTGCCGCCCGAGGAATTTCTGTCCAACCTGGCTTCTCCTCGCTATTGCAAATGATCTTTATGTATGGGCCAAGTATAGTCTCTCCAGAAAAGAAACACATGGGTCCTGTCAGATCATAATCCTCCACATCGCAATCGAATCTGTACTGCCCTAATGATTCCTGGTGATCTTCATAAGAGAGCAGCATTCCCATGGTCGGTTTGTGAGATTTTTTATTGTTTACAAACATCCGTACGTGATTTGCTCTAGCAAGAGATGCAGAAGAGACGTTCCAACCCCGTCTTTTACTTGCTCCAGCGAGAGATGGAGAAGACGCCCACCATTGCGGTATCCAAGGTTTAGGCATAGTATACGCGGCTTGAAGAGGTGGAGTGGTTAGCGATCCAATTGCCTTCCCTTCGTAGGTAACACCAATCTTTAGTCGTCCTGAGAATAAGACCGCGTCGTCGTTATAGCAGAAACCGGTGATTCGATAGGCGTTTTGTTTAAGGAGAGGTTCAAACCGGTATCGATGCTCCCTTTCCGTCGGCACATAATGCCCAAAGGTACAGGTACGCTGGAAGGATGTGTTCAACTGTTTGAACATCAGCTTGTTACACGCAAACGGGTATGCTACTTACCACAAGAACAGACTGGCGACTGCTTACATCATGTTTCGGCTCACGAATCCATGCAGCAGCAATGAAGTCGCCCTTATGAAGAGGCATAAAAGTGTATACAGTGCGATCTGAAAATCCGTGCGTAACTCGAGCATAGTTGTATGGTTTACTACCGCGACCACAGGCTTCAAGGCTCACGAAACCATCTATAGCACAAGCAACAATAATTCCTTGTGTGTCTTCATTGAGCTCCACATACCTCATGCGTTGAGGAAGAGATGTTTCGCAATTGTGAACCAACCCTGTAGAATTGCGAACATACCATGTAGATACTTTAGGCTGAGATAGAAATTGGCAATTCCAGTAGGGGTTCCAAATTGGCGCATGTGTGTTTGCCAGTTCAATATCCATAATGATGTTCTGAACATGTTAATGACTGATTCACTAGTTGTATGATATTTACTATTTGTATGATTCATACCTTGGTGTAAACGCAAAGCTCCAGGTTGTCTGTCTCAGCCTGAATAAGTCTGTACCAAAGACCATTTCGCGAGTACCGAAAGTGACCTTGGAAGTTTATGTCAAGCACACCTAATTCATCCCGCGTTACGGCAATAGAAAGGACGTTTTTACGATCGGCTACTGTGTTTTCTTGCAAGGCAACACTCGTTGCATAGCGATGTCCTAAGAAATTGCAGTAACGAACCAGGGCTAGCTCTCCTGCGAACTTTAGGACGTCGATGTGGTTGCTCTTCTGACGCTTTGCGAAGTCTAATAAGGATTGGCCTTCCCTGAGAATTGTCGCTGGCTTTTGTAAAGCGCATGGCCACGAGAACCTTGCGATATTTAACACAAGCTCTCGTGGCAGTTTTTCAGCTACCGACCGGAGGAGATTTCCCAAGCTGTCTTTTGCGATATGCGCGAATAACGCCGATCCTGGACGAGGGAAGTGTTCTTCGTAGGCATGTTTTTCACTCTCGATGCTGTGTCGATTGAGGAAGTCTACATCCTCTGGCCATAGTCCTAGCAGGTCCCGAAGTCGTAGTCGCTGTGATTCGGGAAAGAGATGGCGGTAATATTGATAGCAATCACGATGAACGCAGTTAGATCTCGGACCTCTATCTAACATACATTCAAAACAAGGTGATTGCCGGCAAAACAACTGTTTGTACGGAGGAAATAAAGGTTGCTGGGGGTCCTGTGAGGCTTGCGATAGTGATTTAAGTGTCTTGAAATTTGAGAAATACATACCTACTGCGACATGTTCATCTGACTGGACAGCACATTGACACAGTAAGCACGTTGTTTTACCCTTGTGATGGAACATGGCAGACTGGTGAAGAGTGGATGGTGGGCAGCTCTTTGGTCATGTACTACTTGATTATGACTCGCTAAGTAACCGCCGCGTCGGTATAAGCTACGTAACGTAACCAATCAACCTCCTCAATGAGCAGCGAGTTATGATAAATAAATGTGGGGTAGAGTCCACCAACCACAAGATAATAATGCACAAGTGAGTGATGAACCTACTTATCAATGCGAGCGAAGAATGTAAATCGAACAGTGAGAATAACTAAGAATACTATGTGAATACTGCTTACTAACCATGTTATTGAATGTATCTAAATTTAATAAGAAAATAGACTAACTACTATATATCATGATTGGAAGATATCAGTATCACCTGATACTACGATATTCTATCCATAAAGAGTGAGGTTACTACACACATATGCTAGAAGTTGTTATAATACCTTAATCCCTATACACCTTAGGTGGCACTGTTCTAACCTAGGCAGATCTATGCCTAAATTATCCGGGTCACTCTCTTTCGGACACAATTGACCCGTAGCCTCACTATTATCCGAGCCCCGCATGAAGAAACACGAAGGCAGGGTGGTAATTTATAGCTGGACGTATACCGAGTGTGAATATGGCAACCAAATCTCTTATTTATAATTCGGATTGGCCGCCATGAAGCTATCCATAACTTCGCGTCTCGCGTTGACCACCTACGCTAGTATCGCAGCGGCGACACCGGTATCTCCGAGTGCCAGAAAGCCTACTTTCGACTGGACTGCCATCGACTCTCTGATAGCTTTTGGCGATAGCTATACATTCATTCAAGGCACCCTCGGCCACTCCAATTACTCCTTCATCGGCGACGAATTAAACCTGCCCTTTACACCAGCGCAACTCGTTTCCAACCGCATTGTGCAGAGCCTCACCGGAACAGCAGAAGGTGGACCCAACTGGGTCGAGTTTCTGACTGACTGTGGTGTAGAAGACGGGCTACATGATCCACAAGAATGCGACATCCAGCTCTGGGACTTTGCTTACGCGGGTGCCAATACGATTGAGGAAGCTGGCTTCACACCACTTCACCATAACCACACTGTTTCCCTAGAGCGCCAAGTCGAGCAATTCATTTCTTACGGAAACCCTGCGCTCAAATCTATTCATTTGGATAAGAAGCATGCGCTGGTAGCCGTTTGGATTGGTATCAACGATATCAACGATCTCGTCGCTACACAGGGCAAAAACGCTACTTTTGCTCCAGTCTACAGGAAAGTGCAGGAAAACGTGTTCAAGAATGTGGAAAAGGTGTACAGGCTGGGATATAGGAACTTTTTGTTCATGAATCTCCCGCCTTTGGATCGTGGACCGGGTACACCTAACGTCAATGCTTCGCTCGTGGAGTTATTCAACGGCATCCAGGCCAGCTACGCAGATGGGTTTGCGAAAAAGCACTACAGTGCGACGGTCCTACAGTTTGATGTTAATACTGTTCTGAACGATGTGTTGGATCGATATCAGGAATATGGGTTCAAGAACGTGACGGGGTATTGCCCGGGTTATAATCAACCAGATGTCCTGACCAACCCGACAAAATATGGTTGTACGGAATTGGGTACTTACTTTTGGTATAACTCAGGGCATTTGACGAGCCGGGCACATGAAATTATGACGGATGTTTTGAGGAAATGGTTGCGAAAGCAATCACATGAATAGTGTTTGTAGCAACCAGTAATCAGTTCATTCAAAATGTGTAGTCACTAAAAGCCAATTCCAATTTACAACGCCCAGACTCTCTGATCGCCTCTACTATCGCTCCTCTGAAGCCGATTCATTCTCGCGTACCATAACCTAAGCCATGTCGCGACAGCTGCAACAAAAAAACTACAGCGCATCAGTAAACCAAACCCCCTTCACTCCCTCACAAACTTCCCAAAAATGTGAAGTTCATCAGTAGTCCTCCATTTGCCCGCAAGCCATAGCCCATCCCCATCCCAAACGTACACAGCCAGCTCCTTCATACCGCTCTTCGTCAAGACGCGCATACTAGGTGGATTCTCGTAATTAACAACCGCTCTAACAAACACCTTTTGGTAATTGTCCCAGAACTTTTGCTCACTGTGGCAAGCGTCGAGGACTTTTGTTACGGCTTCGGTTGCGAGGCCTTTGCCCCATGCGGCGGGCAAGAATTGGTATCCGAGTTCGACTGTGAGACAATCGGGTGAGTGGACAGATTCTGGGAAGATATGGAGTGGTAGAGCAAGACTGCCTTTATCGAGAGAACGGAGAGTGATGAGTCCGATAACCCGGGTAGGGATATCTTCTTGATTTGCTGGAGTGCTGTTTGGAGCGAGTAGTTCGTGAATGGCATAGACGACCCGGTATGATTTCTCTTCGCCTTCGTTGAATGTAGCCGGCAAAGCGCTTTTCATGATTCTTTCCGTATCTTCGATGGTCTTTGATATGCCGTAAAAACTTTGTACAATCAGCTTCAGTCTTATAGAATATTGACTTTCCTGTAATGAACAGGAGCAGATAAATATTCAATACAGAAGGAAAAATAAAAAATCAACACTAACCTCCACCATGTAGCCTTCTCATCACTGCGCAACTCATGTAACCATTCAAGCTCCTGGCTCCCTCTTTCCGCTGTCGTGATGAGCGACAACTTCAGCCGCGGCGTAAACAACGTTTGGTCCATGATACTCAATATGCCTAGAAAATGAATGAATGACAACTCATCGTCAGCACAGAATGACTATATATATTCCTAAGGATTTCAGGCAGACATTCCGGAATAGACTACTCCGCCTTCTGGCCAATAGGCGTTCGTAGAACTTGGTAAGTGTTGGAAACGGTAAAGTGCACTTGAGATTTGGGTTAGTTATTCCGAAATCTAAGGCTAGAATCGGTATACCACGATGATGAGTCAAAATCAGCCCCAAGTTGCAATGAACGTTATGTTGTCAGAAATATATGAGTCAGTTTGTCTTCGCAGGATTGGGATCTCTGCTAGCATGTTGACCAGCTCCCACGATTTATTCTTTCATCCCGCATGAATCCCTCTACAGTGCCAGAACTTCCTTTCAAGATATCTATCATAAGCTACACATCGAAGACGCAGTACTAGGACTACTGGCAACGTCTATTAGTCGACAAGTCGAATGTTTTCGCTTCTTCATTTATGCACCCTGCTGATTACTTCTGCGGCGAAAAGTTAGAAGATAGTTTTATCAACCCCAATGTCTAAGATATCAATTTATGAATGTTGCCATCTGCAAATTTACATAAATCTCGCTTTGTAAAACAAGTGATGTAACTATAGACGTCAGCTCAATGACAGTCGAAGCGTACGCTTCCGTTTTGTTAGCGCAGTCATGTCTTGGCACTCCCGAATCTCCGGCCGAACTTTTGGCACCACCGCAGCCACCATCGATATCTCCAACGCCGCAATGGCACACCCACGATCGTTAATAGCGCCTTTAGGCCGGTTCGCAACCTCATCAATTGCCGCTGCGAGACCAGAAGTTCCGCGCATTGCTGCATTACCATACCAGACGATACGATGCGCAACTACCAAAGCACAGCCGAAGAAAAAGAAGAAGACGCGGAACACATTCCTGCAATATGATTTGAAGCAGGCAGACCAATTCTCGCTAATAGATGCGATGCAGTAAGTCTCTGGCTAGGGCTCTGAAGTGCCGTCAATGGCAAGGGCAGGTGCTAACTGCGGCATAGATATATCCGCGCCTTCGAAGTAGGCCGTAACCCCTCCTCCTCAAAATACGAGATGCACGTTCGCCTGCGCACGCTGAAAAACGGACCCGTGGTGCGAAACAGGTTACGACTCCCCCATCCCGTCAAGACCGACATACGGATCTGTGTCATTGCCGCACCAGACTCTAAGGCCGCCGCTGAAGCTCGCGCTGCGGGCGCCACGCTTGTCGGCGAAGACGAAATCTTCAACCAAATCAAAGAAGGCATTGTCGAATTCGACAGGTGCATATGCCATATCGACAGTCTTCAGAAGATGAACAAGGCGGGGCTAGGACGAGTGCTGGGTCCCAAGGGCTTGATGCCCAGCACAAAGACTGGCACAGTAGTCACGCAAGTAGGCACAAGTGTGAGGAACATGGTGGGAGGAAGCGAATATAGGGAACGCCTAGGCGTTGTTCGCATGGCAATAGGACAACTGGGATTTACGCCAGATGAGATGCAGAGGAATATCAAAGCATTCATGGATGCGCTTAAGAAGGACATGGCACAATTGAGCGACCGGATTGGCAAGGAAATTCACGAGGTGGTGCTCAGCTCGACGAATGCGCCGGGTTTTACGTTGAGCGGGGAATTTAGAGGGCCAAATTCGATAGCACCAAAGGAGCTGAGCGGACCTTTGTAGATGTAGCCCTAGGGGTGGGTGTATGAACAATGTACCATATCAAACGCCGTCGCTATGCTGATGTCAAGATCTCCCATTATGATCACTTTAATGTCTTGAGAATTTTGACAGCTTCTGCCGATTCCTCCATGTCCGCGTAAATCTTCATAATCTTCATGACGCGCCCTGATCCGTCTGCTCCCGCGCTCTTCGCTTGCCGTAGTGCGGTACTCAAGTCCATCAACAAGGTCGTCCGCACTTTTGATTTTCTTGCAGCCTGCGCCGCGACAAAAGGATGCTCGTCTAGTTCCTTTTCCAATCCCAACAGTAATTGGTGCTGTACTACATTTCGTCTTAATTTTGCGACGGAAATAGTGTAGCTTCCCTCCTCTTCGTCTTCGTCCTCATCCTCGTCGCTGTCCGAGACCTCTTCTCCGACTATAATAGGCTCTTGACCTGACGTCTCAATCATGAGCTCAGCCTCCAACTCCTTGAGCCTAGCATCGTAGTCTATGAGCCGTCTGCCAACTTCGATTTTACGCCTGACGTCGCGCTTCTGTTCTAATAGCTCGCGGACCTCTTCCTCTCTCTTGCCCACTACATCCATCAATCCATCAATCTCCTTTCGGAACCCCAGCAATCCCACTCGCACCTCTTCTACTTTCTCCTCGCCGCCATTCAAGCTGTTTCCCAAGTTGAGGAAGTCCTGGTAGTTTGAATTGACGAGGTCGAGAAGCTCCTTGGACAGAAGCTGGGATCGCGAGCGCAATTCTGAGCGTAGGTCCTCGAGCGTTTGGTGACGGTTATGCAAAGTAGAGAGATAGCTTGCAGGCGAGAAGTCCGGAGCGAGAAAATCGGAGCGGCGGAGCGGCGTCGCAAAGGGAAGGGTAGAGATGTTGTCGTCATCAGAGTCGTCGCTGGATCCAGAGCGCGAGTCTGCGCCAAACTAGACAAAAAGCGTATCAGTCGTACAGGTCTACTTCCTATTGCGCTTCTTGGAGAATTCAACGAGGGGTACGTTTACATACTTGGAATTGACTCATGGCTGCTGTCTTTGTTCCATTGACACGTCGTGTGCTGGGGTGATGATGCCAGAAGTTCAAATAAACTAATCGATAAGCTTCGGAACGTGGACCGAGGTGTCGGAACAAGCGTGTTGGCGGGTTGGTAATGTCGTGCCGATTAGCGGCCCCCTCGTCTGTGGGGTACGACGGCAAAGTAGAGTGCATACACTACGTCAAGCGCTGGTTTGTTTTTCTCCTGCACTTCGTCTTCGGGTGTTCGCGACAACTTTGTCCGTTTGAGCTAGTTCAAGCCTTGCATTTGCACATTTAAAGGATTGTTTTCTGTATACTTATAGATATACATTGGCTTCCTCCTCCTTCTCCGCTACTATCCGACACGATAAGAGTGCCAGATCACATTGTCTATAGTCTAGTACAATGCTACCGCAGCCAGACCTCCCTGAGCCAGCACACCCAGGAGTCGATTCGATGCTGAGCCGCAAGTTTGGAAAGGAAGTAGCCAATTACTTCTCTGGTACGAAGACACGCGGTCTATCTACTCGTGGAGACGCTTATCTCTAACAATGGCATACAGGGTCCCCATTAAACCGTGTGGGTTTCCTTCGTCCTGACCACCAATTTCTGTCTTCGGCACTACACCACCCATCAACTACTTTCCTTCTCTTCAACAAGCTCGAGCCGCTCGTCAAGTCCGCCACCGAGCTTGCGCACTGTACTTTCTCGGATGTTAAGCCCGTTATTGGCGACAACCCGTTTGAGAAATCTGAGGAAGATCTCGTTGCACAGTACAATTCGACTCTGTATACACCGCAGATTATCTTCTTAGGTCTGGATGAGAGGAAAGATGGCTTCAAGTACAAGGAGCATTACAAGGGCCAGCCATGGTTCGCCGTAGATGTCACACCGCAAGAAAGCGTCAAGGAGAAGGCAGAGGGGTTGATCAAGAAGTTCGAAGAGCAGGGGTTGGAGTTCAGCAAGGGGCGGATGCATATGAGTCTGCCAGCTGAAGAAGGTACGAATTTAACATGCTCTCATACCATGCAGTTCCAACACATAGAAACAACTCAGCAACTAACACGCACCAGCGGCTATCTACGCCGAAGCTCGCCACCTCCTCGACTGGAACGCCCGAAACCCCTACTGTGCCTCATGCGGCTACAGGACGCTCTCCGTCAACGCCGGTTTCAAGCGTACCTGCCCGCCCAAGGACATTGCATCCAGCATCGATCAAGGCGAGCGACCACCCTGCGCCACCCGCACCGGCATCTCCAATCTCTGTTTCCCACGTACCGACCCCACCGTCATTATGGCCGTCGTATCCGCCGACGGCAAAAAGATCCTTCTCGGTCGTCAAAAGCGGTGGCCCCCGAATTGGTATTCTACCCTCGCTGGATTCCTTGAGCCAGCCGAGAGCGTCGAGGAAGCCGTCCGTCGCGAGGTCTGGGAGGAATCCGGTATTCATCTTGGTCGTGTGGTTATTCACTCTACGCAGCCATGGCCATATCCTGCTAACCTTATGATTGGGGCTGTTGGTCAGGCGATCCCGGAAGGTGAGACGATTCATCTGGGTCACGATGCCGAGTTGGAAGATGCAAAGTGGTTTACGGCTGAGGAGGTTAGGGAGGCGTTGCGTGTGGGGACGAGTGGGCTAGGAGAGGGTGCTGGGCCTGAGTATAAGGAGGGTGAGCTGAGGTTGCCGCCTAAGACGGCGATTGCGAATCAGCTTATGACGGCGGTTGTGAATGGGTTCGCAAGTGGGAGTCCGATGATTTAAGCATATGAGTGGATATATGAGAAAGTGTAGTTGTAGATGTAGATGTAGAAGTATATACAGAAGACGGTCTTGGGGATAGAGGCGCATATGTTTCTCGTAGACTTATGATGTTTCTGTTTTGTATATACATGGTAATCTACTCCAGTACAATGTACTTGCGCAAGTGTTGGGGTATAGCATCATACAACTTCTTCTGTTCCAACCACTTCTTGGAGAACAAACGGTCGGCGTATCGGTATGCGCCATCACACAGCAGTGTGACAACTGTTGATCCCTTGCCCAGCTTCTCAGCTACTTCCTTAGCTGCAACAACATTCAGACATGAACTGGCGCCCAAGTAGAGACCCTCCTCGTCTAGACATCTGTACACCATTTCAATGGTCTTCTCATCGCTGATGTGCACCGAGCCATCAAGGAGGTCAATGTCTGGCTTCAGGTTGTCTGTTACACGACCTTGACCGATGCCTTCTGTTATGGAGCCACCAGATCGCTCTGTGAGCTTACCACCACTCTGAATATAGGAGTGCAACACTGAGCCTGGTGGATCTGCCAAAAAGCTCTTGACCTTTCCATCGCTCTTCTCCTTGAGATACCTCGTCACGCCCGCCAGACTGCCTCCGGTGCCTGTGGCGCAAGTAAAAGCGTCAAGCTTTCCTCCAGTCTGGGCCCAAATCTCCGGTCCTGTAGTCTCAATATGCGCCTGTCGGTTCGCCACGTTGTCGAACTGATTTGTCCATACTGCATTTTCCAGTCTCTCCGCGTGCCGCTTTGCTTGGTGGTTGTAGTTTTCAGGGTTCTCGAATGCGACAGCGGGTACTGGGTACACTTCTGCGCCCAACAATCTCAGCAGATCAATCTTGCCCTGCGACTGGGTGTTGGGCATGTAGATGACGAGTTTGTAGCCCTTTGAGCGGCATACGTGCGCAAGACCGATACCAGTATTGCCGGCTGTGCCTTCAATGACGGTACCGCCGGGCTTTAGGAGACCTTGGCGTTCGGCATTCTCGACGACGAAGAGGGCAGCGCGATCCTTGACTGAGCCGCCTGGGTTTTGGAACTCTGCTTTTCCAAGAATGTTGCAGCCAGTTTCTTCAGAGAGCCTCTTCAGGCGGATAAGAGGGGTCTTGCCAATTGCTGAGAATATATGTCAATATGTTTTCGCTCTGGGGTTTTGTAAGGAAATATGTTACCATCAAGGAAACCCCGCTGACCAATGCCCTGGGCCTTTGAGATATTTAGGGCAGTCTGCTGGGCTTCTGCTGAGCCAATGATCTCAGCGCCGCGACGTGCAGAGGTCGCAAAGCCTCGCGCAGCTGTCCGGAACATTGTTGCAATTGAGGGATTGCCTCACAAAGCTGGGGGCAAAGGTCAAGTTCAAGTACAAGTTCAAGATGATGCCATCGGCTGGTCGGCGAATCAACGCGCTTTCGCCCGATGTCGCAAGCAGTCAAAGGTGGACCCTGCACGCGGGACCCCTGCTCCCACGAGCCGTTGCCGCGCGGGGGTGTGCGTAAACAACAACACCAACCACAATTGATGCCAATGATCGTGCTACAGTAGACGACCACACATCCTGCTGACCATACACCAAATATGCCCGGACGCCCTTCAACCCGCGCGCCGCGTGGGTCGACCACAACAACTGCCCGCAAAACCAGTGGCGGTACAACAAGGGCAGCACGCGGATCCTCCGCAAGGCAATCCGCAAATGCAGTTAATATCCCTGATGAGGGCCCCGTCACAACTCTCCGCACACAGATTGCCCAAGTATTCAGCGATGCACAAAAGACGACGGCCACACAAAGGAAGCTGGTAGTCAACTTGAGGAAGATCCAGGAAGCATGCTGTTTCGAGCCGCCAGACACAGGCAAGAAGGGCGGAAAGAAGGGCCAGGAGGAGCAAGAAGATTTTGACGAGGAGGAGTTCAATGCCGAAATCGTGAGGTGTCTGCTTAGAATCATGTCCGTCAAGAAGAGCGAGCCAGTGGGCGACAGGGTGATTCGCTTCTTGGGCATCTTCTTGAAGCATGCGTCAGACAAAGGTTTGTCATGCACTGCCGGTCAGAAAAAGAAAGTACTGATCAAAGCCAGATCAACAGATATTTGCTACCGAGTCCGAGGAAGATGCTACTGCCTTTCACGAAACGCCTACCAGCAGGCTTACATCCAATATCCTCACTACAATCCTGGGACTTCTCACAGCCAAAGACAAGACGGTCCGATTCCGAGCCACGCAGACAGTTGCGCACATTGTGAACAGCCTCACTACCATCGATGACGATATTTTCAACCTGATAAGATTGGGTTTCTTGAAGCGTCTTCGAGACAAAGAACCATCGGTACGCGTCCAGGCGATTCTCGGACTGGGTCGTCTTGCCGGGAATGACGACGAGGAGCAAGATGAAGAAGACAGCGACGACGAAGCAGGTGGCATTCTAGACAAGCTTCTGGACATTATGATCAACGACCCGAGTGCCGAAGTGCGACGGGCTGTGTTGCTGAATCTGCCACTTTGGCCGTCAACCCTGCGATATATCCTGGAGCGGGCTCGTGATATGGATGCGACCACTCGCAGGCTAGTTTATGGCAAGATTTTGCCGGCTTTGGGCGATTTCCGACACATGTCGCTTGTGGAACGAGAGAAGCTTATTCGATGGGGCCTTCGCGACAGAGACGACATTGTCCGCAAGGCTGCAGCAACCCTGTTCCGTGAGCGCTGGCTCGAAGACTGTGCTTCATCCCGCGATACCCGGACTGAAGAGGAGAAGAAGCCTGGTGATGTTGCACCACCTAGCCTGGAAGCGCTGTGCGAGCTATTGGAACGCATTGATGTCACACGATCCGGTGAGGAGGACGGCATGGCTCATGAAGCCATGCGCCAATTCTGGGATGGCCGACCGGATTACCGTAGAGACATCACATTCGATCACGAGTTCTGGAACAACCTAGATGCGCAGACAGCCTTTATTGCTCGCACGCTCAACGACTATAGCCAGAGCACCGACGATGACAGAATCCAGAGCATGATTGAGGACAAGATGCCCGAAGTCACCATGTTTGCATTTGTTCTGCAGCGAGAACTCAATTCCCTCATGGAGCTGGTGGACAAAGTCGCAATGATGGAAGAGACTGATCCAGAGATTGAGGAGGCCCAGGAAGATGTTGAGGAACAGGATTTTGTTGTCCAGCAGCTACTTCACATTGCTCATACTCTCGATTACACCGACGAGATGGGACGAAGGCAGATGTACAACATCATGCGAGAAGCGATCTCCAAGGCTCAGCTGCCCGAAGAGTGCACAAAGCTCTCCATTGAGGTTCTGCGCAAGGTTTGCGGTAGTCGAGGCGAGTCAGACTTCTGTGCTCTCATCGTCGAGGCCATTGCCGACGTTCGAGATTCTCTCTTGGATGCCGACGACGCCACTGTCACTGGCGGAGATGCTGAAGAAAGCTTCCACTCTGCACAGTCAGACGTGGACATGGATGCTCCATTGATCAAGGCCAAGACTGCCAAAGCCGCAGAAAATCTCACTGAAGAAGAGAAGGAAGAGCGACAGATCCGAGAGGTCATGGTATACTCCAAGTGCTTGCACATTGCGCAATGCACACTTCAAAATGTGGAGGGCGATCTGGAGTCGGATACATCGCTCACAAATATCCTCAACACACTCATTATCCCGGCTGTGCAAGCTCATCAGGCAATGATCCGAGAACGCGGTGTCATCTGCCTAGGCCTAGCTGCCCTTCTCAGCAAAGTAGGTTTTACAACCCATCATCTTCTATGGGAAATACTAACAACAACTAGGATCTCGCGGATAACAACCTCGACCTCTTTTTCCACTGCTTCGCAAAGGGCCATGACGCTCTGAAAGAGATTGTCATTCAAGTCCTCACAGATGTAATCATCACTCATCCACAGCTTCTTACGCCCACTATCCCGGACCCAGACGCCGAGACTGAAGATGCAGAGCCCATTACCAACCCACGCATTCGCCCTATTACCAAGATTCTTCTTAAGGCTTTCACATCGGACAACAAACGCATTAGTCTTATCTCATGTACCGCTGCCTCGAAGCTGTTGCTCCTCGGTATCCTACCACCCCAGCCTACGGCCGAAATCTTGAAGGCATTCACATTGACCTACTTTGATCCCGAGACAGCAATAAACCCAGCACTACGACAAGCACTGAGCTACTTCCTCCCCGTCTTTTGCCACAGCAAGCTAAAGAACGCCAAGCTCATGGGCGAAATCGCCGTCCCCATCATCTCCAAGCTTCTCATCATGCGCGATGAGAATGTCGAAGAGGACGACATAGACGAGATGGTCGGCTGGCCCGTCATCACCGCCCACCTTTCCGAATGGACCGACGGCCGCAAGGTAGTCGGCGCAACCGAACTCGGTCTCGACGGCAAGACGAGCACAACAGCCGAAGCCGAGGAACCCCATGTTCAACTCGCAATTGAGATTCTCGAGCGCGCACTCACAAGCACTTGTTCGAAAGACGAGCGTAAACCTTTGCTTTCGCTCCTAAGCAAACTCTTCATCGCTCCCTCGGGCCCGAGCTACAAGAGCAGCACCGACCAAAACGGTGAAGATGAGGAAGAAGAAGAGCCCCTGCATACCCTCCACAACCTTGTTTCCGAAGGTGTCGAAGCCAAGATTGGCACAGATGCTACACAGCGCAATGCACTGGCGAAGCTCGAAGCTACTCTAACAAAGCGATTGGGCGAAGTGGGTAACGCGACACAAGCTCCCGACGAAGACGCAGATGACCAGACGGCTGTTCCTGACACTACTGTTGCGCCCGATGAGACAGAGACGACCGAGGCGTCTGAGACCCGGGTACCATCTAAGAAACCTGTCAAGGTTAAAGAAGAAGATGATGAGGAAGAGGAAGAGGATGAAGATACAATGTTAGCTGGTATGCAAGGAGAGGGTACACGTATGCCTCTTGAAGCTGATGACGATGACGATGATGAGGATGAAGAGGAAGAGCAGTCGATGGCTGAACATAGCACGTTGATTGTGGGTAGGGATGATAGGAAGAGGACTATGGTTACTGAGGAGGATATTATGGAGAGTTTGTTGCAGAGTGAGATGGAGGATTCTGCTTAGACGTTCTTCTTCTCTCGAGGGTTTTTGGGTTGGATGTGTTGTAGATGGCGTTTTTTTGGAGGGGCCTAGGGGGATAAAGTCGGATGGGGAGATATGATTTTATGTATTACGCGGTTATGATATCCTGTTGCTATCCATACTTTTTGTTTCTTTTTTTTTTACTTGACAATGTCATCTTCTCCATTCTACTCATGATACTTGCATATCATATGACATGAACGATTCAACAGAATTGTTGTCCTTTGAGAATTCCTTTTATTTTATTTTTGGCTGAAAAATTGGGTATATAACCAACGTGCTAACTTACGCGGTATAGCAAGCAAACTAAAAACAAACGCTAAATGCAACAAAAACAAACCACTAGCTAAATTTTTGCTCGCTTGACATCTGTCGTGAATCCGTATTAAACATGTACAGAAAAAAAAAGTGTACACTCATTAGTGTGTCTTGCAAGAGAGCAGAAGGAGCAGTTTACCTTCCTCACCCGTCACAATCATGACAAAAACCCCTCCAATCACCTTTTGCGTGAAATCATCGTAGTAGTCGCTCAAGAAGAAAGCTTCTTCCAAATCATGACCGGAGTGGCATATCCACCTCGACCTCGCCAAAAACATCTCTGTACCACCCCCGCAACTTCCTGCACTTCTCACCGCGCGCATCCTCTCTGCACCCTTCTTCAACAACGACATCCCACATGCGCTGCTCAACATCATATCCGAGCTGCTTCTGCATATCTTCTTTCTTGCCCCACATCCTGTGCGAGCGGCCCTCCATATCAAACGGGCGGTAATCATTCAGCACATGCGCTGGGTCGAGCTTGAGATTATTCTCATGGATAAAAAGCGGGATGGGTTTGCTCGGCGCGGTACGTGGCTTATTCCTCTGAGATTGAGTGACGAGATCCTTGTCTTGCCAGTGGGCTTGATCGTGGATGTGGTTGCGCATCGGGGGCAGGTACTGGTAGTCGAGACGGGGGTCCGCCTGGGCGATTCCTGTACCTTCATATGTGCCGTTGAGGAAGCGGCCGAGGGCCATCGGGGTGGTGCGGACTTGGTAGAAAGGAAGGCCGACGGCGAGGGCGGCTTGTGTGAAGGTTTCTTTGTCGCCAGCGCCGGGGGCGCCTTGGCTGAAGAGGATGTAGTAGAAGTCTGGGCCGTAGTAGTTGTAGTAGACCATCATGAGGAGGGTTTCGCGGTGTAGGTCTTTGTTCATGAGGAGCTGACCGCTTTCAGTCGAGAGGCGCGATTGCGAGGGGACTTCGGGGATGGCGGCGATGTGGTAGAAATGGGCCGATATGGTCTGCGCCCAGAAGTCGGGCCAAGTTACCAGGCCATGGGTTGTGTAGGGGGCGACGGAGAATAAACCTTTCGGATCTTGCGAGGGGAAGGCATCGCTGTCGAGAAACAGAACGTGCTGGAAGGATGAGAATAGGATCGCAAAAGCCTTGTACTGGTAGTGACTGGGTGGCTTGGCGTTGGCGGCCGTCTCGTAAATGTTTGATAGGACAACGCAACGGGCGTTTAGAGAAGGTAGAACGGTCTCGCACACTGTCGCGTCATACTTGCTCCAGTCGTCGATGAAGACTTCCATGGGCAAATCACATCCCGTCTTGCGTAACAAGCGCAGTGAGACCAAAAAGATAGGCATGTACATAGCGTTGGCTGTCGTAACGATGCCCGTAGTACCCTGTGCAAAGGGGACTTTGGACGCGAGCTCTTTTGCAGAACTGCGCATAGTATAGTGCGCTCTGAACAAGGCCAATTCTTCATTCTTTGTGAAGTTAACCAGCCGATCAGGGTGCATCCTGTGAGGTTCCAGCGGCTTGAAATTGACAACATCGTCGAACCCCTCGTCGTCCAGCTGCAAAGGCTCACATCGTGGTTGGGCGTCAACCAGAGCAGTGGCAAGGTCCGACCAAAACTCTTGAACAGACTTGTCAAAGGTTGAACTGGCTGCAGTGAGGTTTTTGCCCGTCAAGATGGGGATATGAATGGCAGCCGAGCCATGGTATTGCCGGGGAAAGAAGAAGAAGGCGCCGCATATGAAGAGGAACAGAGGGAGGATAAGCAGTCGCGGTAACGAGTGAGAGGTAGTGACGAGCATGGCGGGGGGTGGGCCCGCACTTGAGAGCGAGTAAGTATCACGAAGGCAAAAGGAAACGGGGTATCTTTGGAGAGAGAGAAAAGTGGGAAAGGCAGAGAGAGATAAGTCAGAAGGCTAGCGCCAGATGAGAGGTGAGAGTGAAAGGACGAATTGCATGTAAGTACACTGCTATGGACGCCTAGAGATAAGTGGAAATGATGTGACATGGGTGCCACAGTGCCATCCCAAGGTGGCACAGCATGCAACTGCAATACGAGCGGATGCTACAAACGGGGTACGCCGCCGCGGTTATGGAGAGGCCGACTCATGGCGCGAGTCCAGGACACATGCTTAGCTTGATGCTGTCGGGTGGTATAGGGCTAGTGCTAAGCCCCAACAGGATGTTATATGAGAGCAGACAGCATGATGCTTGACAAGATCGTGGGTACAGCTCTTGGGTGAGGTTGTGACAAGCTTATGGGATAGGGGCGGACCGAGCGAGATGGAATGGTGAATTGCATCCGGCGTATCCTAGGCCCTACCTAAGCTCAGCATAGCGCAGAAAAGCTGGATAAACGGGCAAGCTGAGTAAAAGCGACTAACGAGCAAGTAGCTCATTAGCCGTGCCAAATTAGACGTTGGAAGATTCAAAATTAGAGACGCTAACGCCATGGGCAGGCTGACTGATAACGGCATGGCAAGGCGAGACTGGCCGACGTTTGACAGCGTGGGTCGTTGGTTGGGTCCCCCCTGCTCTCAGGGACAACGGCTGTGCACGTAACGTCTCTGCGCATGAGGCTCTGGGCGATCTTAACAAACTACATTACTTCCGTCGTATGTTTCCTAGCCCTGGTCACATTGCAGTCAGTACACACAAGTACATACGCCTGTGGAACCGACAACTTCAACAGCAGCACAACTCACTTCTAGCATATGCGACCCAGAGCAACGCGTCGCAAAGACCTTTTTTGTTTCCCAGCCTCCAGCCGTGCGTATCGCGCATATACGCACTATTGAAAAATCGCGCAACCGTATATACGGGGCGTGTGACACCCTAGATGCCCATCCACCCGCCTCGGAAATTGAGCCACGCAGACGCCACAGACCTCTCATCAATGCCAATGTCAACACGGCCATGTCTTTTGTATCCATATCTTACTTGGATGTGAGATGTCATATATATTAATTCTAGAATAGGGGGGCACATCATCATAACGGTGTGTGCTCAACAAACTCCCATCTAGCATGTTACAAAAAAAATTGGGTTCAGACGAAGAAGAAAAAAGGAAATAACAACAACAAGAGAAGAGATTACCCGAATATCGTCGTGATGCCGCGCAGATTCCTACGCTTTACTACTCTAATCGTAAACAAGACACAACTAGCCCGCTGTAGCGCGGGCTAGAAATCCTGCTAAGCTCCATAACACCCGTACCTTGCATGACCAACAAAGCCAACCAACCACAAGATCCCATCTGCTCCTCTCCCACGCTTACTCCCATACAGTATGTCCATTCCTTACAAACAGCCAAACAACCGAAACGAATCTCAAAAAAAACACTCCCTGACAAATCCATAACATTACATAACTACTAGTTAACTACTCATTTTAAAACATAATCACCGGCCCGAAACGAAAAACCGGCCTTATATCGTAACTATGCACATAAGCATCACCGCAACCCCCACCCATAGTCCACCACATTAGGACTCTTGTGCCCAGCCCAGCCCAGAAAACCCGCCCAACGTGGGGTGGGGGTCAAGCAAGCAAGATTAAGTCCGCCAAGCCCACACTCTCTCCTACTTCAATCTTGGACACTTGCTTGGCATCAGCAGAGAAACTCCCCCAAACAAACCCATGTAACCCATCCTTTATAATTACGCATGCTCAGCTTGGATGTTTTTGAGAGAGAGAGAGAGAGAGAGAGAGAGAGAGAGAGAAAGGGAGAAAACGAGGGAAAAGGAAGATCGAATAGAAAATGTCAGATATCCCCCGAGTTGGTGTGAGATGATGAGATATCCAAGGGTCCTGATACGGTACCCCGAACTAGGATAGAGGGATTGATAATGCGTACAATTCCCCTTGGCTTAGGTTGGTTTTGTTGGAAAAGCCACGAGATAATTTACTTTACATTGAGCGCACTATTTACTACTATGGAATTTTTGCCCCCTCCCCCCCCCCAACACACACACACTCACACACATCTGTCACTGACCCTCTGTGTCCCATTTCCTTGATTCACATAATATTCGCCATTGCCCGGCGGTGGCATCTTATCGTCTTCTTCACATTTCACTATGACGCGGCTACGACACCAAACTTTTTTTTCTTCTGAAAGATTGGTCCACTGCTACTACGTACGAGGGCGAAAAAAAAGACAAACGCAAATTATTAGTACAGATACTGGTGGAAAATATTCCGGAAAAAAAGAAGAAAAAACCCGCGCAGAAAACACACACGATATACCTCGAGAGCCACCCTTTACTTCACAGGCACCTTGATTGCCAAGGCAATGTGTTGTGATTCAATTTGTAGCATGCACAAGAAAACAAGAGAGAGAAAAAAAGATCAAGAAAAGAGGAAAATGAACACCAGCTCGGGGCCCAGATGCTGTACGAAGATATCGTCTTCCCAGATCCAAGAACCTCATACAAGCCTGCATTCGCTACCGTCCAATTTGTACTTTTTTATCCACCCACCCAGCTTTTGCAAAAGGAATTCAAGTCGATCCCCAAACACCCCCGCCATCCCAGGTATCGAACTCCATCAAATGAGGATTTTTCCGTCTATACGCATCCGTGCCGTAGGTAGCCTGCAAATGCCACGAATCTCTTAAATCGACCGATGCTGTAAAACTCCACCCATAGCCAATCTTGCCCACGCCAGCCTACCCGAAAAAACCGACCCATATCAAATTGCACCGCAAGATACGCGCTCCAGACGATCGATACCTATGTACGAGTGAACTTACGCCGGCGACTTATTGGCGGGGTTAGTGACGTTGCGCCGATCATCGTTCATGGAAAGAGAGCCGAAGCCGGTTGAAAGAAAGGCAAAGGGGTCATTGCGACCATCGCCACCGTTGGGAGCACCCTGAGCGGGGTAGGGGTCCGCCGAGGAAAAAGCAGCTTCAGCAGCGCGGCTGTCAAAGGGAGTCGAGTGCATGCCACCGTTGGGCACATACTGACCGCCCATGGGAGGGTAAGGGCTAGCCGCACCCATACCAGAGGGCAGAGCATACGAGCTGGGAGGGCCGCCATACTGTTGAGCTGGGAAGCCGCCACCACCGTAACCAGCAGGACCGTAGGGACCGGCACCAGGACCAGCGCCCATGGAAGGAGGACCCATGCCGAAACCAGAGGGCGTGTCCATTGGCGACGGGAATGCGGAATCAGCAACGACAGCAGCGCCGGCACGGCTAGCTCCACAGCGGAGGCAGGCAGTATTCTTTGCAAAGTTGTGGTATCCGCAGCCATTCTCACCGCACTTCCAGTCTCCAGCACGGAAGGGAACGACACCAGTACCTCCACGCATGTGTCCACCACCCATTCCGTGACCGTGACCGTGGCCGTGGCCCATGTGGTGCTGGGGAGGGCCCATCATACCTGGATGACCTCCGTATCCGTATCCGCCGTAGGCCATGGGGTCACCACCTGGCGGGCCTTGTTGCATGGCAGGGAACGAGCATCGGAAACAAGCGGTACGGCGCTGGAAGTTGGAGAAGCCACAAGAAGGGCAGTTCCAGTCACCAGGGCGAGGTCGGTTCTTGCTAGGTGGGAATGGTGTGATGATATCAGAGGCACGGTCGAGAACGCGAGTGGACGAAGGCGAGACTTCAATGGCCTTTTCGTTGAGAGCGCGGCCGTTCATGCAGAGGCTCTCAGCAGCCTAAGAAAGAAGAATCAAAGTTAGCATATTACATGTCGAACATGATTGATACAATACATACCTCCTCGTGGGAAGAAAAGATGGCGAAGCCAGTGCCAGTGGGCTTGTGCTGGTCTGGGGTACGGAGGGTCCAGAAAGCAATAGGACGACCGCCAAACTGCGTGAACCAGCTCTCAAGCTCTGACTGAGTAGTGTCATGGGGAAGGCCGCTCATGTGAAGAACCTTGCTGCGCTCGGACAAAAAGGCGCGCACGTCAGCCCTGGCGTCCATGGGTTTGGTAAGTACGTCAGGGTGGTCCTGAGGTGGCTGCGACTTGCGAATCAGGCCACGGAGAACTCGTGCAAGTGTGACGGCCTCCTCCATTGCCCGCCGCGGCGAGGCGGGGGCGAGGGCTTGCAAGTGAAAGGGCAGGTTGTGTTTGATGGGCGCCGACGATTGGACAGGCTCCACTTCAAGAGCCGCACAAATGTTGGTCAAGGCGCTAGAGCCAAACGGCAACGACTCTGGGTGGTGTGCCTGCCAGCGCTGGTATTCAGTGCGTAGGTCGAATGTACGGGAGTGTTGGAGGTATGGGGGAAGAACAACGGCCTTGTCCCTAGCCTCACGCGGCAGCTGGACGCGGAGGTCCCACGAGTCAAGAGTGACAAAAGCAAACTCGAGGTTTTTGGGGGCAATGTGCTCGGCGTGGAAGTTGTTGAAGCGTTCGATGGCATCACGGAAGGAGCCAGCGTTGCGGACCTGGTCCCAGGTAAGGGTTGTCAAGCTGGCTGTGCAAGCAAGGGTGCAGGGTTAGCCGAAGCTCGTCGAGGTGAAGAAGGGGGTAGGGAGTGAAGGAGGCAAGTAGGCAAGTAGGCAGGGGAGAAGGAGCAAGACAACGTACTGCACAGAGCCGTGATTGGTGTGTTGACGGGCTTCACGAGGACGGACTCGCGGTGTAGCTGGGATTGGATCAGCAATTGAGGTGCGGGATTGGGATGGGCAAGCCCACCTCTTCGCACGACTTTGCATCGAGGAGAATCCAGCCGAGCTCAATGACCTCAGCTGAATCCTTTGTCACGTAGACGCCGTGCTCGTCACAGGTGGTAGCTACGTGAATGACGACGTAGCGGTCGAGATTGGCCGCCTGGGGGCTCGGGGTCGGTTGGGACGCCATAGCTATCTGTATTTGTCTGCGGTAGGTGCACTGTCAGTACGGGTGCCTCTGGGGTGGTCCAGAGGTCAGGCGAAACTGCGGCGAGGGTGGATTGGGCAATTGAGGTGTTGCGGCGAGGGAAGTCGGAGGTAAGAGGCGGCGTCGGTGGAAGTCGCTCGCAGCGGGTACGTCAGCGGGGAGGTGAATACGGATGAGGTGAGGCGGGGATGGGTGACTTGCTGCTCACTGCAAGTGAAAGGGAGAACAGAGCAGAGCCTCGAGGTGAATGATGGAGCTAGGGTAGAGGTGACCCAGTGAGATGAAACCAGGTGCTCTGTGATGGGGACGGACGACCTGAGGCTCCGTGCAATGATGCCGGAAGATTTCTTGACGTGGATAGCAGAGCTAAGGCACAACGTCGAGATCTTGGCGGGAGCTCGAGTTTAGTGTCGGACGTGTCACTGGGAGCGCATTGGGGGATATGGGCTTTTTTTTCCCTGATGCTGTCTTGTTTTTTGCGGGTTGCACGGCTACCTCGCGTGTTGCTGTGTGCCTATATGGTCCCTGGACGGGTGCTGGCGGTGTTCCGACGTCGCAATTGGCAGCAATGGGCTCGAGAGTGTCGTCTCGGGCCTTGGGATAGCATGTACACGGGTGTGTGTATTGTATATACATAGTTCATGGCTGCATGGCTGCATGCATCCATACATAGTACATGGCGGGATATCTGCAGCGACGTCGACGCTCATTACCGGTCCCACGCGTGCGGTCAAGGGGAACCGGCGCGTGCTCATGCCCTGTGTGTATACATAGGACGTGTATGCATGTACAGTGTACACAGTAGCGTGCATGTATGTCGTCGCGTTTGAGTGCAATGGACACGGCGCCATGGTGAGAGCTAGACATTGGGTAGGGTACTGTGTACATGCACATACACACACCACACACACACCCACGCCCACCCGAGCCCGAACAACAGGGTCCGGCCATGGCTTGGACGGGGCAGCCCGCTGGCGTGTTATCTCGAGAAGCCATGTTGGACCAGTGGACCAGTGGACCAGCAGAGCTGTAGGGTGGGCGAGAGGCGGCTAGGGGCCAAGGGGACAAGGGGCCAGCACATCATCCCGCCCTCCCCCCTGGCCGTGTGTCGTCCTCCCACTCCCGCGGCGACGGCCACGTCAGCACGTGATCAGCCCCAACCCTCGTGCTCGCCTGCCCTCGCTGCAGTTTCGGCGCAGGTGGCAGCCAATTTCGCACGTCGGCAGGCTGGCAGGCTGGCAGGCTGGCAGTTGAGTTTGGAGGCGCGCGCTCAAGACGATCAGCGTCCTTCAAGCTTTGCTGACACGGCCGACAAGTACTAGCCCTGTCAGCAGCGCCCGCTCGACGTAGTGTGCGCGACGTCTCCCAGAGCCCGTGGTACATCTGCTGTGAACCCCTTAAACGCCGCGCGCGCCCCCCTTCTGCCCATCAAGAGATCCTCTGCAATTTATGCACTCCGCCTGTGGCATCGGGGACTTTGCATTGGCGCCTAAGCATCTACCACTACCCACACGAGGAAGGCCCGTGTAGTAAATCGGGACCGCCAGCTTTACTAACCATGGCCTCTCGGCAACGCGGCTTTCTGTCTTCCCCGCAAGCTGCACCAAACGGACGCGAGTTAGTATTCACCTACCCACTTTTTGAAACAACGGACAAAGAAACACGTCCACCCCCCCAAATCTGCCTTCAGCCGCTGCACTCCTCCATGCCGCTGTCCTCCTGACCTTTTCTACAGTTCCTCTCGCGGCATCATGGGCTTCTTCAAGCGATTCAGGCGTCACAAAACCCCAAAGAAGAACGAATCCCGTCCTCGCAACGACCTCTACGCCCCCGCTATCCCCGAATACCATGGGCCCGATCAGTTTGTCCGTCTGCCCGACAACATCTTGCGTCGCATCTTTGAGGAAGTCTGCCCCCATTCCACTGACGAGACCCTCGACGGCAGCGAGGACAGTGGCAACGATGGCTGCATGAGCTGCGACATGCGAGACCTGGCCCACTGCGCCTTGACAAAACGACAATGGTATGGTGTAGCCGCCGGTCTACTGTAAGTTTTGCCATTCTACTCTGTCTGCATGTACATTGCGGCTGACCTGCCTCCCTAGCTACAACAGCATCCGCATTGATGCCGTCCACTACTGCGAGCTTGAGGAAATCTACGCCGACCAGCGCAGGCGCAAGTCGCGTAACGGAGATGAGATTGATGCCCCCACCGAGCGACTCCAGCAGCTCGGCCAGAGTGTCCGCGGCAACCAATACCTCGGCCAGCGTGTGCGCTTCATCAAGCTCCCCTATATGACGCGCGAGGCCTGCAAAGCCGACCTTGCGCGAACAGTGTCCGGCTGCCCCAACCTCGAGTACATTGACCTCCCAGACGGCTTCTATAGTGGCGACCAGTCTTGCCAGTTGCTCCGACAGGAGCTGCAGGGACGATGCCCCCACATCAGGAGAATGAAGTACACCGAGGGTGGTGAACAGGCACTCGAGTCGCTCCTCCAGGGCTACTGGCAAGAGCTCATCACCATTGAGCTCAACAAGATACACATTGAGCCCAGCATCTTACGACAGGTCTTCGGCATGCTTCCCCGACTCAAGGAGCTTACCATAATCGGCGCTCCATGGCTGAACGATTCCACTTTCCACGATGCCCCTGGAATTCCAAACTTCCCTGCCTTGGAAATCCTGAGGCTAGAAAAGTGCCACACAGTGACTGCACACGGCTTGGCCCAGTTCCTCCATAACCCCATGTGCAGTGCCAGACTTCGAACGCTCGTACTCAAAGACTGCGCTGGCTTCCCCGTGGCATCTCTTCACATTGTTTTGCAGGCCGCGGTCAACCTTCGGACATTGGAGTACACGGCCACGGTCTCGGCATCCCTTCCCCTGGACCCTATTCCGCCCATGAACTCGTACACACTGCACAAGCTCAACTTTGAGGTTGTGTCAAGCGCCGCCAACCAGGTCTACCCGCCCGCTGCGTCGTATTACCAGTATCTAGCCAAGTCGCTAATGTCCAACTCGCTCCCGGCTTTGCGACAGCTGTGGGTTCGTGACCCCGATTTCCCAGAAATCCTTACTCTTGCACCACCAGTACGTCCGTTCAGTGAGGCACCGCCGCCCATGTTCAACCAGCCCCTGGAGGTCTACTCCAAGGGTCTTGATGAACTTGATTGGATCTTTACATCCATCATGCCTCCCGAAGGCCAGGCACGACGAGCGTCCATGTCTGTGGGCCGGCCGTTGAGCAGTTATTCGGCACACAAGGGTCTTGGCCCCCAGTGGGGTGGAGATGCCCGTAAGAGCATTGTAGTGCCAAATGGGTTCGGTGGATTCCTGGCCATACCTGCTGACAACGATGGGCGGCCAAGAAGCGCAGGCCATACGGCACCTAGTGGAGGCTTTGGACACGGCTACTCCAACTCGCTCGGTGGCCGAGAACCCAGCCCGCGCGCAAGCTGGATGACCCACGTTGGCCGCGAGAAGCGAGCCTCGAGGGCTGATTTGTGGCGCTAGTTTCTGTTCGTTTGGACATGCCAGCATCGCACTCTGCATCTATGTACTGCATCTCGCCTGCCCGTCTTCTTATTTACCTTTCTCTCTCTCGCTCACTTCGATTCTCTCTTCTGGATAGCTGTCCACGTTCTTTTTTTCCCTTCAAACATCACCTTTGTAAGATACCAAGGAACTTTTTCTTGTTGTGTGTTTTTACTTTTGTTCTATTTTGGTCGTTTTAAGGTTGGTGGAACATGGGTGCAACACCAGTACGAATTATGGCGACACCGGGCAGGACCAATGAGGGTTGGACGAAAATACCCCTGGTGAAGGATGGAGTTTCCTTTGTTGGCCATGTGTGTGTACATAAAGAAACAAAGCAAAGCAAGAAAGAAAAACAGAGCGCTTGGTTGCGCGAGACTGGTCTCTCGTGGCTACTTAAAATACCACCGACGACTTGTGCTTTTAATATCGAGTGCCGGTTTGTTTTGGGAAGGGGGGAGGGGGGGGGTTGCTCGGTGGACAGGGCCAAGGTTTGTGTGCGTGGTAATATTGCAGTTGGTCATTCTCCACTGAGATATTACAAAAGTGTTTTCTCATTTAGGCAATATAGGCTGTTATGGTGACATACTAGTACTTACATAGGCGGGTTCATATTACACACATTACACATGTACGCATAGGGTTCATGCCATTGTCACTGTCAGGCCACGTAGCCAAGGGACAGGCGTAGTAGTGTGGTGTGCCCTATGTGGATGCATGCACAGCATTGCGATCTGCAGGATCTCATTGCATGCCGCGATCTGCTTGGGGGGGGCATTCATGCACACGCCATGACTACGTGCGTACTCGAATAGCGTGCTGTGGCTAAGGCATGGCGGCCATGCGTCGCGTTTCAGGCGGGCGTGTGGCTGACACCGCCTGCACTGACCGCCCCGCGTTGGTCATGTGGACGAGTCGTCTAGCGCACGCGCCTGCGTACGGCCGGCCTACCAGGTTTCAGTCCAGCCACTGGCCGTTCTCGCCCTCTCAGGAGGACTACCAAGATAGAACGGGGGGTGGAGAGAATGTTTCGGCTACCTGCTTTGACCTGGTGATTGGATTCAGGTACTTTAATGTCAAAGAGTTAAACGCCGCCTTAGCCGTATTCCGCCTGCTGCCACTTGTACTTGCTTCTTCGCCCTGTTCACGCCTTCTCTTTCCCCTCACTCGCTAGGCGTGCTCTATGGCCGTGGTTGTGCTTTCTATGTTCTCTACCGCTCTTCGCGCCGGCACGAGGATTCCAGTCGCACAGCATTCTCCCCTACACCGCCATGGCCACTGAAGCAATGTCCTCGTCTGCTGCTGCAACAGCAGCCGCAGCGTCGACGCAAAAGATGTCTCGCTATAGGAGCGTAAGGCGCGCTCAGGAACAGCATCCCGCACCACCGGGCCAGTTTTCGCAGCATGACCAGCCTTCGCAGGCCATGTCGACAATGCCTACTATGCCTGCGGTACCAGACTCTCAGCCTCAGAACGATGCGCCACTCAGCAGGAGCAAGAGCCGCTACCACCGCCGACCACCAACTTCGCACGCGACCAGTCCGCAACCCCCTCCCCGCTCCAACACCACATTTGACCCTCCACCGCCCTTTTACCCGCAGTCGCCGCCGTATGCTTCGTCGAACGATGCCGACAGTTCCCCACAGCAGACGTCGAATGCGGCCAACACTGCCCAGCGCCGCCCTCGGACGGCTAAACCTCGTACTCAAGCGTCGCCCCTTGTCTACGGTGCTCCAAGAGATCAGTCCCTCAGTGGCGATGATAGTGCGAGGGAAGTTCTCGAAAAGGAGAAGCAGCGCCAGCGGCAGATGAAGGAAAGACATGATGCAGAGGCACGGGCAAGGAGGCAGGCACAACAGGCCGAGTTGGATAGGGCCGACAAGTTACGTCAGGAAGCAGAGGAAGCGGCGCGGTTACAGAAGCAGCAACAACAGCAGCAGCGAGAGTTTGAAGAGGCGGAAGCGCTGCGTCGGCAAAGAATCGAACAAAAGGCAGAGCAGGAGCGTGGGAGACGACTACAGAAAGCCGGGCCACGAAAGACTTCGCAAAACAAGGACGAACATCAACGTCAAGCGGTATTGGCCAAGCTCGAAGAGCGTTCTCAAAAGCCACCGGCCTCACCTAATGCCATTTCGCCTCCGCGACAGCAAGAAGTTGGGTTTGGCATGTTCAAAAGGAGAAAGGACGAGGCTCTAGGCCTGGATGCTCCGGCGCAATTGTCGGCTGCACCACAACTCAGCCTCAGCCTCAGCCACGAGGAAGAGACCATCAAACCCGGTGGAGGAGGCGCGGTCCTGGGCATTGATGCACCAACTTCAGCCGTGAATGCTGGTGACAGGGTATGTTGGTTGCCTCTTGGGCGGGATAAAGTGACTAACAACTGGGGCAGCGCGTTACGGTTGTGTGCAACAAGAAGCGTATTCAACTACCAGTCACACCGACCACAACACCTCTGGATCTGATTAAGTCTGCGTCGACTGTCCTCACAGACCCAATTGACGTTCGCACAGCAGTTATTTCTGAATATTTCACAAAAGTCAGCATCACGCGCCCACTTCGCAATTACGAATATGTACGAGATGTTATGAACTCGTGGGATCACGACAGCCAAAATGAGCTAACCATTATCGACTCGGACGTGGACGGAATCAACCAGGATGATTTGCTCGCATACAAAGTGCCCGAGGCAAGACCCGAAGGCATGTCGTGCTTTATCCAATACTCTTCGAGACCCGGCAAATGGAGCAAGCGCCTGCTTACCCTGCGTCCCGACGGCCAGCTAGTCATGGCGAAGAACGAAAAGACCAAGGAAAAGGATCTGGAGAACATTTGCACGCTTACAGACTACGACATCTACACGATAACGCAGCAGAAGCTGGCAAGGGTCAAGCCACCCAAGAAGATATGCTACGCGGTCAAGAGTATGCAAAAGTCGAACATTTTTGCCGACGAGTCGCAGTATGTGCATTTCTTCTGCACCAATGACCGCAACACGGCAAACATGTTCTACCATGCTTTGCAGTCGTGGCGGAGCTGGTATCTCAAGTACCAAAAGGGCGAGGGGTTGAAGAAGAAGTCGCCGGCCATGCGCAACGTGTCTGGCAACCAAGAGGCAGCGCAGTCATCAGCGCATGCACGGGGTGAGTCTGTAGGATCACATTACCAGCTAGGTGCTTTCTCGTCGTTGTTGGACATGGACAGTTTCAACAAGAAGCTAGATGAAATTGAAGTGCATAAGCCGGGCGAGTTTCCAGATGACAAGCCCTTGTCGAAACTTGATAGCAGAGCAATGCATACGAGGAAGAAGTCGTTGCGGGTAAAGCAACCACCTCCGACAACGTTGATCAAAAGTGCAATCGGCAAGCCCAACCCGTCGCAGCCCACGTCTCGACAGACGTCTGGACGACGCAGCTTCGATGGCAAGGAGGAAGAAGCATTTACTTCTAGTGGGCTTCTAGGCCGGGGCTATACCGAGCGCCAGGCTGCAGCACAGGCTCGTGAGCAGCAGCAGGCGACGGCATTTACAGAGGGTCCATCACTGCTGAACGTGGGTCGGTTGGGTCAGGCCGACAGTAATGTCAAACGTAGCACTTCCACGCGCAGTAACCACCATCGACGGACATCCAGCGACCTGCAAAGAAGTGCTTCGAAGCGGGTGCCTGGTATGCCAGAGCCGTTGATTGATCTTACGCCGCAGTACCGTCCACCACCACAGCATCTCAACAAGGGCAAAGGGTACAACCCGGGAGCGGGGGCAGGGCCACTTGTGGAGAGCGCAACGTCGATAGAAGAAGCAATCAAGGTCCCTTCATTGACAGATTGGCGAGCGGGCCGGCCGGGAACATCACGCGCACATGGAACATATGGCGCCGGTGGCCACGAGCGCACACGGTCGCTCAAGGGTCGTGGCGAGCCCCTGGCTGCATACACGCACAACAACCATGGGGCAGCGCCTGAGGATGCCAGCAAAGCATTCACGGGCGGGGGCCTGCTGTCTCGAGCGGGTTATTCACAAGGCCCGGATGTTATCGGTCGAGGAGTCATGGATGGCAGCAAAGCTCGAGGCCCAATGGTCAATCTGAACCTGAACAACGAGTTTGTGCAGGGCAGCTTGCTGGGTGGGATGTCTGTTGCTGCACCGGTGATTGATCGAAGTGGCAAGTAAGGTGTTTTTGGGGAGGGGGGGCAAAGATGGGTGGTTTGCAGGCGGAACCACTTCCCAAACGGCACGTGGCGGCCTTTTTTTTTTCTTTCCTCTTTCCTTTGTGAGCGCGATTTTAGCCTGATATCCCTGCATAAATTCTTTTTCTTTCTCTTCCTTGCGGTTTGTTTCCCAACGTCGTCAGCCCAAAGGCTTGTTTTTCAGGTGGCGCCGATGTTGAGGCATAGTGGGGGTGTAGGAGGGGATGCTTGGTATGGCCGAGTAGATGAGGCTAGATATGGTGAGTGTATTGAATTGATAATATATGTTTGGAGTGATATGGGTCTAGATGCGACTAGCTGGAGATACTGGCGGGTGAGACTGTGAGGTGAGGGTACATGAGATTCAGTTTGCATGGTTGCATAGTTGCATGGTGTTGTGTGCTTACTATACAGTATGTGTGTGTGTGTGTCCGACCAAGTCTCCGATGTCTCCGCCTCCGCCCAAGGACGGGCCCACTCGACTGGCTGCGGAGAGGGTGGCGTGCTGGAAACTTCACCCCCCGTCGAGCGGGAACCCCGCAATCGTCGGCCTAATGACGAGACGGTGCAGCAGGCGGACGCAGTACCGCCTCGGCATATTAGCTTCGCAAACGTGTACAGCAACATGCGCTATATAGCAATTGCGAACAAAAGAAGATGAAGAGACAGAAGAGTCGTCAGAATTGAGCGGCACGCATCGAGACGGGAACGATCGGTCGATGGTCCGCTCTTCATCTCATTTCCTCGACAAACTGTTGAGTTGTTGACTCGCGCACACTCGCCGGCCACGCTCCAGCCTTGCCCTGCTGGGCGCCAGCCGCGGGGAGGGAACATGCTAGTAGGGAGTGGGTGGGTGTGTACACAGTATGTACATGTCTATGATGTGTGTACATGGGTGCACATGTACTCTACTCACATGTTCAGAGAATTGGGTATTGTGCATGTTTTGCCAGTACCATGTGCGCTAAACTGCTACTCTAGTTTGCTCGCGGCCAGCAAATGATATGGGCAGCGTCATGGTGACTGCAGGGCCAGCAACGACGTCACCCGCACCAAGCGAGTGTGTCGGCTGGGGAGCTCTGACCTGAGACCTGAGCATCCCAACCACCCTAAACCCTCCCCACGTCGGGGTCTCCCAACGCTCAAGCTCCCAAAGCAATAAGCGGCCCACCAACTCGAGCCCTTGTCGGCGCTGCAGGGCATATCTGCTGGGACCACGCCAACCGCTATTACCTCGACTTTTTCCTGTCCATTCTGCTCACACACTTTCATCAATTGCTCTCTGCGGCTGCACCACCACATCGTGTTGCAGACCCGTATCGCCTATTCTCTCCCCACCCCCCCCGGCTCAGTAACCCAACCGCTCGTCTAGCGCCGCATCCTGCAGCAGTCTAACCAAGTACCGAGCTCCAGCTCCATCAGCCCTGTTCCGCCTCTCCTTCTCATTCTTTCCTCTTGAACAGCATTCTGAATCTGCCATTGTGTCTCTCCCTCCTCCCATCTGACCCCACCACACATTCACAATGGCCTCGGGAGCGCGAGACGTGCAGAACCACGTCCTGTTCGAGGTTGCGACCGAAGTCGCAAACAGAGGTAGCTCCCCTCCATCCTGGTCCCATGACGCAAAACCCTAACCAGCTCCAGTCGGCGGCATCTACTCGGTCCTCAAGTCAAAGGCCCAAGTCACCACAGCAGAGTATGGCGCTGCGTATACTCTGCTCGGCCCTTGGAATAGGGCTTCGGTAAGCACCATGCTTGCTCACTGCGACACTCCCTGCTCACAAATACACAGGCCGCTGTCGAAGTAGAACCCATTGTTCCCAAAGACCCTGCTCTGGTGGCCACGATCAAGTCTATGGACGAGCGGGGCGTCAAGACGCTATACGGAAGATGGCTGATTGACGGTGCCCCGCGCGTGCTCCTCTTTGACACTGGCACTGGCTACAGGTGGCTCGATGAGTGGAAGGGCGACCTCTGGTCTTCTACAGGCATTCCTTCGCCTCCTGGCGATTCCGAGACCAACGAGGCCATTGTCTTTGGCTACCTCATTGCTTGGTTTTTGGGCGAGGTAAGAAGCAAACATGAAATCAGTCTTGGTACATTTGCTAACTGTTTCCTCAGTATGTCTACCATGAGAAGCAGCGAGCCGTCATTGTTCAGTTCCACGAGTGGCTGGCAGGTGTTGCAGTGCCCCTTTGCAAGAAGCGCCGCATCGACGTGACTACCATTTTCACAACCCACGCCACACTTCTCGGTCGCTACCTTTGCGCTGGCTCAGTCGACTTTTACAACAATCTGCAATACTTTGATGTGGATGCCGAAGCAGGAAAGCGGGGTATCTACCATCGTTACTGCATTGAGCGGGCTGCCACGCACGCTGCCGACGTCTTCACAACCGTGTCCCACATCACTGCCTATGAAAGCGAGCATCTCTTGAAGCGCAAGCCTGACGGTGTATTGCCCAACGGTCTCAATGTCAAGAAGTTTTCTGCGACGCACGAGTTCCAGAACTTGCACCAGCAGGCAAAGGTCAAGATTAACGACTTTGTGCGTGGACATTTCTACGGTCACAATGACTTTGATCCCGAGAATACCCTCTACTTCTTCACAGCTGGTCGCTACGAGTACCGGAATAAGGGCGTAGACATGTTTATCGAATCACTGGCACGACTGAACCACAAGATGAAGAGCGAGAACTCCAATATGACGGTAGTTGCTTTTATCATTCTGCCCGCACAGACTACATCTCTTTCGGTCGACTCGCTCAAGGGACAGGCAGTCATCAAGGCGCTCCACGACAGTGTGAACAACATTGCCGAGAATGTGGCCAAGAAGCTATTTGAGCGCTCCCTGACTTGGACAGAGGGCTCTGAGCTCCCTGAAGACAAGGACTTGATCACACCTGCTGATAAGATTCTGCTCCGCCGAAGGTTGTTCGCCATGAAGCGCCATAACCTGCCACCTATTGTCACCCACAACATGGTCAACGATGCCGAAGACCCTGTGCTGAACCAACTGCGTCGCTGCCAGCTCTTCAACCACCCCTCGGACCGCGTCAAGGTTGTTTTCCACCCAGAGTTTTTGAACTCGGCCAACCCAGTGTTGCCTATGGACTACGACGACTTTGTCCGTGGAACCCATCTTGGTGTGTTCTCGTCTTACTACGAGCCATGGGGCTACACTCCAGCCGAGTGCACTGTCATGGGTGTTCCAAGTATCACAACAAATCTGTCTGGTTTTGGTTGCTACATGGAGGAGCTGATTGAAAATGCTCAAGACTATGGTATCTACATTGTAGATCGAAGAATGAAGGGCGTAGACGACTCAGTCAACCAGCTCGTCGACTACATGTTTGAATTCACAAAGAAGAGCAAGCGCCAGCGTATCAACCAGAGGAATCGGACAGAGCGTCTCAGTGACCTACTCGACTGGAAACGCATGGGTTTGGAGTATGTCAAGGCTCGACAACTGGCACTCCGACGAGCATACCCTGCGGCGTATGAGGACGATGAGGAGCCCGACTTCTTCAACTCGCAAGACGTTAAGATTTCTCGGCCCCTATCCGAGCCTGGATCGCCGCGTGAGCGCTCGGGTATGATGACGCCTGGTGACTTTGCCTCGCTGCAAGAAGGCCGTGAGGGACTGAGCACTGAGGACTACATTGCGTGGAAGCTTCCGTAAGTGCCGAATAACTAGATTGACTGTTTGCGGATAGTTGCTAACAAACATACAGTGAAGAGGAAGAGGCCGACGACTTTACTTTCCCGCTTACCCTGAAGACCAAGAGCAAACCCAACTCTGGCGCAACCACACCTACTCTGCCTACGGCGGTAAATGGAACTGACTAGACGTCTATTGTTGTTTTTTTAATTTACCAAGTACAATGACGAATGTGTACGAAATAAAGGGAAATTGCATTGAACGTGTCCATTCTTCTCATGTCCGTGGTTTTTTGATTTAAAAGACGCGAAATGGATGCATTTATTTCAAGGTAGGAGGTGAAGAGAAGTTGTGTGCAAGTATGTTGCATGTAGTAGTGTTTTGATAGCAAACGTCGTACGAATTTAGTCATCACTCTTATATGTGATTGCGAGATGCTAGCTCTGCGCCCACCCTTTTCTATATACCCAGCACTGTGCTCGAAAAGATTCTAAGTTGAGGATATCGATAGCATCGTGTTACTCATCCTATCGGTAACATACGTGAGCTGTTCTGGATATCTAACCAGGCCTATGTACTTGACTTCTTTCTCTCACCTCGCTTCCCTTTCCCACTCCCAGGTGCTGCTTTGGCGCCTTCCCTACCATGGCACATATTATAGTAATACACTGTTTTAGCCTATAACAAGGTGACCACTAGCGAATCCCTGCTGTCGTATGTTTTCTTTTGCATAGTATTGCGATTTGATTTTTTTGCCTTTGGATCAGTTTGCGTAAGTCACGTGGGAAGGTTTCTTGGCATAATTCCAGTTATCAGAATATAATTAGGCTGTCTGGTGTGCTACGGTCCGACTTGCACACTGGACGTACTCACAGAGGCTATCCAAGGTTGCGTGTACACATGCCTCCTATGTACTTATACATCTCTATCATGTCGCCCAACCCATACCTATGGCCCTTTTTGTTCCCTTCTTCTCTCGGAACAGGGCACTTGCCGCTTCCGAACCCCCGGGATACTGATACCGGGATCCGAGTGGATGTACCACCGGTTAGTGTTGAGGCGTATACTTCTGCATTTGTGCGTTGTGAGGGCGGTGAAGCTATGTAACTACATATGTAAAGCATGTATGAAGGAAGAGATAGACCGGCCTATTGGATCCCTTGGTTATGGTTATACGCAGTAGTACTCGAAATAAAATTGAATGGGCGGTGTGGCGCACACTTGTGGCGCAGCACGTATAGGGAAGCGGGATAGGGGCCAGCAAGTGGCCAACTCCCCCGCTTATCAGCGTTTTCGGCCGATGCACCGGGTGTCACAGACTTCTTTGCTTGGGGAAGACGAGAGGGCTTTGCGGTAAGGTGAGGTGGTTTTGTTTCAAGGGTTTAGGGCTGGGCATGGGTTGGCAGGGTTGGCAGGGTTGGCTGGAAAGTTCGTTTGGCGAATGGGATTGGATGGGGGGCGTGATGTCAGAGGTAAGAGTGAAATAGCGAGAAATACGGAATATGCGGGATAGGCGAGGATAGAGGGATTTGGGCCACGGCAGATGGGCCACGGCGGATGGGAGATATGGTGAGATGTGACAACACATCTAGTTTGGATTGCTCGGAAGTGACGAGGTGCATGATACGAGGGGTTGAAGAGGGTGTGGAGGGGGGGGGGCTTAGCATGCGTGGTTTATGTTTTTGGGTGGAGTGGGAATTTGTTTACACATGGTAAGGGAAGCAAGATAGACGAGAAGCAAGATTCATCGTCGTTGTGTAACTCACAGTAACAGTACTACAGCCTACGTACGTCGTGTAGTATGTAAAAGTGTGGCGTAACGCAACGGTACTGCAAGTCCCAATACAGGGGTAAGTGGGCATAATAAAACTTCCCGGGGCCGCGCGCACACGAATGCGTACTAAAACCCAAAGGCCTGGGCGTGCACGACGCCCCTCAGACGCCCCTTGGCATCATCGCGCCTCACACCGCGATAAGCCGGGAATTCCATTCGCAATGTTCATCTGGAACCAACCCCGGTTTCCACCCAACCGTGGTTTGGAATTTCTTCGCGCTCTTGCCTCTCCACCCCCCTTTTTTTATATCAGGGAACCATGTCAGTTACCCACAATGCTCTTAAACAGTCTTTTGTTGCGATGCGCTATCGGGTCGGTCCGTTGACGTGATACTCTTCTTCTGCCACCGCCGCCGCCGCTGATTAACGAACGCTTGACCAACTCAGCTTTCATTGCTGTCCGCGCATTGTCCCTCCATCATAACCGGTTGTTTCCGTCGCCTTTTTGACTAGACTGGAACTCTTTTTTGATTCTTTTTGCTTTTCCTATTTGCCCCTACGACGGGACCATCGACATCCGAGGGCTTTTCTATAGTCACGCGTTTTCTTTCGCCTATAGGGCGCTCGCAGGGCAATCATGTTCGGCCCCTGGTTGTCCTTCTTTGCATGGCTGAAGCAGCGCACGCCGTCGTCGCTCAAGGCACTCACGCCGCATGCCAATTTCATCACACTTCACTGTATGTACGCGATTAAAGGAAAAAGGTTGACGTATATACTTACGAATGGGTAGATGGATACATCATCTCATGGACGCTCATCGGCTCCGTCATCATGTATGGCAATGGGCGCATCCCATATATCGATGCGCTCTTCTTTGCCAGCGGCGGAGCAACACAAAGTGGTCTAAACACGTATGTAAAAAAAGTCTTGGACGCATGGTGATCATAAACTGACAGATTGTGTAGAATCGATGTCAATAACCTTGATCTATATCAGCAAGTACGCGCGCACGACCCGAATACCAGGAGATCAACATTTTTCTGACCAACCGCAGATCACGCTATATCTCATGACATGTCTATGCACGCCCATCTTCATTCATAGCTCCGTCGTCGTCGTCCGCCTATACTGGTTCGAAAAGCGGTTTCAGAACATTGTGCTAGAAAGGGGTAGCAGGAGCGGTCGAACGCGAACATTGTCGAGGCGCAAGAGCGAGGCGAAGAAAACTAATGGCGCGGATCCGGGACTAGAAGAGCAGGCAGTTGGCTCGCGTGAAATCCGCGTCATGAGGGGTTCCAATGGACATGCGCATGGCGGCACAATCGAGAATGAAAACGCGTTTAGTGACGGACTGGATTGGACCGGGAACGGTATTCGTCCCAGACGGCGGTCGAGTTCGAGTGAAGATGACATGCCACCGTTTCGGCCACAGACTCCGCCGCAAAATGCGCCAGCGGGCATTGTATGGGCGGATAACCTCAACACACCTGCAAATCAGAAACCAATCAGAAGTTCGGTAGAAGAGTCTCCTGGCAGCCGGCTTCCCGAGATGAACAAGGAAAGGAGTATTGCTTTTGTGGAGGCTCAGCGCAATCCGACGACACGCAACAAGTTGCGCATTCCAGGCCCGCGCGACTTCGATCAGGGTCTTATTCCAGAAGCAGTCGAGGGCGAGGGAGAACTCGATCGAGTCACGAGTAGGATGTCGCAGGATTCTCGTGCACACTCGGCCCCGAAAAACAAGCGCTCCAACTCGCTACCTTTTCCTTCTAACGAAGACGACCGGCAATTGAAGAATCACATTACCATCGACGTCCCTGATAGACAACGACCTAACGGGCATTCCGTCTACGACCGAACAAGAACAAACGACGTCGACCCCAATGGACCTTCGGCATCGATGCATCTCCGCAACAGATCGCGCTCAAGAACCTTGGCAAGCTTCCTTTCTAGGAATAAGGATGAAGAAGAAGATCCGATGCCCTATCTCAGCTGGACACCCACCCTAGGACGCAATTCCAACTTTGTTGATTTGACCGAGGAGCAAAGAGAGGAGCTGGGCGGTATTGAGTATCGGGCTTTGAAATTGCTGGCCGTTATCCTTACCGTCTTCTACATTGGTTGGCACATTGTTGGCGTCATCTCTCTAGCGCCATGGATCTCGCATAGTCCCCAGTACAGCGCTGTTGTAAAGAAAGTTGGTATTCACCCGACTTGGTGGGGCTTCTTCACCTCTGCATCGCTGTTCAACGATCTAGGATTTACTCTCACTCCGGACTCGATGGTTTCTTTCCAATTGACGGTATGGCCTCTGCTCATCGGTACTTTCCTCATCATCATCGGAAACACGGGATTCCCTTGTATGCTTCGATTCACAATCTGGATCTACTCCAAGTTGGTGCCCAAGGGCAGTGGTATATGGGAGGAACTTCGTTTCTTGCTTGACCACCCACGTCGATGCTTCACGCTGCTGTTCCCAAGCCAGGCGAACTGGTGGCTATTCTGGATCCTGATTATCCTCAACGGTGTCGATCTCATCTTCTTCATCGTCCTCGATCTCGATGATCCAACCGTCACATCCCTCTCCGGCGGCCACCGCTTCCTCGCCGGTCTCTTCCAGGCCGCCTCGACCCGTACCGCTGGTTTCGCCGTGGTCAACATCGCCGACCTGCACCCCGCCGTCCAAGTCAGCTACCTTGTCATGATGTACATCTCCATCTTCCCCATCGCCATGTCCATCCGCCAATCCAACGTCTACGAAGAAAAATCCCTCGGCGTCTGGACCGACAACGAACTCGACGACGCACAATCCAGCTACCTCTCGCACCATCTCCGCCGCCAACTCTCCTTCGATCTCTGGTTCGTCTTCCTCGGCTTCTTCCTCATCGCCATCATCGAAGGCGCCCGCCTCGAAAACACAAACGAATACGCCTTCAGCCTCTTCTCCGTCCTCTTCGAAATCGTCTCCGCTTACGGCACCGTAGGCCTCAGCCAGGGCTACCCAGGCACAAACGCCTCTTTCTCCGCTCAATTCAAGCCCTTGTCTAAACTCATCATCATCGCCATGCAAATCCGCGGCCGCCACCGCGGTCTACCTTATGCCCTTGACCGTGCTATCCTTCTTCCTTCGGAAACTCGGTACCAAAAGGAAAACGAAGAGGCGACACGAAGGGCCCGTCGCGGTAGTAATGCCATGGATATGGGACTCAGCTATAGCACTGATCGTATTACCCGCACGGGCACCATGCTGAGTCGCCGGAGTACCGCGAGTGCGAGTGGTGAGCGGATGGTCACGGAGACGCGACCCGAGCAGCTCAAGCGGATTATTAGCGGTGCTTTTACTGCGGGTCCTACGGGCTTGTATAGAGAAAAGACGAACTAGAAGAGACGTTGGTTGTTGTCGTTGTTGATGTTGTTTTCTAGCGAGCGCAAGTTATATACGTACATGCTGTTGTTATTTTTTTCTTTTTTGGGTGGTTACTTACCAGATAGAACTGGGATCATGGGGTCAAAGTCCCAGTCCTTGTTCATGAGCGTTTCTTTTTTACTTGGAGCGATTTTATAGTTTAGGACGGGCGTTTTTGAAAAGGGGAAAATATATTCTGATGGGTTTTTATAGGTGTGAATGGGGTAGTTTTCTTACGAATACGATGGGCCCTCTTTTGAGAAAAGTTCTCTCAATGTTCACATGTTCTTGCCTACGTTTGGTGGTGAAGAGAAAAGACAATGCAGTCAGATACATTACATGGAGAACAGACTGATAATTATCAAATCACGCTTTGAATGTTCATTACTACGCAATATACAAAATTCTACCACCGTTACTTCTTATCACCCCGCTTCTTCCCCACGGTCTTGTCCTCAGGCAAAATCTCATGAACCTTGGTATCCAGCCCAACCCAAAACTTCCTTCCCCGCCACTCGACCGTGACACCGCCCCAAAACGCCGTAACCCACACTGGAAGCGCAAAAGCCTCACGACCCAGCCACGCGAAAAAGAAGTCCTTGAAACTTCGTCTCGCACCATCGAGTAAGCTAGGCTCAGCAAACGCTGCTTTATCCTTGCTAAGCAAAGGCTTCGCCGCCTCATCCGTAGACCGATGATACGCCGACGCTGAACGCTGTGGAAGCACGAAATCCGGGGTATCTGCATCGATTTCTACAGTCTTGGCAGAATGCAGGAGGAGGTACTGGATGTAATCCACTAGACACCACGCTGCGAGATGCGCGAGCCAGACGAGGAAGAAAGACAGCCATGTTGGTGGGATACCAAGGTTTGCGAAAAAGGGTAGGGTGGTAAGAGCGTAAGCGCCGTAGAGGCCGCAGAGAATGCTTTCGGTGCCTGGCTCGACAAAGGTGGCTAGTGTGACTGTGAATTTGCGGACGCGGAGCCAGCGGATGCGGCGGTGGAGGTAGGCAGCGACGGAGGTGTGGCTGATGGGTTGGAAGCAGAAGTCGCCGAAGAGCATTGCGTGTTTGCCCCATGATTCTTTTTGCGTTCCTGGTTCGGGTTTGTAGCCGGGCTGTTCAAAGGCTTGAGGTTGTTTCCAGAGGGCGTCGCCAATGAGGTGGTCTTCGCAGATGTTGTCGGAGAAGAAATCTATGCCAGCGGCGCGGTCGGGGTTGGATGAAGTAACGTAGTTGAGTTGTGAACGGCGGAACATGGTGCTTTTGCCCATGATGCAAGGGGCTACGGCGACTGTGTTGATGGCTTGGTAGAATTTCGCATGTGCAGATGACATGAAGGCTTCGTCCAGGCGACCTCCACCACGCTGGAGGAGCTTACTTATGGTGCTACTGGAATGGATGCGTAGATCAGAAGAAGTAGTTGCTGCAATGCTTGTTGATGTTGCTGCGGCGGCTGGTTTTCCTCCAAGTAGTTCCTTTCTGTCCTTGAGCGAGAGATCCTGCGAGTCGAGGTCTACCGTGAGCGGTGTCTGGTGCACGAATTTGTACTTTGTCTTGCTCTTCCCATTACTGCCCTCCCCAAAGCCACACAGTAGATCCACGAAGCGGCCACATACGCCTTTTCCAACCCAGACGTTGCAATCCAGTATCCACACAATATTACCCTTGGCCTCCCTATAAGCGCGGCTCATGTTCCTAATCTTCGGATTGGGTCCCAGTGCATCGTTGTTCTTGAGCAGCATTGGGTCCTCCTCCTCAACCAATATATGTACATCAACATCTGCAAAGTCTTTGCATAGGCGCTCTAGAATCGGAAAGGCGGGATCGGATCGTTCGGGAATGCAGAAGACGGTGTTTATTTTGTTTCTGGGGTACGTTTGGCGGAGGGTGGCTGCGAGGCATTCGTAAAGACGTGGATCGAGACCCTTGACTGGTCTTATGACTGTAACATGAGGCACCTTTTCCTTATCCAACGTGGTTACGCATGTTGCTGGCTGTGGTTTTTTCCAGTAGTATCGGAACAGTTGGATGAAGCCAATAGCGCAGACGTTCCATACTACCACCCACCAAATTAGACAGCCAGTCGCGACAATAAAGCGCAACTGAGAGACATCGTCTCGGATCGCAGGGTCGGATGCGCGAAGCATGCGCGAAGATTGTTACAGGGACCGTATATGTAAGGGTGGGATGTTGACGAATCTCGGAGCGCGGAGGTTGCGGAGTTTGACGTAAAGGAGTGACAGCTTGCCAAGACCATACCACGCAGGTACCTCGAAAAAGATACAATTAGTGACAACGCAGGTACAGGGCAAGGAAAGGGAGGGAGAGACGGCGCCTTTGTATTGTTGTGGGAGGCGAAGGAGACCTTTACCTGTTCGACGTCGCCGCCGGTGAAATTGCTTGCTGAGATCAGCGCGCTACAACCACCCATTGTCCAAATGCAGGATCCCAGACCTCTTTGCCGTCGTCAAATAAGCAGAAAGTAACACGTATACTCATTATTCAAACTCTGAATAGGTAACCAAGGAAACGCCAGCGCTATGCAAATTCACGGGCCACAACTTATACAGGCCAATTTCAGAAGTACCCAAGAAGCCAATCGACACCCAGTATCATATCTAGTTCCATGTATGGTCGAACCTACGTCTTGGGCTTCTTGCGTACCAATCCGGCCGTCAAGGTGTTCACCCTGTTGGCAGTAATTGCATCGGTCGGTGGGACTGAGTCAGTCTTTGCTTTCTTGCGGACTGTGCCAGCCCCTAATTCCTGCACTGGCTCCACCGCCTGTTGCGCCATATTCGTTGTCTCTGCTGACCCATTGGGCTTTCTCTTCTTCCGCACACCCATGACTATAGTTGGCGCCACACCGCTCGCTGCACCTGAAGATGTGTCTGTAGATGTAAACTCTTTTCTTCCTGTGACTACAAAGCCCCAGTCTTCTACACCACCCAACACGGCAATTTCCTCCTTCCATTTCTTTGTACTTCGTGCTGCTGCTGCACGATTCGCAAATGTCTGTTGCAGTAGCACTTCATGTGCACGGTCGTAATTTTTCAGCGAAAAACATATGGTTCCACGTGATGAAGCAGGCCATTTCCAATAGGGACTGGTTTCAGGAGGCATTTTACCAGATTTGGACGTGTTCGAAGAAGTCGACAGGTGTGACGACCTTGACTTGATCTTGGGTAGAACGAGGGGTATAGGTCCATACTTCAGTTTGGCCTCTTTCTTCCGCTGGCTCGTCTTTGGACGTTTAGGGGTGCGAGTACTTTTCTGAGGTTTGTTCTGTAAGAGCGGTTGAGACAAGGACTGTTGCGAAAGCACATCCTCGTCTTCTTCGGGTATTGAAGGCTTCGGCGGCGTGATCACAACCCATATAAAGCCCACTATCCGACCTGAGGAACACTCTTGTCTGAATGCCATGAACTCCCAGAATTGGTCAAGCGTCTTGACACTCTTCCATTGTCCGTTGCTTCTCGAGGGTGTCCCTCCATCAGCCACCATGGCATCTGTACCCCGGTCTGGAAGTTCTTCGTCCAATTCGTCAAGAAATCTAGCTTTTGGGTCGTCTGGGAAATGGGGGACGAGGCAGCGCGGCGGAGCAGCAGGATGAGGAGCTATTTGGAGGAGGGGATGGGCAGCAGCCCACCGCCGAGGTGTGTTTGGCGCAGGGCTTGGTGGGGTATATCGCAAAGTGTCATACGTTTCAAAGCCTGGGATTACTAGGTAGCCTCTCGCCGTAGACTCTGCCTGTGATGACGGAGTGGTTGTCTCGGTAGGCTCGCCCTCGACTAGGCGTTGAGGGAAGGGTTTCCGGTCCCCTTCAGCCTTGTATTCCCAAATGATCGGATCTAGGACTTTGCACCACCATTTGACCAAGCCCCTGTCGTCCAGCACATGCTTTTTCTTATTCTCAATGCTGGCAGGAAACAGATATTGGTCCTGTGCTCTCGCGAACAGAGATATGACCAGTTTCTTGCCTTCCCGTTGCCTTTCTCTTGCAAGCCAAGACACAAAGGTGCGACATATAACTTTCAAGGGTGACGAGGATTGCGACCGCGGTAATTGTAGCTCAGAGAGGTAACCCGTGGAGTCGGCTTTGGACACGAAGATGGTGGTGAGGTTTCTCGTAGTGTAGATCAGAACTTCAATGGCAAGCACAAGAACTTCCTCAGGCAACTCTGAAGCTACGGTGTCCTTGGGGATAATGGAGGCGGCCAAGGTATGCGATTCGCAATACGTCTTTTCGGACTTGCCATGGGGAGGCGCAGAGAAGAGGGCGGAGGACTTGGAGGGTGGAGTTGAGTAGTGATAGAAGGTGATGGGAGCGTCCTTTGGCAATTGCTCAGCCAGCAGCTCTTTCAACGAGCCGGAGGCACCAGGACTCGCCATACTGGCCCAACAGAAGCATGACCAGGTGAGAAGGTCGCGTATCGGAGGCAGAAGATGGGGGAGCGGATGCGCGACTGGAACTAGTACGATTGCGGCAAGGCGCCGTGAGTGCCGCAACTTTTCGATGATGCGAACTTCATCTCCGCCAGCACCAGCGCCTGGACTGGCCGCCCCAATCGGACCCCTCCGCCTTACCCACCTATACAAATACCCCCAATGGCTTCCAAACGGCCTCTCCAGTCACTCGTCTCGACCGCATCGTCGTCACTACGTTCAGCGCGTCCATCACAAGCCTCCATTGTGCGGACCTCCGCATGCGCATTTTCAACCACCACACCCGCCAAGGCCGCGCCCGAAAACGATACTGAGATTGCACAACGGCCACGATGGAAACAGACACCCCAAAGAATGGTGGCTCCCTTCAGGTTACGGCCTCAGGCAAAAGGTGGGGTTTTCAAGGTCAATGAGGATCCCAAGCGATTAGACGATGCCTATGTGCGCATGTTGGGCCCTGGCGGCGACAAGGTGCTGGGAGAGGAGGTCAAGTGGCTAGCAGTGACACATAAGAGCTTCGACCACGGAAAGAGGGGTTTCAACGACCGGCTGGCATATCTGGGTATGTGTGCATGGGAAACAGCTGGTCAGGCAGGAGACTAATACCAACACCAGGACGGAGGATTGTCGAACTACAAACATCACAAGCGCTCATAAACTCGCCACAAGAAGATCAATGGCCAAGAGACTCGAATGGCGTGCCCATGAACGACGAATTTGGCCGCAAACCATACCTCCACCCCGCCTTGAATGGACTGCAAGGCTTGACCGATGAGGCAGAGAGTTTAGTATTGAACAAGTCACGGCTAGCACCAATAGCAGAGAAATATGGTTTGGATAAAGTTACTCGGTGGAAGCCCAGGAGGGTATGTAACTTATGTTTGATCGAGCAGATCCAATGGCTAATACATAACAGGCGGACAACCTGCAAGGTTCCGGTATTGAATCCGTTCTTATGACTTCATTATATGCCATTGTTGGGGCGGTGGCACTTGAGAAAGGCGGCGAAGCAGCCAACAAGGTCGTACAAGATAAGATTCTTGCACCGCTCGGCTTTAGCTTTTCGCCCGATTCATGACCTTGACAAGATTATAATCCAAAAATCTGTACCATATTGTAAACAACTACATGACGCGATGCGGTCATGGTTTCAGTTTCACTGTGACTTGTTTTGCCTATCTCTTATTTTATCGTCTTGGTAGCAATACCTCCTTCCTGGCTATATGATGTAGGAGAGTTGTTATAGTGCAATGAACATTCTGTTTTCAAAAATGTCTCCAGGATCCAATACTAACCAATCACCACCCATAGTATTTGTTCGAATACTCGCAATATAGCGTCAAAATTGGGGAACATGAAAAGTCATACAACTACCAAAATTGCTACGCCATCTTACCAACAAAAAAAGGAATGATTTTATTGTCGCACACTTATCCAATATAAAGCGTTGTAAACCCAAGCAATCGCTCTCATGAACACGGCTCCTTGGGCCCGCCTGAAAAGGTCTGACTGTCACGATACTCGAAGTCGACATATAGAATCTCCGAGGCTCTATTGGTCTGCACCTGGGTCGGCCGTGGACACTGGCCTAAGTGTGTATATACCCCCTCCTCCAAAATCATAAGAGGCTCTTGATCATTCGCCCTCAAACTGGGACTCACCATCATTCTTACTCCTACTTGCAACACGCCACACTGGGAGGGTTCATGTGGCACATATATTTACATCAATGTGTTGCAACCTATGCAGGTAAAGAAAGTGCTGATTGGATCAGATCATACTTCTGAGTAGGTAGGAGTAGTGAAGACGTATTGATTGACGTAGTTCCACTTCTTACCCATGGTGTGTGTGACCCTACTTTTACCTCTACCACACTTCTGGGTAGACAGCACCCAGTCATCAGCCTACTCCATTTAGCATTGTACATATATTCAATTGGCCTCTGCCTCTAACTCCATCAATCCCTTTTCGTAACTCAACACCGACTCGACACTCTCTGTCTGACCACATTCATCTACAATGCACTACACACCCCTCATAACAGCGCTCCTCACACTTCTCCTCCTAGACCCAGCCTCAGCCGAAATAAGAATCCACCGCACCCGCTGCAAGAAGCGTCTAGCACAATGGGTATATCTATAAAATCGCAACAGCAAAACTCTCACTAACCCCATGCTGCAGCATTCATCCTGCCACACTAACGATCAAAAAGCGTGTGCACTCTTGTGTCCAGTTCAGGTAAGATGCGAATTGTATGATTTGTCTGTTTATTAGAGAAACTGAAATGAGGCTAGTGTCCTGGTTCGAAATATTTTGTTGCGTTTGCAGCTGGACCGATAGCGTGTCATTGTTGGTGTGGGATTTCGTACAAGTAATGTAGTTGCGGATTGGAGAGAAAAAGAATCCCCGACGTAGGAGGAAGGACGATAGCAAGACTTAAATTTGAGATGCATTTATAAGAATATCGTAAGGCTTGAAATGTGTATATCCTCAACGTACCTGCAGCGGTTCTGGACCACCATGGCGTTGTGTTACCGCAAGTTCTGTACCAAGTACATCGATAAATCCGTTTCTCTGCGCAAACATTAACAACCGCAATGCCGAATACCCTCTTTGCATATATCCATTACCATTACCTACCCTAGTCCCAATCAACATCGCGTACCTCACCTTCACACCCTCAAATCCTCCATCCTCTCCCTCCTTAGTAAAACACCCTGCAATCCACAGCCCCCAAATCTACCTAAAACAGCAATCGCCCCTCGCCCACACCCATCTCCCTCACAAAAAAGCAAAAAAATAAGCACCGTAATCAACACATTGCCCCATCAGGCAAGTACCCTCTTGCACCTCTATCTAACCTATAAGGGGGTGCGCGCGTATACCCAAAACGGTCAGCGCGCGCAAACCGACTGGGGAAAGAAAAAAAAAAGAAATATGATTCAAGTGCCATAATCCACGGTTTCCTTGCGAAATTGCCTAATGCGGGGGGTGAATATGGTTCTGTTCGGGAACGTCGTGCGATTGCGATAGAAGGGGGTCTGTGCGTGGTAGGGCGAGTGGAGGTGGCAGGAATCCATTGGGAATGCCGGATTGGGAAGGAAGGAAGGAGATGTTGAGATTGGAGGGGGGGAAAAGAAAAAAAGGTAAATGGGTTGGATTGAAAGGGAGGTGGAAAAGGTTTAAGTGCTATGTAGGCTATGTAGTGAGAAGAAGAAGAGAAATAAAAGTTGGTATCAGATGTAATCGGTGACCCCGGGGTATAACAACGAAAGTTACGGAAAAAAAACTACTACAAGTTATCGGACTGTTTCGAAATCAAAACGTAGTCCCCGGCTTATTCTTCCGCCAGAACATCGCCTTTGCCGCATTCACGCTCTTGGGTGGGGGGTCGAACTTGGGTGCCGCCTCCTCAATTTCCATCTGCTCAAGTTTCCGCTGCGAGTTCCGCTGCAACTCCCTTTTCAGCTTGCGCTCGTCCTTCTTGCGCATCCAAGTGACCCAGAGACAGTAGCTCGCAGCGAGGATACCGAGACCGCCGATTACGCCGCCGATGACTGCGCCGATGAGACCTTGGCGCTGCCATTCGGATTGCTTGGGGCGCTGGTAGGCGACGGGGACGGATTTGGGGCAAAAGGTTACGGGCATGACCATGTTGTTCTTTTGGATGGCTTCGGCGAGGTAGAAGTGGTTAGATTCGTAGTCGGCCATGAGGTAGACTTGGCCGAGGAAGGCGGTGCCGAGGTAGAAGGGGGTTTTTGCGTCTTCGTCGCGGTCTTGGATTGGGGTTATGTTTGATGCGTTCATGAGGACTTCTGGGGGTAGGGTGACGGTGAAGCCGTCGTCGAGGACAATCGTAAGGGTACCGCTGAAGCTATCTTTTAGCCTCAGTGAGTTGTCGTCCCATCTGTTGTCTTTTTCGGCTCGGAGGTGCTTGATGAAGTTTTGTGTGATCTGGTAAGGTAGAGAGAATGGAAACTGCTCCGTTGTAATCTGGGCCTCAAAGTTCTCGGGGCGCGACTTCATGTCGGTGAACACTGTATTGTCAAAAAGCGACGTGTTTGAGTTGTCAGCCGCTCCAGTGATGATGACATCCTTGACACGGACACTCATTGGGTTGGGGTTGGCCACGTTCATTGTGTACTTGTGTGGCTCGCCTGTGAAGCGCCCAGAGTCGTATCCTCCAAAAACATTGCTGCCATTGACTACACCTCCAGCGCGATCAAATCCGTGACCAATATAGAGTGAGTATGTTGATCCAGCAATCATATCCTGTACCACGAGGTCCCGCAGTAATGTTGACGAAGCGCCGACGCCAACTCTCCCTGGAGTTATTGATCCTGACTCTGCAACCTCGACAGTTGAGTTTGGTACAAGTGTTTGTGTTGCGCCGTCCGTCTCAAAGTAGTGTGTGTACAGTCGAAGGGTCTCTTGACCAAAGAATCCCGAGAGTTCGTCCTGGGACTTGTCTAGTGTCTGAAAGTTCTCCTGTTCCTCAAATCTACATCATATGTTAATCGATGTAGTAGCCATGGAGAGGAAGCAACATACGTTGTCGAATCTCGAAAGTTGAAGAAGCCGCCTGTGCTTCTATCGCAGTTTTTTAGTGTCGCATTATCTTTGCAGTAGCCGCTCGATGCAAAGGAGGTATGGTTCTGCTGTAATGATGGCCATAGACTGTTGTTCTGTGCCGGTGTTCCGAGCCCGATGAACGATCCATACTGGAAGACTGGAGAGTCATGAACGGCTCGCTTGTGTATATCGACATATATAGGCTTCTTGGTGCAGTTTGATGCAACTGTTGACTGAGCCAACAGCACAGTTGCAGAGAGGTAGAGAAGGAAGGACGCCATGACGAGTAGTGAGAGAGGCTCAAATCCAGTGAGCTGCAAGTCAAGGAAGAACAAAGTACGATGTGCTTATAGCACCGACCCACAAGAATCACGGAACGTCTCAAGCTAGAGTCTTGGATGTACTGTAGGAGATACAGCGTCTTTGTACTTCATGCCCCAATCAATCTGTACCTCGACGCACTAAGACGGGCTTGTAGGCATTTGACCAGTCGGATGCGGGGTCAGCTATTCTTGCATGCAGCAATATCCACCATCCGGCTCTGATTGCGCATAGCTGCATTCTTGTGCTGTTCCCGGACCCGCACGGATCTCAACCGCTACTGTGAGCGCCTGCTGATGCTGTTGTGGACATACTACGACCTTGGGAGGAGTGGTGTCAGCGCTTCGGACAGGGAGATGACATTGGGAACAATGATGATCCCCTCCGATGCCCAGGGATTGTAATACAGAGACTTCGGTGATTGGACTCGTCTTGTAGGCTTCATACACTAAAGATAGCGGGCGTTTACAACATGTAGTCGATTGGACACGACGTTCTCACCAGCAACGCAAGCGCCCAAGCGCCCGAGCGCACGGGCCTCGGTGCAGGTGTGGACTGATGGCTATCTATTCTTATCCTCGCGCCTACATGGGTCTTGAATACCAGAACCACAAGGTTTGCGTATGCGCCGAGCTAATCTGTAGGTAAAAGGCACTCGAGCTACTACATTCCAGAGATGATCATTTCCCTCTGTTATTCCCGATCCGTGCACCCCTGTACGGCACTGTACTTCCTTGCTTGCCAGGCTGGTTGCTCTCAATCGCCTTTGTATATGTATGCATCTTGCCTGCCTTCATACCCGGATGACCGTCATCACGTAGTGTACGCGTGGTTTCATTTGTTGGGCCTTGTCTGATTGATGACTCTCTCCCTAAATCTGACCGTTACATTTTTCGTGCCACAAGCACTTCACAAGTAATGCCTAAGCGCTTACGCGGTTTGCGCAACTGAGGGCGAACACGTCATGGCCTCTTGTCTCGTCTTATATGCAGAGCGACCTGGCGTCATTCTTTCTCAACTCGTGAGGTACAATTCAACTAAATACCTTGGTATAATACGCGGGAATCCTATATAGATAATCCATTGAAGATAAGAATTGTACACTGGCCTGAATATGAACTCTGATAAATCGTGTTTTAATGACGTGAGTATGATAGCCACCGTACCCGATATAACGCCTGACGTGGTTTGCTTGACGAACATGTGCATATCTCCAGACTTTCCTGACTTGAAATTCTTGTCGAAACATGCGCCGTATTTTTACTCTCGAATCCCCAATCTAGCCACAATGCATCGGGAGGCTATGTCAGGGTATGATCTGTAGCAATACGAGCGGCAAGATATAGAAGCGCCCAACACCGTACTCCGTTTCTCGCTGTACTGAAATGATGACTAAAGACAGCCCACATGTAGCCGATAACATTGTGCGCCAGACATGCCCGATAACTTGTTGAAGATAAAGCAGACCAAAAAGATTTACTGAAATATGTGAAGAAGACCTGACGTGTTCATGAATTGATGAGTACCCATCGCTTTTCTTTCTCGGTGGGGCCTACCCTTGCAGCAACAACACTGAGGGTATTGGAGATGGCGTCTTTTGGCAGCTTCGGAAAGGCTTTCTTCAAAGACTCAATCATACCAAGCTTGGTGAGATCTTTGCCTTCAATCTCCGCTTTGAAAGCGGAAAGTTGTTCGGCGGGTACCATTCGTTTTGCCTTGGCTGATTTACCCGACGTACTTGACGGAGTGTTCTGAGGGCCATTTAGGGTATTGAACAAGCCGTTCATAGTGCGCTGCGTGAGCGGTGCTTTGGGTGGGTTCATGGCGCCATTACTGGCTGCTTCTTTGTTTGCGGTGGTAGGGGCGGGGATTGCAGTTGCCGGATCCGGCGCCCAGTATGCGGTAGAGAAGGGATCAATCGACCGCATTTGCGGATCCAGTAAGAACTCCATCTTGAATTCCTTGAAGTCTGTACAAATGGCGTCGGATCCGTCGTTCAGCCGAGATACGCTCTCTGCATCCTCCCAGCATAAGCCAGTGCTAACGGGTACCAGGTCGCCGCTAATGAGTCCGCGCTTGAGTTGCGGATCCTCCTCATCATCAAGGAAGCCATCCATATCGTCATCTGCTTCATCTTCGTTGTCATCTTCACCGTCAGAGTTCAAATCTTCACCTTCCTCGGGCTCATCCCATTCAGCTTCAGAGTCGTAGTCATAATCGGTATCCTTTCGGACTCTTGATATAGGGTTGCGTGCGAGACGAGAAGCCTCGGTGTATGTGTATGGCCTAGTATATGTTCCATAATAGGGCGGGCGTACGTCTGTGCAGAAATGGATATACTTCATCGGTATCTCTTTCAGCATCTCCAATGGGTGCCGTGATGCTGTACTGTTCGTAGAAGTGATATCTATCGGGTAGTCAGATGAGTTATTGACGCAATCCACAATTTCCGCAATCGTAGCTGTCCGATGGCCCCGAACATTTCGCTTTGGGAAGAGTGACACCAAGGTCTCCCGCGCTATTAGTTCCGAATACGAATCTTTTTGTGCGACGATATTCTCCAGTCGGTTTCGAGCGGCTTCTAATCGTTCTGGGCTGTTCAGAAGGGCATTCGTCGGCGCAAGAATCGTGTGTGCAGGTACGTTAAACGGCAAGAAGTAGCGTTCGTAGTCTGATTTCGCACCCTTGACGATAGTCTTCTGTGGGGAGGGCGGAATTGGCTTAGTGCTTGCTCCAGATCTGTCTGGTAATGATACAGAGGTTGTGGGGTGCTGGGATGAAGCTACCGCAGCCTGTCCCGGGCTTGTCCCTGCCTTTGGCTTCACAAAGAAAGCGTTCAACTTCATCTGTGACTATTATCGAGTTAGCATTGCTCAATCTAGTAAATGTAGCACCAGGAAATCACTCGGTGCTGCAGTCAGAGAAAGGTGTTGCGGAACATGGCAACAGCATCCATCTCTGTTATCAATGAATGTAGACTCACCCGTGCCTTCTTTGCCTTTTCCTCCTCAAGGCGTTGCTGTTCCTCCTCTTTTATGCGCTTCTTTTCATCACGCTCCTCATGTTTTTTCCGTTTCTCCTCTGCCTTGAGTTTCTCTTCAGCCTCCTTTTGTGCCTTCTTCTCTTCTCGCGCCTTAGCCTTTGCCTCCTTCTCAAGGCGCTGTGCCTCTTTCTCTTGAGTAGTCAGCCTCCTCCTTTTGGCTGCTTGCTGTGTGCTGCTCGATGTGGCGACATCTGTGTTGGAAAGACCATGACCGTCGGCAGACTTGCTGTTGGGTCCGGTCGAACTCGGCGCGCTACTCTTTAGAGGCGATGGTGTTTGGACTGAGAGTACTGAAAGGGGTGTTGAGGCTTGCGAATTGGTTGTGGACTTGGCTGGTGTGATGGGAGGTTCGACTTCATCTTCGAGCGGACGCTTCTGGGGAACCGGTGCGACGGGGGCGGGGTCCTCCATTTTTGGTGATGAGTGCTGCGATTTTGAATTGGGTTTCTCTATGAATTGTATCCCTCTGAACGAATTGTGACCCAAAATGGATTAGGTGGGTTGCGTTGTGGTTGAGAGCGGGATGGCGATTGCGGGCGTTGAGGTGACGCGAAGGTGGAGGGCGCGACGCGACACGCGTGGAAGGCGCGGCTAAGGCTCAGGGTGCTGATTAGTCGATTGCCGCACTCTTCAGGGCGAATAGTGCCTAGATTCCTATTTGGGAATAGTCAATATGCGTGAAACTCTAACGCCAACATCTCACTTTCTCGGAACCCATTGGAAAGTTTTAAAATTGAGCTCGTGGAACAGGATAAGTATAGAGATTTGTATTAGCGCATTGAGAAGATTGGGGTAGCTCTAATCTTTCGTGGACGCGAGTGCAGGCGTCGTGCCTTCTCGTCGCATGGTAGCGCACCATCGTTCTTTCCATCAGAGCACTCACTCTAAGACCCATATTAATTTTAATCATGCCGCATTTCACTTTCTCTTCACTAGTCTTCTAAAAACCGGTATTCATCTCTGTTTTAACCTCTTGTGTCTTGTCAGTGGCCCTAGCTATGGACGAAGACGACTTTGAGGACCTGCTCTTTGTAGACCCGGGTACGCCAATGTATCCAAGCGACATCCTGCTCGATGACTCTGACGACGATATCCTCTTCTCTAATCGGGATGCACAGTCTCACGATTGGAAGTCGGCAGACACCACCAGCTCACCTAATATTGCTGGTGTGGTATCTGGAGGGCACACATTCCCGAACAGCGTAATCAATATTTACGAACAGCATGGCTGCCATATCGCTGAGATCACTCAGCGCCCTGTTCGCGACAGGTATTTGCATCATATTAGTCCTAAGAGATTGCAGCTTACTCACTTATAGGTACTGGGTGATCGCTCGCATTGAAGCTATGCTAGAAAGAATCATTGACAGTCTTTTGGGACAACATGAATCGCTTACTATACGCCTGAAGTCTCGCGCAAACTTTTCTCGTAGAAATGCTCCCAGTAATGAAGGAGATGGATCAATCCCTAAGCCCAAAGAGCGCGACATCAACTTCCCAGGCGCCAATGCTCAAGAAGCTTGGAAATTCAGTCGGTGTCCTTCCGTTTTTCAGAGTGAGGACTGACATTCTCAGCTGTGCTGTTGCGCATTCTGGAGCTCATTCATGGTAGTCTCCTTGACAATACCGTGATGACCAAGCGGTGCTTTATGCTGTCTCATTCATAGAGAGTACAATCTAACGAGAAATAGTGACATATACTATCGACATCCCGATCTATTCGTCAAGCAGTCCGTTGTAGATCGATACGTAGATGATCTTGCATGCACGTTTGACATTACTAGATCACAACTGAATGTGGTGCGCAATGTCCGGAGAGGGCAATTTGACATGACTAATGCTTGTATATCAGACTGCTGCTGCGAAAGGCTTAGTGGCCGGAAACTTCAAATTAGAGCAAGCCAACAACCTGTTTCATGGAATGAGCAGTAGTGAGGTGGGGTCGAGCATGTCAGTTGTGTCACAGAAGTCTAATCCCATACCAGGGCTTGCTCATTCCCGTCGTTCGTGACGATGATAGTTGGGGTTTGACAGAAATCCATTGGGTCCTCATAATCGAAAAGGAGGTACGATCAGCTCTCTTACACACTCTGAGCTGAGGTATTGATGAAACGTAGGCGACATTTCGGTCGTTGATTGGATCAGCACAATGGAGTACGTTGGGCTTGCACGGTGTGGTCGTAACTGTGAGTCAAAAGCACACGTTGTCAATGAGTGCTAATGATTAGAATAGGCCAAAGGATATCCCGATGTCGCTTCTAGGCAGTTCCTGCGCCAACTTGGGAACAACGCACCCCAAATTCCCATGTTCGTTTTGGTAGATCTTGACCCTGATGGTATCGCCATTCTGTCCACGTACAAATATGGTTCGTACCGCCTTATGCACGAAGACGTTGCACTCATGAATACACCCGCACTGAGTCTGCCCAATGTCCGGTGGCTGGGCGTAAAGAGTGATAACATGAGTCTAAGTCTGGTAGGCGAGCATGGGACAAAAAGGAAGATGATACATCAACTACAAGGCCTAATGAGGCTAACAATGCGCGACCGCACTAAAGCAACACGAATGCTGGAGTGGGATCTGTGCGGAGAAGATGGACTTGAGCGAGACTGGAGACGGGAGTTACAATGGATGCTCATGCTAAATGTCAAGGCCGAGATGCAAGTACTCGACGAGCTATCTGGCGGATTGGTGTCATGGCTGAGCGACCAGCTTGGGGATGCAGGGAATCTACTAGTAACTGATACAAAGATCGGCAGTGACTGTTCAGACGACGGTATGCTCTTCTGAAGGCATTGCAAGGGCTTGTACTTCAATTGTTGATTGTACACGGACGTGTGGTGGCTACATGTCCTACCTGATTTCTTGCAGAGGACATGTGCAATACTTACCCTATTCGCTGGAAGCATCATTGATGCATTCGGCACAAGACATCAAAATTACAAAGGCGCCAATCAGTCCCCGCATTACTTTGGTCTCGTCTGCGAACTTACTGCAAGTAGCGCTGATGGAGTAAGCGTTTGTTATGAGGAGTGGTTGTCCAATGGGATGTGAGCCGTGCCGAATACCCTGCCAAGACTGGCGGTCCATGTCGGCCAACGCATCATCCTTCTCAATCACTGCAGGCCACGTTCAACAACTCGGACGGCACGCAAAGCGGGCCTACAATGCATTGACCTGCAGTTTGGAAACAGAGCCCACCATGTCCGGATCCGCCACCCTTCCAAACGACCCCCGCATTTCCTTCCAGGCGCCATCGCTGTCGCAAGGCTCCGCCAGCCACTCCAGCTGCGAGCAACATGGCTCAGCTACCACCGAGTCGAATGCAACCCCGCAGCCATTGACGTCTACAACAACCACTAAGCAGTCGGTGCCTCTGGGTGTCTTCTCGACCCTCTTGGGGAGCAATTCTACGTCCACACTCAGTGCCCAACCCATCTTGTCGGACGAGGCGGTCCCGGCCATCCTCATTCACGCCCAACCCCCGGACACACAAGAAGGCCCTTCTGACCTTACCGCGAGCTTATCATCAGTGCCCAGTGCGACTACCACTTTGACCAACACGTTGCCACCGACTCAGTCTGCCGCCCTTCGCGCCCTCAATGCCCCCGCCTTCCACTCGTCTCCTTCCAAGAGCAAGTCTGCAAAATCGACATCTAGTCGAACAACTGTCACTAGTCAGCCTGTCGTGGTACGCACGTACTCAGGTTCACGACATACTTCTCGCGCTGGGTCGGGGTTCAATACCCCGCGCTCTTTTGCAATGAATGGGAACAACCATACTTCAGCCCTGTCAGCTGGTCTGGCAGGTAGAAGCGAGCAGTTACCCTCTGCCGATGACTTTTCCTTCTCGGCAATCCTACGTGCCGTCGACCCTGAGATCAAAGATGCAATTGATGCTATTGCTGAGATCTGTGCCAGGAGCAGGATGAGTCTGGCAGATGAGTACGACTCACATCTTCCCCCGCAGGGCGAGATCACTGGGACGGGACCAGGTTGGGCTGCTAGCACCGGAGCACTTGTAGGACGTGGTCGGTTAAACCGAATCAGTCAAGGATGGACTGCTGCAGACAATACACTAATGGCTGTACCTGAAGCCAGTAGCTCTAGCGAAAGATTGGCGCAAGAGGGTAAGGTGGAGAGCAACAAGAAGCGAAGTCAGTCAGCATACGGCAGCTTGAAGAGTGTTATTAGTGGTGGCAGCGGTAAGAGAAAAGCCATTGATGGCGATACCTTTCGCGAGCAAGAGGCCAGCAGCTCGAAGCAGGACGAAGTGCAGAACCTGGGACCTCCTTGGGCGGTTCACACTTCAACCTCATCTTCCCATCCAGCCATTACTCTCGCTGCACCTACCGCCTCGAAGCATCTCTCCCTCGACACGTCATCTACTATGCAGGACAAGATCGATTTCCTCATGCATACATCAGACATGCGGGCTCAGAACGAGGCCCTGCAAAGACCTCCCTCACTCCAACGCAGACAAACAACACGTAGCCTACCGTCTTCACGAGCCCGTGCAGGTACATTGGGTTCTTTGAAAGCATGGCTGCCATGGCCCCGCCCCTCCGATCTCAATCACGATGCTCAGCAAGAACTGGCAAGAGCCGAGGACCAACTTCGAAGAATGTTAATGTCGCCACAGAATATTGGCAAAGGTAAAGCCACTGTCAGTGTTGTTTGATATGTCAAGCGTCTGGGCGGACTGTTATCTAATCAAGTAACGCTTTTTTGTTTGAACAACCAGTAAAGATACCCAGAACATGGAAATAGCCAGATGAGAGATACAAGGAGAGATGAACCAAGTTGCATATACTGTGGACTCTTTTTGGATACACAGGAAGGGAGGTGCCTGTTATACGAGCGAAACAAGTAACAAAAAAAGAGAGAAGATAAGAGCTATCAAACACGACTCCCTGGAGGAGCACAAACTTATGACTTACGCCCCCCTTTTTTTTGACGAATATCACGACTGATGAACCCATATGGAGCGAGGTTTGGAACCCGCCGTCATGACTTTTCTTTTGTTTCGGGGCTTGGAACAGCAGTGTTTTTACAAGTAAAGAATACAAAGAATGTTTACTGTACTTTTTTTGCATTGAGTTGCTTTAATCATGTGCTTCTTGTCGCAAGTCGGGATGTGAGTAACGATCCCACTGTCAGCATCCTTCGTACCTCGCACTATACTCCGCAAATGAAACACCAGACGTAAAGCGAAGTCAGAAGAGTGTAGATCAAATGTATTCTCTCCCAAGAAGGAAGACTCTGTACAAAAAAACACACCGGTATGACAAAAACCCGAATCCAAAAGAAACAATGCATCCAATCATGCAATTCCTAACCCCACTTTCAAAAAAAAAGAATACAGAAAGAACACAGTCAGATGGGAAAAAAAAGGTGAATAAGCCATTTGCCATTCTGACGCCAAAACAATGCAACAAAGCTCGTCTTCTCCCTCCCTCTCTCTCTCTCTCTCCCAGAAAGAGCCAGACAGAACAGAAGAAGTCGCCTAAGCCATATCCATTCCAATCATCCCATTCATCATCATAGCTAACTCCACCTCCTTGCTGAATTCTACATTCACCGACAACGCCACAAGACAACAACAGCGACATCTCCTCTCGCCCATGAATCTACCGTTCGTAACCAGAATGATCCGACGGTATCGGCGATGCAGACGCGGGTTTCCAAATTTTGACGCGCATGTCGTCGCCGGCTGAGGCGAATGTAGTTGGATCTTTGGGGTGCCAAGCTACGCTATTGACGCAGCCGGGGTGGGCATCGAGGGCTTCGATGAGGAGACCGTTAGAGCGCCAGATGTATATTCTCGAGTCTAGACACACAATACTGTTAGCAAGTTGTTGGTTAGGGCATAGATCGGATTATTGGAGCTTACCTTCGCTGCCGCTGACGACAAAGTTCTCGTCGGCACCGCCAAAGGCAGATCTGATGATGAATTGTTTCTGAACGTGCGCCTCGAAACGTTGGATGACGTCGCCGGTGTCGATTTCCATGAGCTTGATTTGATCGGGACTCATACTGACGAGCATGTAGCGCGAGTCCTGGCTGATCATCACACTGGTTAGTTTGACGTCGTCGAGCTGGAACTCTGCAATCTTCTCGTAGCTGACAAAGTCAAAGACTACTATTGAGCTCTCGGTGATGATGACGAGACGCTCGCCATTTGGTGATACTGCAATGTCGTTTGCGCGGAGCCTTCCGCCGTCGTCGCAAAAGTTGTGCTTGAGGTCGCCGTTGAGATCCCAGATTCCACAGCCCATGCGGTCATCTTGCGATCCGATGATGACGCGCGTGCCGGAGGGATCCCAAGCTGCTGTTGTGCATGGATAAGTGAAGTCGCTAATGCATTGTATGCACGCACCCGACTAGGCAGGTTAGTCTATGCCAACTACAAGGGTGCATGAATACCGTACCTTGACGTCCCATATCCTCGCAGAGTTTTCGGGTTGAGAGCAGCATGTCACAATCTTGGAGTCATCCGGGCTCCACGCAAGATGAGTGACGCCTGAATCTCGGTGTTCATCTAATTGATGTAGCACTCTATATGTGCTCGTCTCGTAGATGATGATTGTGCAATCCTTGCTTGTCGACGCCAACTTGGTGCCATCATTCGAGTATTGCAAAAACCACACCTCGTCCTTGTGATGTCTTAGATCAAGCACGGCCTTTGTGGGGAAATCGTCTCTCGCGCAATTGTGATTCAGGTAGAGCGAGGGTGATGCGGCTGTGTTATGGTACAAACAATTTGCGATCCAGCTGTCTTTTACCTCGTCTAACAATACGGCTAACCTGTGTTCTGGAATCATTACGCTGGGTGAAATGGATCCTGTAGGGTGTAAGTAGACGGTCTTGGCATTTACACGCAATCACCACTTACTCGACAAATCTGAAAGGAGATGCATTCGCGACTCGCCGCGAGCACCATCCCACTGAGCTTGGTGTCTCAAATCTTCGGCAGATTGGCACATCATAAAACTAGCAGCTGTCAGCACAAATGCAAACGTGGAAACAGAGCAGAATTGAAGACTGACGCTGAAAGAGCGTGTAACCTGCCGACATCTTGGTGAAGTGGCGTCAACTCTTGTCGGAGGACTGCAAGCGCTTTTGAAAGGTCTCTTCGCTCCAGCAATTCCAGATACTTTTGCTGCTTCAACCAAAATAACATAACCTCCCGATTCGCACCCTCGGCAAGGGTCAGACCCGCAGATTGCCGTGAGCCTGACTTTGGCCTTGACTTTCCCCACGGCTTTCCATACGAAGCATCCAAACCAACGCCGCCTCCGTTATCATTTGCATTCGAGCCAAATAATAACTCTTCCGCCTCTTCCCAATCGCCGTTCAAGACCGAGCTCCGGAATGCCGCAACCGTGGGGCCCTCGAGCTGGAAGCCGCTCTCTTTACACAATGTGCTTGCTGAATTGTGATATCCCAAGTTGGTCAGACTTTGTATGAGTATCCGCGTTACTTCTTCCCTGTCGTGGCCGAAAAAGGTCGCGGGAACCGATGCTCCTCCATTCGCTACCGGACCACCGTTCGTGTAGGAGCCGTTGCTCTCAGTCCGGGTGTGGGAGCTGCCATTTGCATGCTTGCCCAGCGGCGACCTGGGTGCCGAGGATTGTGACGAACCGTTGGTAAAGTTTCGCGAGGGCGATTGTGATGTCTTCGAGTCGTCGTTGTCAAGGCGCATGGTCCCGTCGAGTCTGCGCCTGCGCTTCGAGGTGTGGCGGGTTAGCCTGCCTCGGTCGGTGCGCGAAAGAGGGTCTTGGTCGCTGTGGTCGTTGTGGTCGTCGCTGTCGGAGAAGCTGTACCTGCGCTTTCCGGCTGGAGTGCGTTGAGACGGAAGGATGTTGGTGGTGGGACCGGGGACAGTGGAGGGGGCAGAGATGACTGGGGAAGTAGAAGAAGCGGGGGAGGGCGGAGTGGATGGGCGGTCGGCGGCGATTGGGGAGGGAAAGTCTGGGGAGGTTTCGTCTGCCAGGACGAAGGCTGGGCTTGGTTTACCCGCAGATGGCGCAGAGATGGGTTCGTGGCAGCCTATTGCCAGAAGGGAGCCTTATAATCTGTGGCTATGCAGTGATCATGAACAGAAGGCTCAAGAGGATGGACGGGCAGTATACGCAGTGTGTTGACTGGCGTGGGTGTGCGACAGAAGAGGGGGGCAAGAGAGAACGATCGGGGTTGCGGAGTGAGCTGGGAGGGATGAAGCAGCAGGAGATGTCACGAGCCAAGAGAGATGGATGATGCTGCCGCCAGGGCCTGACTGTTGTTCGCCGATACCAGGCTGGATGAAGCTGTGCCGGGGTTTGACACGTCGAGATACGGTCGTGAAGAGGATCGTGGGCGTGGTGTGAAATTGTTTTGGTGTTTGGAGAGCAGGTGGCTGACGTTACGCAGCTGCTGGCTACCTGGTCGTGCAGCGAGCGGTTGCGTCAAGCGTCATGCGCCAAGTGGCAGTCACGACGTGTAAACGGAATGGTCCGACAGAAATTAAGGGCCAAACAGTAAGCGGCCAGAGTGTCCGGTAATCAAGTGTATAGATTCAAGTGGAAAAGTACGCGGGCAACCAGCAAGGTGCAAGGGCCCTGGACGATATGGGGTGGGTTAGCAGCGCCGATAAGAAAGCAGGCTAACACCCGCGTCCTGGAGTATCTTTTAGTACACGACCTCACGCCCAACACCACGTCACATGAGGCCTCATTCGCCGGGACCCACCGACAAACCATCACATGGCATGAACCACTAGACCGCCCAATCCAAACTAATTGCACTCTTCACCCTGAAAGAAGAATTGCATTACATTCTCAATTCCATACTACTGCTACCGGCTGTAGCATCCTGTTCTAGTTCTAGTTCTACCCCTAACCCCTCACATCCTCATCGTTGCATTCCCCTCCGCCCCATGCTCCTTGAACCAATTCAAAAACTGGAACATACTCGCCTTGGGATACCGCTCCAAACTCTCATAATCTACATACTGCAGCCCAAACCTGACCGAGGTGCCCAGCAGCCACTCAAAGTTATCATATATCGACCATCCCCACGCGCCCGTCACATTAACACCGTCGACATGGATCGAGAGCAAGATGTTATCTAGGTACTGCTGGTAGTAGTCTGCGCGCTTGAGATCCCAAAGTGCGGCATTGATGTTGCTCCATTGCGCTTCAAACGGTTCTGCGAAGCCAAATTCGCTGACGACGATGTCCGGGATGGACGGGAATAGGACTTGCGTGATGTGCTTGAGGTAACGGCGTACGCCTGCGGGCGCAGAGTAGAACCACGACATGGCTGGATCGGCCGCGGGTCCAATGGGGAAGCCATTGGGAGCTATGCTTGCGGAGCCAGCACAGTCAGGAAATGAAGGGTGAGAGCGGTTGCTGGTGCAGGCCTCGAGGCCGCCGTTGACTTCAAATGCTACAAACGACGAGTAAGGGTCGATGGCGTAGAAGTCACATGAGCCCTTGATTAGGTCTTTTTCTTCTTGCGTGAACTCGGGCAAAAGGTCGCCAAGGGTGTCTTTGAGGGATTGCGGGTAGTCGCCGTCAGTCCAGCAACCTCCAAACCACCCAATGCTAAAGTCAAAGTTGCGTTGCCGGGCTACTTCATCCTCGGGCTTTGTACTGTTGGCCTCGTAGTAGTTGCCACTGTTCTTGAACGTGATGCGGCCCCGGCCCTTGAACTCCTCGTGGTACCATTTTGCGACCTTGGCGTGGGCAAGCAGCGTGTAGTGGCCGCACAAGAAGCGGGCCTCGATGCCAGGCCCGACTCCGTTAGGCGCCGGGTAGTACTTACCGGCCGGGTAAGACGCATATTGCCAGTTGCAGTACTGAGGCTCGTTGATGGTGAACCACTCGTCAACGAACGCATCGTAGCGAGTGATGACAAACTTGGCGTAGTTGAAAAAGTCATCTACAACGCGGCGGTCCGTCCATCCGCCGTACTCGTTGAAGATTGCGAGCGGAGTATCCCAGTGGAAGAGCGTCACCGAAGGGTGAAGCCCATTGGCATGCATAGTCGCAATCACATCATCGTAATGTGCAACCGCTTCCTCGTTGACAGGTCCGTTTCCAAAGGGGAAAAACCGCGGCCACGAGAAACTGGGACTAAAGGCCTTGATACCCAATTTTGCAAGTCGAGCAAAATCCTGCTTGTACAGATAGTAATGTTGAGCAACAACATCACCAGTCGTATTGTCCGCCACAAAATTTGGCACTCGATGGGAGAGTAAATCCCAGATGCTGGGTCCTTTGCCCTCGTCCTTGGCAGCTCCTTCAATCTGATATGCCGAAGAACTTAATCCCCAGACAAAGTTTTTGGGCAACTTTAAACCCTGAGTCTCGGGGTACCCAGTACCGACCAGGGCATGGTAGTAACGTGGGTCTGGCTGTGGATACACGGATGGCTCGGGAGTCGGTTCAACAGTTGTTGTAACCGTACCCGTGACAACAGGACCTACTTGATCCCAGAGCGCCGCAAGTGCATTGTGCGAGTAGTCGGTTCGGGTAAAAGGAGTAGGTTGTGCAGAAGCATTGTAGCTAGAGGTGCTATACCCAGTAGGCTGAGCAAAGGAAAGCGAAGAAGACCCATTGGTAGCAGCAGCAACTGGCCGAGCCAGAAGCAGCAAGCCAACAAGAGGCGCCAACCGGTCCATCTTGCAAAAACACCTCAAACTGCAAGATGAAGAAGGGACTCAGAAACAAACGGCAGAACGGGGTGAGGCCAGTACTTGTACTACAAAGTACCTCGAATGGCTCCCCTCCAACTCCTTCTTGTTAACCAGCATTCCGGAGCCCCGCGCCGAATCCTCATTCCTTTCGGCATCTTCTCCTCGTCGATTCCTGCACATCACCCCAGTACGCTGGGGCTCGGCATGCATGGAAGCCCCTCAGAACGACGCTCAGGAAACATGTTGGTACTACTGTGCAAGTAGGCGCATCGTCAAGCCAACAAGACTAGCCATTGCCCAATGAGCACGCAGCCAAGGTTCGCTTCCAAGCCTTTGCCGCGGAATACAAGAGGTCGAGGGAGGGTGTTGGAGTAGCAATACACGGGAGAATAACTAGTAAGACGTCATGTTTCCAAAAACAGGAGGTTGGCGGAAGAACCGGGGTGAGGTTCCGTTGCCCGCAGCGGAAAACAGCCATTGCGGAGAGCTTGCAGCAGCTATTGGTGGATACCACTGTAGTAGCCAAAAGTTTCTCCATAAGCTCGCAAGCGTTCTTCTGCACAAGAACAAGCAGCAACGGAACATTCGACTTAAAAGATGACGATCCAAGACAATGCCGTGCCAAAACTTGTGGGGACAGAGCATGGCACGTTGAGCAGGAAGTATCCTTCGCACGTCTAGCCGGTCCGCACCCCCGAAATGATGTTCGGAGTCTCGGTGAGTTTGGTAAATGCACGACAAGACTACAAGCAGTTGCCTAGACGGGATACATAGCATTTCTGATTAGTGTCATTCGGATACTGCAAGGATCAAGGAGAATAGGCAAATATAGGTCAAACACGACCTAGATCCGGCGAGGTACATGGATGGTCTGGTTTTACGCAACTTGCAGTAACACTGGATATTCTATTCGAGTAACTAAGTCCGATTTCTAAATTTTGAATCCAATTTGGGCGCATCTGGTCGATGGCTCGATATGGCCATAAAATGCCATTAAGATGCCGCAAGACTCGTTGGGTATATGTCTAGCATCTCGGTAACAGGCAGTCATTAGAGTAGTCGTTAAGAGAAAGACCTTAGGCCTTGCGCTGCTTCTTCGCAGGTGGTTCTTGGGCGGATTTCCGTCCCTTTCCTACGAGGGCACGAATGTCAACGGGCTCGTCGTTGTCGTCATCATCGTCGTCATCGTCATCATCGTCGCTGTCGTCCATGACATCGAGGTCGGATAGCTCCTCATCGTCCTCTTCTTCCTCAAAAGTGGCCTCTGCGACCTGTTAGCATCCGAATCGCCAAGTGTGAGCATGCAACGTACTGTAGTATCTGATGGCATTGGGCCAGATATCTTCAGCAATGATAGTAGCAACCTCGTCACCACCGGGGAAAACCTCAATCTCTTGATAGTCGAATGGGTCTTCATCCTCTTCATCCTCGTCGTCATCGATCTTCTCTCCTCGCCTGACCTTCTCAAACCTCTCCCTCTCTTCCTTTACAGCTTGTGCTGACTCTTGCGCGCTAACCCATCGGTAGCCGGAAACGAAGGAGAAGAGACCGAAGAAGCTGATTGAAGCATCTGTTGCGGTCTCGATCATCTGAGCAAGCTTCTTGTACTCGGCCGACTTTACCTCCTCATTCCTTGCTGCTCCGTTGGTGGTATCAGCTGCCAACTTAGCCCTCAGCTGGCCTAGCTTGTATGCAGCATCAGTAAGACCGTCGGTAAGGTCCTTGCCCTTCTTCCAGTTGATCTTGACGGGCTCAGACACCAGACCCTGCCAATCCCTGGTCTTGCGGAACCAAAACTTCTTCTCCAGAACCTTGTCCTCGAAGTATTCGTTTTCCGTGAAGCCAAGCCTAAGCAAGAAGCTGCGCGGTGAGCCATTGGGGTCATCCAGCTCGAAGCGCGAAACTTCAACAGTAGACAGGCATTCTGCGATGAGCTTCGAATCGGTGGGTTGGATGAAGTTGTCAATCTCGGGAGGCGCTTGCTCGAAGACTAGGGCCCAGAAGTGAGGAATCTTCTCAACAAGTTCGGCGCGCTTCTTGAACAGCGGGGTCTGGATTGCCTCAGCTTTACGGACTACATGTATGTCAGCATTGCGCTTGTCGCACTGGCAGAAGCAGAAGGAATGAGGCATTGCAAAGAGCGCTACTCTTGGGGGTTTGTTTTACGCAACTATGCGATCCCTCTCTTCACGTAGGAGGCAGTGCGACTTACTGATTTCTTCTTCAGCATCCTCAAACTCGTGCTCAAGAGCCGCAAGCTCTTCGAAGCGAGCAGAAACTTCTTCGTGTGTATGATCCTCCATTTTGATGTCTTCAAAAAGATACTAAATTCAGTATCGCAGGCGTGAAATACTGAATGTGAGTTGTGGTTGAGGTTGGATCGTTTAATCTGTGAGCATTTCTCACAAAATTTCGCAAAATACTGCAGGGATCTGGAGCTACTTGGATGATCCCCACTTAAAGCGGAGCCATTCCGCCCCGCGTTTTTACGCATACTTACGCCATACACTTTGCTTGGCAAGCTGTCAGGTAAAAGCATAGTGAAGGTTAAGGCATGTATTTTCTTATGGTAATACTAGATGTGCAGACATGCGTGAGAGCTCAAGTATGAAATCTACCATGGATTGATTGCATAACGAAGAGTGATAGCCATAGTTGTTGACGTATGACTCCTACTTGTCTATATCACATCCTGTTTCACTTGTGGTAGTATACCTTCTACACATTCACTACAAACAAAACCCATCGTGCATTCCGTACAGCACGTCTCTAGTCACCTTCAAACCCTGCATCCTCTGTCGCGTTCTCACTATGGGAGGCCTAGCATTCGCAGATACTGTGGCGGAGTCTGGACAGCCAATTGTTGTCCCCCGACTATCTCGAGAACTGTATAAGCAACTTTCCGCACACTATCAGCGCGCCCTAGAGACGATCTTCGAGAAAGTTGTTATTCCACGCGAGGCACCAGGCAAAGCAGACCACGGCGATATTGATTACTTAGTCGACGGACTCCGATCTCCATACACAGAGAACAATGTGTGGGACCTGATATGCGATCTTTTTAAGGCTGAAGCCCACATACTGCGCGGCGGATCAGCTTCGTACGCGGTGCAGCACCCCGCGACAATAGGACTTTACGTCCAAGTAGATGTCGAGCTATGCGTGGGACATGGAACTTCCGACAGTGCCGAGCTCTTCGAATGGACGCGTTTCGTAAAAAGCGACTCTGATTTGCTGCAAATCATTGGGGTATCGCATCGACCCTTGGGCCTCGTCTGCAACGACCAAGGCTTGCATATGCGAGTGCAAGAGATAGAGCCTTACAACAAGAAAAAAGCCTTGCTATTCTTGACACGATCTCCGGAAGAGGCTCTAGAGTTCTACGGTCTTGATATTGCCAAGTATCGGACTGGGTTCACGAATGAGGAGGATCTCTTTGACTGGGCATGTAGTGGGAGGTTCTTCGCTCGTGAGATTTTTCAGAGTCGCACTGAGAAACACAATGATCGAGCACGCCAAACGAAGAGGCCCATGTACCGGCGATTTGTTGAAGAGTACATACCCTCACATCCGGACAAGGGCGCTTGCAAGGCTTGGACACGGGAGGAGGTGCTTCACGAAGCCATCCGTATCTTCGGAAAGCAAGCGGGGTATGATGCTATGATGGAAGAGCATCGTCTTAAGACGGCAGAAGAAGAGCTCTGGAAAGAGATCAGGGAAGCGGTGCCTGTACAGAGCAACTCTATAGCTCTCATCCTCCGAGGCTTGAGACGCTGGGTGGCTTTTGAAAACGGACATCCCTTCATCACAACGGAGCCAAATCTTGCGGAACCTCTGGTCTGGTCCAAGTTTGTGTCACCCGACACCAGAGATGTCGTGCTAGCATGGGTGAAAGACAATTATGGGCAAGTCAAATCCCTGGAGAAGGCGCGTGCAAGTGCATCCAAGGAGGCCGCAAAGAATATCCTGTAGTGGATAGCGCATCTGTAGGCGAGGAGGATGGTAGTGTCCGCTCGGGTCCGTATAATCAATCGCAGTCGCGCACGTTTCTCGCTGCAAGCCTGCGAATTTTGCCGACCTGGTTTTTGTGACGTAAAGGCATATCTGCTAAGCCGATGCTTCCCACGCGATGCGGGCCTGGTCGATAGAGTGGTGGTCCGACGTGGTTCGCAGTGCAAATTTTCAATTTCGAAGGGGTAATGGAAAGCAGTTTTGAAGGGGTAATGGAGTCGATTTCGAAGGGGTAATGCAAGCGCCTAACTGTGGGTCGCGGGCGTGGAGTGGGTTTGGTGGTCGGTCCGACCAGCAAGGCATGGGGCCTGGATCACAAATAATTTTTGCCTTTTTGGAAAAGCATGTCGTCGACGAGTATTGCCTGCGCTAAGATGATCTGCTATCATGCCAAGACCTGGCCATGTAATGTTTTGCTATCTTGTTCAATCATGTGCGGTACCGGATCCTGCCGAAATTTTATACCATCCTGTCGTGCCAATTGAATTTTGATCATCAGACACAGGCCGTTGTGTTATCGTTTCCCCATATTACACGCTTCGTGACACGTCCGTAGCGTTCTATCTGCGTCGTCGGTGTACTACTGGGAGAAGGAAAAAAAAACTCGCCACAGGCCCATCCATGATGAACGACATGGACGGCTCGCTTCCAGAGCCCCAACTTCCAGAATCACACGTATTGATTGTTATTACAGGTACACAGCATTGCCACTTGACTTAGCCTTCATTTAACATTAACTTGGACAGGCGGCACAATATGCATGCGAAAGTCTGCAGACGGACTGGTCCCTGCTCGAGGATTCTTAAAAGCTGGACTTGCACCTCGGCCTGTTTTCAATGACGGATCCTACCCAGAGCCTCTCGAAATTGTTATCGACGACAAGGGTACGCGAAAGGCCGTGCAGAGCTTGAGGACTCCAGTCAGCACGTATGAACGCCGGGTTCGATACTGTGTGCTGGAGTTTGAAAAACTGCTTGATAGCAGCTCCATTGACTCGACTGGCTGGGACCAGATTGCGCGTACAGTGCAAAGGAACTACCAACTATTCGATGGCTTCGTCATCTTACATGGGACCGATTCACTGGCCTACACGTCGTCTGCGCTCAGTTTCATGTTTCACAATTTGGGGAAACCCGTAGTTCTGACCGGGTCCCAAGCACCTATGATGAACTTGCAAACGGACGCCCAGGACAACCTGCTCAACTCGCTCATCATTGCTGGACACTTTATGATTCCCGAAGTGTGTCTCTTCTTCAACTTCAAGCTGTTCCGAGGCAACCGTGCGACCAAGATATCTGCAGAGGACTTTGATGCATTCGGCAGTCCCAATCTGCCAGCGCTGGCCACCATTTCCTCTACCAGGACCAATGTACTGTGGCACCGTGTCCATCGCTCCACCGACCTCAGCCCATTTACCATTCAGACGAGCCTGGACACGGCACACGTAGCCTGTCTACGTGTCTTTCCGGGAATTACGCCTGCAATGGTGGATGCAGTCTTGCATCTGGACGGGCTCAAGGGGCTCGTATTGGAGACATTTGGAGCAGGAAACACACCTGGTGGGCCGGACAGCGCAATGACGCGATGCCTGGCCGACGCGGTAAAGAGGGGAATTGTGATTGTCAATGTAACACAGTGTCTGAGCGGCAGCGTTAGTGCGCTGTATGCTCCTGGAGCCTTTCTTGGGCGAGCGGGAGTTGTGTTTGGACAGGATCTAACATCAGAAGCAGCCCTTACCAAGCTAGCATACCTCCTGTCGCTGCCGGGAGCCACGCCCGACGAGGTTGCAAAGCGCATGTCTGTTTCATTGCGTGGCGAGCTTACCGAGACGACACGAACCCATTTCGAGCATCCTTCGAGGAGCGGCGTACTTACCCCTGAGCTCTCCAGTCTCACGGCGCTCGGGTACGCGATCCAAAAGGGCGACTTGCAGGCGACGAGAGATATTATTCGAGGTGAACCTCGTTGGCTGCTCAACGATGCCGACTATCAGATGAATAGCCCAGTGGTAAGTGCATTTCTGTCCAGTCAGCATTCGTGTGCCTATCTCCCCCCCTCTGTCACGGTGTTGCAGCAGGTTGCAACCGGCATCGCTCGAGTTGCATTGTGCCTGCACTGGGCAAGAGCCGGCATCGGAAAGAAGATGTGCACTCGCGGCAGTACAGGCAGCAGCGTCCTGAAGAGGGGCAACACGTCTGTACATGGCGAGTGTCATAGATAAAGGCACAGGAGGCCGTCGGCACAGGAGAGAACAGGGCACGATGCACATGCGCTTATCGCTCAGCTGGATTCCGGGCTGCATGCGGCGTAGCAAACGTGTCTGGAACATTATTCTTCCATACAATGACGCGCAATATTGCGATATGGTGCTGACTATGAACGCAGCACCTGGCGGCAACCAGCCCCAACGTAGAGATTCTGCGAGATTTTCTGGCACAGGGGGCCTCTGTGCATCTTCGAAACCGATCAGGCAATACCCCGCTCTTCCTGGCAGCGGCGGCAGGCCTGGCAGACCATGTTCAGACACTGATCGATGCGGGAGCCCATCTTCACAGCGACGAAGTGAGCGCGGCCAAGCTGTACGCATCGGAGGGCGACGGCAACGCTGAGATTTGGGGCCGCGTGATTGGGTGAGGGGTACATGCAACTCACATGGACGAGCATTGGAGGGGCCACAGTTGATTGTGGCTGCTTGCTGGCTGCCGCGGGCCCAGCGAAGGAATTGTTTATTTGATGGCACGTCGTCGGCAGGGTCTGGTGACGCCTGGGGTGAGGCCGATGCACGTCTGCAACGTCGAGAGCGGGTGAGTGGTTGGGCGTGGTGGACAATGGGCGGGATGCTATGAGCGGGCGCATCCTTCTTGGGGAGGTGAGCAGTGCAAGTGCGTGGTGTTGGATACGCAACAAACGGCGACCAAGGCGTGCTTGCTTATGCTTAGGGGCGCCCAGATGACAGCCATGGTCATGGCGAGACTCACGGGCAAGAGGACGCACTACTCAACATGGCATCCGACAACAGTACATACACATAGACAGACAGGCGGCGCTAGATGTGGGGAAGCGGGCTGCAACGAATTTCCGCTTTGGAGATGCGAGGGGTGCTAGCAGGCCAGGGCCGCTAAAGAGGGAGACATCGGGAGCTTGTTTCAGTTAGTAAAAGAAATCTCTGTGCCAAGACCTGACACCGTGATGTCCCTTGCTTGCACTCGGAGTAATCCCGCCCCTAGGAGCACCTCTTTATTCTTATTACTCACCACCGCACAAGCCGCTGCGGACGGCGGACGGCCCCGAACAAAGCATCGTCGACCTTACATATCTATACATACCTGGGTGCAGCGACATGTCCCCTGTCGTGCTGCTTCTTGACTCGTAGTCCATGTCTACTATGTAACTATGCATTTGTAGTACTACTATATGTACGATATGGCCGATTCTCACGTAGTAGTTGATTTATCCCCGCATCGATTCGCAGGCTGGGTTGGAGTCCTTTTGGATATAGTATGTACTATGTATGTACATTATTTTTGCTAGTAGATTCTAAAGGTGGAGCCCGCTCGTCTATGGATTAGCCTACCAAGCACAAGCATGCCTCGCAGAGACCATGATAGTGCCTGTGTCTGTGTGTTGGGAAAAGTGAAAAAAAAAGGACAATGGCAAACACTCTTGTTTCGGCGTCTAATGTGGCAATGGATGGCAATATCAACGGCAACGGCAACGGCAGTGGCAGTGGCAGTGGCAGTGGCAACGCAGACATGATATCCATACCCATATCTGTCCATTCCCTACCCTCGGCAGTGTATCGTTGGGGAACTGGCAGCCAGCCTCCGCCGGCACGTTTCGCTGGCGTGCGGTGCTCAGTCCCTGGCCGCGGTCAGATGGTCGCCATGTTAAGCGGAGCCTATTCGCCCTTGCAGGTGGACTATTAGGTAAGTCTTTTCCCAGCAATGCAAATGACGAGGGCTAAACTTGGCTGCAAGGTCATACGAGAACCGATTCAAATTCGTGCTTCTCCTGCTTCTCCGGCTCCTCCAACAAGTACCGCTCCTCTGCACCCAACAACGTTGCGTCTGTCTACGTCAAAGGTATTGCGAGTCGGCCCGCCATCTAAACCTTAGCACTCGCCCACTAGCCTCGCCTATACCCTGCATTGCCTGCCTCACGTGTCCCTCCTTCGATTGCACTATCAACCGCTCGACCCCTTGTGTCTGTGTGCGCGTGTGTGCGCGCCTTAGGGCCCGTCATAGTCTCCCCGCCGAACCCAACAACGGCTTTTTCCACGTTACCACGGCCCTTACACAAATCCTTATCTCATCTCCCTCCACTTTGCGCCCAAGACCGACCACCTGCTTCCGCAAACCCCAGCTGATTATACCCGGGGATCCTCGCGCCTTGGCCCTGCTTTGCCTTTCCATATAGCATCCAACAAGTACTCTTGTTCCGAAATCGCTCTCCTTCTGCCCACCCAGGACCATCCACTCACTTTCTCTTTCCGGACCCGCCAGAGCCTCACCGCCACAACCCTCCTTTACCTATCCTCACCTCCGCCAAAAACACACGAATGCAAAGGACAGTCGTTACCATCAACAGCAATGGCCGCCAATCGGCGAGCTTCATTCGCGTCGCTGCCGCACTAGGATGGCAGGTACGGGCCCAGATGCGAGACTTGAACGGCATAGTTGCCCGAGAGCTGTCTGAACTCGACAATGTTACCGTCTTCATCGGAGCCCTCGAAGACAAAAAATTTCTCGATGATCTATTCAGAAGCGCTCAGTGCGCTTTCATCAACACCACGCACTGGGGCGACGAGGTTGCGATTGGTCGAGCACTAGCCGATGCCGCAAAAAAAGCCGGAATCCAGCACTACATCTACTCGAGCATGCCCGACCACTCCGTATTTGGCCAAGGCTGGAAGGCACTACCAATGTGGGCTCCAAAATTCACCGTCGAGCAATATGTTCGCCAGATTGGCCTGCCGGCCACCTTTGTCTATTGCGGCGCATACCACAACAACTTTACCGGCCTCGATTTCCCCCTGTTTCGCATGGAACATCAGTATGACGGCAGCTTTGTCTGGCAGGCCCCATTTCACCCAGATCAGCCACTCCCGTGGCTAGATTCAGAGCACGATGTTGGTCCAGCTATATTCCAACTATTTAAGGAAGGTCCACGTAAGTGGAACGGCAAGCGGTAAGCGTGTCCTGCATCTGCGTATCTTGGTCCACTTCGTTCGCCCGTTCCCCACAATGGTTCCATCAGGTGGTCTACCATCACCAGTTGCAAACGTCAAATTTTCCACTGCTTGCGCACGCACTCATGATGCAGCCATGGCTGCAGCGAGCTTGCAACATATGCGCCGCCTTTTTTGCTTTTCTGAATAACATGCTGACTAGCTTAGGATACCACTGGCGTTTGCATCCATGACCCCAAGACAAGTCTGCAAGGCTTTTAGTGTCGGCCTCAAGAGACCAGTTCGCTACAAGCGGGGCCCCATAATGATCAACGTTCCCACACCCGCAGGCTACCGGGAGCATCTCGCCGCACTCGAGTACACCCTAGGCGAGAAGGGCGCACCTTACTTTGGACCCGATCTCGAGCCGGACGTCCCCGCTGTCGCCTTGTCGCTGTGGGAAGGAAACCGTTCCATGGAGGAGTACGCCCAAGAGGTTTTCCCAGTGGAAGAAGCGGCCAATGGTCTTACTTGGATGGAAGAGGTAGAGACGCCTAGGAGAGAGATTGAGATCGACTTTGAACAGATCAATTGCTGACAATTGACGTCAATGTTTCAGGGCGAGCAATTCCAGCAACCCAGCATCATTCTGGGTTTGAGCGAGCAGCTCAACCAAGCGAGGCTCTAAATTCCTTCGGTTCGACATGTTCCTTAGTTCCAATGGCGTCGGGCGGTTGCATCTCAAAGGCGTCTGACCTCCCTTTTCCTTTGGAGTACCCTGGTAGAAAAGTGGTGCCAATGTGGCCACTGGATGCCTAACACGGAAGTACCGATACCCACTTGATGTTATCTGGCCATCTTGTAACCACACCTGCCTTTTTGTTGGAGCATTGGTGTTTTGGCTTCCTTTTTCAGCATGGGCGGAGTGTACTGCGATGTTTCCTCAAACGGTGGTGATTTGCATTCCAACAAAAGTTATCCTTTCTTTTTCTAATTCGTATGCCACGAGACGACTATTCATGAGCGTGTTTGCGTAGGGGGGTGCATTTTTGGGTCGGATTTAAAGATGGCAGCTGTAGTTAGCATATGGAAATAGATATCCATAATACGATCCACTCCACAAGAAAACATAGAGGTATGTTGAAGAAATGGTCCTTAGAAAAAGCAGTGATAGTGAGACATGTGCCGATACGAGCTGTGTAACTTGCCAAGCATAATGCGGAGAAGATAGATCTGTGCTGACATAAGCAATCTCGAATTTCTTGATGATGAACCCCAATGTTACATGATATCCGACTCCGCACGCCAATGTCAGCCGCAATCCCCTGCACGCGGGCCACCGCCCAGCGTGTCGCCTTTCGCGCCATACGATGCAAACGGTATGCAAGCACCGAGACGGTCGTAGTCGACGCCGCTCCTACAACAGCACTTCCTCCGGCCACCAAGCGTGAACAACGATTACCACGAGAGGATCTCAGCCAGCGTCTGCACAGGGCATTGTACCCAGAATACTATGGCGAGAACGGCCAGCCCATTAATGGGGCATTGAAGACACACATAAGGCGGAAACAACCGTCCAAACCCATAAGTGCAAAGTGGGAAGCCGTAATGAAGCAAAAGAACGTAAACCACGTCTTGAGTACGCCATTCCCTCTCCATACCCCTCACACACGACCTCCAAGTGCTAACCCCCGCACCCTCCAGGCCACCAATTCGGCGTCCCAGTCTTCAAGCAATCCGCCCGCAACATCAAGAAAACATGCCCTCACCCCATCGCCGCTGTCACAGCCACGCAAATCAGCACCCTCGACCCCACCGGCGCCCGCACCCGCCTCTTCGCAAAAGACAACCCAGAATGTGCGCGCGTCGGTGACATCCTACTCGTCCGCCAACGCTCTGGCGACCCCTTCGCCGGTGTCTGCATCAACATCCGGCGCCGCGGCGCCGACACGGCTATCCTTCTCCGCGGCCAGCTCACCCGTGTGGGCGTCGAGATGTGGTACAAGATTTACAGTCCGTTGGTTGAAGGCATAGAAGTTGTGCAGCGCGCGGCTAAGAGAGCCCGACGCGCCAGATTGACGTATATGCGCACGGTTAAGCATGATCGGGGTAGTGTGGAGAATGTGGTTAGGTTGTATTTGAGGCAGAAGGCGGCGCTGGGGACGGCCGAAGGGCAGAAGAAGAAGGGGGGTGCGGCGGCGATGGCGGGGGGGAAGAAGAAGGTGGGCAGAGGGAAGAAGAGGTAGGTAGTGGGGAAGTAGGTAGCCGTGGGGCTTCTTTTTTTGTACGGATGTGTACAGTATTGTATGATGAAATCAAGGGCATGTGCCATGCAAAAAAGGTGACTGCGCAGGTAGTGATATTATGCATCAAATGTATTCAAGTGATTGAAATATGATGCTATCATGTGTTTTCATATATTTCCATCCCTTCCCTTAACTCTTTTTTCCCCTTATCTTTCTCTCTCTGCCAGGAAAGAATTATCTGAATATTTATGGCATACTCGGTGAACTAAGGAAAAGCAGGATTTCCAGTGTTGTCGGTTGTCTGTACTTGGGTTTGGCGCTGGTGATTATGGATGTGTGAGTTGTACGTGTATGGATCTTGAATGTGTAAGTGGTGGGATAGGGTAATTTGGAGGTGTTGTGATATTTGTGGTTTTTGTGCTGGTTTGGCTGGTTGATGTCATGTTGTGGGTGTTTTAGGTAGGAAGGTGTATGCTGGGATTTGGGGGGGCTGTAGGAGATCAGGAGTGAAGTGAGGTGGCAATTGAGAGAGAGCAATAGGATGAGAAAGTAATCTAGAGTCCTTATAGCATTGTAGTAGAAGACATAGAAGAAGAAAACCACTGCGCCAACCCCCCTTCCCCCCTTCTTAGTCAAGAAATACAAGAAATCAAGCCATACGTCACACACTCAGCTTCTCAAGCCTTTCAATCATTCCATCTAACTGACATACTACGTCGTTATATACGGCCGACTGCAGGCCCTTATTGCTCAGCTTGTTCCCGAACCCAAAGTTACATTCGAGGCATTTTTGTGCGATTCGCTGATACTCTGGACCCAACGGGGCCCCTCGGTCTAGAACAAGTCTGCGAGCAGCGAAAACTGGATTGTTCTCATCCATTTTCGTCATCTTTTCTTCAATCGGCATCCAATAAGCAATCTCGAGCATGGCAACACCGAGGAAGAATAACGTAGTGTTGTTAATACCATAACGTGTTTGTTCTGAAATTGTTCCGGTGCCTTGCTGTAGACCCTCCATTTGGCCATCTGCTATGGTAGCAGGCCGTGATATCTGTGAGTTGAAGTGTAAAGTCTTGAGAGCTTCGACGTTGAACGAAGATCTTGATCCAAGATAGCTGAGATCTCCTAGGCGCCATCGCTCAGGAAGCCAGGGGGTGTCGTTGTACTGTAAAGTTGCAACCGCCAGTCTATGTGCTAGTTTCAAGCGATCCTCGGGTTGCAAAGCGTCGTACACCTCCTGTCTGAGCGCGTCCTGGATTGTAGATATGGTAGAAGCTGCCGAGCTATCCAGCTGTGGTTTCGCCGCTCTCTCCTTGAGGTAGAATAGATGCTTGTACATCTGCGCGCTCTCCAAGTAGCCAATACATTCCTTTGCCGACTTTAGCAGCCGTGCCTCATAACACTCTCGCAGGTAGTCACAAATACTTTTCGTCTTGCAGAGATCAACTCCGAATGTGAATAGCGTACCAGGAACATCTGCGTTGGGTACTTTTGTTGGAAGTGGTGATGTAGATACTTGAAATTGTACACGCCGAGCCTTTTTCTTAGGAGCTGAGTCTTTAGAAAGATCACAAGATGCTTTCTTCTTCAAAGTCTTGGAAGAACTCGAGATGGCAGGATTGAGTAGTTCGAGTGCTAATTCAGAGCACATATCAATATTCTCTTGGGTCTTAGGCGTGTTTGGTAGTGTGTCTGCGGATGTACTTGTCGATTGTACGAATAGCCAGATTGTAGATTCTGGTAGCGAGCTGAGGGCGATTAGCGCATACCAACAAAAGCCATGTGTATGTTTACCTAGAAGAGTTTACATAGCTAGATTCGCGACAAGATATAGCAAGGTCCAAGGTTACATCATGTTTCACGTCGGCATCAAGGCATAGTTTAGCGTCATGCCCGCAGTGCGTGGGCTGATTGCAACGCCAAACCCCACAAAGAGACTCGTGAAGCTTTCGAGAAACGGTTTGAATGGTCTTGAATCGACCGGGCAATGGGGCATGTTGGATACAAACACCTGAAGGAACTTCCTGTTGCTCGATAGCAACAACTTGCGACCGAAGCGAAATTAGCTCACTGTTCCGATCTCGTAGGCTGGTTAGACATTTTTCGTATCTCGATTTGTTGAAAGTAAACTTCAGCGGTTTGCTCAAACGTTTGTAAACTGTCCTGAGAGACTCAGTCTACGACAAGATTAGCGCGTGATCTTAGTATGCTTGAAGTCAGGACGAACCGGCAACTTCTGGCTCAAAAAAGGATCAAAATTTTCCAGTTCTGATGCGATTTCCTCGAGAAATCGGCTAATGTGTTGAATGATCTCCCTGCAAGCGTCATAGTTGTCCTGAAGTACCGCTCTGAATCGGTCTTCAGTCTCCTGGTTTGCCCAACGTCGGTTATTGCATTCTTCAAGATCAAGCTCCGCTTGTTTCTTGTTTTGAGTAGAACGCAGTAATAATCGTACTTCGTTTAGGAAAATTACTCTGATGGCTTTAAATTCCACAAAAACATCTTCAAGCTCTTGGTTGCAACGGCGGAATGTGCGTATCTTGTCACGTATTATGGAGTAGGACTTGACAACTTCGAATAGAATAGGCAAAACGCCAACTGCCAGGCCCGCTATCTCCAAACCAGACATTTTCCTAGAGAGTTGAATAGAAAGAAAAGAGAGATATGGAACAATAATGTGGCAGGCTGATCGCGGCTGAATAGACGTCTTGCGAAAGCGCCTCATCATGCACAGCCCCGCCCACTACACAGCCCCGCCTCAGCCTGATGTGCTGTTTATGAACAGCAAAGCAAACTCTTTGGATCTTGCAGTCCATTCAGTTCCGCATGTTACACCTCTGAAGCTGAGTTTCCAAAATTCGTATATATTTTTTACCCTCGGGCCTCGCAGTTACGAGCGACACTTGATGCAAAGTTTGACCAATGAATTCAGGCGCCTTGAGCTCACAGATAAGTAGGGATCATATCGAGAGATGGCAACAGGGGATATCTCCAAAGCCAGAGGGAAATCATGGAATGATAGCCCGCATGTTTGATACATGCCTCGGGCTGCTTCGAAACTTGATTAAACACTCCAGTCCTACATGGATCACAACACCTGGAAACTGCACGCTTCGGCAAGGCTACGCCACATTACAACTCTGGGAGCATGGTCATGGAGTGGTTGAAGGAAGACTTGATGAGCACCTCAAGCGATCAACGGAAGTTCGACAAGCTACCATCGAGATCCTGATCCATTTGTGCAGATGTCTGATAGACGGTGAGTCAAATACCCACTTATGCGACAGGAAATACTGATTAGAACAGGAATATCGAATTTCGTCTTACCGCAGGTGAATGATGCCTCAGTCCAACTTCAGCACACAGCAGCCTCAGAGCTTTATAATGAATGGAAATGGCACTTAAAGGCTGCCGACGAGAGCTCAAGTGAGGACGAAAGCGACAGTGGTGATGATCATGAAGAAGACAATTTACCAACACAAGTAGATATGATGATCCGCAGATCGAAGACATACATAAACTGCTTAATTGGTCTTGGTACTGCGTTAGAATGCCCAGCTCCGGATGAGTCCCACGACGATGAGCCTGGCGTGGTAGGGGTGGGCCCACGTTCTGCGCACGACTATCACACTGATCTGATACAATCAAAGTACCCAGAGGCTGAAGTACATTTAGTGCAGGTTTTGGGCAAAATCAGCTGGTCGCGTTTCTTACGTATGCAACGTGAGCGCGACAACAATACCGCTGCGACGCCTGAGCTACAGGGCCTACTAGTACCCCTTGCTACCAAATCCACTGGCCTTAGTTCTGAATTTCAGGATTCAGGGGTTGGCACTTCTCTCGCAAAATCACAGTCATCGTATGCGGAATCGACTGTATCGTTCATGACGAGCGTATCGGGTGGCGAGCGAGTCCGCATCCCACCGCTGCCAGCAGAAGGGAAAAATGGTCAACCCTTTGAGTGTATCGCATGCGCAAAACTCGTAAGGGCAGAGAATAATCACGAATGGAGGTATGTCAAACCTCACGGTCTATCAAGCTTGTACTCATTTTGAGCAGGAAGCACCTCTTTAGCGATTTGCAGCCTTACAACTGCTTCTATCGTGAATGCCACTTCAACGCAACCGCATTTACGAACCTTCAAACTTGGAAAAATCATCTAGAATTCGAACACAATTGTGGACCTGCATGGGAAGCAATTAAATGTCCACTTTGTTTGGATCTTACAGGAGACGGAAAGAGCGCCATCTTAACACATTTTGCGAGACATATGGAAGATATTGCTCTTCTAGCTCTACCAGCTGCAGTGGAATCAGATGCTGAGTCAGACACAAGTATAGATACGCCCTTTGATATCAATGGAGTGGAGCCGACACCCCCAAGAGAGTCGGAACCAGCTCGATCGCCAAGCAACCCGCCCTCATCGCCGCATTTAAATGCCCAACCACGGCCACAACCATGTGTTCCACAACTGAACTGGGAATCAGGAGATCCATCGAATCTACAGGAGATCAGTGAGTTTTTAGATATGGAAATCCGCGAGTGTGAACAAAACCCGTCGAAATGGGTATCAAAAGAGTGGCCTGTTAAACAAAAGATCAGGGAACTTTTGGACAAGAAAGTCCACGAGCTTGAACAGGAATCTATCACTGAAGGATCAGAAGAGTGGCAGCATCTTCGGGGTTATGTGCAGAGTATTACCAAGCTCTTGAGCAAAAAGATACGCGAGCATAGTGCAAAAACTTTGGACGATGAATCAGAAGAGCCGAGGAACCTACAGAAAATCAGAAAACTCTGGGATGAGAAAAGACCAAATGATGGCCAAGAACCGCCGGGCCGTGCTAACTATGTTCGATACCCGATCAAAGGATCCAAGCGGACGTTTGAGGGTGACACTACTATAATCAACGGCTACCTTCAGCTCGAGTCTTTCGCGGGAAGCATATATCTCGTGGTCTTGGATCAAAATGAGCCTCATAACCAGTTACTAAGAGAACAACTAAGCAAGGGCATTGAATACCGAAGGGCGGGAGAAGCAACCCTTCTCTGTACCCAAAAGAATGGAACGGAACTGTTACTCGATTTCCAAGACCCCGAAGGCTGCGAATCCGTATGGATACATATCAGAGAGGCAATAGACTACCCTATACACGCACATCAAATAGACAGTACTGAAGAACCACGCGAGCTGGCTTGTCCACCACATATGAACCTTACGACTCCATCAGAACATGCACCAAACTCGCCAAGTATCGCCGGTGGCAATGAATTACTACCTGAGAGCCTTGAGGAGCCGTTCCTACCGGCGTCTCAACCCTACTTGTGGCCGTCTGATTCGGAGCCTAAGTCACCATCCCTCAATCCAGATCTCAAAGAGAACCACCCAGACATGACGGAACGCCACAACAACTTTCCAATAAACGAGGAGATCAATTACAGCATGCGTGAAGTTTCGCCAGAACCCGAAGCTACGATCAAGGATAAACCTCAACTTATTCCGCAGTTACAATACCCGTTAGCAGTTTCGGACCCAGCAGCCACTCTAACATCAGAACAAGTAGAACTTCAGCCAGCGCAGCCTATAGAGGTTGCGAAGCTCCAGAGGACAAAGAGAGAACACATTTGCCCATATTGTGCCAAAATCTTCACCAAGAAGTTCAACTTCGAGTCGCATCTTGCAACTCACGGCGGCAGTCAACGATTGGAATGCCCACATTGCGATAAAACGTACGTCAGAGATTGCGATTTAACCCGCCATATAAGACTTCACCATGTAAATAGCACAGTTACATGCGGTGGCGTACTTCCAGATGGTAGGAAGTGGGGATGTGGAACTAATTTTGCAAGACTTGATATACTTCGCAGACATCACAAATCTAGAAAGGGCAAACAATGTCTTGCAGAAAGAGACAGCGAAGAGTAACCAATAGCTTCAATATCTTAACTAGGGGCTAACAATTCATGTAAAGCATATCTTAAGGCTACTTTAGTAGATTGAATAAAGCTCTGGCGTTCGACCTAAAGGATAGTATTAGTCTAGTATATCACAACTATATCTTTCTCTTGAAGAGGCTAGCGGTTTAACTAAAAGCTTCGATAATATTCCTATAGTTATTGCTTATTTATATTCGCAAACTATAAAGTCTATAGCCATGCGATCCGAACATTATTACTTAGGGTATAAAGATTTACTAAAGTTTAGGGTCTACTTATAGTATCTACTATATTCTCTATTTTCTCTTGAAATTTATAGAGTATGTATAAACTACTCTACAATATACCTTCTTTATAAAATTACAACTATATAAGGTTTATCTTAAGGGGCTTTACCGCTTATAAAAGAGTACTTATATTAGCTAGTTATAGATACTTCACGGACGGCTGCTTAGCTTTGGAGGAGCGTGAGAAACATGTCGAACGACATGAGTGTCCAGCTCGTTGCACATACGAACACTGCAGGGGCTCTTGAATCGGGTTCACGACGCAGGCACAATTAACTCGACATGTAGAAGAAAAAGCACCACCACCAGCCGGAGACTCATATGAAGCCTGAATCCGAATTTCTCGTATCCGCGCGAAGCAACCTCAGGTGGAGGTCTTTTCGCCAAACAAAATTTCTTTTATCCCACAATGGAACCTTGAGGGACCCAAGATAGAAACTCAAGGCGAGGGAGAATGCTTCCCTGAACTATCAGCAGTGAAAGCAGGGTTAGCAGCAGCAAAAGCGCAATCGGCAGCAGAGAGTGCATTAGAGAAACTAGAGACAGCACATCATGAGGACTTGATTGACGTCAAAACTGGCACAATATGGTCCAACGAGATCTTCGAAACATCATCCGGTCAGTCAAAGGGAACAAAGTCCACTAGATCTGATATAGATGATGCGACTGAAAAGTGGAAGCCGAGAAGAGTCGAAGAGCTTGCTGAAAATATGGTCTGGTTTTGCTCAATCTGCTCGGACGGCCCAAAACGCCGTTGGCAAGATAGGTGTGACCATTGTGGCCACAACAAGTGTTCTTCATGTATTATAAAGAGAAACAGGTTTGATTTATACTATATTTGGGATTTTCAAGAGATTCACCATATACATTGTTAATCAATGTAGACCTGATCACATCTTGCCAACGTTTTCTAGAATTTTCAGCTTTGCTGAGCCTATGTACGCTTCATGTTGTGTCTATCTGTATCCCAACTTTCCAGAAGTTGGTTTTTCAATGGCCTCCGACATCGACTTTTCTATACAAATTGTTAACGTGCATTCATGAATACAGGGTTCCTACCACTACATCCTCCATATGTTATGCTTGTCGTGTGTTCCCTCAGCATATAGTCCAATATATAGATCTCTTCGACATGATGGTAATGATCTCCTTCATGTTCTCCTAACACAAGCGAAATTTATTCTAACATCTTGCTGGAAACATTGGCTGTGAACTGTATGATTGCGAAACGGATTTTGTAGGGCCATGCTTGCCACGGTGTTTGATGGAAATACGAGATAATTCTCGAGACGTTCCAAGATACATATGGGATTTTGTGTATTAAGACATAGTTGGTGTTTTTAGCAGTTGCCTTGTTCTGTTTTCTCTCAGGTGCCGTTGCTATCGAAGCATCTGAATCTATTTTATTCTAGTTGGTTGAAGGCTCGACTCTATATTTGAGAATCCAATGAAACAGGCGCAGTATACATCTGGAAATCTCTGATAGTGAATCTCCAGCGGCTGATCATGCATGCAAATACAATAAATAAAACTCGTGAACAAAAAGTGGTAGCAGGGAATCAAAAGTTTTCTGGCGATGATTAGCTACGATATTTACACTTTACTCAAGGATACTCTGCAATCAAATTCAATCAATCTAACAAAGAAAATATCCAGCATTTTACCATGATTACCATGTACTCCACTCCATTCACACACGCCTTCAACCTATCCCAAAACACCCTTACTGTCTATCCACCAACCACTTCCCCTCTGCAAGACTATCCTCAAACCCCTTCATATCTTCCTCAGCAAGACTGACCAAAACCTCATACGCTGCTGGTTTTCTCCCCTCTATATCCCTCTTCCTAGGCAACACTACGATACCGCCCTCACTCACCCACGCCGCGCGCCGGATAGCAGCGGGCTGGGCATCCACAGTGCCAGGCATACACCACTCGCGATCGGCGCCCATATGCTGCCAGCTGGTAACGTAGAGATCAGGTCCATTAGAAAACTTAAGAACAGATTGATCGGTTTGGACGGGATCGGCGAGGATCTGATTGAATTTCCTGCCAATCCATTTTTCGTCGACGCCGTGCACAGCGTCGTTGATATCTGTGATGAAAGAGGCGAGATTCTGGGTGCTGATTTGGAGGCGGGCAACGCTTATGGTGGGGAGGAGCATGGCGTGCTCTACTTCGTCTTCTAAGTCGGTTTCTATCGACACGTTTTGACATGTGATGCTATTGCCGCTTTCGAAAAGGTCCCATGTGGGCATCTTGGATACTACTAGATTTCCTAGGTAGTCATAGGATGAGAAGGGTTCAGGGAGATGTTTTCGGAGATCAACGATGACGGCTAAGGTTGATTTGGTGTTGCCGATCGTGATGAATTTTGGGAGGCGGGCTTGGATGATGTTAGCCCAGACGACTCCTGCTAGAGAAGCAAAGTGGGATATATGTTTCTCTGTGTGCTGAGACATGGCTTTGCTGAGGCTAATGATGACTGAACTTGGGAAGCGAAACATCTTTGTGACGACTTTGTATGGTAACTCGTGAAGCGAATTTGCTGAACGTCCCAGCACTTTTTCAGCCTGTGGATTGGTAGGCTCAACGTTCAACCCTCGTGCAAGGGTATCGAGATCACCCCTAGCAAGATTTAAATCTATGGCATTGTGCGTTGTGATTGGTTCTGAGCTGATTCTACTGGGTTCTGTCTCTTGAGCGTTCTTATTCAAAGATTTCACGGCCGCACTCCACACCTCTAGGATCCTCGCGTTGCCAGCTCCATCAGTGATAGCGTGGTGAAACCAAACACTCAGAACTAAGCCTCCAGGTATAAACGTTGCGTGGGCAGCAAAAGCAGGGAGCGGGCCCCTCTTTAGATTAGTCATTCGTTCTGCATATGGGTCATCATCATCTAGCCCAGGATGGTTTTTAATCAAAGCAGGGCAAAACACCTTTGCAGGAAGATTCTCTGGTGAGAAATACGTCCTCTCCAGTGCGTAGTAGTGATAATCGGTGTTGGCAGTCTCATCTAAGTTTACAGTGAAAACGCGGGCCGCTTCTTCTTCTGGGTCGATAGAATCGGGGAAAAGCACCTGAAGACAATCACTGGCGATGAATGGCATATTTATTGTTCCAGCAAGGTAAGGGAATCGCTTCAATACCTCTTCGAAGCCCATGCGGAGTGAATCGATTGCTTCATTTGCGTGCTTTGTGTCAGGGAAAGGGAATACAATATAGTAGCGGCCGTATATGCGAATGTGTGATTGTCGGTCAAGGAAGGATAAATTCAGCTCTTTCTCGTTTTCTGACATCTTTTTAGCTGGATTTCGAGGTCTTGAGTGCCTAGCTACTTCTTTTATCGGTCCTAGACCGTATCCGGGTAGGTTCAGGGGATGTCTACAGTACATGTAGTCAATAGATGGGTGACTGCCCTGTTGCCAAGAAGAATGAGGTAGGAAGATTATATGTAGTTATACATTTCTGTCCTTTGTGTAATAGAACAAAGCTAGGCGGTCGTAATGAATTCAGTTTGTCGCGTTTGCCGTTGTTGAATAACATTGAAACCTTACAAACAATGTGGTTGTCACTGAAATGCACAACATCGCGTTTGCCCGGTGAAAGTGAGCTCTTGATTCAAAATTTTGGTTGATGGGAACCCCCGAACAAGCAGTAAGCTCGATTTCTGTTTCAGATGAACGACTTCAAAACATTGAGTTTCATGTAAGAGTCCACAGTAAAGACTCAGTTTCCGACACGCTCGAGTGCAATCATGTCTGCTTGATTGACATCTTTGCCCAACACACCAGCTTTCTGCAATATGCCAACAGTCTTTTCAACGACCGCCTTGTCGACACCCTTTACCTGCTGTGAGAACTTTACAGTCTTCAGCCATTCCCTAGCGTCTTCTTCCGAGTAGTCGAGCTTCGTGATGATAAACTTAACAGCCTCTTCCGTATTTTCCTCAAAGTGCTTGACGCCTTTATTGACCTTGTCCAGCATATCTTCCAGCTCTGGCGCGAGTGAGGGCTTGCTGCCGCTCTTTGACGTGAGGAGATGGTTTGCCGCAACAATTTTCCACGACGACCAGGGAGTGTAAATTTCACCAATGCGCTTGATCTCACCGTTGTCGTAGTAGCGCTTCGAGGTGAAGTGTTCCCACATAAAGAAGTCGGCTGCCCCGCTATTGACGGCATCGCGCAAGTTTTTGAACGTGTTGAGTATCTCGACAGGAAACGGTGGGCTATCAGAGGAGGTATTTAGCCAGCTCTGCTGGTCTGCCAGCACGAAGCTCATCACATAGCTCCCGCTGCCAATCCTCGAAACACCCGCCTTCTTGCCTTTCAAGTCTTGGACACCTTTGAGCTCATCCCGCTTCGCCCCAGTTGAGATGGCCCAGCATAGCGGCGTTTCGACATATGTGCCGACTATTTTGAAGCCTGCGTCTTGCTTAGCAGCTTGTGCTTTGCCCAGCGCTGAGATCCAGCCTTCTGTCAGGCCTACGGCAAGATCGATCTCACCGGCCTGGATAGCAGTGACCATGTGACCTGTGCCAGAAGGAAAAGGAATGAGATCTACATCGAGGCCATAGTGCCTCTTTGCAAACTCTAGTGGGGTACAGAAGTGCTCTGAGTAGTTAGTAATAAAGCCTTTCATCTCTTCATTGAAGCCTACCGGGCACAAAGCCAGCTCGTAGTGGTGCCATGGTTGTCGCTTTGATGGAGAACCTGCGAAGGGGTTGAGCTCTTGATGCGGCGGGGAAACGTGCGAGGGACAATGTGCGAAGCATAGCTCTAAACCTGAAGTACGTATCTTGTCAACTGGGATGTTGACTAAATGCCACGAATTAAGTAACCCAAGCTAAGCCAGAGCATAGATCCGGGGTTGAGAGGGGTAGTGCCGGCCATCAGGTCAGATCATTTGTTTGCCATCGCGGTGATCAGCTCCAGCAGATCGTTCCGACATCGTTCCGACCAGCGCCGAAACCTTCTTTCCGTCACTACCATTGCATCGACATCTGGTCTTGATTACGACAGCGTCCCTACGCATGCTTACTTGGTTGTTGCGGGGATACCCTGTACACCAACATAGTGCCCGTCGTTCTATTGGCCCCTCCCTGCAGCACCTTGCGCGATATTCCCACGGCTCGGAACCCAAGCCCAACGCCATGGCTTCTGATGGAGATAGGATATCAACCAGAGCAATGACAATAGCGGTAGTAGGTGCCGGGCCTTCAGGTGTGATTGCAGCAAAGTACTTGAGAGCCGAGAAGGTATTTGAAAAGATTGTCTTGTTCGAACAGAGAAGTCGACCTGGGGGGATATGGATCTACACTGGCGAGCAGCGAGACGAAAACCTCTTCGACGTACCCCAGACCAACCCGAACAAGGACTTTCAGAAACCAGAATGGCAGCCTAAAGAAAAGGTTACAAACGGGGATGTTAATACAAATGGCGCCGACAACGCATCCAAGACTCCCTCTTTCTTATCGCCAATATACGAAACACTGGAAACCAACATCCCACGTGGACTAATGAGTTTTCAAGACCTCAACTGGCCATCCGACAGCCAACTCTTCCCTACCCACGAAACAGTCCTAAAATACGTCGAAGACTACTCCGCCGACGTCCAAGATCTAGTCCAATACTGCACTCAAGTCACCAACGTCATTCCCACCGACCCAACCAACCCCACCAGCCCATGGGCCGTCACAACAAAAAACCTCCTGACTAACGAGTCCATCTCCGAAATCTACGACGCAGTTATAGTAGCAAACGGTCACTTCATCGTCCCCTCTATCCCCTCCATCCCCGGTATCCAAGACTGGGCAGCCCAACACCCAGGTCGAATCACGCACTCAAAATACTACCGTCGCGCCTCAGACTTTGCCTCAAAGAAAGTAATCGTAATCGGCAACTCCGCCTCAGGCGCCGATATCAGCGCTCAGATCGCCTCCGCCTGCACCCTCCCCCTCCTCTGGTCCACCCGCTCCCAATCCCTCTTCAGCACAACCCACGGCGCCGCTTCAGCCGATCAGCGACGCCGCGAAGTACCCCCTATAGCCCGTTTCCTACCGTCAACCCGCGGCGTAGAATTTGCAGACGGATCTCAAGCCCACGACATCGACGCCATTGTCTTCGCCACTGGCTATTTTTACAGCTTACCGTTCTTGGAATCCGTGGAGCCAAAACTGATCACAACGGGTGAAAAGGTAAATCATACATATCAGCACTTATTCTACGCACCTAGACCTAGTCTGTCTTTCCTAGCGCTAAATCAGCGAGTAATCCCTTTTCCCATCGCAGAAGCCCAGGCTGCGGTGCTGGCGCGCGTGTATGCTGGTCGTCTTGATTTACCTTCCATCGCTACCATGCGCGCGTGGGAAGAAAGTGTAGAAGAAGAGATGGGCGCAGGACGCAATTTCCATCTCCTGAATTTCCCGAAGGACGGGAAGTATATTAATGAGATGAGTGCTTGGGCGGCGCAGGCGGAGGAGAAAGATGGGTTGGAAGACGGAGGGAAAGGAAAGAAGCCCCCGGTTTGGGGAGAGTGGCAATTTTGGTGCCGTGAGCATTTCCCAAAGATTAGACAGGCGTTTGGGGCTAAGGGTGAGGAAAGGAAAGAGGTTAGGACCTTGGAGGAGTTGGGATTTGTGTTTGAAGAAGATAGAGTGAAGGAGAAAGATGTATAGATGGGTTAGAGGGTATACATAGATGGTGTAGACGGTATAGAGTGTTGGGAAATATGATACACATAAGTGAGCAGGAAAGATGCTCTATTGATCCCAGATTTTCGTAATATACCCACGTACCAAATCAATTCCGTATGCACAAAACATCTATCAACACGAGCACCCATGTGGTGAATAGTAGACTCCTCGCCCCCCAACGCCGTGGCTATGCATCCGAATTCAGAAATCCATACCATCTGGATAAACAAAAAGTGGGGGGTTACTATCTCCTTCCCTTGCCTTGACCGGCACCACCCGCACCGCCGCCCATTCCAGGCATACCGCCCATGCCGCCCATGCCGCCCATCATTTTCATCATCGCACCCATATCCATGCCGCCCATACCACCGAGGGCCGAGAGATCCGGCATGCCACCTCCGCCTCCTCGCCCGCCGCCAAGCATCTTCATCATAGCTCCGAGATCCGGCATACCGCCTCCCGCTCCGCCCATGCCTCCTGCGCCACCCATACTCTGCATGCGCTTCTGCATGGCGGCGAGTTGTTGCTGCTTGTTTCCACCACCCATGGCGCCCTGTGCCTTTTGCATGTTGGCCATGCCGCCCTTCATCTTCTTTGCCATGTCTGCCATCATGCGGTGCTGAGTGAGTAGTTCCTCGACTTCGCGCACTGACGTGCCTGAGCCACGGGCTATACGGGTCATGCGAGTCGGCTGGTCCACAAACATCTTGCCGTCGGATTCGAGTTCTTTTTCAGTCATGCTGTCGCAGATGTAGATCATACGTTTAAGCTTGGCGCCACCCTCTTCATCGTCCATGCCTCCCATCATGCTGCTTAGTCCAGGAATCATGCCAGCCATCTTGGAGAGAGGACCCATCTTCATGATATTGGAGAGCTGGTCGCGGAGATCCTTGATGGTGAAGATTCCTTGAGTAATGTGCTTCATTGTGTCCTTTTGATCGAGCTTCAGTGATTGGACGTGCTCGACAAGACCTTGTACGTCGCCCATTCCTAGCAGTTTGGAAACAAAGGCTTGTGGGGCAAAGCGTTCGAGATCCAACATGTGTTCACCATTACCGAGGAAGACAATGGGGGTATGTGTTGCTGCGACTGCAGAAATGGCACCACCACCTGCTGCCGCACCGTCGGTCTTGGTGATGACAATGGCCCCGAAGTCTGCTGCCTCCTTGAAAGCGCGAGCTTGAGATTCAGCAGCCTGACCAATAGTTCCGTCCAGTACCATGATAGTCTGGTCGGGCGTAACGGCAGTCTGAATTTGCACCATCTCATCGAACAGGTCCTTCTCTTGCCTGTGTCGTCCAGAGGTATCCACGATGATGATTTCAAAGCGCTCTTTCTTGAACTTCTCCACACCTTCAGCCGCCACTACTACGGGATCCGTCTGCGTATGGCTACCATAATATGGGATCTTTGCTTTTGTGGCGTTTTGCTTCAACTGATCGAATGCACCGGCACGGAATGTATCTGCGCAGACAAGACACGCCTTGAAGCCTCTTGCCTGGTACCATCTCGCCAGCTTTGTACATGTTGTCGTTTTTCCCGCACCCTGAAGACCGACAAACATGATGACGTTCGATTTTCCCTTTCTCGGCTTGAAAGGCTCGGCATGCGGATCAACCATCTTGACGAGCTCATCGAAGACGGCCTTTTGAATGAGGCGCTTCTTGTTAACGCCGGGCGCAAGGTGCTTGAAGTCGACGGCGCGCTTTATCGACTGTCGCAGATTCATGACGAGTTTGACATTTACATCGGCTTCGACGAGGGCATTGGAGATCTCCTTGACCATGGAATCGAAAGCCTTCCGCATATTAGCCACCTGTTAGGTATTGCTGTTCTATCAAGTGCGCACCTTCTCGTCGAGATTGGGCGACCTCGTAAGGTCTGTGACTGCGGCATTGATGCGCCGCCCGAGATCTTGAAGCACCATATCAGCGGTTGTGTAGGGAAATTATTAGAGAGATGGGGGTGTGAGGCGTGGGGGGTGGTCGGTGATGTTCTCACGGTGTTCTGTGGGGAATGCAGGCATGGCGGGGCGCGCTTTGCCCTGCCGTCGGCCTTTTGGCTCCCCTAACGCCGATCATCTGGAACTTTTTTCTGCGACCGCGCGGTGCCTTTCAACATTCACATTCACACAATCCCAGCCACAATGGTCAACACATCTTTGAAGCGGAGACGGACCGAGGACCAGCTCAGAGGCAAGGTACCCAAGAAGGAGAAGAGAAAGATCAAGAAGCAAAAGCACTACCACAGTTCGTCCGACGAAGAAGAAGGTGCTGCGCGCGATGCTCCAGCACGAGGAAGCAGCCAAGAACCAGAAGAGCCGTTCCAGCCCTCGGGCGCCAATGCGACTCTTCCGGGAAGACCGGAACTTTCTAAGCAGCAGTTGAGGAAGCAGGCAAAGTTCGAGGCGAAAAAGGCAGCACAACAAGCAGCTGCGGCCGAGGAATCTTCAGCTAGTGATGATGAGGACGAAGCCGAGGATGCTGCGCCATCGAAAAAGCCTGAGCCCAAGTTCAAAGCCAGTATACAAACAAAGGCTCCGGTAAAGTCTGCGCTGAAGAAGACGGCGCCCGTGGATCACGCCGCCCCATTGCCAAGCGATGCCGAAGACGACGACGAAGACGACTCTGAGCCTGAAGCCGACGAGTTTTCCATTGCCGACTCAGAATCCGACGCTTCAGAAGCTTCCTCCATCTCTGAAACCTCTACCGCTGCTGCACGCAAAGTCCGCAAGCGCAACGATCCCGAAGCCTTTGCAAACTCCATCTCGAGAATCTTGGGCTCGAAATTGTCGACGTCAAAACGCACAGAGCCTATTTTGTCGCGCTCGAAAGATGCGGCGACAGCGAACCGCGAGCTTGCCGACTCGAAGCTTACCGAGAAGGTGCGCCGTCAACTGATTGCAGAGCGCAAAGCTGCGCGGGATAAGGGCCGCATTAGGGATGTTTTGGGACTGAATGACCCCAGTGCCAGCACGGAAGCGACATCGACAAAGGAGAGGGAACTCAGAAAGACGGCACAAAAGGGCGTAATCAAGTTGTTCAACGCAGTGAGGGCGGCTCAAGTCAAGGGTGAGCAGGCCGAGAGGGAAAGCAAGACGGGTATGGTAGTTGGCATGGACAAGAGGGAGGAGAAGGTCAAGGAGATGAGCAAGCAGGGATTCCTCGACATGCTCACTGGAGGGCAGAAGAAGGAGCAGATCGCTGAAGCGTAAAAGCATGACAAGGAGTTGTTTAGAATGTTCATGATACCATATACTATACAAGCGTTTTCTGAGTCGTCCTCTACGCCAGTGCATATGCAAGCGGAGTGTTTGTGTTATACATGCTTTGTACCAAATGTTGCGTATGTACGAAGAACCGAAAAAAAAATGCCACCCAGCATTGTATCTGGCACTTTTGCTGGGATCATCAAATCATCCCCTACTAGATCACACTCCACGCCTCGCTCAAATGGCCCTAGATTCGATATGTGAGCATTTATCTGTTCTCGAAATCGCTAGCCTGTAGATTTCTCGTCATGCTCGGCAACCGTACTACCAGCCCATCCAGCTCCTTGCTCATCTTGACCTGGCAGCCCAGTCTGCTCGTCTCAGTGAGGCCAAAAGCCAAATCGAGCATGTCATTTTCGTCATCGTCGGGCTCTTCCATCTTTTCATAGTAGGCCTCGTCTTCGACAATAACATGGCAGGTCGAACAGGCGCATGAGCCTCCGCAGGCGCCCTCCATTTCTATGTCGTTTGCCTGTGCAATGTCGAGAAGGTTGTCGCCGTCGGCCACTTCAAAGGTCGAGGAATGGCCGTCCTTGTCTATAAATGTCACCTTTCGTCTGGTACTATTAGCAACCGGGTCTATGAGTCAAGAGTAGACGGTGAAGACGCACTCTTCCCCAGGCCTAGGAGGGTCGAGGTGACCGTGGCGGGGTGCATGACTGGCGGAGAATTGTCGACTGTTTCGCAGCCATGAGGGACTTTTTGAAGTGGCTACTTTGAATTGCCGTAGTAGAGACGTGGCTGCCCTCTGCGTGTGCATCCCTCTCTGGCATGTCATGGCCGCCCAATGGCTAGACAATGTCAGTGGAGTCGACAAGGCGCTTCTCGCGCCTGCTATCCGCCCTTCGACCAACATCCAGCAAGCTCGATTCGCTGCCATTGTGGGCGTATGTGGTCGCTCAATTAAGAAGATGGCAGAGCTCAGGAGGTGAGTGGGCAAAAGAGCGAATGTTTGCTGGGATAAAAGTCGCAACAAATGAAGCCGTCGATAATTCCGTATGCTATGAGACGTCGACGACGAAATGTTGGCAGCACAGACCGCCCCACCCTGGTCCCTCTCTTTGAAAGCGCATGCATCCACCACCAGCACTCACAAAACAAAACCGACAGCGGGCACCACCCTAAGGCCCTTCCTCTCCCCCATACCCCGCCTTCACCATGGCCTCCTCGCGCGATGCCCCAAACCCCCTCCGGCCATACTACATCCCACCTTCCATTGGCCCGCCTCCAGAGGTTCCGCAGAACCAGACTGTCTCGTCACCACTCCCGCCCGCTTTCAAGCCCGCCCCCAGCAACAAATCGAGTCTGGGCAGCCAGGCACGCGACATTCTTTCAGATCTCGACTATGACGCGTACTTTCCAGAGACATCGCCTACAATAGCCGGCCATGCAAAGAAGCTGCTGGATCATGCGCTGTGGAACTACACAAGCGTGCTGCTTGCCCAGCCATTCGAGGTAGCGAAGACGATACTGCAGATCCACGAGGCCAAGGGACAGCTTTCCGCACTCAAGGATGCTGGTGAATGGGGCCATAAGAGAGGGCCAGGGAGCTTTGCCAGTGGCAAGTTTGAGGATGTAGGTACTCTGTCAATGACACCCCCGTCTGACATGTGAATGTGGGCTAAATAACCGGGCAGTTCCCACCTTCAGATGAAGAGTCTGACGAAGACTCTCCGGGATACTTCACCACAACAGCACCGCGCGTGAACCC